GTTACCTTTAAAAGACTAAAATCAATCAGAAGTCCAGAGAAGGAAGCGTTAGAAAGTAAAGTAAAGTTGCAACTTTGATGCTACCTGGATAAAAACAGAGGTTCTCTTTGAGGGATCCCAGAGGAACTCCACAGTGTTTAGCTGAGTGGGGTTGGCCCTGGGGTCGATCATACCCACTGACATGGGGATATCTGCAATGATCCAAAAGTTCTTGTTTGAGCACCAAATTTATCACCAATGTTGTTAATAAACATGCTTTTATCATAAAACCAGCCAATGGTGAACGTGCAGATCATTCTTTTAAAAGTCCAGATGAAAACGGCCGTTTTCTCCACGGGGCTCACCCAGGTCAAGGATCCGGTCTCCAGGCCTGTTCCAGCGCCAGCCCTCCAGCTGCTGGTGCTCCGTGTACTGAAGCCGCCGATCGTGAAACACCACGCGGATAATACTCTGAAACGAGTATATACACATATGTGATATGTATGATTTAGTCCAGCAATCATTAAACAACAGAAACACACTGAAATAACTCCCACCTTGACCATTTTACCAGTGATTTCAGGAAGTTCCCCAATTTTCTGATTGTCAAGCATTCTTATTTCATAGGACTGCCCTGCATTAGCAGAGAGAAACAACTTCAAATTAAGATCCCGCCTCCAAGAGGGCCGTCACACACCGCGGACACACTCCTCAGTCATGCAAGGCATGCATCTTTATGTTATCAAGCACAACTACATAGCTATTTATAAAAGAACATAATCTGTAAAAAGAATAATGTGGTAAACATTCAGATGCTTTATTCTAACTTACTGACTGCTTTGCTCATATACATTAAAGCCAGTTTCTATTACTTTCAGTTTATTGTTTCACTGTTAAAACTAACTTAAATCAAAGGGAAACAAAATTTTACATAAATCCATTCAGGCAAGAAAAAAAAAAGAAATAAGTTGATTTAATTGTCTGATCAATCCTAAACAGAATGACATGTGAGGATCTGAACCTCTCCTCTCTTGGACCTTGACTTTACACAAAGTCAAAAAAACGTAGCAAGGTGAGGATCCTGATACTGACCTTGGTTGAGGTAGGTGAGGGTTTCATCGTGTAGCTTAATAGCAGGTGAGGTAGGTGCACACAGAACATACTGAAAAGGGAGGATCTTGTTTTCAGAATCTGGAGGCAAGTTGGATTCTTCCTGCTTGAAAATGGGGAGGGCGAGCACGTCGCTGGAGAAGAGAGCAGTAAAAAAAGTGCTGCCTGTGAGCTGCTAAAATCTTTTCACTTCAGTGAGAAACATTCAACTCTTTAAATTCAAGAAAGCTTTAGACAACCAAATCCCCCTTTTTCTGCTTGTTTGATGACCTTCACTAACACAACACACTGTGCTGCTCATTCACTATAATGGAGGGAATACAACTAAATACCAATGTCTCCAGTGCTCATGTCAGAGCTCCCCTCAACACAGGAATTTCTCCAGTGACCAGACACGTTTCATAGCTCTTAATAAACCACAAAAAACACATCTGTCTCCAGAAAAGGAGTTAATTCACTCTCATAAACATAAGATGCACCACATCATCAGCTTTGCTAATGTTTTGAGAGATCCTGCAGTTAGAATAAATCAGTTCCATCGTAATCGAACCAAACAGTGAACGCGTACAGCTATTCATTTGTTCTGTAGATGTATGTGCACATCTGTGATTCATAGCAATTTAATAATGTGTGAACAATTTTAGCTGATCCAGGTTTTAAGATGCCCCTCGTCTAAAAATATTGTCCAGTGGCACAAAGAAAAAGAGCTCAACACAAAAGTAAAGGTCAGAGTCAGGGTAAGAGAAGGCTGATATTCAAACGTACAGCTGAAGAATCCATTTCAATCCTAAACGTATGGACTAAAGCTTACACAAACAAGTAAATGTCAGAAAGAATGCAAAAACCTACACGTTAACCTGAAAGATTTTTATTATTCACTTGATATCAACAATGGCAATAAATTAATAGGCTAAAATTTAGTTAGAGCATCCAGATTAGCAGAGCGCACGTTAATTCCCTCCACAAGGAGAAACAACAAACTCAGGGTGTACCTCATACTGTAGGCTCCGGCACCAAGTTCCTGGCCGATACCAGAGAGACTGGCATCAAAGTCTTGGGCCAGCCCGGACTCGATCACCTCATCCGTGAGGGGCAGCTTCAGAGCCCACGCCATGATGGTGACGCTGAGGAGGTTTTACCGAGTACCGCTGCTCACCTGCTCCTCACAACCTTCAGAGGACTCGAGGGCAAGGTGGGGGGAAAGAAAGATTACTCACAAGTGAACCCCGACGCCAACACCGTAAAAAAGTTTCGTTTTACTCAGTAAAATAAATTTCAGACAGAAACTAGTTAAGTTGATTAACTAAGAGCGGTCGGAAATGGGTTTTACAATAAACACGTTTTTTATCTCCCATCTTAAAATTCAGCGAACTTGTGTAAAAATGTATGCAGATTTTTAGTAACGTTTTTGTTACTAACGTGCTCCGATTAGATATTCAAGCTTACCTTTAGAAGATGAGTTTTTCTGTCGTAACAGCGCCGCGGTTTCATGCCATCATGTCGCGCGCTATTTGGCCGAAAGAACTAAAATAAACATCTCTAGCTAACGGCTTGGGTACAGAGGATGCTAGTCCGTATTTACTTTACTACAGTTTCAGGGTTTTATTCAAACCGTTTATTCTCTACGTAACGTAGCTATGGACCCAAAGCCCAAGACAGATCTTTATATTCGCTATATATTGCTTCGTTTTGTTTATTAAGCTTCGTCGAAAGGGAGAAACAGTAATTTCCGGTTTTCACTCTTCTTCGTCGCGATCTAAACCGGAAGTGCTCATTACTGCCACCTACCAGTGGTTTTTTTTGTATGTTTTATTATTATTATTTTTATTTAATTTTTTTTTACCTTATTTTCAATCTGCGATTTCACATACATTCAGTTTACAATGTAACCTACATTCAACGTACTGAAGAATATAGAAAATACAAATGACCTCACTTGAGGAAAATAAAAATTACATTTAGAACTTGCAACAATTACCACATGACACTATACCATAAAATAAATTATGATGCAAGATAATAATAATTAAAATAAAAATAACATATCAACAAACAAAAAAATGTTCAGAGGTTGATATTTCAACATTATATTTCAAACATGTTTGATTCATTGGACTGTAATTTAAACAACAAGAAACTCAGACATTGTTTCGTACAACTCAGTTATAGATTGGCTATTTTCTGATAATACTTTTAGAGATGTTTTAAATTGTTTTATTTCATTTTTAAAATGGTTAATGTTAGACTTGCTGTTTTTCCATTCAGTTTTATGTATATGGTATTTTCCCATGTTGAAAATAATGTTCACCATTTTGGATATCTTTTTTGGAAGAGCATCCATGTATATCAACACTTTAGATTTGTTAAGCCACACATCATTTCTCTCAATATTTAATAATCGATAAACATCCTCCCAAAAACCAATTGTTACTGAACACGAGAAGAAAATGTGCTCAATAGTTTCACATTCTGTCATACAAAAGACACACTGATTCACTTCAAAATTAAATCTTTTTTCTTAATGTTTCGGCAGCAGGATAGATATTATGTATTATTTTGAATTTAATTTCTTTCAACTTGGGTGCAATTGGCCATTTAAGATAGCTGCACTATGGCTTTGTTAATGTAGTTTCCTTTCCTGTGATTTTTATTGTTGTTGATTTTTCAATATCATAGAATAACTTATTTTTAACATACTTCCAAGTACTTTGTTATTACATTTTTGTTCACCTAATTTAAATTTGCCAATTTTCAACTCAGGAAGTTTAATCACCACATTCGAATTAAGCAAGGTATTTTTAATCATGAATTTTAAAGGAAGTGGAACAGCTCTACTGATTTGATTATTAAATTTTAAAATTAAATTTTTCGACAAAACATTCAAATTGTAACAAATTGCCATTTTTATCTATCAAATCTGTCACATGTAAAATGTTTTTGTCATACCATTCTTTTTTGAATATAGTCTTCCTATTAATTACAATGGTTCTATTATTCCACAAGGTAGAGCTATGTGGTGTAAAGTTGTGGCTGAATATCATTTTCCATTAGAGCAGTATTTGTTTATGGAAGTCAGATAGTTTGATTGGTAATTTAGATATGTCAAAGTCACATTTTAACAGGAATTCTAATCCTCCAACCTTTTGGAAATATATATTTTGGTGTGTGGAACCACATAGAATGTGGTTGTATTAAAACAGCTTTTATCCAATTCCATGCTGTAGTTCTTTTTTAAAACACAGCAGTTTTTGTTTACCTGTTTTCCCACTACGTTTCGTTTGCGGCTGCAAACTTCCTCAGCCGCAAACAAAACGTAGCGGGAAAACAGGTAAACAAAAACTGCTATGTGTTTTAAAAAAGAACTACAGCATGGAATTAAGAGATACGACACAGCAAGAACACACCTAAGAAGCTTTTATCCAGTTTAGCTTAAGTACACCAATCATGGCTTCAAAATCAGCAGCCTTTAACCCAACTCATTTTGGGGGATCTAGTAGAGCGTGTAGACAACATCAAATTCCTGGGCATCCACATCACCTCAGATCCAACCTGGTCACTAAACGCTTCCTTTCTGGTAAAGAAGGCCCAACAAAGACTCTTCTACCTTAGGAAACTGAAGGGAGCCGGTCTCTCCCCCCAACTGCTTAAGAACTTCTACAGAGCCATGGTTGAGAGCATCCTATCACTCAGTATGACGGTGTGGTATGGGAGCTGTACCGTCCAGAACAAAAAGGACCTGGCCAGGGTGGTGAAAACTGCTCAGTGGATCGTGGGGAGCCCGCTACCAGATCTGGACTCAGTATATACCATCCGACTACAAAGGAAGGCTAACCGTATCGCTGCTGATTCCTTCCATCCAGGTCACAAACTGTTTATGCCGCTACCGTCCAGGAAATGTTACAGGAATATCAAGGCCACAAACACCAGGCTGAGGAACAGCTTCTTCCAAAGAGCTGTTAAAGCCATCTGCCCCCCTCCCACCCCACCCCTCCTGTAATCCTTCCCCCACCTCTGTGACCCTGTAGACACCTACACTCCCAACCAACGACCCATGAGACTATTAGACTTTTAATGATGGCTTGGTTGTAATTTACAATGATCCTGTTTTTTCATGCTGCTATTGTCCTTTTCACACTTGAATCTTCTATGTGCAATAATATCAATCAACATGTTGATCAGTACGATCAGAATGTCAGTCAGCGCAACATTTATCTTTTATATCTTTTAAATTATTCAGCTTCTTTTACTCATGTTACGAGTGTGTGTATGGCTCCCTGAAAGGAAGGTTATGTATTGTTCTTTTTTTGTTTTACTCTTCATGTTTTTATCATTCTATTTGTGGTCTTGGTGCCCTTTAAGCTGAGAGCTGCCAACCAAATTTTGTTATGTGTATGCATAACGACAATAAAGAATTCAATTCAAGACTCTTAACCCACCTTGCCTGCTGGTGGTGGTCGGAGGGACCGGTGGCGCCTGTGCTCGGCAGCCTCGCCTCTGTCAGTGCGCCCCAGGGCAGCTGTGGCTACATCGTAGCTCATCCCCACCAGGGTGTGAATGTGTGAACGACTGATTGTGTTGTAAAGCGCCTTGGGGGGTTCCAGGACTCTAGAAGGTGCTGTATCAAACACAGGTCATTTACCATTTTATGGTAATTTGCATCTCAATAATATTCAATTCAATTCAAAAATACTTTATTAATCCCAGAGGGAAATTGATTGCTGTAGTAGCTCAGAGTAATAATAATAATCAAGTCATCAAAGAGTTATTGTATATTACAATGGCTGTTGGCAGGAAGGATCTCCAGTAGTGGTCAGTGTTGCAGCCAAACTGAAGAAGCCTCTGACTGAAGACACTCTTCCATTGTCGGACAGTCTTGTGAAGAGGATGCTTGTCCATCATTTTCTTGATTCTCTGGAGAATCCTTCTATGCATTATCTCCTCCAGTGGTTCTGAAACTGCCGAAACTCTGGCTGAGTCCTTGAAAGGTCTTGGAGTTCCTCCATCTTGTTGGCCAGTGATCTCACATTGCCCATTATGATCGATGGAAGAGATGGTTTGAATTTCCTCTTTCTCTGTCTCCGTTTTGCTCCCGCTCTGCACCCACGCTTCTTGTGTTTTAGCTCATTTGGGATTTGTGGCTTCAGTTGAGGTATTATTTCAGCCTTTCCAATGTTAATCAGCTGCTCCCGATTGTAAACCAGCTTGTTGCCATGGTTACGCATAATAACAAATGCTCAAAAAGTGAAAAAAGCTAAAAAAACAGCTGTAAAAATCCTCCAAGCTTCACAGCACCAGAAACAGAAAAGTAAAGTGTCCAAAAAATACAGTTTTTCTTGAGGAACTAGAAGAAAAAATGCCCAAGAAAAGGCAAAACTTACATATCGTCAACAGAGCTACTCCAACATGCAGCCACCCAGAGCAGCGCAGTTCCGGAAAAAAGATAGTATTGAATAGTATGCAACTTGACAATAGACATTACATTTATTTAAAGATAAATATTTTTGAGCCTCTCAGCATCTCTCCAAATATCATAGTTCATTCAGAGTATAATTGTATTAAAAATAACACTTGAAAGTACAGAGTTGTTTATAAAGAGGGTTTATTTTATAATGAAAAATAACAACAACCATAAAACTGATCCGATTTGTTTTTCACAAAAAACCTGGCATTTGGCGGCTTCGCAATCTAATATTAGCTTTCATTTGAATATTTTACCCATCTGTTGGATAACTTAGGAAAGTAAACAATGTTATATATGTCCTTTAATTGTTGGGATTGAAGAGATTAAAACTAAAACTTTTTTAACACTTGTATAATTAGTTGTGCTCCAATAAAGGCCTTACGTCAGTCAAAAGGCAAATATGAGGTATTAAATGCATCATTTAACTTATGATTCTACAAACATTTCTGTAGCTAAAGCATACGACCTTGTTCTATCTAGCTGCAATTCAATCTGCTTTAAAAGTGAATAATAAGCTTGCATGTTTGCCAGTACTGCTACATTTTGCACAGCTTCTTACTGATCCAGGGAGATAAATGAAAAGCATTGGATTTTATCTATACAACAAATGTGTCACTAAACAGAACTGAAACATTTATACTCTTTCACTTTCCCTGGTCTTACTAAAGTGCAAACGACCCTCCAAACAGTTGCAAAGAGAAGGGTAATTGCCAATGTTTTGTCCCCAAATGACAATAACTTCATATTGCATACGCAAACTGTCCACCAACTCATTCAAAACTGAAAGTCATAACACAATAATGTACAAAATCTTCCTCTGCTGAAATGTTCAATACTTTTTTTTACTCTCTCACACAATTTGATTAATTTTAGAATTAAAACATCTAAGAAACCGGGAATAAACATTCCAGTTAGAAAGGGAATAAACACAGAGGAATAGAAATCCTACACACATATTTAAGAAAGTCACGTAAAATTAAACCAAGTTAAAGTTAAAAAGTAGTTCACAATTTTGGCAAAATAGGCAATTGGCAAATTTGACAGAAACCAGTCAGTCAGAGTGCACACTGTGGTTAAAAAAACAAAAAAAAAACAGCATATTAATGCTTCATGTTGGGGGGAGTGATTATCCACTGAGAAACACCAGAGTGGTGATTGTCCCAAAGCTCGGGGGCAGCATCAGGAGTCCAGGGTAGCTCTGATGAAGATCAAAAACCATCAGAAAAGGAAAACATTCACGTCTAAAGAAGGAATTAAACGACGATGCCGTTATTTACCGAGACAAACATATATATCTTAAACCAGTGGGACCAAATATGCAACACATCAGAGGAGTTAGCTTATAAAACTGCCTGTTTATCCCTCTCAGGCTCAAATAAGTTTTGATAAAAGGACTAACAACTAAGTCCTTCAGCGGTACTTCTGAGTGAAAAATGCTCATGAAATACGTGTGTGGAGTAACCAGGTAGGTAGAATTTAACATTGCAAATCTGCAACACCTGCCTCCAGAGGGTTCATTGTAACTTATGAGTTAAATGGAGCATGCAGGATAACTGAATATGCATCACTGCTCCAACTCCTAGCGTTCATTTAATGTGTCATTTTCTTCATTTCTAAAAAATAAAATATTTTCTTCAACCTCAACTCAGTCTGCATCTGTGGTGCTGCGTTCAAATTCCCAAAAGGACAAACGACGAGTGGAGAATCCTCCCAAAAGGACGTCGCCACTAGACCTGGAAGACATTGATCTTGCTGGTGTTTTTCAGCGTCTGTCGTCGGTTGCAGAACCACACCCGCACCACCTCTCTGTCATAGTTTAGCTCTCGTGCAATCTCTGTGATCTCCTGACCTGTGGGCAGAGCGTTCTTCTCAAAGTAGGAGTTAAGGACTTCTATGGCCTGAGGCGTGAAACTGGTACGCCGCTTGCGCTTCTTGGACGGTTCGCCACCGACAAACTCCATCAGGTTCTGCTGGCCCTTCTGGTTCCAGTGCTCGGCCTCGGCCAGCCACTTCTCCAGCACCGGCTTCAGCTTCTGAGCGCTCTTGGGGGTAATGTCCAGCTTTTCAAACCTGGAGTCAGAGAAAACTAACTTTGTGGTGTTTAACTTAATCTGGTTTACATTTATGTCCGTGTGTTTACCGATGGTTAAACGTGCGTGTTGTGTAAAAACTCTTTAAATAATAAAATATATCTTGCAAGAGAAGCTAATTTTACTGATCAACAGGGCATTAGCATTAGTGTTGTTGCTCTTTTTGAAACAGAAAAAGGGTGTAGTGCAGGGGTGTCAAACATGCGGCCCGCGGGCCGAATCCGGCCTGCAAGCGGGTTAAATCCGGCCCGCGAGATGGTTGTGTAAACTTCATTTTCATACTTTACAATGTAGAGTGAAAATAAACTTATCTTTGTGAGCAAGTTTTCTCTGTAATGAGTATAAATAAAACAAAGCTGCGCTCAAGGCCCACACAAGAACTTGAATCACATCGTGAAGTTGGCCGCCACTCAGGATGTGACTTCTGATGTTGATGTGCTGGTGAAAGCTAAAAGACGTAAAGTAAAATGAGTCAAATATACTTTAAGTGCTGCATGGAACTGATCTAGCCATGTGATCTGTAAGCTCTTTGAATCACTAAGGAATGTTTTTTTATTTGTTGATTTTTTTTTTTCAAATTTTCAAGTACACTTCAGGTGTTGTATAGGGCTGTCGCGGTAACCGCAAAAATGAAATATCGCAATATGAAGAAGCCCACCGCGCTGCATCATGGGCCACCGCGATTACTGAACTTGGTTCAACTCAATGATGCATGTTGAGAAGGATGGCTGCACTGGTATCAAAACGAAACGTCACTTCGCTCCTTTGGGAGCACTTTGGTTTTCAGTACGTCAGCTGCTGCGCAGCCAGGGTCCTTGGCCGAGACAGAGCTGCCACCAGCGGCAAAAATAAATAAATAAATGCTCGGAGACCTGCTGAAGTCCCGGACAAGCACTGCTTCTGCAACCGTCCCGAAGAGAGTTTGAGCCGAGCTGGAGCTCACTCGCTACCTGCAGGAGGAATGCATCCACCCTAAAGAAACCCCCCTGACATGGTGGAGCAACAACCGGGAGAGATTCCCTTTGCTCGCCAGTCGCACGCAGGTACGTGTGCGTTAGTGCAACGAGCGCACCATCCGAGAGGGTTTTCAGTGTTGCTGGAAATGTTGCCACCCCTCTCAGATCCTCTCTCAAACCGTATATGGTTAACATGCTGGTTTTCCTTGTGGGTAACAAGGACGTGACCGAGCTATAAATCACCGTCATTTGTGTGTGTGAAAGTGAAATGATAGTGCGCCCGCCCCCCGGCGCGCGCGCGCCCGGTACATGTAATTTTTTATGCTTGATTTTAAACAACTAAACAACATGTGGACTTGTTTCTTATTTGTTAGATGCTGCAGCCAAATTTGCATTTAAAAGTTTAACCTCCTGAATTTTGTTGTTTTTAAGTTCAGTCGGACTCCGACTGTCGGAGAAACAAACTATTTAGATTGTTCTTGTAGTACATTTGCGGTACCGCAGTAAGAGCGTCTGGCACCCACCTGTCCCTGTGTGTTTGTGATGATCTGTGTTGTTACTGCCCTTTGATCTGCATTCAGTAAAGTGTTATTAAAGAAGGCACGGCAATTTTTAACCTTTTTTAAATGTGTAAACATTATGTTTAGATAGTACTGCAATAAAAAAAAGAAGTGCTGCAATAATATCGCACACCGCAATATTAAGCCACCCTGAATCACCGCAGGAGGAATTCCTCAACCGCGACAGCCCTAGTGTTGTACTTGTACTACACTGTCCTCAGGCTCCAGCCTTGTTTTATATTGACTGTATTAATACAAAGAAAACAATCTGAAGTTCTTTTTTTTTAATTTACCGGTCCGGCCCACTTGGGACTAGATTTCCCTCAATGTGGCCCCTGAGCTAAAATGAGTTTGACACCCCTGGTGTAGTGAGATGATCTGTGCACCAGGACAAAAAGTGATTTACCTGCAGATGGCTGACTGGCTGTAGGCTGGCCCCTCTGTTGCAGTGAGGGCCTGCCCTACTTGTGTCTGCGTAAGACCCAAGGACAGCCGTCGGATCTTGAAATTCTTGGCGAACTCTCGAATTTCCTCCAAATTAATGCCTTCCTCGCTGCTGACTGTCTGCTGGGGTTCTGTGAGTGAGGCAAGTGTGGTTATAAATACCTACCTACTTTAAACCTGTTTGATGGAGGAGGAGGAGGAGGAGGACTACGTACTGCTGACGAGCTGGCCCACTTTCGCCATGTCTCCACAGGTGATGGGCGTTGCAGAGGAGAGCGTGGTCGGGCTCTTCAGTAAAGAAGGCTGTGGCGCAATGACCACCGGTGACTGCGTAACACTTGTTACTGAAGCCTGGGCGAGACAAACGGTGTTAGTCCTTAATACAACCTAAATGGGTTCAAAAGCATCACAACTAAAACATGTCAGAAGAAATTATAAAAGGTGTCCAAAAGGAATCCTTCTTGTGTAAATCCCATTGATAATTTGTGTCACTTTTCAGTGAACCTCTATCAAACCATTGTGCAGAAACTGTATGTTTGGCATTTTTGTGCGTCTCCAGGCTTTTACGTGGTCCACGTGACGAGGCAAGAATGATAAAATTACGAGTTCCGTTACATTAGCAATCAGTGAGTATTTAATGAGTATTTTTTTCCATTTTTGCACCAGAAATACTCAAACAGAGTTGTGTTTCCCTACCTGTGAGCTAGACTTGTTAAGTGTTGGGGGAGCTGATGTTTTAGGCAGAACTGAAGCAGAAGTTGCAACAGCTGCAGGTCCATTACCTACAGCTGCAATAATTTGGCCCTGGGTGTTGAAGAGCAGCTGTGGGGTGACGGTCTGGACCTGAAGACCCTGCAGGGGGAGAGCGGGAGCTGCTGCACCTGCGCCTAGAGAGGCTGGGTTCACCAGCAGTGGGAGGGTCCCGATGACCTGGAAACGTCAGGACAAGTCAAAATGTACCATGTGACCGAGTAAAACCAAAAGTGAATCTGAAGACTCGTCATAGTCAGGGTTTCGTGATGTCCCGTGTCTATGCCCAGGTAGATCAGCGCCGCTTCAGTGCGGCTTCTCACTGAGCCCACCAAAGCAGATTCATATTTTATGTCAGACACAATCAGCTCTGACCGTCAGAGGCTGTGATAAAGCGTGTTCACCACATGAAGCAGCAGCATGATTGCTGGCTCTTTAAGAAAATGCATGAGACTATTTAGATTTTTCTTGTAGTACATTTGCGGTACCGCAGTAAGAGCGTCTGGCACCCACCTGTCCCTGTGTGTTTGTGATGATCTGACTGGTGAGGCCAGCCATGCTGGTTATGGCACTGTTGATGATGGGAGAGGATGTGAGGGTACTGAGAAACTGAGGCTGCGCTCCCAAAGAGGCAGCGTTGATCTGAGCAAATAAATCACAGCATGTTCACTAAACACACGGGCCAAGCTGTAATGAGTTACACGCAGAAAGGAAAACAGATAGAACCCTACGATGGCCGGGTTGATGGACAGTCCCGCTGTCTGGAGTGCTGCTACTGATATGTTGGACTGAGAGATGGTGGAGGCTGCAGACGTGGCCGGAGCACCGGTGACCTGCGCGTTAGCGGCCTGCGTTTGCGGAGGTGGCAGCTGCTGTATGGGCTGGATGGAGGCCGTTTGGGGCTGGAAAACCGTCTGGGCACTGGTCTGCAGCTGAGGCTGGACTGAGTTCAGGACTGTTGCAGCTGAGAAAGACGAGACGCTGTCAGGTTAATCATTCACAAAGAACCAATGTTTTAACTTAGAATGAAGCTAAGCTGCTAGAACACATACTTTTGTTTTATTAGAACGTTTCTGATGACATTTTAAAGGATGCAAATGCAGCTCCTGCCCATAACATCGGCATCAGCTAAAGAGAAACGTTAAAGCTACTGTCAGTGGTATAAAGGTTGGTTTATGCTTGACGCGTCCGCGAGGTCCGCACGGCTCCGCGCGGAAAAGTTGCGTCATTTTAACAACCGCGCCCCTCCACCGCGTCTCCGCACGGCCCAAGATTTCCGCAACGCGCACCTCGGAAAATTTCTACCCACGCGGACGGACGGACGGACGCGGAAAAACATGGCGGACCGGCAAGAACTAGTATGGCAGAGGTTCGTAATTACAGACATTTGTACGATTCAGCTCTCAGAGATCACCGTGATCAACATGTTGTTAATAATTCTTGGAGAGAAATAGCTCGCACTGTCGGAAAAGACGAGGACGCTGTTAAAAATGCTGAAATGCCATGTTGTGAACAGTAATTTCTACTTCTACTATGGTGTAGTGTTGGATGCATGCCGTAGAGCTCCATGCTGCCCCCTACAGTTTGGGAGAATATTGGCTCACCGCAGAGACAAGCCGCACGAACCATAAACGCTGCGAGTTGTGAAGTGCGTTCCATCCGCGAGCCGCATCACCGCGCAGAAAGTGAATGTGACAAGCATAAACCAAGATTTAGGGAAACCGTGGTTATCATATAGCGGTGTCTCACTATCGCACTAGTGAACTAGTCCACGGAAGGCCTCTGCACTCACAGCCTTTATTGCTGGCGCTAGCTTTGATGTGAATCAGAAAAAAAAAAGGTGCTGCGTTTCATCTGATTAGTGCTTTACCTTGAAGGCCAGCAAAGGGAAGCTTGAGGAGGTTTCCGGCTGGGTTTGCTGCAGTGAGACCAGGGAGAGTAGCTACGTTGGTGGTGGGGAGGGTGAGGACAGCTAGGCCACCCTGGCCCCCGATGGAGCCAGCCATGTTGAGAGGGATGAGTAGAGGCTGACCCAGTGACCCCGTCTGAGCCATCATGCCGGTCATAAGAGAAGCTAGACCCTCCTGTGTCAGAACCTACAGGGAAAGAGGAACTCGTTCAATGAACGTTTATTGTTTGGATGTGCAGAAATTTGCATGAAGGAAGTGTGCAGTCAGCACCTGGGGACAGCCTTGTACCGCGATGGGCATGGCAGCGTGGGGCTGGGACAGGGACACGCTGATGGGAGCAGCAGGAGTCAGCGTTTGGACAGCAGAGACCGCAGCATCCACAGACGCCACCTGCTGCTCAGCCATCACTGTGGGAGCACAGCCGGCATTGATCCTTGCACATTCTCTTCACAGCTGTCAGTACTGTCAGGTTCATGTAATGAGTTGAATATTGTTGGTCTGATCATCCTTTACCTGCTTCCCCGGCTCTCTGGGGCACCACGGGGCTGCTCTGAGGGCTACTGGCCTCAGATTTCTCCGTAAACTGATCCACCACCTCCTCAGGTTTGTGCTCCGACTTCCCATCTTGTGCTGATGAAGGCAGAGAGGCATCCACCTCTACTTCTAGGACCCGAATAGTCTCGTGACCAGACATGACAATAACCTAGAGGGGTCAGGAACAAATCCTGAGATGCTTCAAATGTAAAACAGCCTGATAATTTGAACATAAGTGACCTCTGTGCATTTGTTTGCACAGTGGCGTGTCAAGATCTTTTAAAATGGGGTGGCCCAGGTGAGGCACAACTTTGTGCATGGGTGGCACCAATGGTTATGCCTTTTTTTTTTGTTTTACCCCCAAGCCTTTTGTGGCCAATGAAAAGCCCATTTAAAGGTAAATTAGTGTGGTGGCACCTGGGGTGGCCAATTAGATTCCAGGGGTGGCATGTGCTACCCCAGGCCACCCCCTGGACACGCCCCTGTGTTTGCAGACTTGTTTGAATAAAATGTGTTAAAAGCCTCTCAAGTCCAGGGGGTGTAAAGTAAAGTAACCCAAGTGTAATACTCCTTCCCCCTTTCCTGCGGAGTTTTAGCTGGTGATCAGATTCATAAAAAATAATAAAAGCGCTAGTTCAAAGGCTGAGCTGGAGGACGGGTACATGCAGGAAAAGAGTGACGAACCTGATGGTCCCTGGCAGGAAATGTCAATGTGCAGGATTTTAAATGGCTGAAAAAATACTTCTGCAGTCAGACAGTGAATGGCTAAGGAGGATAGAGAAGCCAGGCACATGTTAGGACAGGGCGACCCCCAACTAAACCGAACAACAGGATGAAACAAAAGATCCACCAGGTGAGCTGATGAGAACAGAAACAATGAAAAAAGCACATCAGCCAAACAAGAAACTCAAGCAGTGCTATCCTCAAGCTCAGCTCCATGCATCCACGAAGAGCATTGCCTTGGTTCGCTGACGATGTCTAAAGGTTAGTTAGCGTGAAGCAGCTAGCGTCAAGCAGGAACACACAAGTTGGTCCAGATCACACAAAACACTCTCCTGTGATGGAGGAGGTTCATACATGAGGAGAGAGGAAGGTAGGAGAAGCAAAACCCAGACGAGAACTTTAGGCTAGATGTCTGTTAGAGGAGGCTCCATGTTCTCTGAGGAACATAGGAGTGGTACCTGCTCATTGACGGTGAGTGGAGCATCCTGGGAGTTCATGGCTCTCTGTACCACCACAGTCACGGGCTACCTGGCATTCTGGGAACACAGATACTGGTTTTGCAAATGCAGTCGTTGCAATCACTGGTGCCATTTACTGGGGATCAAAAGGGGCCAATCGGGCAAATGGCTACCTTATAAGTTGGCTGGCCCACCACTCTAGCCCCCTTTGGCCAGAAAGTCTAGTGTGAATATCTATCTATCATCTATCTATCTATCTATCTATCTATCTATCTATCTATCTATCTATCTATCTATGTAATTATACAGAGGACGTCTGTTATTGAGAAATCAAAGCAGGTTTCTATCGGAAATAGACTCCCCCATGTTGCAGCAGACAGTTTTCACATAAACTATTTACGACAATAACAAAATAAAACTACAAAAATGATCTTTTGGGTTTGAGCCAAAGATGATCGATGGCCCCCATCTGGCCACGGGCCCCCTTTTCCTCCTAGTTATTATGAATAAGAATGCTGACCGTAGTGGGGCATTTCTTTAATTTGAGGATATTTCTGTCATTTCAGGAGCAGATTTTCTTTAGAGGGGCCTAAACAGGCCGTGTGATGGTTCACTCCGGCTGCAAATCCATAAATAAACAGAGAAACTAAACTTGATCGTTATGTTCGGCAGCTGATCACAAATTCAGCGCAGATCCTGAGGAAGACGCGTTTCCTGCAGCAGCAAAGCCCCGTGAGAAATAAGGATCTGTCAAACTTCAGCTGGGGTGGGTGGGGGTGCATAGATATAGCACCCCCACCCCCATTCTGCCCAATAAAAAGCCACTTTTCCGGACAAGCACCGAGCACAGCCCACGGAAACCGTGTCAACTCCCGCAGAGACCGAATATTATGCATTTCTCGCTCTTTATCATAAATATATAAATTATGCTAATTACGAGCATTGCATATTAACCGAAACTCATTTCCTCTCGCCATTTCGCTGCTACGCGCACGCAACGCAGCCCTGAACCCCGTCCGGGTATTTTAGACAACTTACCGTGAAAATGCTGCCTATTTTCCGCAATCTGGCGCTTTTGAAGAGGTCCTTGGCACAGTTTGTTTCAGTCACACATAATTAGAAATTCAACTCAGCTCCCAGACAGGCGCTGTGGCTGCACACAAAAGAGAGGTATTTGCATTGATAAGAAGGGCTGCAGCGTTAGGATCTCCCGTCTCTTAATATTTAATGACGAAACCCCTTCTGCTACAGTTCGGCGCGTCACGAACCCTCCAGGTGCCCCCCGGATCCCCCCCGGAGCTGCGAAGTCCGGTAAAATTGCCTCAATATTGTCCTTTTGCACTACGTCATGAACATAATTTATGCAAGAAAAAAATCTTGCATTGAAAAATGTCTGCCTCGACTTGAGCGGTGCCATGGTTCTCTTAAAGGGGCCGCAGCCCGAGCAGGGGCGCAGCCGCCGTCACGGAAATACACATTTATTATGTTTTTTTCCACAATGCGCCAAGCTTGTGTTACAACTAGAGCCTGAAAGACTGGTTAATGAATTCATAATCCGTTAAAAATTAACAGTATTCTTTTAAAATCTGCTTGGGCTTGCTCTTCTGTATGTAGCAGAGGTGTGGACTCGAGTCACATGACTTGAATTCGAGTCATTATTTTAATGACTTCTGACATGACTTGATAAAGTCTATAAAGACTTACGACTTGACTCGGACTCGACGCCAATGACTTGCGACTTGAATCGACTTGCATCTGTTGACTTGATGCTGACTTGAGCATTTTTGATATTTTAGCACGAAAGTGGCGCGACATGGACGAAAATTATAAATCATTCTTCGTTCTGGGTGTGATCTTGTACGGCTAAATGCAGCAGCACGAATAAATGAAGCTTTAAGAAGCTTTATTTCTGGAATTTATTTATTATCATTGTCATTAAATCAAAGCTGGACAGATGACTTGATTATGACTTGAAAATTCAAAGTTAAGGACTTGGACTCGACTCGGACTTCACTCATTGACTGGAAAGACATGTGACTTGCTTTTCACTTGCAAAGAAGTGACTTGTCCACACCTCTGGTATTTAGGCCATCATAGACATAAGCATTTATACAGCTATATTTATTCCCCACACTCTAGAATTTCTAATTATAACATATAACATCAAAATAGTAAAGTATTTATAATATAACAGAGTATGATATAATAGTATTTCCTTTAATCCGCCAAGCAGAACATTTCTGCTACAACTTTTTTGTGATTTTTGGGTTTTCTGTGTATTTGTGAAAACTTTTGTTGTTTTTGCTCAAATAAGTTTTACTCAGAAATAAATTAATGCTAATAATATGTTTTTATGGCGTACCATTTGTGTATTTAATCAGTGTTCCTGAACATTCTTTAGTTCCCATCTGCCACGCACTAGTTAGACATTTAGTCACGTTGGGATGTTTTAGCTCTTTTGTGTTAGAGAAAAACAACTTTAGCTTAGACAAAAGTGATACTATTAAAAGTTTATTCAACAAGTGTCAGACAGTGTTTTTAACTAGTTGTGTAAAATAAGACAAGATTTCATAGATCCGAATAAATACACTTTCAATAATTAACTGTCTAAATAACTTATCAACTAACAGCATCAGAAATGTGTTGTGTCATCTTCTCGGTGATTAAAACATTTGCTGCTAATAGCTGGTTGCTATGTTGTGTGTGTGTGTGTGTGTGTGTGTGTGTGTGTGTGTGTGTGTGTGTGTGTGTGTGTGTGTGTGTGTGTGTGTGTGTGTGTGTGTGTGTGTGTGTGTGTGTGAGGAATTCCCCCTGCGGTGAGTCAGGGCAGCTCAATATTGCGATATGCGATATTATTGCACCCCGTTTTTATTAATGTACTTAGCAAATTTGTTTGTTAATTACTAAACTCATGGCAATATTTCCTTTGAAAAATTGTGCTTACACATTTAAAAATGTTAGAAAAAAATACATGGCCATTTTTAACACTTTATTGAATGCAGATCAAAGGGCAGTAACGGCATTCTCTGACTGAACTTAAAAACAACATTCAGGAGGTTTAACTTTGAAATGCAAATTTGGCTGCAACATCTAACAGAAATAAAAAAAAAGTGCCCTACTATCTCCTCGATCAGCGCGGACTTTACCTCTCAGCATGCGCTGTCGCGAGATTTAATCAAGTGCGGTAATTGCGGTGGCACGTCATGCAGCGCGGTGGGTTTCTTAATATCGTGATATATTGTTCTTGCGATTATTGCGACAGCCCTAGTGTGTGTGTGTGTGTGTGTGTGTGTGTGTGTGTGTGTGTGTGTGTGTGTGTGTGTGTGTGTGTGTGTGTGTGTGTCACAAAATTAGTTTAATAAACATACTGGTTAGATATACTGACAATCATAGTGACTACGTCTAAATAAATAGCACTGAAAAGGAAAACTGTGGGAGCTGTGCAATGGCATATATTTCTTGATCATCCCAGAACTCCTGCTGCTGGGAACATTCTCAGATGTAAAGAGAGCCAGAGATCGGTGAACAGAGGTGAAGACAGGATCCACATCCACTGCAGAGATCACCACATCAGAGCTCTCCTCAGTTAAACACACTGAGACTCGTCAGATAATCAGCAACTTGTTATGTTGATGAACTGATCCCATGAGCAGTTTCTCACTCAGCAAACACGTCTGCGTTGCACTGATAGCACAGGAAATATAAAAAAATACAGTGAATCTCACACGTCCAGCTGAGAGTGAGCATTTCGCAGCAGCAGACCATCATCCACCCCCACATGAGGCTGTAGGCAAAATCTGAAAACAATGAACATGCAGTAACAAGTATTAAAAAACTATATCGTAATATTGTAGTCAGTGTTGGGAGTAACGTGGTACAAAAGTAATTAATTACTGTAATGCATTGCTTTTTGCTGTAATGTGTTAAAGTAAGGCATTACAGGGAAAGAAAAACATTTACTCGGTACAATTGTCAGTAACGCGGTAATTACAATGCTTTTTTAAACCCAGAATCAGTTCAAATTGCGGGAAGCCTGAAAAAAGATCCAGTATCTACATATATGACGTCATTTATGGACTCAGCTTTGCGGGCGTTCTATGAGCAGAGAGGACGCAGCGGTAATGGCTCAAATACTCCAGCTGCGTCCTGCGCGCGGCCGCTGTTATATTCACAAAATCGCTCCACCAAAACCAGTGGCGTGTCCAGATCTTTTAAAATGGGGTGGCCCAGTTGAGGGACAACTTTGTGCATGGGTGGCACCAATGGTTATGCTTTTTTTGTTTTACCCCCAAGCCTTTTGTGGACAATGAAAAGCCTATTTAAAGGTAAATTAGTGTGATGGCACCTGGGGTGGCCAATCAGATTCCAAGGGTGGCATGTGCTACCCCAGGCCACTCCCTGGACACGCCTCTTACCAAAACAAAGTAATTCGTGTGCGATCGTTTATATCAGTCCATATTCTCTGGTACTTCATGTACTTTTCAGCTGACTTCATAATCTGTGCCCCGGTGATTTCAACTTATTGCTGCTGGAGCGCAACGAATATTAAGCTTTTTTTTTTTAAAAATTTATTTTATTTTTTTGTGGGTTTGGTAGATCCCTTTGGCTGATTAGTTAGAAAGTAAGAAATTTAGGGAACAGTTTTTCTGGAAGACGGAGAAAACATGCAGCATGCAGGAAGGTTAGAGAGAAAAAGGGCAGGAAATTATTCAAATAAAATCAAGAAAACAAAACAAAGTGCTTCAAAAGAAAAAAGTAGGTAGATTTATCCCCAATACACATTTTTACCAGTGAAAAGCAATAATATATAAGCATTTAATATTTATACATGTGATAGAATCAGATCACCCCAGAAGTCAGTCCCACATCCAGGGCCGTATCAAGGCATTTGGGGACCAAGGCAAATATAGGCTTGGAGCCCCCACCACCTCACTCCCTGCTCAGTTAATATAAGATGGCAGCGTGCTGAGAGTACAGATTGTTGTTGCTTTTATTTAATAAACAATAATTTTAAAGCACTGTTATTATATCTGACTGTTTTTAACAGCAACCCTAGCTAGCTCAGACACATCGACATACATATATGGACAATGGGTTTCCATAGACTTGCTCTTGCATTGTGGGGGCTTGCTCAGACACCACATCACTTTCCACATATATGTCATGAGCTCACTGAGCGTCAGATTACCAGATTCATATTGAAGTTGTATTGTTGAAAGTAACTTAAAGTAGTTCAAAAGTAGTTTAATGCCTTACATTTTAAAATCAGTAATATTGTAATGTAATGAATTACTTTAAAATGAGGGTAACAAGTAATAGATAATGCATTACAGTATTGAAGTAACTTGCCCAACACTGATTGTAGTACGCACTTAAGTATTAATTTCATTTTACGTTTAGCTAATATTTAGGGGGTTTTGTGGTCTTTTCATGTTCCTTTAAAACCAATTCTCATTTCCTCCAGAAGGGGGCGCGCGCGTGCAGGTGAAACTGAGCGTGCGTCCGACCGCAGATAAAGAACGGGTGACGTAACCACTTCCACAACAACAAGAAGCTGAGAAACAAGGAAGTGTCAAGCCGTAAGCTATTATAAGGCCGAGACAAGATACACAAAGCGCCGTTTAATCTGATGTTCCTCAGCCTCCGAATCAGTCCACAACAATGAATAACAAAGGTATTTCTCCGTCGTGTGTTTCATTTTCCAGCTAGCTACTCGTTACTTGACGTTGGCGTTGTAAGGAAAGACGAGGAGCTCGCGTTGTGGCCAACTGAAGCTACGTACATAACAATAAACTGACGCACACTCCGAACCGAGCTGTCTTGGATATTGCTAACGTCGGATGTCCGAATTTAGTTTCACATTTTGTTATTTGACCAAAACGGGCCGGTCAGATGTGTTCCAGCAAGCTAACGTGATTATAAAAGCAAATCTGACATGGCTTTCCTGTTTTTGTTGGGGAGGGGGGGAGTTCTTGTTAACAAAGAACATCCCGGTTACATTTATGTTTTTAGACCTGTTCGGCGCAAAAATGCACCAGGTTGTTTATTTCTTCTTTTGTTTGTCTTATTTGAGCTTAGATTGTCTTTTTGTAGCATGACATCTTTGTTCGTGGCTAATGCTAATGACATTTCATGATATTTTTCTTACTGAATTAATTGTTTCACTAAAGCTAAAATAGAAGCAGACATTTTATTCAAACTGTAATGCGCGATGGTCGATTTGTCATGTTGGAAAGACAAAGAAAATGTAAAATTCACATTTGTTTACTAACCACCAGGCTTTTGTGCGTTGTGTTAATCAGATTCGGCTTTATAATAAAATCTTCCATTTACATTTTATTAATTTCTAATCCGTTCACTTGTGTTTTTACAAGTAATAAATTTTTACCCTTTGCTTATACTGTCTGGGCTGAGAAAAGTGATTATGTCTAGTTTCCTGGTATTGTTTGCCATACAATGCACTCAAAACAAAACTAGAAACTCTCTTGGCAGTGACAGACTTGCTACAGTCATCACATAGTTTGTTATAATTATGCACAACAGTTTCAGTTGCTTAAATAGATCCCCCCTGATGATATTAAATAACATGTTTCCATCAATATTTAAACATTGTTCTTTCTTTTACTGCCGCCAAATGTTGGACCTAAAGACACTTTGTGTCAAAATCTGGTTTTTGTTCTTTTGTCTGTAAAATGTAGAAACGTTCAAAGTTGTACCCGAAAAAGACCAACGTTAGCTTCAGTATACAAGACATTGGGATTTTCTGTAACGTGTACCACTCGGTAGTTGCGTTCACATCAGTAATAATTTCATGTATTTAGCTGTAAATGTAATCAGCTCCCTCCCATCTCCACTCAGAAGCAGCATCAGTTTATTTATGATGATGATGATGATTGAGAAGAAGTACTTGCAGCTTAATGTTAGTAGTCAAAGTCATTAGTAATAATCAGGGATGTGTATTTTTGTAATTCTGGCTAGGGCTGCTCAATTAATCGAATTTTAATCACGATTACGATCTGAGTTTTGAACGATTATAAAAAACAAAACAAGCCGATTATTAGCTCCTCCCGCCTGCGCTGCCCCGAGTTGCAAATGAAGCGCTCCTCCCACAGTGTTGCCAACTTTGTGACTTTGACGCTATTTCTAGCAGCTTTTCAGACCCCCTTCTTGACTTTTTAAAACTTAAAAGTACCTAACGAACACCTGAGAAACATCTCTGGTAACCCTTAGCTACTTTCTGGATAACTGTCGTCGACGTTTCCTGCAGGTTAGCTAAACACTCCGCCTGCGCACCGGACCGTTCTTCAGGACATTAGGAAAGGGAATGATGTAGTGATGTGTCAGTCGCTAAAGACAGCTCTCGGAGCCGGCTCCCTGTTGGACTAACCAGAGTGAGTGACACACACCGCACCTGCGGACTCCTGAGCCACTAAAAACGGCTAAATGTGCGTGTGCGGCGCGCTAAACACACGTGCAGCTTGCCCTGCCCGGATTGCTGTGAGACCGGGTTGGGGGGGGTGCAGCTGTGGTTGGGACAATTATTACATTAACTGATGGACTTGTAAATAAATAGTTTATAAATAAGGTAGAAATAAGTTCCTCACGCTGATAAATAATAACTAATCTCTCTGAGGACACGGTGCTAGTGCACGCTCCTACAGCACCTTGACACGACTCAATAAATGTTATGCAACATTTAGTGAACATCAATTTGCATGTATTTGTTATAAATGCCACTGTATAATTCTTGCTGTCAGTATTAGCAGGATATTGGTATTTGGGTCTGTACTGGTTAGACTTAAATGAGTTAAACCAAGGTCTATAGCCCTTGGGTCATAAACTATGAGCTATAAGTATATTGGTCTTTTTATACTGGGAATAAGGAGTTGTTTTAGTGATTATCTTGTTTCTTATTTTTGTCCTGATTGTGCCCTGAGCAATTTTATGACTGAATAAAAACAAATAAAATCAATATAAATTGAAAAATCGTCCTAAATAATCGTGATCTCAATTTCAGTCACCATAATCGTGATAATTATTTTTGCCATAATCGAGCAGCCCTAATTCTGGCGATACGATACATATCACGATACAGGGGAGACGATACGATGTATCCTGATATATTGCGATACATTCAGTCAGACGTTACAAGCTATTTTTTACTGAATTTATTATAAGCATGTTCAATAAACAGTCAAAACTGATATGTAACATGTTTAACATGAGGTATCTGAACCATGATGGAGGGATTTACAGTTCAATGGTGGAAACAAAACCCGTTGCACACTGCTGCCAACTAGCGGGTGGCGATTGAATTGCACAAAACGAAAAGAAAATACACAAATGTTTGCATGTTTGCATTCTTTCAAGAATTAGATACACGGCTTTTGAATATCAATGTAATAATCACAGGAAAAAATATCACGATATTTGCCATATCGATATTTCCGATATGCGGCTTTTGAATATCGATATAATGTTGCTGGAAAAATATCGCGATATATTGCCATATCGATATTTCTGATACACAGCTTTTGAATATCGATATAATATTGCTGCGAAAAATATCACGATATATTGCCATATCGATATTTTCTTACATCCCTAGTAATAATGAAACGGTTCTCATCCCATAATTCTTCAGCTGTGCGTGTTTAAAAGTGAAATGTTGTTTTGCAGGCTCATACCCACAGCAGGCTGTGTACCCTCAGCAGAGCTCTGCACCTGTATACCCTCCTGCTATGCAAATGTCTCCTCAGGCACCTCCATACTCAGACACACCACCTGCATATTCTGAGGTAACGCTTGCATCTACAGGTCAAGCCTAGATTAGCTTTTTTTTTTTAGTATTCTTCAATTAAATCTGTTTCCCGTGTCTTTGTATGCAGATATACCAGCCCAGATACGTGCTTCCACCTCAGGTGCCTGGTCAGGTGCCTCAGATGTCCTCTCCCTACCCTGGTGCTCAGGTGTACATGCCCATGCAGCCACACATGCCCGTTGGTCCGGTGGGCCAGAACGTTCCCATGGCTTACTATCACATGGGAGCTGTTTACCCCCCTGGTTCAACAGTGATGGTGGACGGTGGCTTTGATGCTGGAGCTCGTTTCACAGCTGGCAGCAGTGTTTCCATCCCAGTGAGTACGGAGTGACTTAACCTGTAGCCAAGGCCTTTGTAACTCTTAACCTGCCACTGAGCTCGTTTCTCCTCTTCTCTAGCCCCCACCCCCTGGACACCCCCCTAATGCAGCTCAGCTGGCTGCCATGCAGGGTGCCAATGTTGTCATGACACAGCGCAAGAACAACTTCTTCCTGGGCGGATCCAGTGGAGGTTATACCATCTGGTAACAGCAGCTACTCCCCTCCTTGTTTATGCCTAAACCGTACCCCCGTCCCAGATGATTCCCCAGACCCTCCCTTACTCCATACGCCTTCCTCTTCAGGCTGCTTGGCCATGCCACAATACTGATATCACCTAATGGAATGTAATATTTTAGAGCCCTTTGTGAAAGGTACAGTACTCCACTTCTGACCTAGAGATGACCGTCGCCGCTTGGAGAGGACAAAACGCTGATTTTAAATGTTGTGATACTTCCTGTAATCTTGCATTTGACCGAATCTCTTAAATCATTCCAGATTGGACTTCTTTCAGGCATCTGTTCAGGAGACCCGTTCTTCTTTGATCAAATGGCCACAAATGGCACTGAGATGTCCTCTTCTTCCTGTAAAACCCACAGAGTCAGAACACCAGACCTGCATTACCTAGTTTAGCTGCTTTATGGTGAAAGTGAAACGCAAAGTTGCAAAGTTGCAGTCAAATAAAAAGAACTCTCCACCTGTCTTTTTTTAAATATTTAGTGTAGTTGAATTAATCGGTGTGCAATAGTTAAATGTGTAAATACCAGTAGGATGGTCATGAGACGCCACATCTCAGCTCTATAAGAAAAAAACAAAAGATTTGGCATCCTTGATGCTTTTAGTTAGAACTGTCTTGTCTTTTGCACAGTGTCAAAAAGAAAACCACATCAAATTTGTTGCACAGTGAACGGTCTGAGAGACCGTTCCGTTTGAATCAGCTGTAAATTAAATAAATTCAATTTAAAGCAAAAGAAAACAAGTTTAATAGATTTAATGCAATATCTTAAGTGGTTTACTGTACCTTGTCGGGCAACTTGTAGATGAACATAGTCAAGTGCCAAAGAGCACTGGGGATAGCCCTGAATCGAAGCAAATTAACTTCAGTAAACTTAAAGGAAAGAAGTTCAAAGTAAATCCAAATAGTAAGATGAGGGTAAGGGTGGTTGGTGTAACATTTGAGCTTCTTATGCATCCTGTTTCTGTTTCACAGTCGGATACCCAGAGTTTTATCACTAAATGTTTATTGTACAGATTTTCAGAGCTACGTTTTTATTTCCTGTCGCTATATCATTTAGTATCAACCACGTTTCTTCAGAAAATGGCCGCCTTCAGAGGAAAAAGAATCATGTTTTCTTTTCTAAGTTCTTGTGAACATCACAGGAATTCACATGAGTAGTTAGGCTAATAAATTTGATAGTATAACCAATGAGCTGGTTGTACCAAAGATCATTTAAGCATCACCGTTTTAAAGCCGACTTATCCTGGATCCAGATGTTGTGACGCCGTTGGCTCCTGGAGCCTTCGGTCCACCGTGACGGCCATCGTTAAAGTGTTTGTGTCTGTGTGTGAGTCACCGCCATCTTTGAGTTGTTGTGTACTTTAGCTGCAATGTTCCTTTTCTCTGAAATGCACTGCTGAGCAGACGAGGGTCCACTTTCTTTCTGCATCCTGTTAAATTAAAAAAATGGTTTTTTTTTTTTTTGAGAAAGCTGTGAAATTCCACAATCTTAGATTTTTAAGCACATCTAGTCCATATTAAAGCACCGTAGCGATGCACCGTGTTGGTAACTCGCCTGGGGGAGCGAACACCTTTAAGAGTCTTTACGTGAAACTGCATCTAGCAAACCCAAACGAAGTGTTTGATTCTGACGGAGCTATCGGTGTGGCTACCATCATCTCGATATTTGTGAGTGTTTATCGTCGTGCTGTGAGAGTGTCACTGGGTATCCGACACATCATTAGAACTTTTAATAGCTGTGGCTGTAGCTAAACACAAAGGTTGGTGTGTTTTTTTAAGGCCACCTGTTTGGATTGATGATAAACATCTGCTGCGCACACAGGAGCTAACACATCAAATGTGACAAACATCTGGTGCAGCAGCTTTTATTTTGAAAAGCACATAAGGTTTTTTTTTAAACAAACGTGTTTTTATTCATTCATTCAATCATTCGTACTCCAGCCGCCACGTCATACCGCTCAGCTGGAGGGACACGAAGGCCACAGCTATCAAGAGTCCAGAGTAAACCAAACGTGTTTCTGGTTGTTCATCAGCGTAACGGCGGCTTCGTACAGCTGAGCAGTAGATGCTATGCCAACCACAGCAAGCAAATGGAACACACTGTTGAAGGATTATGGACATTTAAAGTTCAGGGATTCTCTTTACAACATTTTGTAGAACGGATGTACGTACTAAAGTGATGAGATGGACTTTGGTACGCATTCTATCTTTTAAGATTACTAAAGGAGATGAGTGTCACTACAGTTTGCTGAGAAATGTCAAAGATGAAATACTTTGGAAAAAAAGAACTTAGGTGCACTTAACTTTTTTATACTAAACTTAAAATTTAAAATGTAAGTTTAGAATAAAGGTTATTTTGGAAATTTGAACCGGGGTGAGTTTGTTATTTTCTGCACACGTAGGTTTTGGTGGAGCCGTGCGTCTCGTCCCGTGGTCGTGGATAACCTCTGAGGGTTTAGTGTCTGTATATCTACCTGTTTGCTTTTCCTTTTTAAGGCTAGACACTGTCGAAGGGAAATGATGGTTTAAAAACACATGTCTGTTTTTCAAAAACATGAATGCAGTGTAAAACAATTTAATTAAAGGTCTAACATTCCTTAAAGAACCATTGCTTGGTTCTTATCTAAACAGCGTAGTAAAGATTTGTTTGTTTTTTTTAAGCTGACCAGTTTCGGCTAACGCCGTAGCCTTCCTCAGAGCGCCGCTACCAAGCAATGGAGTTTGATGGATCACAGAACAAACATACCAAAGAGCAGTGGCGGATTTAGCTATTTGGGGGCCCAAGGTGAACACCGACACGGGGGCCCGCTTACACGAACTTTTCAACAATCTTACCTTTAACTGGATTTGCGAAACTCCACCCTCTTCTGACATGAGTCATTTTCACATTTTATTAATCCTCTTTTTTCCTGTCTTTCTCTCCCTTTGAGTGCTTTCAATATTTGCTCTGCTTTCTCCTCCTGTGCTTTTACCTTTTTTTCTTCCATTTTCCATTTTGGTCTATGTTTTCCTCCCTTTAAACATTTTCCATTGTCTTTCCTTTCTGCTTCCTTTTGATGTTTACATTAAAAAACGACGTCACTTTCAGAAGTGAAAATAAAAGCTGTTATGAAGCATGCTGCTTCTTTCTTATTGGAGCCACTGGGATAACTCCATTTCATGCTTCATGTTTTGACTACCGCTTCGACTTTGTTACGAACGCTCCCGCCTCTCTTCTTCTTTTTCTGCTTTCTCTTTTTATCATTATTTGTGGTCTTATGGCACTTGGCAAACAACAATTTGGTGCATTCCCGCCACCAACTGGATTGGAGTGGATTGACCACCAATCACTTCCTGTTTGTGCATCGGCGTCTTAAAGGAATAGTCCATTGTGGCATTGAGAGAGGGTTACCGGTGGTCAGGGCTAGGGGGCCCCCAACACAAGGGGGCCCCAGGCGGCCGCCGACCTATGCCTAATGGTAAAACCGCCACTGTCAGAGGAAAAATAGTTCAGATACATGGAAGTGGCTGCCTGGTCCCAAGCAGATGTTTCACTATTTGTTGGCGTTTCGGTGCTTAATGTGAATGAAACTCTGCTTAAATGGCACCAAATTTTAGCTCAAGATCTGTGAAACTGACTGCGTTAGCTGCTTTTGTGTTCCAATCAGCTGGGGCAGCCATCTTGAATTGGGTTAACATCCCATGATGATCACTTCCTGAGTTTTGTTGAAGTCCATCCTGTGGTTCCTGGAGACATTTAGCTAAAAGCAACTGCAGTTTGGAGTCATTTGCGATTCATGTAAACCTGGAAAGGAGACGAATCTAAACTTGATTTATTAGACGGTTTACTCACCTGTGCTGTTTGATTCCATGTAAACAAATTTCCTCCAGCTGACGGGGACAATCCTAATCTCAGTCTAATTTACTCTCTCAGATTTACATCATTTACACAAAACACCTTGAATGATAAAAAAATACTTTTAAAAATAACCCTAAATCTGTTGGATTAACAGCATCTAACAACCCTGTTGTTGTTGAACCACTCACTGGTTCATTGTGGTCATTGTGAAACGGAGAAGATCAGTTAGACTAATTACAGCACAGCTTACAATCACTTTAACATTTATTTTAGGACACGTCATGTTTGATGAGCTGGATGGTGAAAGACAAGGTTCATGTCCAAATGGAAGTAGAAGATGGGTCCATGTGTTCATAAACGGATGGACATGGACTCGGGTAGGCTGTGGGGTTTAAACCAGCCTTGGGTGACACTACGGGGTCCAGAGTGGGACAAGAACACCTCCCCCTCACCAGCAGCAGCAGGTTGTCTCCACCCCAGACAGCTAGATGAAATGAGCTGCTGCTATGTGATTGGCTGACAATGCAGGTAAATGGTTTTTCTTTTCTATTTGATGAATCATACATCTACTCATCATCTTTCCCAGTAAGGTCACAGGAAGTGTAGTCTCTAACTCCTGTCCTCATCGAGTGAGAGGTAGGAGACAGCCAGGACACGTCTCCAGTCCATTACAGGAGACAACCAGTTACACTCGCTCCTAGGGACAATTTAGTCTCCAGCTTACCGAGCATGCAAGCAGTTGGAGGAAACCCACATATACATGAGAACATGCCAGCCTGACATAGGATGCAGTCCGGATTTGAACCGGCAACCTTCTTGCTGCAAGGCAACAGGGTTATCAATTCAATCACCGTGCAGCTCTAAATTGTACATGATATAAAACAGTCTGTAGTCATGAGAGCAGCAGCAGCTCAGGAGGTAAAGCGGGTTGTCCAGAAATCAGAGGGCTCCAGGACTGATCCCGGCAGAGAACTCTGCTGTTGTGTCCTTGGGCAAGACACATAACCCACCTTACCTGCTGGTGCTCGGAGGGACTGGTGACGCCGGTACTCTGCAGCCTCGCCTGTCAGGGCAGCTGTGGCTACATTGTAGCTCATCACCGTCAGTGAGTGAATGTGTGTGTGTGAATGGATGAATGATACACTTGTGGTGTAAAGCGCTTTGGAGTCCCTACTCAGAAAGCCGCTACACAAATGCGGGTCATTCATCGTGAATACGATTCGAGCAAAAATCAGCAGGGAGACGAACATCCTGATGAAACAACGTCGCACTTTAATGACACGTCCAAAGACAAACTGTCACCTTCCATTAAAACCAAAGCAACCAGTAACCAGAACCTGGAAAAGGAATCCAGCAGTAACAAAAGCAGACAGCACAGAAAAGCCTTTTATAAAAAAATAAAAATAAAAAGTCCAATAAGTAACAGCGTGCATGTGGATGATAACGTCAGAGACGAATACGGTAAGACAACCTGAAACGTGGTTTAGTGTCACTAATAAAACAATGCTGCTGCTTCTCTCCTGATCTTGTTGCTGCAGCAGACGCGTTTAAAACTCCACCACCTGTTTCAGGACAGGCTCATCTATTCTGAAGCACAACAGTTGTTCTCCCGCATGCTTCGCATACACGCCCTGCTCCGGTCTTTGGTTTCACGTGCATTCCTACCATAGTCTTTTAAGATGGGGTTTGTGTAGCAGCCTCCCCTTTAAAACTGGATTCATACAAAAAGTCCCAAATCATCAGATCCTTAGTTTGTCTTTGCTTTTCTCTGATGCCGCCCACTCTTCCTGCAGGTTTATATGAAGTACTCCTTCTTCTCAGTGGCGGTCTGATTGCCGTCGTCCTCATCGCCGTCCTCTCCGGGAGCCAGCTCCCCCGTCGTCCTGTAGTCGCCCTTGTTGTGGCAGAGATACCGGTAGAGCAGGAAGCCCAGGACGGCTACGGTCAGCAGGATGACGACTACAACCACTAACACGATAAAGACAATGCATTTGGGTGTTTAGAACGTTAGGAGGAGAAACTTCTGGGGAGGAGCACGTACCTGCAATAACAGCAGAGTCTGGACCAGAGGGGGCTGCTGTGGTCACCGCTGGAGAAGGACAGATTTAAAGGAGATGCATGAAAGGGGAAAGGTCACAAGTTTCTTCTTCTGTGGTATGTGAGAGTGAGTTAGCCGACTACTACACAGGCCCGCACAGAGACGAACGGGAAGAAGCGTTACCCTGAATGATGGTGGTTCCTGCTGGTGTGGCGAACGGTGACGAAGCAGCCGGCTCTGGCGGCAAAACACAAACGCCCGTGTTAATCAGCACAAAGCTGCGTCTAAAGTGAATATCTGCTGTTAAAACACAGCAACTCACGTGCTGTCACACTGGTGTGTGTTGTCAGGTTCTTCATATCTGTCCCTGGAAGGTTAGAGCAGGATAAAAGTGTCACAGTTCCATCAGCACATGCTCGGCTTACTGGTGGAACAGCATATCCAACCAGTAATCTGATTACTTAGGACAGTACTGAAACAAACACGACCTGTTTATTCCATTTAGACTAAAATGTGGTTTAGATCAAAGATACAAACACAGATTTAAAGGTGACTGACAGAAACATTATCTGCATCATTTTAACAAGCAACACGTTGGATTACAATGTCGCTGAGCTTAAACTAAAAGCACCACAAATAGGAATTAATATCAGGAAGATTAGAGATAATCTTGATCTGAAAATATAATAAAGAACATTTCAATCTGTTTTTTTCCTCCAACTTTCTCTTGCAGCATCAGTCAGCAGCACTGCATGAGCTGAAACACAGATACTTTTATTTGAACTTAGAAGAAGAAAAGATCGTTTCTATAGCACCTCAAGATAAAAATCACGAGGCGCTTCACAAAAACAAAAAAATGTAAAAATATAAAAATTTAGAAAGTGGTTAAAAATTTATTTAAAATTAGCAAAAAATAGACAATTGTGATTAAAAAATGTTAAGAAAGAGAGAGTGAATAAGAGGGAAATCAGTGGATCCTGAGGAAGGTGGAATAGGTGGGGAGAGCAGAATAAAGAGAGAGAGGTGAAGAAGGTCATACAAAAGCCAGCTTGAACAAGTGAGTCTTCAGCTGCTTTTTAAAGGAGACCACTGAGTCCACTGATCTCAGGCTCAGGGGGAGAGAGGTCCAGAGTCTGGGGGCCACAGCAGCAAATGATCTGTCACCTTTGACCTTTAGCCTGGTGCTGCACAACCATTAAAACAATGATTTTTAAAAACAATACACTCTATAATAAAAGCAACTTAAGATAGATTAGAGCTGTGTGTGTGTGTGTGTGTGTGTGTGTGTGTGTGTGTGTGTGTGTGTGTGTGTGTGTGTGTGTGTGTGTGTGTGTATTTAGAGTCCTTTTAAAACCATTTATTTAAGTCTCCTTCACTTCTAAAATTAAATTAATTCATCTTAATATCTGGATAACGGAACAAGTTGGACACTACAGTGTAGAAGTCTGAAAATAGAAACATAATTACAGGATTTGTGGAGAAAACAAGCTCTGAAAATGAAAACCGACTTCATGCTTTCACCACACAACATCCTGGAGTCTTCAACTACATGTGTTCAAGGGCCAGCTGCTCTTTAAAATAAAGCATTATCGTATCTTAATTTATTAATACTGCTTTGATTATAGTTGTAGTTTTGTTTGGAGAATTTAAACAACTATTGATAAGTGGGACATGATTTTTGCTGCTAAACTTCAAAGTACCCCATTTGGGGGACTTAAGGGCCCGAAGGATTAGGGGGTCTGGTGGAAGGGTCTAGTGAGCTGGATGTGGCGGTCCTAGTTTAACTTGATCCACCAAATGGTAGCTTGTTATGACAATATGTCCTTTATTTAGTAACATAAATATTACTGATAAACCTTCAGCTCTGATGTGTTATTGTATAAGAACGGTGTTTAAATAGACCTGACTGGTGTACAGTGTAAAGGTGGTGTAAACTACAGATTAATTAGTAGATCCAAGTCCTAATAAACCAAAAAGAGATGTTAAAACATTTTCCAAGCCCTCATAAGAACTTACTGTTCATTGTTGGCGCTGGCTCTGTTATCTGTAAGAAACACAGATTAAGTATCAAAACAGCTGACTTGAATTTTTGTGTTGAAATCAGTCAACAAACATTTCCTGCTTCCCAGTTAAACCTCTTAGTGGAAAAAAACTGGTTTGAGCCAAACTTTCCCAGCCTGTCTCCATTAGTTTGTGTAAACTGCTGAACAAAAGCCTCTCCGGCTGAAAGCTTTACTGGTTTCCTAAAGCAGAAGCACCAATCAGCCATTGTTCCCAGCAGCTGCTTGGTGGCTCTTACCTGTAGACGCAGATCAGGGCGAGCTCGACCGAAACGACCGCGCTAACTTTAACACTTTAACTCAGTTTTAAACTCTGAGCCCACTCACACTCGGACCCTAACACCCGGACAGGACACCTACACACTCTGGGTGTTGTTTTCTGGCAGCACTCGTGAGTTCAGAGCGGAGGCGACACGCTCTCCATTTCCGCCCCTCCTTTTCCTCTTTAACCGCCTCAGAGATCGTCTCTGAGTAAGGAGGTCTGACTCACCCGGATGTTTAAGGTGCGATTTGATAGAAATGTTACTTAAAGAGCAAGTCACCCCCAAATAAACTTTTTTTTTTGCTGATAAACTAAATAAACGAGTGTCTAATCGTGCTGCAGACACGTGTAGTCAATTTGGCACTTCAGTGCATTTTTGTTAAAATTTTAATATTCTGCCTAAAACTGGCAGTGTTGTGCCGTTGTCAGGTAAAAACTCTGCACTGTATTTTAATCTAAATCTGCCACCGCTATTGGCTAAGAGGTATACTATGATTAAACTGGTACATTATGATGTCACAATGCTGTCGTGAGCCTGTGTGTGTGTGTGTATTTGTTAGCAGCTCCGCCCTCTCGGTCTGCCTGGCAACAGCATTTGTTGCATTTTTCAAACATGAAGTGGGAGTGGAGTTAGACTCTGGTAGGGGTTGACTTGCTCTTTAACAAGTATCTTACCTGTTCTAGATGGCTTTTCATACTACGGTAGCCCAGAAGGTTCAAGAACATACAAACGCTGCAACACACAACAATAAAGGTTACAACACAACAACAAAAGCCATCAATTAATTTCAGGTTTATTTACATAGCGCCAAATAACGACAAGCTTCGTCTCAATGCACTTCACACAGTAAACATTCCAATACAGTTCAGGCCAATCAGCAAAAAGTTTTCCATATAAGGAACTCAGCAGGTTGCATCGAGTCACTGACTAGTGTCAGAGTCTTTACAGCAATCCTCATACTAAGCAAGCATTTAGCGACAGTGGAGAGGAATACTCCCTTTTGACAGGAAGAAACCTCCAGAGGATCCTGGCTCAGTATAAGCAGCCATCCACCTCGACTCACTGAGGATGGAGAACACACACACACACACACACACACACACACACACACACACCTAAAATACGTGTTTGACCCCCTTTCGCCTTCAGAACTGCCTTAATTCTACGTGGCATTGATGCATCAAGGTGCTGAAAGCATTCTTTAGAAATGTTGGCCCATACTGATAGGGTAGCATCTTGCAGTTGATGGAGATGTGTGGGATGCACATCCAGGGCACGAAGCTCCCGCTCCACTACACCCCAAAGATGCTCTATCGGGTTGAGATCTGGTGACTGTGGGGGCCGTTGTAGTACAGAGAACTCATCGTCATGTTCAAGAAACCAATTTGAGATGACTGGAGCTTTATCACATGGTGCGTTATCCTGCTGGAAGTAGCAATCAGAGGATGGGTACATGGTGGTCATGAAGGGATGGACATGGTCAGAAACAATGCTCAGCTTGCCCGTGGCATTTAAACCATGCCCAATTGGCACTAAGGGGCCTAAAGTGTGCCAAGAAAACGTCCCCCACACCATTACACTACCACCACCAGCAGCCTGCACAGTGGTTACAAGGCATGATGGATCCATGTTCTCATTCTGTTTACGCCAAATTCTGACTCTACCATTTGGACGTCTCAACAGAAATCGAGACTCATCAGACCAGGCAACATTTTTCCAGTCTTCAACTGTCCGATGTTGGTGAGCCGGTGCAAATTGTGGCCTCTTTTTGCTATTTGTAGTGGAGATGAGTGGTAGCCGGTGGGGTCTTCTGCTGCTGTAGCCCATCCGCCTCAAGGCTGTGCGTGTTGTGGCTTCACAAATGCTTTGCTGCGTTCCTCGGTTGTAACGAGTGGTTATTCCAGTCAAAGTTGCTCTTCTATCAGCTTGAATCAGTCGGCCCATTCTCCTCTGACCTCTAGCATCAACAAGGCATTTTTGCCCACAGGACTGCTGCATACTGGATGTTTTTCCCTTTTCACACCATTCCTCGTAAACCATAGAAATGGTTGTGGGTGAAAATCCCATAGTAATGGAGCAGATTGTGAAATACTCAGACAGGCCTGTCTGGTACCAACAACCATGCCACGCTCAAAATAGCTTAAATCACTTTTCTTTCCCATTCTGATCTTCAGTTTGGAGTTCAGGAGATTGTCTTGACCAGGACCACACCCCTAAATGCACGGAAGCAACAGCCATGTGATTGGTTGATTAGATAATTGCATTAAGGAGAAGTTGAACAGGTGTTCCTAATAATCCTTTAGGTGAGTTTATATTTCAAATAGTGTTTCTATGGCTACATGGTGATTTCTTAGTAAATATTCTATTTAGTAAGAGATAAAATATTGTATTTATCTCAGTGAATCTATAATTAATTCAACAGGTAAACTAGTAGTAGCACGTGCCATGTCAAAGAGAGCAAAATGTTATCAGGAGAGGGAGAAGCCCAAGTGGCCAGCAGCAGTGCCCAAGCCGATAGCCCCCACCATGAGGCCACCATAACTCAGCAGAACACCGTTGCAACAGCAAAAGTCTCAACACACAACAATAAAAGTCTCAACACACAACAAAGGCCACAATACAACAAAAACAACAACAGCAAATGCCACAACACAACAACAAACACTGCAACACTCTATTTCATTGAACCTTCTGGGTCACCATGTAGAACAGCCTTGGTTTGGAGATATAGAGAACAGGGATGAGTTTAACTGAACAGACAAACTAAAAGCTAGTCACAATGGACCATTTATAGTATTTAGAAAAATTTCTAGCATCACAATTTTATGCAAATGATACATTATGACATTTACCTTTGCTTACATTTTACATATCATCTTTATTAGACATTTTATGAAATTCTAGACAGATGTGTTCATTCAGAGTACGCTCTGCAGCTAACGTCAGCTACCAAGTTTTAAAAAATAGCATCTGGATAAATTATTATGCATTCTTTTATTTTCTTTAGATTAGAGTTTAGATTAGAGATTAGAGAAGACGGCTCCCTGGTGAGGTTTTCGTCCAACGTCCAACTGGGAGGAGGCATAGGGAAGAGCCAGGGCAAGCTGGAGGGACCGTTGTCTCTTGGATGGCCAGGGAATGCCTTGGGTTCCACCCGGAGGGGTTGGCCCAAGTAGCTGGGGAGATGGAAGTCTGGGCCTCTCAGTTAATGCTGCTACCCCCGTGACCTGACTCTGGATTAGCGGCTGAAAATGTATGGATGGGTGGATGGATAGATTAGAGATGTAACAGCCCCACTGTGGTTATTTTGTCTGTCCAGTCAGAACATATCTCTGTGTTTCCTCCTCTAGTGGGAGATAGTTGAGAAGAGTTAAGAAGAAAACTCTGCATTTCAGATAAACACCTCACAGTCTGGCATGGTGGAAGCGATGTGATGGTCGGGGGCAGCTCTGCTGCTCCAGAACCTGAACTTGCTGTACCTGAAAGTGGAACAATATATTCTGATCTCTAAATAAGTTCTCTAAACAGGTCGTTCATGCAGGAAAACCCTCCCTTGTGGCTGATGTGTTCTGTGAAGAAGAGTAGAAGTGTTCATGAGTGGGTGTCCTGAGGATCAATTTAAAAACTATGGAGCTTTTTGTGTTATTAAATATAAAACAAACATTGTAGATTTATCTGAGTGGGAGTTCCTCTGTCGTGCTGAACTTCAATTTGCAAAGAAGAAAATGCAAATTTCAAATTAACTATATTTATTACTGGTGCACACATGTATTTGCGTCAATATGTTTATTCATCAATTATTAAAATAAACAAACAAGTTCAATTCAAATTAAATGCGTGTGTAATTTAACCAGAAATACTAACAGTGGACATTTAATTAGATTTGTAATGAGTACATATGTCAAACTAAGTCATTTGATTAATGTTTTACATTATTCATCTCCAGTTACGTTAAGTGCGTAAATACACCTCCTGTGGCTTTTAGCCGTGAGAATAAAGTATGGCTCATTTAAATCCTGGGCTGTAGCGTGATGTCATCGTAGTCGGTGTGTTTTTAAAAATGTAAACTCATTTAGTACATTCATAAAAGTAATTTTATGCTTATTTTAAATGTTCTTTATAGTTCTGAGGTTCTCCCAGAATGCAGTATAAAGTATATTTTATTAACTGGTTAATGAGAGAGTTATTGGCAGCAGAAGATCCGTCATAAAAGAAGCGTCGGGCTGCTCCTCCCTTTTGTTTTTTTCCTCTTGTCTTCAGTCTTGTTTGTGTGCTTGTGTCCTGGACTCATAAAAACTGCGTTACACACAGAAAAGTGGAGGGCAAAGACAAAATACTGATGAAAAGCAAAATGCAACACAAACCGTGATATAAAAGATTAAAAACCTCAAACTGTTGTGCTTTTTGAGTCCTGGGGCGTCTCTTTTTCTACAGATACATCCTAGAGAGGACATGAGAAATGACCAGTTATAGGAAAGTCATAAAGGGAAGCCCAGCAGCACCGTGTGCTCTCAGTACTGATTAAACCAACCTTATGGGGACCGCTCTGGTCCATGATGTCAGAGTTAAGGCCACTGATGTCACCGTTCTTCAGAGCGTCTGCTTTAGGAGCGTCCAGGGTTTCAGGGCTGTCATCTCCTTCATCGATGTGCAACGGGCCGCTTTGAGCTGCAGACAGCTGCAGATCCAAGCTCTCCGAGTCACACGAGTTGTTCAGTTCACAGCTGCTCTCACTTGGTGGAGCTTTTTTCCCATCTTTCAGATGATCAGACTCTTCCACTCCTTTCCCCTCCTCAACCTGATCACCATCCCCTGCTGGCTTCAGCTCGTCTCCTGACGCCCCCACGACGGGGTCTTCTTGCGCTGCAGGGCTGTGGCTCTCACTGTTGCAAGACGCTGTGTCCAGCTCCCTGGATTCAGACAGGGGGTCCTCCTGGGACGGGGACACTCCCAGGGTGCTGCTCTCTCTGGACAAGGTGCCGTGGCGAGGTTTATCTGGAGACCTGAAACTGTAACGCTGGCTGGCTCTGGGATTGTAACTCCTGTGAAACTCGGAAAAACTGGTTTTCCAGGCTTTAGGGGACATCAGGGTCCGTCTTCGCAGGGAGCCATACCTGAAACAGTTTGCTAGAATGTGAATTATTGATATGGAAACATCCTGGTAACACTGTCTGGAGGAATAGTGCAAATTGAATTCCTAGCACTCCTTATGCACGACCTCTCACTATAGGTTTCACACCGTCTGACATCCTGCATTAAGGTCAACTGGCTGTGGCAGCCATCTTGAATTCGCTTCAGTCCACTTCTTTTTTCATTCACTAAAAACTTTCTGAAAGATTCATTAAAATCCATCCAAGTATCAAATCAAATCAACTTTATTTATAAAGCGCTTTCACATGCCCAAAGCGGACAAAGCGCTGTACACCAATAAAAACACAGCAATAAAACAAACATATATAGCCATTAAAATACAACAAGAATTCCCAAGTAACAGTTTAGCAATCCAGATCAGTCCTGTTTCCAGAATCAGATCCAGAAACATTCAAAGTGACGCTGCCCACCCAATCCCAACTTCAATGTCCTAACGCCAACGAGAACAGATGGGTTTTTAGTCGGCTTTTAAAGATCTCAAGTGATTGGGCCTGCTTCACATCGGCCGGCAGCTCATTCCAGAGCCTTGGTCCCAACACCGAGAAGGCACGGCTCCCACGAGACTTCAAGCTGTACCTGGGCACAGTTAATAGCCTCTGGTCAGCTGACCTAAGGGAATGCACCGGGACATGCCGGTGGATGATGTCTGACAGGTATTTAGGTGCCCCCAGTTTAACGCCTTCAACACAAACAGGGTTACCTTAATGCAGTGCAGGTCCGGTTCTGGCCTCCCAGCACTGGCTTCCGGTTTGCTATCATTCACACTTCAGACTCCTCGTCTTTGTTTTTAATTTCTTCCAGGGTGGTGCTCCCCCCCTATCTAGCCACGCTCCTGAACAGACATTCCCCATCACGCGCTCCTCTGACCAAGGCCTGCTCGTTGTCCCTCGTTCTAGGTGTCATACTCGTGGGGACCGGGCTTTCTCAGTCCTAGCACCGTCACTCTGGAACCAGTTGCCACCCTCAGTTAGGCTGTCCCCATCTCTGCCAGTCTTCAAGAGTCGCCTAAAAACCCACCTCCTCCGCTTGGCGTTTCCTGAACATGTTTGAATTTGGCCCTCTTTTATGTTGATTTTATCTCACAGTTTTCATTGGTTCACTCAATCCCTTGTTTTACACATTTGTCTTCTACTAGAATGTTTCACCTTTTTTGTAATTTGTATTTTGTAATTTGAATTGCTTTTATTTTCTGATTTATTCACTATATTTAACTTTGTACTGTGCCATGTTCAGCGCCTTGGGCTTCCTGACAGGGTTGCGGAAGGCGCTTTATAAATAAAGCTTTGATTGATTTGATTGATTGATTAAACCTGATGCGATAGGAGACTGGGAGCCAATGCAAGGCATCCAGAACTGGTGTAATATGTTCAGACCTCCTGGTGCCTGTTAACAACCGAGCTGCAGAGTTCTGAACCGCCTGGAGGCGTGCTATTGGAGCTTGCCTAAGCCCCGCATATAGCGAATTGCTATAATCCAGCCTGCAGGTAACAAAGGCATGGATCACAGTAGTGTGTGACATGTGTTTCTAACCAACAAATGGATACAAAGGCAAACCATTATCACTCACCCATTCCTTTGGCACTAGACATAAATAATAGTGACTTATGATCTGTTGTGACCCCTGGGATCAGCTTCTTGTGTTTCTAGCTAAATAACAACATTTAAAGCTAAAAGCGCACCTCTGCAGACCCCTCACTGTGAACACTTTGTCAGGATGCTGCGCCTGGAGCTCCTTTATCACATGCTGCAGGTCAAGATTCAGCTGAAAGAACAACCAAACAGTCCAACCGTAAGTACTGTGTATGAATCTGGATTGTTGACCGAGACGAGGGGACACATACCGTACTCATTTCCTTGTGGAAGGTGTCTCGTAATGTGGACACAGCTGAGAACACGGCTACGTAGCATCCGATACGACTAAAGGGACGTATATGTGATTTAAAACAAAATATTATGCAATTTGCTATAAAAAAACAAGAAAATCTACAAAATAAAAGTCTAACCTGTCATGAAGAACAGGCAGCTCGTCTTTTAGCTCGTTGTTGATCCCGTCGTAGACGGTTTTAGCAGCTTCCATCTCTTCCCTTGCCTGCAACAGTAAAGACACTTCATTACTATTTACTGTAGTTCATGTGTGAATACATGATAAAATGCAGCTTTGTTTTATTCTCCTAACCTTGTTTATTTTTACATCATCTTTTTTCTTTGCTGTCTCCAGAGCCTCCAGGTGGTGGAGGGAAGAGTCGTAGTCGACCAGTTTTCTGCCTCTCTTGGCAATTTTCTCCTGTAGATTTAGAAAGGGTTAGTGAAAATGATCTATGTGCATGTGTGTGTTCCAACAACAAGTGTGTGTATTATCCTGGCTGTGTGTGTTTGCTCTCGGGCTTATTCTTCTTCCTGTGTATTTAATTCTGTTTGCACTTGCTTGCTGGTTGCCTTACCCTCACATCAGGGAATTGGCCCACGTAGGACTCCACGGTGCGCACAGCCTGGTCTATTAGCTTGACCTCGAAGTCATTCCACAACAGGTCCTCCCCCTTGGTTAAAAAGCCTCGCATAAACATTGCATAAATTATGTATAACAAGACAGAGAGCCAAAGGTTTAGGTTCCCAGGCGGTGCATTGATTTTGTTGCCTTTGCACTCGGAAGAATTAAATGCGCAGTAGTAGATCCGTTAGTGTTTTATCACTGACCTCAACAATGGCCCCCAAGTCTTCCTCCCCAGCCCAGTCCGTTTCATAAATTTCAAACAGAGACTGAGAGAGGCGTCTTGAAGCTTCACGCATGTCTGCAAAAGCAGAAGGGCCTAAATGAGACCTGCAGAGGGCCTGGATAATCCACAGCTTTGGCACAAGTAAATGCTTCACCTCTGACTGCATTAATGTAGGTTCTCAAGTCCTTGTGTATTCTGTTCCCATCAGTCTGCAAACAGAATATATTTATATGATTTCCAGTCTTTTATGATGTTTGATCCACGCTTAATCAACAAATCTTTCCAGCATGGTAACAAGCTCAGACAGCAACCTGAAGTTGTTCCTCAGACTCTGAGAAATGTATAATCCGACAAATTCAGTCCACACTCTTAGCAGAGTTATAATAACCTGTTGGTCGTTAAACGCTTGGAGACAGCGTTCAAACTGGTCGTCTCTCGTCTCCGACGTCTTTCCAAGCCGTTGCAGAACCTGCAAAAGAGAGGAGATAGCCTACTTCTCAGCTCTCTGTTTTGATCTGGGATTTTAAAAACCTGAGTTTCCTACCTTTTCTTTGCCTCTGCTCAGCTGTCTTTGGACTTTTTTAGCAAAGTCACCAGACTGGCCTTTTGGACTTGAGCTTTCTGCCATGTTTGAACCTGTCTGTGTTTGTTCCTGAGAAGAACCAAAAACAACATCACACGTCATAAACTGGTGACGAACTGAATGTGCCGACCTGCAACATCAGAACAACTTCATCCTTTGGGTTTTAGATTTTATCAGAGTCAAGTTAAGATTATTTCTCTTATCTTCCAAAATAACAACAGTCTCTTTGTAAATTGACCCAATTGTTGGATTTATCTTCATTTTAAAACGAGACACAGTTTGGTCCTGTGTACTTAATAAAATGATCAAAATAGGGTTCTTATTGCTCGTGCACAACATAACTCACATGCTTGTATTATAATTTAGTATTTTATTTAATATTGTGATTTTATTAGCTGAAATATCTTAATAAAAATGTATCTGATCAACAAAACCATATCAAAATAATATTTGTCAGACATTTTGTGTACAGCACAGATTTTGAATCAAATATTGAAAATAAAGTAGCTTAAAGCACAAGTATCTGTGAATTCACAATTAGTAAATGGCAAATTAATCCAATTAGGTTTGATTTGTTTGCTAATCTAAGTATTTTTTCTCTGTTTTGTTTTAGATTTAAAAAAAATAAAGTTAACATTTCTATTTTCTTGCCCTGCGATGGACTGGCTCTCTGTCCAGGGTGTACCCCAGCTCATTGACCGCTGGAGATAGGCACTAGCCCCCCGCGTTTAAACTACATTACCCAGACTTCCTCGCTGCGACCACCCACTTCCTGTATATCGCTGTAGCGAACTTTAACCAAACATCTCGCTGCTACGAGTGGTTCAGTGCCTGACCGTGGCCGCATGCTGACCGGGCTAAAGGCTTGATCATGGGGGGAACTCTGATCAAATGTGCCGTCACGGACCTGGGGATCCAGTGGGTCGGCTGGGTTCTGGCTGCAACCTTCAGAACCGAGAAGTTCTATGATTTAGCAGGTACTAAGTCAGCTGTTCCTGCAGCGTGTTATTATGGAGAACTCGTTTTGTTTACTGTAGTTTATTTTAGGAACAGTTAGTACGTTAGATTATCAACAAAAAATTATACAAGCTGCGTTATCTAAAGCCTGATTGTTGTGAAACCAGAGCTCTGCTTTCTGCTGAAGCAGCCTGCTGGTCCAATCAGGGGCGAACAGAACAATCATGGGACCTTGGGGGGGGGGGGGGGGGCTTTTCATGGGCCCCCCATCAGTCATGTTTATAAGTAGGAATTACTCTGATAACTTACTGTGGGGCGTTGAAATCAGTCTCACTTCTGCAGCAGCAGAAAGTAGATGAAGAATATTATTCAAATCAATGCAATCACTTTATTAAAGACACAAGAAGGTCCAGAGCAGATAATAAAAACATAAATAAGTAGAATGAGTAAGTATTATCATTACTGTTGTCATTGTTATTCATTTTAAAACTGTGTGGGTGTTTAATGTATCTAATCAGGTTCTAAATATCTACAAACTGATATCTAACTTTATATGTCAAACTTGCATTAAATAAATCAGATATTTTCTCTCATGCTGGATTTTGGACTAAACAAACTTCATGGCAAAAAATAACTCATGAAGTGAAATGCTCCCAGTCACTGCTGTTACTGCCTCCATTTGAAAGTTTAGACCAATTTCCTTCCAAGTCCCAAATGGACACTAAGCTCAGCTACTGAGGACAATACAGATATACAAATGAATCCGACCCATCAGGATCAGGATTCATTGTTTGAATGCAGAGCAGACCAGCTTACCTTTTAATTCCAGTGGTTGGTTGGTTGGTTTTAATTATTTCACAAATAAATCACCTTGGAGCTTCTTTACTCGTCGTCTCCTGGATCTCTGCAAACTCCTCCTTTACCCTTGAACTTTGGAACCAATCGTGAATCCTGAGTAAAAGATTTATTGGCCACACCTTCCTCTAGAGCCACCCGCCATACCAGCGTCCTACATCTGTATTTGCAGGCTCTGGCACATTTATACTGCTCGCAAACCTGAGTCGCATCTGGGGAGGAGCCAGTCAGACTCGTCAGAAGGTGCAGACCGGGTTGGTGACGGCGTGGGGACTAAGGTGAGCGAGGCAGCACTAACCTCAGGTATCATAAACCACTCAGTAGCTCCTTGGAGAGGTCAAAGGAAGGAGGAGTGAATGTGAAACTTTGAAGTTTTCAGGAGTTAATAAATAATGACCTGGTTAATGTGAACGGGCGTTGACCGTGTCCTCTCTGCAGACTGGGGACATTCCTTTTCATGCGGATCTTGAAGGACGGTCACGATCGCAGGTTCCACAATGTCAGAGACAGCCCTGGGACTTTCTTCATTTACTGGACTGTTCAAGGTACTTGAGAAGATGTTACTGGCTCAGCCACCAAACGTAGTATGTGGAGACTCCTTATAAATCACTGTCTAGTTCCCAGCTCTTTACATGCATTTATTCACCACGGGCGGGTGGTTACAGAGACATGAATGCATTTATTGCAGCAACGCTTTAACAAGTCTGGATGAAACTGATTAATTTCCTCAGCCGTGTGGATATTCCTGACCCTCCTGCCCACCCTCATGCTGAACACTGAGAAGCGTAACGTGCCTCTGGGGATGAGGGACTACATTGGCTGGACTGTTTGGGGTATTGGCTTCGCTACTCAAACTATTGCCGACCAGCAAAAGTGGCTTTTCAAGAGTAATCCAGATAACGCTGTAAGTCAGCAGACCCTTCCTGTTCAGTCGTCCCATGATGCCTCATTCACTTGGTGTAATAACAGGAATGTCCTGTTCACTTTACACCTGCAGGGGAAGTTCATCCAGAGTGGGCTGTGGGCCTACAGCAGACACCCGAACTACTTTGGGGAGATACTGCAGTGGTCAGGTCTCTGGCTCTCAGCCTCATCAGTGATGCACGGGTACCAGTACGTCAGTTTGGGGTCACCGCTGTTCGTCTGGTTCCTGCTACGCTATGTGAGCGGGGTTCCCATTCTGGAGAAGCAGGCTGTGAAGAGATGGGGGTCTGAGCCTGCCTTCCAGGACTACATCCGAAATACTCCTCTTCTCTGGCCATGGCCAAAGATTTGACACTGTTTCTATATGTTTATCATCCCTCAGCTGTGATGCACTTAAAAAGCCTCAACGTTTTGACTTTTCTGCACAATTGTATGCTTCTAGAAAAAATTTAAGTACCAGGGAGTGCCGTTATCTCCCTCTGTTTTAGATTCAGGGTCATTTGACACATCGCAGTTATAAGAAACCAAACAAGATGTTTCTCTCCAGCCAGTGACAGATCTGGGATTTTTTTTATTAAGGGCCCATCAAGAGGTCACATTATTTATAAACGGGCCAAGTATTAGCCTAACATCCCCACACTAGATTCCATTCTGGAAATTCCTATTTTGCTCATTAGTGCCACTAGTGTTTTGACTTGGAATTGCATCCACCATCACACCAAGATGAGTGACAGGACAGGGGCACATAGATTTCTGCAGGCCAGCCCCTAGAATAGCCAATGTCACCAGCTCACTTTCTTTCCCTGATGCATCTTCACAAAGGCTGGAGACAATGAAAAGGTCATGTTCCAGGTTGATAAAGCATCTTTCTATGTAAAAGTTGGGAATTATACTTAATTTTTTTTTACAGCAGGGCAAATAAATCAGTTTTTTCAGCCAACAATCTGGTTCTCACTCTGCTGGAATCCTTTGTGGTTTGAGAAGGTTCAGCAAATGAACATTTGAGTTTTGCGAGATTTCATTTTTTATATAAATTTGAAACATCCAATCAAACATGATCAAATATCTTATTTCCATCATTTGTCTTAGATCATGCGCTTTTATTGTGGACAAGCTTGGAGTTACCACGGTGCTCCAGATACGATCACTAAAACGGTTTTACTCGAATCAACATAGCAGCTAGTTATAGCAGATCTTTGCTCAGAACACAAATTTAACCTTAACGCAGCTTCTCTGACATTTTTAGATATTTGATGCTATTCTAATCAGTTTATAGGATGTAATTAATCCTGGTTCTGATTAGGGATGCACCGATACGATACCAGTATCGGTAAAAGTTAACCGATACCAGGAACCGATGCCAATGCAGTTGCTTGAAAATGGTTTCACTGTAACTTGTCATTCTGTTGATCTAATATTTGAGTTTTATGATGATTTCCATTCATATATTTTACTTTTTATCTCCCTCAGTCTTTTCCTGTTGAAAGCAGAGAAGAAAATAAAATCTGTATTCCAATTCATTCTATTTTTTTTGTGTGGTAGAAGTATAGGTATCGGTAATCGGTAGCAGCGAGTATTCAGATCCAAGTATCGGTATCGTATCGGTTTGGAAAAATAGTGGTATCGTTGCATCCCTAGTTCTGATCTGTATTCATGGTGAAGCTGTCTGGATGAGTTTTTAAAGAATAAATGCATTAAACTGCTTTTGATTTGGTTATAAAGAGGATAAAATATATTAAATGTTTCCAATGTGTATAAAAGAAGCATTTAAGAAAAAAAAAAGACGATTTTTAATGCAGACATGTATTTTATAACATACTTGGGTAAAAAATGTGCCACATAAATAATGCCATGGTGTCTGAACTGGCTAATATTACAAACAATTGCCTTTTTATAGGACTGCTCAAAAGTGACCTAACAGCGTAAACGTTACAAAGATCAACATTTATCTGGGGGGATTTGGCCTTGCAGAGGCAAGTTGGAGCCCCTGATGAGTACTGGCAGCACAATCTTTCATGCTTTCCTCGAGACAAAAAAATAAAAACTTGTTTTAAAGCACGTCCAACTGTTACAGGTTTATAGAAAAAGGCCCACCGTGTAGCTGAGGTCTGGAGAAGACTCACATTTAAACCACTGGCTTTTCAGGACACTCCCAATTAAATACAAGCACTGTATGAAATGAAATGCAAACTCAAGAATGAGATAATGAAATAATCACACATTCGGAATAAAATGCCAAACAATCAGTTCTTCCACTTCTGAGTGACACATGAGCTAAGAACTCTGAGGACGACACTTTACAAAACCAGAACATTCTCATGAAGGATCTGAAACGTGTTCAGTAAAAGCTTTAGCCAACGACAGGTGTGCATGGAAAAGACAACTATTTAGTTAAAACACAGCTTTAGAGAGAACTATCTACATTAAATCATTATCTGCACATGAATGTTGATTCTGTGCGAATAAAGGACTCTAGTGCGTTGCTGGGTTGCATTACTTCAGCAGAGGCGAAGCAAAGAACTTTCCTTGGTGAGAAAATCCAACAGCGGATTTGCTTTTGCTTCCAAATCTGCAACAAACAGCAAAAATGAAAGGATTGAACAGGAACCGACCAGTGAACCAGACAGGTCAGGCATTAGTTAGGGCAGGAATGGGCTGGGTGTGTTTACCTGGGGGTCAGAGTGGACTTTACACGCTGAGATAAAGAGCTGGAGGACGGAGTCTTGCACAGCTGGTGCTCTGGAGTGGTCAGAGGTCCCAGCATGCTTACTGCAACATTACAAACGATCAGCATCACCATCTCAGGTCAGGCGGAGAAACCGTCCTGTACAACGAGCTAAAGGGAGACTAACCGCCCTCTGGAGTGGCGTAGCAGTTGGCATTCTCGATGATCAGATGGTCCATGTTCAGCGGCACGTTTTCTGCAAAGACAAACTGGGCCCAGTACTCCACCGGCAGACCCAAGAGACGCTCCACAACCTGATATAAAAAACAAACGTGGGACTGTGTCAGAACCAGTTCTCTCCTAGTGAATATCATTTATATAAAGCTGCAAAATCTATTTGACCTTTAAAATGAGGAGTTTCTTGTCTAATGAGACGTATCAAAGACATTTATGTTGCAGACCAGTGGGAATAAACTCAATAAATCGATGCGACAAAACGACCCTTTTCAGATTCTCTCATATTTTGTAGAAAACAAGTGAAAAAGTTTCTTGGTTAGAAGTAAATAAACAAATCCCAATAGACATGCACGACTGCCTCCTGCTCTAAAGCAGCCTGACTCCCTCCAATCTGTAAAAACTATTTATCGAGCTCCTTTCCCAGACACAAAGCCCTGTACAAGCAAATAAAACCGTGTTGAATAAAATAAACGGCGGATTTAACTAAACTGCTTTTAGAAATATCCAGAGTCGACTACATAACAGAAAACGGATTATCGACCATCTTTATTACATCTATGCAGCAGACAGCGAGGAGCAGACGTGAGTCAGACCCACCAGAGGCTGGCGTTTGGTGTCCTGCAGGATGGTCATCGGGTCCGGGTTGGAAACTGCATGACCAACAATAGTCGGACCGAAGACTCGGGCCAGATTGCTGATGTCCATCTTAGTCTCCAGACTTTCAGCCACTCTGAAAAGTTTTATTATGAGAGTTAAACGTGTTACGGGTGCTTTTCCACCTAGCAGATCTATTAACCAGGGTATCTGCAGATTTAAGGGAGCCAAATTTAAGACTTTTTAAGACCTTTTTTAAGGCCACTTAGACCAAATTTAAGCTATTTTAAAAATTAAATTTAAGCGATAATTTCCAGCTATTGCCTGGAACCTGTCCTAACCATGTCGCGAATGTGGGAATAGCCATCCAGTTACCATTAAACTTGCCCTTCCCCATGGCGCAAGCTCCCACTAGCTTAACCAGCTAATGTGCTCATCTAAAAATAGCCCCCTTTCACAACCAACTGACTGCGTACGGTTCCGCTTACGTCAACATCATACACAAAAAATGCTGAACACTAACTAGAAATTCACGAAATTTTTATAGAAATAAAAGAATCTTGTTTATTGGGTCTTTGGTCATTTAAGACTTTTGGAAACTGGATTTAAGGATTATTTGTCATTTTTAAGGACTTTTAAGGCCTTAAATTAGGAAAAGCTAATTTAAGACTTTTTAAGGACCCGCGGATACCCTGATTAACGCAGTTATTAGACTGATCAGTGCTACTAACTTTTTCAGGTGCAGCACCAGGAAGGCCAGCGTGTCTCTGTTGGGCTGTGGCAGGTTGCTGATGGTCTGGTACATCTGTGCTTTGCTGTTGTCGTCATCTGAAACCTCTGTGGGAGGGGGACAATGATCTCAGCAGACTAAAATAAAGAACATTGATCTGAAGTAGCTAAATAACTTTAAAGAAAACATCTGAAACTCTCAGAAAGATCCTTTTGTTGTTCTGATAACACAATCCGAGCTTGTATGTCACGGGTGTATCGAGCAGATTTGTCTTCTCTCGTGAAGTTAGATGTACTTATTTCATTTACTTCTTCAAACTTAATTTATGTGCTGATATTTGCTTTGAAACACACACCAGCTGCATCCATGAAGGCTCGGTTCAGACGGAAGGTCAGAAGAGGCTCCTTCAGATTCCTCAGGAAGTCCTTGAGGAGACCAGTGATGGCGTGGACATCGTCCACCTTACTGAGGACGGGGACGGTTTTGCTGCGGAGGAATTTTTCCTTCAGATCCTTGATGGTGCGATCGGCACCCGACAGGCGGTACAAACCAGCCTGAAGGTCAGAAAGGAAAAAGTTTACTTGATACTTTATTTTATAAAAATGATCAAATCTGGACTGTCTGATATTATAATCATATAAAAAAAACACAATTTCATTAAAAATATAGTGAACCTTTGAGTTTTTTTTTACCATATTACCCAGATATTTTACCCCTCAGGCCAAATTAATAAAACCAAAAAGCAACACCAACTAGAAACACAGGAGCACCATAAACTCCAACATGCTGAAGTGAAGTAGTGTCTCAAAAATCCAGTCAAAGAAAGGACATTCTGCTACGTTAGTTTGACAGCAGCCTCTGTGGGTGTTGAACAGCTTGTGAATAAATACATAAACTAGATACGCAGGAAGAAAACAGCCAGAAAGTCGTTTCATCTGTGATCGGCCAATCTGAAACTTAGAAAACGTAGAAATCTGATATTTTTCTTGACCCATGAACTCACCATGGCTAGACACCATCTCACTCTAGCAACAACAGATCTGACATGAGAATGTTTTAACTTCCAGGATAAAAAATTACAATCAAATAGTTGTGTCAGTAAAAGAGAATTTGAAATGTGCTAAAATCTGTCTAGAGTACTTTATTAATCCCACAGTGGGGAAGGTCTGCAGGTGAGAGCTGTGCTAGACGTATGTACCAATGGTCCACCAGCACCAGCGTGTCTCCAAAGAGCAGCAATCAAACAGGCAGATGACTTAGGCTGCACTTTCAGGGTTTTTCTGTTCACTTTTTGTACAAGGAAAAGGAAATCTCTGATGGAAGACCGATTTACTTTTCCTAAACCTTTTTTTCCCCTCTATTTCAGAACATTAGGACCCAGATTCATGTGTTCATTAATCAGTGAGCTACACAGAAAAAAGCAGGTAGTTATTTTTTAAATTATAAAATGAAAATGAGCAAAGTCACGCAGCATCAGCAGCACATCTGGAGCGTTCCTATAGCGCAGACATGAAGGATTATAAAACCTTTATGGTTACAACTCTCTTGTTTCGTCTTAAAACGAAGATAATAAAATAACTGGCATTACAAAGCTTTACTGTTGTTCGTAATCTCCACAATATTAGAGAAGAAACACATCTCACCTCATGCAGACCCCTTTGTTCTATCTCGTTCACACAGTGGACAACCAGGGGAGGAATCATCGGTGAGGCGTCGGAGACGTAGTCAGCAAGGACGCCCTGTGAAGGCGAGGACAAGGGGTAAACCAAGAGGACAGGGATTCAGGGGTGACCTGAAGTTCGGTAAAAATGTTACCACACCTCCCCGATTTTGACTGGCGTTCCACCCAGGTTGGGGATGCAGGGCAAGGGGCATCGATCGCGACACTCGGGGTGAGACACCACCCTGCAGTCACGACACTTCAGTGAAATCTTGCCAAACTTTATCCTCTTCCCACACGGCACGCAAGACTCGGGCTTAATTACCTACAAACACAGCAGTGTGAAGATATACGTTTTATTTTAAATAGAAATGCACTAAAGTCCAGCAGACAAGCTCACATCACCCCAGTTTTACAGTCCCTCCACTGGCTCCCGGTAGAATATAGAATACAGTTTAAAGTTTTAGTCCTGACCTATAGAGCTCTTAACAACCAGGCTCCAAGCTACCTATCTGAGCTTTTATCCCCACACACCACCTCACGGAACCTCCCATCCACATCTGAAAACCTCCTGGCTGTTCCTCGAACCAGACTAAAAACCAAAGGGGACAGGGCCTTTCAGTCTATTGCCCCCAGACTTTGGAACAGTCCACCTTCAAATCTCCGTCTCTTGAAATCTGTAGAGGTCTTCAAAAAACATCTTAAAACTCACCTTTTCATCCAGGCTTTCCCCCGCTAAATACTCTAAAAGATGGCTTTGTTCTTGTTCACACCTTGACTTTGTTTTTACTCCAGATTTTGGTTACTATTGTTGTCACTGCTATTGTTTTTATGATGTTTTTATTGGTTTGAGGTATTTGCCCTGATTTTGCTCATGTTGTACAGCGCTTTGTGATTTATATCTGTGAAAGGCGCTATATAAATAAACTTTTACTTACTTACTAAAGAATTCTCAACTGTCTGAAATGAGTTCTTCAGTTGTGACACTTGACTTACTTTTCTGGCTCGTTTGAATAACGACACAAAAACAGGTCCGTTAAAGACGACCAGTAAAAGTTCAGTCTAACTCAGAGTGAGTCATAACACAGGACTCACATCGCTCGTTTCTGTTACAACACAGAAACAAATACTTGTTCTTTACCTTGTTTTGCTAACGTTTCGGCTAATTATTATAGCCATCCTCAGAGCTGTACCGATGTTGGTGGCGTCACTTCCTTGTCCGTTTAGTAATTAGCCAAAACGTCAAGGTTAAGTACAGCTCTTTTTTTGGTGTGTTTTAAAAGATCCAAACAATTAGGGATGTCCCGTTCCGATTTTGATATCGGCCCAAAAACACTATCGGGTTGTATCGGACTGCATCAAAAATCTCCGACATAAGCAGTCCGTTCTGCTTTAAATTCCATTCCAGCAATTCTATCCAGCAGCGCCCAGATCCAGCACGCAAAGTCAAGCAGAACAGCGCGTGCTAGCAAAGTAGCAAGGAACATTGTCGGCCACGTGGCTGTATTTTTCGGTAAAGTCAGAAAAAGACAGTTTGGCTGGCAGTTTGAGAAAGTTGTGCATGACAAGTGTTGCACACGTTTCCCGTGGTGGAACAGGACAGAAGACTAATACATCCAGCCTCATCGTGCATTTGAAGCAGGATCACAAAACACTGTATGAGGATTTTCTCGGTGTGTGAAACTGAAACTTTAGACACTCAACTTGTAGCAGATGGTCAGTGAACAATATTGTTTTTTTCCTAATGTCCTTTCCTAACCTCAGCTGTTCACATCTATGCAGCCAAAGGTTAACAAAAAATTGGTCAGTTTTTTATACTTTCTGTTGCTGGATTTTGTTTTCCATTTGAGTAATGTCACTTGATCAAGCCCGTTATTCATTCCACACTATGAAATAGGTACAAGTATGTATGATTTCTGCTGACATCACATCGGATTGATATCGGTATCGGTCATTGCCGAAGGCTGCAATATCGGTATCGTATCGGAAGTGAAAGAAGTTGTACTGGGACACCTCTACAAACAATGCAAGTTGACAAAATACACAGAATGAACATACAGAAGACAGTACTCACAGTTTTGGAGACAAACTCGTGCAGACGGACGCCTCCTTTGCCCTGAGGAGTGCTCGGCTCAGGCCTCACCTCTTTTTCAGGATTATCGGGTGGCTTGAGAGCATCCTCAGATCCGACAGAGCCAGAACCCCACTCCATGGCAGCTGCACAGCAAACAGACTGCTCAGTAAGAGATCTGACAACGGTTCCTGAATAAATCATATCAGGAGGATTGTGATGCTCGTGCAGCTTGTTTAATTTGTGTAAAGCACAGAGCTAGGTCAGGATAAGTTTAATTTTAATGACAAAAAGGGAAAAAATGCGCATTGGTATTTATGCAAGTATGCAAACATACATATAACATTCATACAATACATATAGACACACACCTTGCATAAAATGTAGTGTTTTAATCCGTGACTGTATCAATGCAAAAGCACTGCAGCAGAGCTCGTCTGTCTCTATACATCTATGTAATTCTGCAGAGCCTCACTAAGTTGGACCCGGTTATCATAAAAGTAATAAAAAATGACCTAGCAGCAGCACCATCTCTTAAAACAAATAACTCGTGTAGAAAGTAAGGCCCGACCGACATGCCTCTTTTGGGACCGATACGATATAAAACTTTTAACAAAGGCAGATAGCCGATATAATGGCCGATAAATCTCCCTCACAAAAAAAATAAATAAATAAAAATTTTCTTAAGCTTAAACCCTTCATTCTCTGCCTTTCTAATGCTATCTTATTTCTTTGTTACACACCAAAGAACTGTCTCCATAACTCACTCGGGTTTCCAAGTAATGCAAATAAGATTTATTTAGCAGATCTCAAAAACAACAGAACACACAAACTCAGTCACAGCATAAATCTAACATTGAAGTTTTTTCTTGTAAACTGTGGTTTCCAAAAATACATTTTAACTTAAAGGAATATTCCACCACTCAGTAAAACTGTGTCATGTTAAGATTCCCCAGAGTTAGACATGTCAGAAAAAGCATTTTATAACCAGCCCAATATGATCTGGCAGCAGTTGGTTTTCTTAGTTCAGCATAAAACAATGTAAGTGAATTCACATAGATTGTAGTGTATTTTTATGTAGGTGAATGCAAGCCTTCCCTTCCACTGCTTTATGCTAAAACAACTGGTTACATGTTTTTCTGACCGCTAACTCTGGGGAATCTAACAACACACACAAGTTTAGGGACAGAAGATCCCTACAAGAATATTAAAATAATAAAAATGCATCAATAAATAAAACGTAATACTTGTGCTTTGTAACAAAGTAACACTCTGTGGAAGTTAACTTGCTGAACTTAAGGTTGGTTTATGCTTGACACGTCCGCGAGGTCCGCACGGAAAAGTTGCGTCATTTTAACAACCACGCCCCTCCACCGCGTCTCCGCACGGCCCAAAATTTCCGCAACGTGCACATAGGAAATTTTCTAACCACGCGGACGGACGGACGGACGCGGAAAAACATGGCGGACCGGCAAGAACTAGTATGGCAGAGGTTCGTAAATACAGACATTTGTATGATTCAGCTCTCAAAGATCACCGTGATCAACATGTTGTTAATAATTCTTGGAGAGAAATAGCTCGCACTGTCGGAAAAGACGAGGACGCTGTTAAAAATGCTGGAATGCCATGTTGTAAACAGTCATTTTTACTTTTACTATGGTGTAGTGTTGGATGCATGCCGTAGAGCTCCATGCTGCCCCCTACAGTTTGGGAGAATATTGGCTCACCGCAGAGACGAGCCGCACGAACCATAAACGCTGCAAGTTGTGAAGCGCGTTCCATCCGCGAGCCGCATCACCAAGCGGAAAGTGAACGCGTCAAGCATAAACCAAGCTTAATTCACCCTGGACATGAAATAATTGCACATAAGAAACATAAATAGGAATAAATAACAAAAAGTTCCAAAACAATAATTTGTGTTCAAAGTTCAAAGGAGTGGAGCCACACAACACAAGTTCATAAAGCTGGCACCATCTGCTGGATAGGTAGCACAATATCGGCCATATCGGCCGCCTTTTTGTCCGATAGCCGATACTGTTAATGACCTCAATATCAGCCGGCCGATATATCGGTCGGGCCCTAGTAGAAAGCAAATAAATTCAGCATGAAACTAAAATTAACCTCAAAGCCGACAGTTTATATTCATTATATTTATTCTAATAATATAATAACGTTAAAGTCTGTGAGAATGTAATGAATTATAGAGAAAGTCTTACCAGTCTTTCTCCTGCTGCGAGTCCAGTAAGGAACAGTCTCAATAGAAAAGGAATCCACAGGTCCTCCGTTTGCAGCGACAGTCACTGTTGTCTTTGTGCCAAGAGCCTCGTTTCCCTGTCACGCCAATCGGACATTTAAGATCAGAGTGCAAAACAAATTTACTTTGCTAAAACATGGCTTCCATAGTCTTACAATTTTTATCATTGTAGCTTGATAATAACACAAACTGCAGGATGAAATATGTGACAAAAGGCAGATGAAGTCAGAGTAGCTACCCTCTCTGATGTTCTGCCAGTTGAGCGGGATCTTTTGGAGAGAACTGGAGGACCGTCGATGAGGTTTCTCGAGGAGCGCTGAAATCAAGACACAAACAATGACACTCACGCTTCCTGTGAACACACAAGTCCTTCCATCACAGCTGAACGTCACACACCCTTTTTTCTCGCTTCTTGAGCCGCACCGTCCGCACCGTGGAGGAGTCCCAGTCCTGCAGCATTGTAAGACATCAGTCAGACTCAAAAGGCATCATTGGTGTTCTTACTTGCACACCAGATGATGCTGAAATGGAGAAGTCCTTACAAGAGAGTCATCTGTTTTGTCAAAGCTGATATCTGACAAGATGGAGGCAGACTCATCTATTGTCACCAGTCTGCAAAACAATTAAATTAAAATAAATACACAACAAACCAGATTTGATCCCAACTGAAAATTCAGCAACAAACAGTGTCAAATGTAAAAAAAATAGCACTGATGTGAATAACCAATACTGGCCAGACAAGGAAATGCATCACAAAAGACCTTTCTGAGTGAGTGTCTTACCTTCGGCTGGTGTTCTGATTGGCTGTCCCCTGGGTGTTTGTGTTGAGGAAGGCCAGAGCAGAGCGCTGTTCTGCACTCAGCTGGATGCTGTTGGTGGATCCCTCACTGGTCAACAGATCTCGGATCAACTGAATTTGACGTTCCTAGGGCCAAGGAGGGGACACGATGAGACACTCGCAAAAACAAGTGGACCAAATGAATAAAACAAAACATTTTTTTCTGAACATACCAGTATCTCACAGTCAGCCTCAGCCTTTTGCCTGCGCCGGATCTCCACGTCTACCTGGTTCCGGGCATGTTTCAGTTTGACATCCAAGGATCCCCTCTCCATTTCTGCTTTTGTTAGCATCTCCTTGCAAGATCCCAGCTCCTGCTCAGTCCTCAGCCATTTGTGACGGCAGTCTTCAAAGTTTTGTACCATCTGAATAAAGTCTGGGGGAGAAGGATCCACAAATAACCACAGTCATTATTCTTGTAGGATTTGAACCATGTTCAAGGTTAACAAAGAGGAAAAACAATAAAACACTCACTGGGTTCAATGTTTTCACTGAGAATGTCAACTTGTGTCCTCAGCTTATCGTGTAAGCTCTGGAGGCTCAGCATGGTCTCCATGATGGTGTCCTACAAAAGGCCTTCAGACAACAGAAAGCCTTTGTTCCTCTGGAGTTAGCAGATGTGTTTTATTCTTCGTTTCTAACTTACTTAAATCGTAATTTTGTCAAAACGCATCAAAATGTAACTAACAGTGAGAAAAGTTATTTTTTCCGCATTTACCATCAAATCCGCTAGCCTTCTGCGCCGTTTGGTTTGACTTTAACACTAGCTTACCAGGCGTAACGGCTCACTCAGCACGGCATTTACTTTTTAATTATTCAAGAGAGTCGAAACAACAGCTCGCTGCTTACCTGTTAAATGTTTGTTCTGTAAAGCCTTCCGGAGATAGTTTAACTATCTGGTGGGGTTTGTTGTCTTTTAATAACAGCGACTTTCCAACTACATCCTTATACACACAGCTCCTCTGAGCGCGTTACATTTCAAATTTCGCCGCTAGCCAATAAGAGAAGTTGTCAAGGAAACGAACATTATGAATTTCCGAATAATGCCTTTCAAAATAAAAGTATATCGATTATTGCTTGCCGTAGACCGTTACAAATACAAAATGAAACAACGAAAGATAAAAAGTCTATAGATATAGATTGTTGAAATTTCAAATGTTTAAATTTCATATATGTTGGGAAACATATAGTAGAATTAGATATTACAAGAAAGGAATCTAATAGAAGACGTCACTTCCTGTCTCAACTTTCAAACTAAAGGTTCCCGGAAGCGTGTTCTTCTCTTTGGAGGTGATCATAAATGAATGGTGAATGGCCACGATTGTGATTAAAAGTTGCCTTGAGTTCTGAGGACCAACAGAAGCTAGAAGCTATAATTATTTCCTCTGGGCTCTATCCTGTAACATTCATTTATATTTTTTACGTTTACTGTCAATTATTTATTGATTAGACATATTTGCAATAGTAACTTGATAATAGCATTTGGAGTGTAACAAAAAACAAATAAAACCAACTTCTAGATTATCTTGATCTAAATTTACAGATTTTTGATGAAACACTAAAACTTAGTGTAGTTGTTTCTTTGTTTTTGTTTATGCCTACTTAGCATGCTGTCTTTGGTGTAGATATTACTAAAAGTAAAACTTTTTTTATTCAGAAGAATGACAAAGAAACTATCTGTTTTATGACTTTAAAAAAATCGGATAAAAAACAGTTATATTTATGTCGACAATCATAAAATTACAAAGTTTAAAAACATTTTAGAGCTGTGTGACAGAAATACACAATTCATGACTTATTTGGCATTTATCAGAAGCACAGGTAAATAATAATAGGCTATAGCTAACCTAAACATCAAAACATCATTCAAAAGATTAATTTTTAAAAAGTGCATACATCATTCAAAAGTTTAATTTTTAAAAAGTGCATTCAAGCTGTTTTATAATTCTAATACTCTTCTATTCTAATACTCTTAGAATACTCATGTAAAATTTGTACAGAGTAAAAAATAAATTTATAAGCAAATTAGTTTTAGAGACAACTTTCCATGATGCTTTAATTTGATGACTGTCTCTGCTCGTGATAAATGCCACATTTGGTGTAAAAGGTTTTCAGAATTGTTTTTTTCCTGTTATTTCTGTCTGTTTTCTGCATTTTAAATAAATCAGAAAAATGTGTAAATGTTTACAAAAAACACAGATCAAATCTGTGAGACATGGAGTGAAACATAGAAGCACTTTTCTCTTGTACGTGGAGCAGATACAAATGGACAAAGAACAAATTTGAGCCTTTTTATAGAAGAAGAAGAAGAAAATATCATTTCTATAGCGCCTCTCAAGATAAAAATCACTTGGTGCTTCACAAAAACAAAAAATGTAAAAATATAAAAAAGAATTTAGAAAATGTTTAAAAAATATTTAAAATGAGCAAAAATAGACAATTGTGATAAAAAAATGTTAAGAAAGAGAGAGAGTGAACAGGAAAGATGGAAACCAGTGGATCCTGAGGAAGGTGGAATAGGGGAGAGCAGAATAAAGAGAGAGTGGTGAAGAAGGTCATACAAAAGCCAGCTTGAACAAGTGAGTCTTCGGCTGCTTTTTAAAGGAGACCACTGAGTCCACTGATCTCAGGCTCAGGGGGAGAGAGTTCCAGAGTCTGGGGGCCGCAGCAGCAAATGATCTGTCACCTTTGGTCTTTAGCCTGGTACTGCACAACCAGTAGGCTTTGTGTTAGTGCAAAATAAATTAAACTGATTTACATTTGTACTCAAACTTATCAGTCATATTTTAAAAAGTACTTTATTTTCCATGTTTTTTATTTGAAGTGCAGCACACTCAACACCTTGTGCGTAATCCAAAGCCAATAGGGAGAAGGGAAATGAGAGAGAGAGAGAGAGAGAGAGAGAGAGAGAGAGAGAGAGAGAGAGAGAGAGAGAGAGAGAGAGAGAGAGAGAGAGAGAGAGCTGTGGATAAACTTGCAAGAAACGGAGCAGAGAAAAGCTCCGCAAAACAAGAGTGCGGCTGCGGCAGCTCGGCTGGTTGCGTCGTTGCGGGTAGAGGAGCTTGTTGCGGATTACCACAATGATTGCTACAACTCAACAAAACATGACCACGGAGCTGGTACGTGTGTTGTCTATTTGCTACTTTGTCTCCTAACAGAGAGAGGTTCTGCGTGTCCTCTGATGCTGGAGAAATGTGCTCTCATTGCTGACACTTTCAGCGGTTTTCTGTCCCCGGGACGGGCTTGTGGAGCGGGTCTCTGTCCGCTCTTTGTCCCATGCAGACTTGCAGAGCGCCCCTCTGCAGCATTAACACAGCTCCGTTTTCCAAGCTGATAATTGGTCGTGCCTGCCGATCCCCTCCAGCTGCAGCTGACAGAGGCAGCGTGCACGGTGTGATTGATCAGCCCTTTGCTGCAAACATATAGACTCAATGAATAAAAATTAGACAGCAACATCATGCTGGTCTCACTCTAATCTGCTCTGATTTAACAGGTTATGTGTGCTGTCTGAATTATAATCTTGGAGTGAGAACATTTTAGTCTAATAGTCACACCATTTTACCTATGTTTGATTTTTAAAACACTCCTTCATCTATAAAGAAAATGTTCATTTTATTGTAATTTTATATCTTGTCACGGCTAAAGCTTCTCACACAAGGTGAGGTTTGAGAACACAAATGTAAAATTAACTATGATTTTGAGCAAGTTGATTTCCTGCTCTGGCTTGTCAAGAGTTTCTCTGCTCCAGTCTACCTGATTTGAATCAATGGCTGATTAAAAGGCTTCTGCGGACCTTGAAGATTTGCCGATGAAGTAATTCACACATTAATTAAGTGTTTTGGAGCAGGAAACATCTACAACATGAGGGATGGTGATCAAGGACCAACCATGGCAACTGTATATATCTTTTTACTCGACAAAATCTTGTGAAAAGTTGTGAGAGCATGTTTGTTTATTAGTTGCTCATCTTCTAAACCCTGATGGGTAGAGGAAGTCAACTGACATGCAGAAATCAGAGCGTCCAAAGTCCAGTGTATACAGTACCAATAGTTATTTTTTGGGACAGTATCGTTGTCCAATAAAAGCTGAACTTGAACATTGATTTTAAAAAAAACAACCTTGGAAGTTTAAAATATTCAAGTGTTCATGAAGAATAGTCTCAAACCCTGTCCCTTATAATCCTGCATGTGTTTGGTATTTCCCTGCACACCTGATTCACAAGATTTAATTACCATCTCGGTATGTCATCAAGTTCCACAGAAGCCCTTTCATGGCCAATAAGTCAGATGTGTTGGGTCATAGAGAACATCTAAAACGGTCGTTTCCTGGTCCTCCGAAGACGCTATCCTGTATATTTTAGATGCTTATCCTGCTCCAACACATCTGAGTCAATGGTTGAGTTACCTGTAGGAAGTTCTTTAGAAGGTTGCTTCCCAAGTGCTAGTTCAAACCATAGACATGAATACGTAGATGCCCCATTGGGTGCTGGGTACAGGGAGCGTACAGGGGTGGATTGGCCATATGGCGTACCGGGCACTTCTCGGTGGGCTGTCGCTCCTAGTGGTTCGGTGTCGGGTTCACACGTGGGACTACCATTGACTTTTACTGCAATTTATTTTGGTGAGGTTTTCTGGGCTTGTCCAATCGGGAGAAGGCCTAAAGGAAGACTAAGGGTGTTTGTCAATGTCAAGGCGCCTGGCCTCGCGAGGCGATGTCTTGCGAGGCCAGGCGTCTTGCTTACAAGGACACTGTCCTTCCTTGGTCAAACAAAACGGTTAAACGGAACAGACTTGCATCACGTGGCCGCGGCTTCCACGGCGATCACGTAACGTCACGTGACACGGGAGATAACGTTATATTTTATACGTATAAGTTTCAATATAAATATATAACAAGTACTTTTTTAGTTGTGTATATGTTTATTAAATTAAATATGTAAGCTAGTTACTACCCGCAAGCCACCGAAGCTGCAACTACTAAGCAACTAACCAACCATAGATAACTGATTTGGATCTAAATAAAAAACTTTAAAATTAGTTGACTTACTTTTAAACTTGAAATTTGCTCCCGAAGTAGCTGCCGGCTTCTCATCCGCCATCCTTTTGAAAATACTGCGGTGTATTCTGGGAAATTTTTGATCAAGGCTAGGCTGGATAATGGGTTGAGTTGAGCAGTTTTCCCAGACATGCTTGATTACTGATTGTTACAAAAGCATCAAAAATCAATTTAGTAATCAGCCTAATTCTACTTGTATCTAAAACACGTGACTATTCTCAATGTTCGTAGCTGGCATGTAGATCCAAAAGAGTAGGAACAGCACATGAACAGCGGCGTTATTAACAAAGGCTGCATTCCACTTTTGCAGCGGTGACAGATGATTGATCCGTAAAATTGCTAACGATCAGAAGCTCAAAATAGAACGCAGCCTTCATTAACACGTGCTTTTTAAAGTCAGAATGCCTAAAATAGGTCTCTAAAGCTAACAAGACCAATCACATTAGCTCATTTCCATATTCTGCATCTGGCTTTAAACCGTCCTGGTTCTTAATCTGCACACAACACCTCCAGCATCTTGACCCCCCTGTAAAGAAGAAGGGTTGTGTTGTCTCCATAAGAGAACAGTGCGGGCTGCTTCCTGTGCCACATGTGTGTTATATCATTAGACATGCGCTGTATTCTTCGGGTAAAAATCTACACTAACATCCCTGTAAACACCAGGCAATGCCACAAAGAAACGAACGCAGTGCTGTGTTTCTGCTTCAGTGGTGAGAGGAAGGAGATTCTTACAGTAAACATGTTGTTTCCTGATAAATTATCTCCGAAGACCCTCGGTGTGTTCAAAGCTACGTTGGGAAGCTCAGCTTTATGTTTCGTCTGACTGTATTTCGTGTCACCAGCAGCTCCCTCTGCTTTGTGATGCTGCTTGTATCCCAAGGCAGGAGAACCTCTGCTACTTTAGTACAGGATCCTTTGAGATGTAATTTTCTTGCGTGTGATGGGGAGCGTGAAAGGAAGACGGGGCAGGCTTGCAGCAGCAGTCTAAAGCAGCTGGTCTTTCATTTCACTAAGGCTTTTGCTGCATTGTCTGGTAAAACCCTGGAGGGTTTAAAGAACATTCCCTGTTTGATTTGATGCCGGTACCACCTACTCTTTTATGTATGAAACCCAAACGGTGGATTCTGCTGCAGTGGAACATAGAAGTCCACCTGACAGATCGTGTAGATGTAAATCAATGCAGAGCCCTTTAATCTTATGATGAAAGCCGTTTTCGGACCATGCTGAAATTACAGTCCACTCTGATGATGACCTTTACGTTTGCTGAGGTGGTGACAAATATTGACTAGATAAAACATGTTGGTTACTTGCTAATCTGCGTCTTTCCCCTGTGAGTGGTTACTGTGAGTCATTAACACCAGCCTATAGGCTATATTGAGCCCTGCATGTGCTTGCCAACACATCATTCCCTTTTTACAGAGGCAGTCATTTATTTGGTTCCCGTGTCAGCATCATGCATGTAATCAACATTTTTAATTGATGTTAAAAGAGGGATGCAAATGCAGATCCAAGTCCAAGAGCAGCACGCTGCGGTTCTCTCTCATTCTTCATGTTTTGTTATTATTATTCCTCAAAGGCAGAAGACGGAGTTAAGGAAGCCTCCTGAGCTTAATTTATGAATTTTAAGCATTGCTCGGATCCTGCACAACCTAGTTCTGATACATTCTGTGCGGGCTAAGTAATTGTTTGGTGTGGCTTGCTTTACTCGATCGATGCAATGGCATTGTTTTGATTTTGTGTGCAGCTTTGAGATTAAGAATTCAGTTTGCTGGAATCTGAGTGAGCAGTCTCAGTAATTCCACCAGGAAGTGTCATACTTCACGAGAAACAGTGTTTGCAGGCAGCGTGTCTGTCTAGAAGTCTCTTTCACGGCTGTATTTCTACTATTAATTGTTTCCCCGTGGACCTTGTAGAACTGCACACCTTATCGATTCCCTCATTTGGTTGAGTGAAAGTCCCCCAGCGCTGCGGGCGTATGTAAGGACTCTCTCACAACTGATTCTGTTCAGCGTGGTTTGCCAAAAAAAAAAAAAAAAAACCTCTCAAGGGAATGCCTTCAGGTGATTTATCCAAATAACAGTGAGAGTCTTCATTTGCATTCTTGCACCCGTTGCTGTTTGTCTGACGCCTCCTCTGGACGTCTCCTCCAGCTCCTCTGAGTAAAAGGAGAGGTCTGTTCTTGACCTAGCTCAGCTGAAAACCTGCATTCTGCTTGTCCATCAGGGCACTGACTTAGATAAAGTCATCTGTTCACCTGCGCCGCATTCAATTCCCAAACGTAGCATGACCAGCAGCCGGTCGGCTCCAGCAGCCCTCTCCCCGTGCATCCGGGGGAAGCTCTGCTCTTTGCCTCATTTGCAAGAGTGACTAAACTCCTTACTCGCCCGGCTGTGGGATTCTCCTCCGTCTTTTATGTGATGTGACCTTAATTGGAAGTAATGTCTCGACTCCCGGGGAATGATAGGAGATGAGCATTCCCCGGAGGGAATGCTGCTCACATAATTTGAGGAACAACATGGAAATAATAACACTGGGTGTAGAAATCAGTCAAGCAAGTAATTTAGTCTCAAATGTGTCTGCTGACCAGAAGTCTGGGATCTCTGTGTAGTTTTCCACCAGAGTACACTTCACGTTGTTCTCGGTAACCACGAGACACGACTGGACGTGTTCCCACTCTGTTATGTTAATTAGATTTAATTTAAATTCCTCGTTTTGCAAACTTGCAGCACTATAGCTTGTAGTCTGACTATGTTGTGCAAAAGCCTTCACAGACTGTAGGTTTCTTGAGCTGACAGAGGGGTAATGGTGGTTCCCTGAGGGACTGCGTGCTGAGGGGGCAGGAGAACTAAGAGTATAAAATATAAAAACAGAGAGTGTTAGGCCGGGGACACACTGGCCGCGGAAGCGCCGCGAAGCGCCGCGAAAATGGGACCGCCTTCATTCGGCGCCCTTGTTAAGCTATTCTATAGACCACATGGGCCGCCGAAGCGCCGCGAATCGCCTCGCGCCGGCGCGCGCCGGCGCTCCAGCCCGCGCCGTGCAGCGATCATTTCGGCGTCGGCTCTATTTTTTTCGCGAGCCGCGGGTGAATCGCGTCAATTCTGGCAGGAAGTCAAACGTAGACATAAGAGGCAGGCCGGTAAAGTTAACAAAATAAAGCATTTCAAAATAAAATTCCGCAATAGTCAAATGTGTTCGTAAACAGACACTGCAGAAAAACCACACGAACACGCACACACATACACACACATCGAACTTGTGTGCGTGTGTGACCACGTGAAGGGGGGAGTGGTTTTGGGTGTCTTTTCACCGGAGCAAACAGGACAGAGAGGCAGAAAGTCTGAGGCAAGCAGTTAGGATGGATGACTTTAAATTAATTATGGAAGTTGAGAAACACAAGGAGCTGTACGACCCCCGAAAAACATGATTGTTTACGTACCCATGTCGGAAGAAACTGCTAGGATACAGCTGCAGAATTGGAGCGGGTTCCAAGAGATTCAACTGGCAGAAACAACTCATACCATAGGTTCACACACACGCGCGCGCGCGCGCACGCGCACAAACACTCAAACGTAGGAAAAGAGCTGAGAAAAGGCAGAGAGGAAATGGAGGACACCAAGTGTTTAAAAGAAAAACTACAGCTGAGCCGAGGCGCGCCTCGACTGGGGCGCGTCTGATCTGAACTGAGGAGCGGCGAGCAGCGGCCGAATTTCGTGAGCGATTCGCTTCTCGGCGCTTCGCGGCGCTTCCGCGGCCGGTGTGTCCCCGGCGTTAGAAAGGCCAGAAAGCGTGTAGCCTTGGACATCAATCAGCGTTGGACTGCACTAAAAGTTCAGACATCACTTGTAAGTTGTCCCTGCAGGTGTAGCTGGTAGGTTTTTAATTTGAACATGTTGTGATGCTGCAGTCCAGGATATCTAATAAAGAGGAGATCTTGGCAGGAGTTCTGCTCTGGCAGACCTTGTTTATCTTTCACTCATCGCAGGGATGAAGAAATCCTGCTTCTCTGGGCTCAAAACATCAAAACTCTTATGTTTATAAATGCACACAGCTGGATGAAAACTCAGAGACAACAAATGTTTCTGGATGGAGAGCAACGACCCCGATTTTATCGCTCCCTCTTTGATAGATTAGTTCATTTTCTGTCATCTTGACACCAGATGCATGGATTCTTATGGGCCATTCCCATCTGTACCGGGTCGGCCCGGGCCGGGTAGCGTAGGTTGTTTACATATCTGGGTGGCCTGGTATTTTTCCGGGCCAACCAAGGCTCATTCTCAGCCCTCTTCTCGAGGGGGTCTGCTTCAGGCCGACCAGGGCCAACACGCCCACTGCTGACAGCAAATTCACACCTTCCATTAGAGCAAGCCTCTGATTGGTGGGTAGAATCAGCCCACATGGGCTTAAGACAAGGATGTGTGAAATCAACCGGGCCAGGCTGGGGCCGACTGGGGCTACCCGGCCCGGGCCGACCCGGTACAGATGGGAATGGCCTATAAATGTGAGCTAGCCGGAGGGATGAAGGTGTGTGGTTTCGCACAGGAAGTGCAAAGGAATTAAAGGTGGATGTTGGAACACAAATCAGGGACAGCTGGTGTCACCCAGGGAGTTCGGAAAAGCAGCAATCTGTTAACCGGCGAAGCACGCGGTTGACCTTCCTGAGTGGCCCACCTCTCCAAGGTTGGCGGCGAGGTAAACGGACAGCAGCAAAGATCTGAGGTTTAAGCCAAAGGGGAGGAAATCCATAACGAAGGATGGGTTTTACTGCTGCTGTCTCAGTTCTTCAGACACGCGTTTCCTGCAGAGCCAGTCCCACGGAGTACAGAAAATGAACATACTCTAGCTGTGAACGGTGAAAGCTCATGATTGGTTCAGACGATGGAAGTGGAGAGCTGCAGACTAAACCCTCCCCCGTAGTAACTGTGGTTTTGTGAAAAGTTTATTCCATCATTCCTAAATAGCGCTGTTATATGACCTCATTAATCATGTACTGTAAAGCTGTTCATTAAATCTGGATGATGGAAAACTCTTAATTTTTTTAAATGCTGTGATTTTGTGGGAAATACAAATATTCATTTGGAAAAAATGTGTACTTGAAATTCTGGTGACAATAGTTTTATGTGGTTTTGTGTCGGAGCCCAGAGGACAGGTCCAGGGTTTACCAACTACATCTCAAATTCAAACGTGAGTTTTCTGTTTCACTTCTGCCAGGGCATTTTAAACTCGCGAAGAGAGAAATAAGCTGCTAGTTTCTTTTTTAAGTTGGAGGATTTTATGGATTGATTTCAGCTTCTGAAGAAAACCTGTATGTTTCTGCGATTTTTAATAAACTGACTCAATAAGAAACAAAAGCCTCGGGGGTGACAATAATTCCTGCCTCAATTACAAATGGCTTCCCCAACCGCAACAGTTTTACGCCTTTCTGCAATTAAAAAGTGGTGTAATTTGGTAACGCCTTAGTAACGCTGAAGATAAAGTCTGAGTCCCCCAAGGCTCTGCGACCGTTTGTCTGACTGTGGCAGTGAGGCAGCACTAACGTCCTCCTGTTCTGCTCTGCCCTCATTCATCACTGTTGTTTGTTTTCTCTCCAACATCAGGACCTGGGGAGTACGGACGGTCCCCCGCGGAACTGGAAGGGCATCGGGATTGCCATGGTGGTGATCCTGGCCGTCATGTCTCTGGTCATCCTGTCCGTCTTCCTCCTCACGCCTGGTAAGAACAGTGGAAATGAGACAGAGAGGACAAAGAGGCTGCGAAGAGCCGGAGGGAAGTCGACAAATCAAAGCAGGGAGGAGACGTTGAGCTGGGAGCTAATGCAATAGTTTGTCAGATTGGCTGGAAAGGCTTATTTGCCTTCTGGTGCGAAGTTGGATGAGAAGATCAATTCCATTCTGGAGTCCTTCTGGTGAAAATGGCGCAACTGCCAACAGCGTTTAACTCCGAATAAACAGAACAGGGGTGCTCTTCTGACGCCGTTAAACTCCACTTGCTCTCATGTTTGTTTAACGTGTGGAAAAATCATGGCATAAATAAAACAATTCACATTTTATGAGGTTCAAATGTCTTTTGACGATTTTTGTCTCTTAGCTGTTGCCAGGCAACCAGGGGAGAATCCAAGAAGTTGCCTTTTTTTCAGCCATAAAAAAATCCAGGAGGGATTATAAAACCCCCATGAACAGTCAGTGCTTGGTGTTGGTCTCCGTTCTGTTCAGGCAAAGCAGACATGGGTGGAAATAGAGCTGGGCAGTAAATGGAAAATGTATCGTTACCGAAATTTCTGACTCTTATCGAAATAAATTTTCCCATGTGCTCTTTCAGGGACACCAATTTTAACAAGTTAGCTGATCTACTTGATTGCATTGAGCGTATTAAGGACTGGCTAGCCAGTAACTGTCTTCATTTGAACTCAAGCAAGACTGAAACACTGAGCATTGCTCCTGAACAGAAAGTGCTTTTAATCAGTCGGAGGAATCTTCCCGCTGATCTGAATCTGATGCGGCTCTCTGTGCTTGTAAAATAATGAATGGATATTTAAATAAAATGCTTTATATTTTACTGAATTAATTTTATATCTGTAAGTCAATTCTATGTAAAGATTGTCTGCGTAAACCTGAACAGGTCCAACCCAGTCTTACTGTGAGACCGGGTTGATGGGTCACGCTTGTGCGTAATCATATAGGCGCTTCCTGAGCCGACGAGGATGTGAGATTCTGGGATTCTCCTCAGACGGCTCCTGGATGCGTCGCCACATTGGGGACAGGAACAAGCACTATTCAGCCAAAGTTTCATAATCAGGGAACATTTTCTAAGTGACAAGTCTCTCTGAGAGACAGGGTTTGGAAAACACTCGCTTCAGTGGGAGGAACCTTCCCGCATGCGCTCTGGTTCTGCGACGCGCTCCAAGCCAATCTCCACAACTTCAGCTCGCTGTGCACATAGGCGCTGACAGCGAGCTGTCCAGCTCAGATGTTCAGATGGGAATCTTTTAGCTACATCTGCAATGTGCATAACGAATAAAATGTCTGTTCGTCTGTTGTGTTTTCTTGTGAAAATTGTTGGAAAGAGATCAAATTTAACTTGATTAACACCAGAGCCAGTGTGCCGTTATCTCCGTGACGGTAAATGAGGGAAAAACAAATAGATCGGATCCTGCACGTCTTTTAACACATTGGTCAGGATTGACGCACTTTGTTTTCATTTAGTTGGTTAAAAAAAAGTCGGGCTCGGGCTCGGGTCGGGCCAGAGAATCCTGAAAACCTTTTCGGGCCGGGTCGGGCTGGGGCTCCACCCCCTCGGGCCGGGCCAGACACGGGCTCAGATTTTAGGCCCGTGCAGGGCTCTACTGTAGTTATCGTCCATTTATCGTTATCGCGGTGAAATCCTCAATACATCATGATATTGATTTTAGGCCTTATCGCCCAGCCCTAGGTGGAAATAAGTGCAGTGTGGATGTCTAAACACTCACAAGGGTTTCTTGTTTTGGGGTTATTTACTATCCAGGAATTAAAGCAAATGTCTGCTCCACATTGCTGAACCTTTGCTGCAAATGGTTTGTGGTGATGAATCCAAGATGATGCTCAAAACTAAACGTGTGTTTCTGCTCCTAAAGACGAGTCCCGCTTGTTGCTCCATTCCCATGTGACCATGGAGGATCTGGAGAGGGAAGACTTCAAAGTTCATGACCCCTCTGTGGAATGGCTAAACGGTAGGAAATCGTGTCCAAATTGAGCTGCGTGTGTTTGTCGCTCAAGACTTTTCCCCCCGGATCAATATTTAAACCATTCAGTCACTAGTCAAACCTGAACTCCTGCAAAAGTGGAGGAAATGGCGTTCTACCGACTTCATCCTGCATCAGTTCACAAGCTACAGCAGCTAAACGTGTTTTTCTGATAGTGTTTCTATTGCACATGTAGGTGACCTATGTTAATGTTTAGGCTGGGCCGTTGTCACATGCACAGAAGTGAAAAAGCAAATAGCATTTATGCTGATGCTCAGGATCTGGCGGTCCAATCTTTACCTTTTTCTGAAGCAGTATATTTTATTTTGAGTGTTTTTAGTAGGATTGTCCTACGTCCTTTCTGTTGTTGCTGTTAGCAAAACGCAGCCGATTCTAAACGGGAGCGGTGGTCAGCTGTGTCTGACGTACTCATTGTGTTCCTAATTATGTTTTCCTCCATGATCACGAGAAGTGCTGGTGCTTTTGCAGGATTTCGCCATGGTTGTACACTCCTCCGCACCAAAAGAAGAGAAGAGTTATGAAATACGACTATCCCAGTTTTCCCGAACCCAACATCAGTCTTTTACTCAGATGTCCTGTTTCATATCGACTGTTATACATCAGGTCTATACACTGAAAGTATTATAAGCCTTTCAGTGTTGGCATCAATGCTGATTATTTAGCAGTTACATGGAAGAGGAAACATCCCGGCCTCCTTCAGATCTGAATGGTCATTTTGTGCAAATATTTAATGTTAAAAACACAATCAGATGAATGCATTTAACCAATTGGTTTAATTTAATTAATTAACTGTTGTAGAATGTGGATAAATGCAGTGCAGTGTCAAAAGAGCAAATATCAGGGCCTTTTCTGCACAAGCGCTGCCTGCCTGAACCCAGAAGGACCGCTACAGATAAACCAATTATGGCACATGCTTCTGCATCAATGACAGTTCTCGCAACATTTGAAGGATGATTAAAACATAATAAAATAATAAACTCAGCTGTGCTTGTCAGTTTTCACTCTACACAGCTATTTTTTGACTTGTGTGAACCCTGACAGAGAACGAAGTGGCCCTGCGCACCAGAGAAGGACATGTTCTGACATTCAGCCTCAACAACAACCTGACCACGACTCTGCTGGACAACTGCTCACTGGTAGGGTGGATTTCACTTCTATTGGCTGACATACACTGAGACTTCTGCTCGGGATGTGTGGTGTCTAGCAGGGGTTGTATGAACTAGTCGACTTCACCGCTCTGTAGTGACTTTTTATGCCTTTCAGCGACTAGTCACTGTCACGTGATAATGAGCGACAACATGCAGTTCTCGGAAAAGACAGCAGGTGACGAGCTCCTGCGCGTCGGGGGGTAACACACTGTGCCAGAGTGTCGGTACTGACACCCACCGTAAAACGTACATTTAACCAAATTGTGACGTTTACCCTCTTGCAATTTAACCTTCCTCTCACCCCCATCCTAATCTTAACCAGCTTGCGCATGCAAAGCTCTGATTGTGGACGCGCTCCAGACATCTGCGTCCTGAGCACGGCCACAGTAACATTATCAAATCAGGTGTCGCCACCTCAAAAACTAATTTAACACGCGATCGTTCATGTCGGCTTATTTCCTTTGATGTTTTCTGTCTTTTATTCTTTTATTTGTGCCTGATGCTTTTCGCTGCTGTGGAGCGGGGCGCATCACCTGTTTTGTCCTCCAATAGCTTCACCTCACTGATGTGGTCGGCGAGCAGCGGCACTCCGCTGTTTTTGCGGTCGGTAGATCTTTTAGAACTGCAGTTCAAAGGTAACTCATGAGGTGAATATATATGAACCCAGGTAGCAGTTTTTCTTTAGGACTGAGAGGAGATGCAGGAAGATAATAAACAGACAGGACAGAAAAATAGTCAAATAAAAACAAGTTAGTTTTTGTACCTGGTGGTTGCAACAAACAAACACCACTGAAGGTAATCAGAAGTGAGGAACAGAAAATGAAATAATTATTTTAATGTGTAGAGCAGCAGGAACTCCGAGAGGCTGCAGACGCACTGCGCAGGGGGAGGGGGGAGAGGGCTGAAGCAGAAACTACCGCTGCTAAAAGAGATGTGTTTAACTTTGAAAATGTGGCCGCAGTTTTAATTGTCAAAAACTCCAGCGAACACCCCCCCACACACACACCTCCCCCCCGCGTGCGCCGCTTCAGGTGTATGACATCATCAACGACTAGTCAAAGTCGACTCGATTTTCATTACTCGCTAGTCGACTTTAAAAAAAATTAAGTCGTGCAGCCCCTAGTGTCTAGTTAGGACACAGAAGGCAGGAAAAGTTCTTGTAGATGTCGAAAAATGTTCAGTTGTTTTATGGAACAAGTGTAGACTGATGCTGAACATCTTAAAATGAAACCCGCATTTCACCAGGAATGCACACAAACAGGGAATGGATTCTCTCCAGTTTCAGTGAGCAGAACTTCTGCTGAACTCTCATTAAGCGTGTCTGTGCTCTCCACCTATCGTGACAGGCTGTGTAAAAGGGAGCTGCATGGCAATAAATTAAAGTCGGTTGTGTCTTCTCCTCTCTACCCGAAGTCCTTTGCATTATCCGAATGCATGCACAGGTAGATGGGGACTCGTACAGATGCCGTGTGGAGCTGTTGCACCACACTCCATATTTTCCCCCCACGAAATAAAGGTTTGGCAGGCTGACAGTATCTGCTTATTTCCATCCAATCTTGTTCTGCTGTGATCCTCGGCATGTGCCTTCAAAGAGAATTTTGCAGAGAGGGCATCATTTTGAACACCGCCTCTGTGCGACACTGACAGACTTATGTGGGTCATCGCAGGCACGTTCAAAGCTGGATTGTGTAGTCAGGTTGAAAAGTCTCATCTGTGTAGAGATATGGTTTCCCCCAGCAATGAATTGCTGAGACAAAATTAGTCTGCAATGATTATATAATAAAAATAATAATTATTATTATTATATGTATTTGTTATTGTTATCAGTTGTTATCAGTAATAATGATGATAATAATAATAATAATAATAATAATATTTATTATTATTATTATATGTATTTGTTATTGTTATCAGTTGTTATCAGTAATAATAATAATAATAATAATAATAATAATATTAATTATTGTTATTATAAATCTACTAAGATCAAAAGTTTTGTGTGGGTTTAAAGATTTAAAAATGCAAAAACATGCAATAAAATGCTAGAATTAGTTTAGTGACACGCAGAATGCTTTAACTCTTGATAGAATTAGTACAACATGATGAAATGTGAACTGTACAGGACACGTTACTAGAGGTGCTGTTATGGGCCATTCCCATCTGTACCGGGTCGGCCCGGGCCGGGTAGCCCCAGTCGGCCCCAGCCTGGCCCGGTTGATTCCACACATCCTTGCCTTAAGCCCATGTGGGCTGATTCTACCCACCAATCAGAGGCTTGCTCTAATGGAAGGTGTGGATTTGCTGTCAGCAGTGGGTGTGTTGGCCCTGGTCGGCCTGAAGCAGACCCCCTCGAGAAGAGGGCTGAGAATGAGCCTTGGTTGGCCCGGAAAAATACCAGGCCACCCAGATATGTAAACAACCTACGCTACCCGGCCCGGGCCGACCCGGTACAGATGGGAATGGCCCATTGGTGTCTCACAGCATCAGGTGCCTGAATTCTTCACATGATGACGAGTAAGTAAATACAGTCCAGTGTTTGAGGGAATTTAATAAATCAATTATAAACAGTGTCATGAATATTCTACTTAATTGGTTAAATTCTCATAAATGCAAACAGATCTTTTATGTAAAAGCCAAAGATCTTCTTTTCCTTCCTTCTAAGTCGGCGAATAATGACATCTTAACAAATCTACAGTTAATTTATTAATTTTTACACACTGAGAGAATGATGGCACAGCAGATGTAATTTTGAATGATGATTTAATTCAATTCAGTAATGTTAAAAACAATACAAAGATTCAAATCTAAATGCTACGTAAATCCTAAATATCAGAATAAATATAAAAAAATACTCCGTATTAGAATCAAAGCTAAATATTTAACCAAATTATATGAAAATTAAATATATAGATTTTAACCCTTTGATGCATGAATTATGAAATCTTCAACCATGAATTTTTAAACATTTGTTTCATTCATTTTTAAGTGTGAATGAAACAAATTTCAACAAATATTTTTGTAATATTTTGTTAATTTACAAATAAGTTATTACATGTCCACCTCAGTGGACAGCGTGCATTCTGAACAGGAAATATGTTGGCTAGGACTTACTGAAGTCCAAATGGAGGGGCTCAAATGCAATAAAGTCTTCAACAGCTGTGCTTACTGGCAAAAAATAAATAACAATTTTGAATACCTGTCCACTGTAGTGACCATTATGCATCAAAGGGTTAATATAAATTATATATAAAATATAAAAAGGTAAAATTAATCTGTAATACCAGAATAAAATCTATTTTTCAGCCTAACAAAAATATTTAGAATGGAATCTAAATATTTTGAAATGCAAACTTTTAAAGTCTAATCTAGATATAGTAGGCTATATAAAGTCCTAACAGTTAAAATGTGGAAATCTTCTACTATAAATGTGCTGCAAAATGAGATGAGTCTTTTAAAACAAAAGCAGGGTGAACAGATCCCCTATATAATGTCTTAGAGCCCGCTTGATAGGGAGTCTGTTTATAACTATGGATCAGATTTTCATGTGCAGAAGATCCTGAAATATTTCTCCACTTTGTTAAAAGTCAACAACAAATATCTTCTTCTTCCTGGGTGATGCATTCACTTTGTAAGGCGCAGTTTGCATTGCCTCTTTTTCAATAAATAAAAGAATGAATGCTCTGATTAAAAAGATTGGGTCTTAAATGCAACATGCGTAGCTCTAACGTCTCAGAGCTGCACCGATGTTACATCACACAAGTGGAGACGCGCTTTCAACGTTGATACAACCTATAAAACCAGAACTTTGCTTTTGATCATGCAGCTCCTCACAGACTGGATCACCCTGCTGGTTTTTCATCTGGACCTCACGGGTCCACTTTAGAAAGCTGATGTGTCTGACTTCAGTCCACATGTTCACACTGTTGTCCTAAATCCGGTGCCTCTGAGATGGGGCGTGTTGCTGCTGCTGCGGCTCTGGAATTGCTTGACAATGTTTTCCCATCAGTACTGTGCTTCTGTCAGCTGTTGATGAATGACGGTTCTTGTTGCAGCGCTGTCAGGCGGCTCAGGTTTGCCCTCCTGCCCCCAAATGCCTCCAGACTTGGTGAATCATTTATTAGTAAAATTAAAGCACCGCCATGCATTGCTGTCACCCGATGTTTAACTCTGCAACATCCTGCATGGTTAGTCTTGAATAACCATATGCTTCTTTGAGCTCAGTCGCTGTACAATAGGCAGAGTTAAAGATCTTTTTATAGATTTTTAATTGTTGCGACTCCAAAGTCAGTCAGTCGCAGATGACTCACTTTGTAAGGCGCAGTTTGCATTGCCTCGATATTATTGACCTGCATACACTGGTTGTAGTATATCAGGCATATCAGGCTCAACTTCCACCTTACCTCCAAAGGACGTTTGAACTAAGGGAATGAGGATATAGTCTAAGAGGAACTGGGATTTTCAAAATAAAAGAATATCAGAACCAATTAAAAACAAAGATGTATCTCAGTAAGAGGAGTGAGTTTATGGAATAGCCTCGAGGACAGATTTGCTCTTGAAAATATTCAAAAAGAGTTTTAAAAATAATGCCTTACATAATTACCAAGTGCACCAAAATTAGTTTTGTCACACTTTTATACCTCTTGATTGATTTTGTTGAAATCAGGATGTTGCATGTAATAACTGTATTGTTTATGTGTTTATTTACTTTTGATATTTATGACAATGTTGATTTTTTTGTAATGAATTAATGGGTAGGATTAAATAAGTTTAACTTCAGCCTATACCTTTTCGCTCATAAATTATATCTTAAGAAACTGTTTAATTTACAAGAGGAATTTGTACCTGTGATAATTATTATTATTATGTTCTTTATTAGATAATTATTTTCCTTTTCATGTGTTTTATATGTATTTGTTATGACGGAAAAATAAATGCAAATAAATAAAATTTAAAAAAAGAACATCCAGTTATTCCTCGTTAGAAGTGTTAATATAATACTCCAAGCGATTTATGAGATATTTAGTTACAACTACAGACAAAACACATCACTTCACATCCTGCAATAAGAACAATGAGAATATGTTTAAAAAAAAGCTGAAGTGAGAATTGTTTCTTTATAACTTTTGGTCAATTATGTTTTTTTTTTTCATTAATCAGTGAATTTATTTAGAAATTTTTTTTTTTTTGTAAAATTGTTTATACTTATTTATTATTTGTTTTATTTTATTGTATTAGTGGGTTGACAGAATTTATTGTTTCCTCTAGACAGTTTTAATAAGGTTTTATTAAAAAGTAATCAGACGGTAATAAATCTGGAGACTGTTCTCATGGATTATTTAGATTTTTAGGGTTAATTAAGAAGAAACTCTCCCCACTTAAGCTGCTGCTTTTACAGGTGAAACTCAAAAAGTTAGAATAAGAGTCTAATTAACCCAGCTTAGACTGAGAGACCATCTAAAGGCTCAGGAACCCTCTGCAGGTGTTCAGGATTCATGAGCTGATTAGAGTGTGACACTTTGAGTCTAGAATATTGAAGCTTTTCACAATATTCTAATTATGTGAGATTTTGAAGGTGGTGTTTTCATCAGCTGTAATCCATAATCATCACAGTTGTAACAAATGAAGGCTGAAATATCTGGGTTTGCATGGAGCGAGTCCATCTCATAGATTCATTTCATATTTTTAGATGAATTACTGACATAAAAGAAATTTTGCACCATTTAGAAATTTTTGTTTCACCTATAAATGCACAAGACGCTATGTGATTGCCTGATTTTACATTGTGTGTTCTTCCAGCACAAAGATGTTTTCAGTACAAGCTTTTTATATTTTAAACTTGTGTATGTCCACTTTACTGCAACACCAATCATGATCGGTGGCAGCATGACTGCTAACGCAGCTTTTTCTCTGCAGGACCTGACCTCCACTAAGTTCCAGGTGTCTGCAGACAAGTCGTTTGTCCTTCTGGCGTATAACATCCGACCGGTAAGTTTGACTCAAACAGACCTCATTATGGAGCATTTTACCTTCGGAGTGCATCCACAGACATAAATCTTCCTCTAATTTCAAAGACAAGGGATCACCGCTAACAAAGTTCTGCTCGTCTGACAGGCCACTTGTGGCTGTTGAGCAGAAGTGATGTGCAATTTCTATCAGAGCCCTGATGAAACAACAGGGAGAAGGAGGTGGCACATGAGGGGGGAGGGTGGGGGTGTGTGTTTTCCTGCTACTGCAGCAGACCGTAGCTTCAGAACAGCCGAACGACCGGGATAACATATGAGCGGTTGAATATTTAAACTGGCTCATTGCAGAAGGTGCAGAGGGTTGAGAGAAGCTCTGGGGAGAGATCGCTGTGAAGTGTGCAGCGGAAAGCTGCAAAGGAGAGAAAAGAGATGAGGGAGATGAAGAGGTAAAGTTGGAGCTGCAGTAATGAAATCACCCCGTCGGATCAGCTGGGAATTTTAACGAGAACTTGCAGAGAATCACAATCGCAGGTTTCTGATAAGATGGAGGACGAAGGGGATCTCGTCTTACTCTTAACGCCTTATATCGTTTGTCATCCCACCTGTATGATCTCACGCTGCAGAAACATGCGTTTTATGCAACTCATCCATAAAATGAAAGTGCGAATTGTACAACGTGCAAGTAATCTTCCATGCAGGAAAACCAAATTAGGAGAAAATGAAGGTCCTCGGCCCATTCCCCCCCCCCACATTTTTATTAAAAATCTCCAAGCAGATTTGCCCGCTCTCATTTGTTCAGCCCTCACAGTCTCGGTTTTCTTTGGAGACCAGCTTCTCGACTAATCACTGCGTATCTTATTTTCCCTGTGTGGGGAACGAATGAGCCTGTTGCTGCATCACAGCATTCATCACAAACACGGTGCTTCCATATGGAATGAATTATTGAATGGTTAGCATGCATTCCATCTGTTTTCCACACATCTCTGGGAGGGGGGGGGGGGGCGTAGGTCTTTGCCCAGTTTGGGTCTTTCTGTTGGATGATTTATAGCATGTTTCCTCTGATATCAGCAGGAACTGTCTCGTTGTTTTATAAGCTCAGAGTATCAGAGCACAAATACGCTGAAGATGAGGAGAACCCCACCTGGAAACATCGATTTATTCAGAAATAGGTATTTGCATGTAAACACTGCAAGCTGTGTGTGTGTGTGTGTGTGTGTGTGTGTGTGTGTGTGTGTGTGTGTGTGTGTGTGTGTGTGTGTGTGTGTGTGTGTGTGTGTGTGTGTGTGTGTCCCCCTCTCCCATCTAACCCTCCTTCATTTTCCTCAGCCTCACTCACTTTCTTCTATCTATCTCTTGGGGCGATTTGTGCTGACTGAAGCAGTTTGCACCAGGCAACGCGGCTCGGCTGTTCAGAAGAGGAGCGCTTCAGAGAGTGGCAGAAAATGCATGAGAAAAACGGAAAGCCACTCCGGGTGGCGGGGGGATGATGGATGGGATGTGCGCCGCTTGCCCTTAGATACACTGCCCAGTTGAAATCAATTGGAATGATCATCAAAGGGTGTCAGGGATGCAAGAAGGAGAGAGCTGCAAGAGAGAGAAATGGATGAGCGGGCGTGTGTAAAGTTGAAAGGCTTGACTGGGTTCTGTATTCGCTCAGGAGGATCTGGAGGGGCGGCGCCTGCTGGGGGGAGAATAAATGGATTTTGAAAAGAGGGAATCCATAGAAGCTATTTGGGGATTTTGACACAAAGGAGCAAGACAAGGCAGGAGAACGTCTCCCCCCGAAGCCTGTTTGAATTAGGCGGCTTTGCCTTTTGAGTTTGTGTGAGAGGAGAGAATAAACAAGTAGACATTTCTGAGCGGCACAAAGAGAGATTTCAGCAGTTTTCGGGACTGACGTGCAGAAGCAACCAGAGCCTTCCGAGATAGTGGGATATAGGGACAAACGGCGCGCCTGGGGAGTTGTGTCTGCACTCTGCAGCAAAACGCAGATGGGTGCTCGTAAAGGCACACTGGGCTGCTAAGAAGGTCCTTGTGAGGCAGCAGTGGCATGGAGAAGAATGGATGCTATTATCTCCTCATTGTGAGGAATACGGCTCCAAACTTCTGAGCTCATTCAGCACTTGTTGTAATCTTCACACATATCCTTTGTCACATTATCCTGCACTGTCTGCTGAGTGTTTAATCTGTGCGTAGTGCCCCTCTCCTCTGTGTTGGGTGTGGGTAGTAAACGGAGGGGGGACAGGAGAATTTATGATCTGCTACTGGCACTCACATTAGAATTCACTCTGCCTCTTGGAGACAGATGCTCTGCCTCTTCCTTTCTGTTTATCACACACACTCACACACGCGGCCACAACAACGCCGAGGCTGCCAGCGGCAGCACCACGGTAAATGACACGCAGAACCGCTGGGCCTCTAAACGCATCTGAAAATGCTGATTGAACACAGCGCTGATGGCGAGACAACCTTGAACTTCCTGGCCTGTTCCCATGTCCCCGTTTCTTGTTTTCCTTTCGGTTTGCTCAATTCCCGCCTCCCGCTTTTCCTTCCTTGCACTTTTGCCCCTCGTGCTCAGTCTTAACGCCGCGATCAAATTTCAATTTCATTTGGGCAGCCTCGGGATTTATTTCCCACTCTTCTTTTCCGTCGCCCCCTGCAGCCCTTTGCCATCCCAGCCGTGCGTTTTATTTCTAACAACAGACAAACAGGGCTGAAGAAAAATCCAATTTCACTGCTAAGTGTGCTGCATAGAGGATGTGACATTTAATTTCTGCAGGGACCGGTTTTTCCCAGTGGAAGGGGCTTTTTTTGGTGGCCAGTGGGCAAACCCACTGCCTCCAACCCTCCGCTTGAAAAACAGCAACAATGGAAGACATCAATACATTACCTTGAGTCCACTGGGGGTTGCCTTTGACTGGCTGCAATTAGCACACACACACAAATGCACACAACCATTAATCAGGGTCCACTTCAGCATTAATTTACTGATTCTGAGCCGCTCGTGCTTGAGTCAGAGCTGCCTGCCACAATAAGAGCTCAGTGGAACGGGTGTTAGCCTTTATGATGCTGTTTGAGAAGAACTTTTCTTCCATGTGACTTTCTTCTTCTTCACCTTTCCTCTTTTTTTCTTGGTCTCCAGCGAACACGTCACTTTAACTCACTTGAGGATCGCAGTGATGATGAAATGTGGATGAAACCACTGCAAGCATTTCAACAATAAGTTAAGCATAAATAACTTGAATGTGATTGTCTCGGTAACAGCCAGAGCAATAATAAGACGCTGCCCGTTCAGATCCAGATAATCACAGCGTTAAACGCTTTGCTGCTCTTGTTTCTGTTTGTTGGGAGAAAACAGTTTAATAAGTGTGGGATCATTGAACGCTTCCTTTCTAATTCTGTGAAATAATCTTGATGTCTTTTTAAGCAGTAGACCATTTAAAGCAGCTTTGCAGTAATTTAACAGGAACACAGGCAGCACGAATTCTGGTTTTGGTGCACGGTCTTGGTTAAAAGAAAGAAACTTCCTTGCATTTTAGAGTTTCAAGTATCAGGACATAATGTGATCTTTACCAGGTACTAAGGTGGTTTGGATCTAACTTCATATTTGCAAAACCCACAACAGATTATTATTTTGTATTAAACCCAAATGAAAAAGTGACTGAAAACAATGCATCCTTAAGGCTTCCACAGGATTTTAGAAAGAAATTAGCAGTCTGGATTTGCTGACCAGTGCATTGATTAAAGGGGACATGTACTACCTTTGATAAACACTCAACAACAAAATCCATCCATCTGTTATTATTATTATTTTTTTGTCAGTGTTTGGTTTTAGGAACAATGTGCTTAAAGCAAACTGTTTCAAAAAGTCCCTGTTTGTGATGTCACAAATAGGGAAATTAGCATAGAACCATCTCTCAAGTGCAGGAGAGAGAGCTGCTGCTGGGGGAGCAGTGTCTCTACTCTTAGCCCCTCCAGGATATCGGAGCTTCTCAGCTAATAGCAGCCTGAGTGGGGGATGGGTGGGTGTGACCAGCAACAGCTCTGATTAGACTGATTCTGAAAAGTACTGAAACTGCTGAAGTTGCTTTATGTGAGAGGGGTTTAGTGCAAAAAACGTCATAAGCTTGTTATTAAAGGCCACCTGTGTTTCTCAATGTCAAAGTCCCAAACTCAACACTTGCACTTGCACCTCAACTCAACTTTATTTGTAAATCGCGCCTTACAGGCAAAAAGATGCCACCAAGGCGCTACACTGATCAAGTAAAACATAAAACATTGAGTCCAGAAAATAAAAACATTGTATCACAAGTAGGGCTGCAACAACGAATCGATAAATTTGATGAAAATCGATTACTAAAAGCGTTGGCAACGAATTGCGTCATCGATTCGTTGTGTCGCACAACTCTTCCAAAAGCGCCCCCCCCCTTCCCGCCCGCCGTTGCGCGCAGACCAGAGCAAGTCAGATCAGCGCGAGGGAGAGCCGGCAGATCAGCGCGAGGGAGAGCCGCAGATCAGCGTGAGGGAGAGCCGGTACCGGCAGATCAGCGCGAGGGAGAGCCGGCAGACTTGCGCTGCTGCGAACCGGTTCCGCATTGTCGCGCAGCGATCTAGGCATCTGCTTCCAGCGCACGGTCCATTCTCAAAGTGGCGCAACCAAAAAACTATAATTAGCACACGATCGTTCATGTCCGCACGTGTTCTCTATTTTCTGTCTTATTTGTGCCTGAAGCTCGCTACTGCGGAGCTCATCACCTGTGCTGTGGTGATGTCACCTCACGCAGCATCGAAAACGCGCTCTGCGCTTTTCGGTCAGGAGATCCCTTTGATCTGCTCAAAAGTAACTGATGAGGTGAAAAGGTAAGAATCCAGGCAACAGATTTTCTGGAGAAATTATGAGGAGATGCAGGAAGATGAGAGACAGACAGGACAGAAAAATAGTTAAATAAAAACAAGAAAACAAAACAAAGTGTTGAAAAGTCAAATGTAGGTAGATTTATCTCCACGACACGTTTTTACCTGTATAAAACAATAAGTTATACACATGTCATATTTATACATCTGATACAATTCAGATCACCTTCAAAACTCAGTCACACACCCAGGGCCGTTTCAAGACATTTTGGGGGCCAAGGCAAAATGCCCCCCCCCCCTAACTGGGCTCCCCAGAAGCCTCTGTGTAATTCATGCCCTCTCCAGTAGCGTTAGTTATATGGTGTTTATAAAAGCCCCTCAGACATTACTGACATGTTCTAATATTATCAGATTTAAAACTAAATTATCAGACATGCTGTCTCATCTGCTTCTTTTAAAAACTTGCAAAAAGTAACAAAACCATTTGAAAGCCACTATTTGTGGATTCTCTGAAAGTTTCCATGGAGTGTGTGACAACTTATTTTTTCATTGATCCTATCGTCTAATCTCACAGCTGAAACAAGCATCCTTAATCATCTGTGCACAGGAAGCTTACCAATGCTGTAGTAAAACAAAAGGTATAATAATTTATTATTAATAAAACCTTGTTGCAGCACTAAAGCAGAAAAATGAGATTTTGCATTAAATATGCTAAATATTTACATATGAATTGTTTTAGAGCCCTTTAATTGGCAGAATCTGATATTAATTTAGTTCTTACAAAAAATGGGTCCCAACATGGTTTGTGTGGCGTTGCCATAGTGTGACGTCATAGGCACAGATCCCCTGTCCTCTTGTTTGGAAATGGAAATATGGTCACCCTACATTAAACAAACTGTCCACCCGGGCTTTTGCGCTGCACAGAGACGCTTCGCTGCCTACGACTGAATGTCAGTTGAGAGTCAGTCTCATGCAGACTGACCAATGAAGAGAGGGCCTCAAGTTAAGACCCTCTCCTCATTGGTCAGTCCACACGAGGTGGGTCAAAGGTTACTCTGGGCGGGTTACGTGTTGTCAGGCATTCAAGTATTGAGTATATTTACTGCATATTACAGTAAAATATTCTGTATGTGACCACATTATGGTGATCCTTGGGTCATGATGATGGAGCCCTTGAATATTGTTGCCCAGGGTACAACAAAGTGTTAATCTGGCCCTGGTTCCGCCGTCACATTCCCGCAGAAACTGGTTGATCACACCGGGGCCAGACTACTAGCATGTGGTTTTACAACCACAATGTCCTCAGAAGCAAAAACGCTTTTAAAAGGGAGGGAGGAGTCCTAACTGTTGCTGCAGGCGTGTTGTGTGAGAGTGCAGTTATATACTGGTTAATATATTTTTGGGTTCAGTTGCTTTCATGTGGCCTAATGTGAGTCTATTTGGGATCATTGGAATGATCAGCAGCATTTCTTGATGTGACTTTATGGCAGTTGCCCAGGGCATCATCGCAAGGAGGATGGCATTCATTTACTTTTGTTTTATTTGGTATTTTTTCAGTCAGTTTTGGAAATAGTGATCAATTTTGATTAATTCACAGCCTATGTTTAATTACATTTAAAATAAATGTTAACAGATGAGATCAAACAAAACAGATGAGAATTGCCCTTAAGCTGTTTAACTTGGACCAAGCATTTTAGGTCACAGATAGATGTAGCTTAGGGTCTCTGTCTATACACCTTATAAGACAATTTAGGTGATGGCATGTTGTTTTTCTGCTATTGAACTGTTTTCTAATGATTTTGTGTTAAATAAAGTGAAGGAAGGAGAGAAATAACGTTTCCCTAGCAGTTTTTAAAAATTTCCCCATGTAATCCGATTAATCGATTAATCGTGTCGAGACCCCATCCGATTAATCGATTATCCAAATAATCGTTTGTTGCAGCCCTAATCACAAGATACAGATAAAAATACAGTGAGTACACAGATTGCTGTAAGTAAAACAATAAAACTAGTTAGAAAGATTAAAAGACAGATCATAAAAGAAGGTTTTTAGCCTTGCCTTAAAAACCGCAACAGAGGTGGAGGTCCTTATGCTGAGAGGAAGCTCGTTCCAAAGCTTAGGACTTGCAACAGCAAAGGCCCTATCACCACGTGTCTTTAGGCGCGTTCTTGGGACCGAGAGGAGCATGAGGTTCTCCGAGCGGAGTGACCGTACAGGGGTGTACGGCTGAAGCAGTGACACCAAGTAAGGAGGGGCCAAACCATTTAACGTTTTAAAAACCAGTAAGAGTATTTTAAAACGAATCCTTACATCAATGGGCAGCCAGGACAGGAGTTATGTGGTCATACTTGCGCCTGCCCTCTAAAAATCTGGCAGCAGCATTCTGCACCATTTGCAGCCAGGCTATTGGGCCCTTGCTCACACCGAATAAAACAGAGTTGCAGTAGTCCAATTGCACCATAATAAAAGCATGGACTACCGTCTCAAGATCATGACGTGACGAAAATGGTTTGATCTTTGCCAACTGATGAGGGTGGAAAAAGGAGGAGGAGATCACTCCATTGATGTGGGTATCAAAACTAAGGGTGCTATCCAGTGTAACACCAAGATTAGTCACCACTGTAGTCAGCTGGCCATTAAATGACCCACAGTCAGTTAGGGAAGAGTCACAATGTCTGCTTGGAGCAAACAATATAGCCTCTGTTTTGTGATCATTTAGGCTCGGAAAATTTTCACTCATCCAGGTCTTGATCTCCCTCAAACAGTTTGTAAGAATAGAAATAAAGAGACCACTTGACATGTTCAGAGGCAGGTACAGCTGACAATCGTCAGCATATAGGTGGAATTGAACTCCAAGCTCACGACAGATGTCACCTAAGGGCAGAATGTAAACAGAAAACAACAGAGGTCCCAATATCGAGCCCTGTGGTACCCCCCAGGGTAGATCAGAGTACTCTGAGGAATAACTTCCCATCCTAGCACACATTTTTCTATTTGTCAGGTATGATTTAAACCATTCCAGGGCTAACCCTGAAATCCCAGCATAATGATGTAGACGGTGAAGTAGCACTTCATGATCTATCGTGTCAAAGGCAGCCGCGAGGTCCAGCAGAAGTAACAACACAGAATTACCGCTATCAGTCGCTAGATAAATGTCACTGAGTACTCTAACCAGTGCAGTCTCCATGCTGTGTAGAGCACCCTTCAATTTTGCGTTCCTGGCCAGGGGTGAGAGTGCATAGGGTGTCCCAATTCTCAAGTGCGGAAGTTGACCACGCCCCCATTGCACCCCTACCCTGCACTTCACCCAAGTCTGCAGCGATGCGGACCTCAGGCAAGGGTATTACCCACAAGTCATTGCTGCAGGAGAAAAGGCTCAAGTTCCTTTTCTGAAAATACGCATTTTCTAATGAAATTAGTTAATTTTAGGACAATTAGTTGACGCTCTAAAACCATTAGACAAAGCAGCAATAAATGTAAATTTATTTCAAATAACTGTTTGTTTAAAAGTTGTTAATAAAGGTTTTTGAAAAAGTATCACAGCGGCCAGCATCCCGGCATGCATTGCGGTCGATGACGCAATGCTCCCCGTCTCTATTCTGCTATTATTAACACACTTGTGTACTACGCACTCAAACCCTACTGCACACGTTTTCCAAGTGCACTTTGCTGAAGTCTGCAGGGCGCAGTGCGAGTATTCAGATTGGGCCAATGAACCTCACCTAGATGCCTTGGTCCCGCCCTGGTTGCCAAGGAAATCATTCATCAGGAGCCTCCAAGGCATGTTCCAATGTTCTTCTGAGTTACTTTATGAGTCAGAGGACTCCAAAGCACTTTATTCTGCTGTGAATCATCCATTCACATGCTGATGGTGACACACTGACAGAAACGATTATTGACCTTGTTTGACCACAGCTTTAGCGTGAGCAGGAGCATGTGTGTGATATAAATATTCTGTGTTTTCATGTCTGTGCGACACCCCTCTGTGCATGATATCCTCTACCTCTTTCAGGTCTTTTCTCAGTCCTTCACAGCCTCCTTTGCTATCTACAATGTGGCTAATGGGTAGGTGGAATCGTGAATGCGAATGCATGAGAAGCACCGGGCATGAGCGTTGACAATGCAAGCAGATCTGCAGACTGAAAAAAAGGAAAATGAGAATGTCCCCCGAAGTGCGTCTCGTTGAGTGCAAAGTTTGTGTTTCTCTCAGACATGCATTCGTTCATCAGTGTTCTTTCCAGGTTCCATAAACCAACGTGCCGTGAGGTTTGCGCAGTTCTGTACATTCAGTGTCACTGCCTGAGATTCATTTTGAGCTTTATCAGTGGAAAATAAACGTACCTGTGGTGGCTTTGGATGATTACTCTGAGAAATGATGTGGAAACAGATGTCCTGAAGACCTGCAGCATCGAACGTCATCAGACTTACAAGAAATCTGTCTGCTTGAGAAGAATGTTATTATGGGAAAATAGAAAGAAATGTTGCACTCCTGCATGAGCAACCGTCCCATCCCCCTCTCTGCATCTTGCTCTTCTCGTCCTGTCACCACGGCTGCTTTCTCAAGGGCAGGGTATGGACAGACTTCAGAGGGTTTAAGGCAGGACGGGCATCCCTGATTGGGGTCATGTCTGAGTTTTTGTGTGTGTTCCAGGGAACTTCTGGAGCTCAACCCCCCTGAAGGGAAGGGATCAGAGCTGCAGTACGCTTCCTGGGGACCACAGGGGAACCAGCTGGTGAGCAAAGCTCTTATAGATTCTTCACCAGATAAATGTATCGCCATCTGCATCAATATGAACTCATCAAAGTGTTGCATTTTGGCACGGTTCTGATCATAAAAGCGGAGCGACAACGTCGTTAGGCACTCCATCTGCGGTGGCTGTGCCTCTGTAATGGGATTGTTTCGTACTGAGATTATTATTCGTCTGCCTCTGCTGTAATTTAATTAGCTTTGCTGCCATGTCAGAGCTCATCTGCACCGCATTAACTGGCGAGAAAAGATGTATTGGCTCTCCCTGGTGTGTGTGCGGGCCAATGATTCATTCGTAGTTGGATGGCATTCGCTGCTTAATTCAGGCAGCTGGCTGTGAAATCTGCAACCTTTCTGTCTCTGACAACTGACGACGTATCTGTGCTCAACGCGCCAGGCCTTCGTGTTTGATGGAGAAATTTACTACAAGCCTGGTGTGATGAGCAAACCTCTCCGTCTGACGTCCACTGACCGGGACCAGAAGATGGTGAACGGACTCTCTGACTGGATATATGAAGGTGAGACGCAGTCCGTCTTTTTGGTGAATTTTTGGCCTGTGCAATTATTAAATTTGTATTTCAAAGCTGATTTCAGTCAATATGCATTTAGTGGTTGTGTTTCAATAAGTCAGCACGGGAGCACAGGTCACATCAAAAATATCAATAATTAATATTAATAATACATGTTATATTGTTGTTGTTGAAAGGCGTGGTTAACTAAAACATTTTTAAATGTTTTTTTCCAATTATTATCCGTCACTCTGAGTTTTTTATACAGGCTGAGCACGAAAATAGTCTCCTACACCAATCTCTTGCATTAGCTTCTGATAGAAAATAGACGGTGAAACTCTAGGATTCGAAAATCTTCACAGATCTACGTCACACTGTGAATTAGCATTCATGGACTCCCATCTTGACCCATGAGAGGGGAGGTTGTTGTTGTTTTTACGTCCAGGAATCAGCAGCTGATGTCTTGGCTGGCCTAAGCTAACTGTTAGCATTAGCAACACCGCCACACAGCACAACTCATTCAGACTTGTGCTTTTTGTGGAAATACAACATCCATGTTATAAGTCAGAGGTTGAGTCACGTTGCTGTTGTTTAATCCAAGGTGAGATGTTCAAATATCAGGAAATAAGACTCCAAATCCTGACGTTCAGCTGTGATGTGGGCAACTTTTAGGTCAGAGAAATGCTGCACATTACATTTCCCCCGCCGAGAATGACATACAAGGCATTCATTCCTACCAGAGACCACTGCAAATATGTTGATTAAATGAGTTGGCCCTTCATATTGCAACACATACACCTCAGAACCAGTTTGGAAATGTTTTCAGTCGGTCACTAACCCCATTGTAGTACAGGTCCTTCTCAAACAATTAGCATATTGTGATGAAGTTCATTATTTTCTGTAATGTACTGATAAACATTAGACTTTCATGTGTATTAGATTCATAACACACAAATGAAGTAGTTCAAGCCTTTTATTGTTTCTAATATTGATGATTTTGGCGTACAGCTCATGAAAACCCAAAATTCCTGTCTCCAAAAAATTTGCATATTTCATCTGACCAATAAAAGTGTTTTAATACAAAAAAGTCAACCTTCAAATAATTATGTTCAGTTATGCACTCAGTACTTGGTCGGGAATCCTTTTGCAGAAATGACTGCTTCAATGCGGCGTGGCATGGAGGCAATCAGCCTGTGGCACTGCTGAGGTGTCATGGAGGCCCAGGATGCTTCGATAGCGGCCTTAAGCTCATCCAGAGTGTTGGGTCTTGCGTCTCAACTTTCTCTTCACAACATCCCACAGATTCTCTATGGGGTTCAGGTCAGAAGAGTTGGCAGTCCAATTGAGCACAGTAATACCATGGTCAGTAATTTACCAGTGATTTTGGAACTGTGAGCAGGTGCCAGGTCGTGCTGAAAAATGAAATCATCTCCATAAAGCTTTTCAGCAGATGGAAGCATGAAGTGCTCCAAATTCTCCTGGTAGCTAGCTGCATTGACCCTGCCCTTGATAAAACACAGTGGACCAACACCAGCAGCTGACATGGCATCCCATACCATCACTGACTGTGGGTACTTGACACTGGACTTCAGGCATTTTGGCATTTCCCTCTGCCCAGGCTTCCTCCAGACTCTGGCACCTTGATTTCCGAATGACATGCAAAATTTGCTTTCATTCGAAAAAAGTACTTTGGACCACTGAGCAACAGTCCAGTGCTGCCTCTCTGTAGCCCAGGTCAGGCGCTTCTGCCGCTGTTTCTGGTTCAAAAGTGGCTTCACCTGGGGAATGCTGCATCACTAGCCCATGTCCTGCACACGCCTGTACACGGTGGCTCTGGATGTTTCTACTCCAGACTCAGTCCACTGCTTCCGCAGGTCCCCCAAGGTCTGGAATTGGTCCTTCTCCACAATTTTCCTCAGGGTCCGGTCACCTCTTCTCCTTGTGCACCGTTTTCTGCCACACTTTTTCCTTCCCACAGACTTCCCACTGAGGTGCCTTGATACAGCACTCTGGGAACAGCCTATCGTTCAGAGATTTCTTTCTGTGTCTTACCCTCTTGCTTGAGGGTGTCAATGATGGCCTTCTGGACAGCAGTCAGGTCAGCAGTCTTACCCATGATTGTGGTTTTGAGTAATGAACCAGACTGGGAGTTTTTAAAAGCCTCAGGAATCTTTTGCAGGTGTTTAGAGTTAATTAGTTGATTCAGATGATTAGGTTAATAGCTCGTTTAGAGAACCTTTTCAGGATATGCTAATTTTTTGAGATAGGAATTTTGGGTTTTCATGAGCTGTATGCCACAATCATCAATATTAGAAACAATAAAAGACTTGAACTACTTCAGTTGTGTGTAATGAATCTAATGTATATGAAAGTCTAATGTTTATCAGTACATTACAGAAAATAATGAACTTCATCACAATATGCTAATTTTTTGAGAAGGACCTGTATAATAGTCAGGTCCCAGTCATAAACCTGTGACTGGAACATACCTGTCAGCACTCCAAACAATAGAAAGAACACCAGCTTCTAATAATTTCCATTGATATCTGTGAAATGTGTTTTTATTTGTGATTTATTTTCAAATGAAGAGCAGCATTCAGCTCACCTGTCTTGCAGAGGTCAGTCATCACCACAGCCGTGGAGATGTGATGCAGGCTTTCTCACTTCGCTACAAGAAAATGTGTTCAAAATTATTCAGTTGATGTTTTTTTATTACTTAGCTTTATTTTTCTTTCATTGTATTGTGGAAGCTATTAGTATTCATTAAAAAAAACATTTATTCAAAACCAGAGGAGGTGCTTTTGACTTACGCTGCCCACTGGTGGTCCAACGATGGCGCACGGCTGGCATACCTCTGCATCAACAACTCTGCCACACCTGGGATGGAAATACCTCACTTCCTAGGTGGCCTGTATCCCTCCAACATGCTGTTCCCCTACCCAAAGGTAAACACTGCTAGAATGAGTCATCCTAACAGCTCTGGAGTCCTCGTTCAGACTGAGCGATGGTGCTCTTAGCACAACGCTGATGTCAGCATGTAGACTCCCGTAATGACACCGCTGCTGTTTACCAGTCCTGCTGCACGTTCTGACATTTTAAACAGAACAGTTTAGAAACGGGGAATGCTTCTATCTTAATGTTGCTGCAAACAACACACTAACCCATGCTGGGAGAGCAAACTGTAGATTTTGCTAAACTTTCTGGTTTAACTGTTGAAATTTGATGAAGTACAAACCTATCCTGCTTTTTAACAGAGACTAGAAAAAGCACTTTCAGGTAGGGACTCGCAGAGCCCAACTCCCCACCTTCTACTCTGTTTTTCAACCATTAGGTGCCTTTAACTAGGTTGTTGTGGTCATTTTTCCCTATAAAAGGTTGTTTAGAGCTAATCAGGTGGCTAGATGACCACTGGAGCCTGTTTGCTGAGAGCAAAAAGAAACAGCACACACGTTGAGCTGCCTCTTCTCTGCTTTGGATCTTTGAGATGACCCTGCTGTGCTGACAGAGCGGCAAAGGGAACGCTGGGTTTTTCTCCTCAGTAAAGTACATTTCCTAATCTGCTGGACTTCGTTCCTCAATGGAACTAAAAAAATCACAAGATTGGACAAAAGCTTTTAGGTTTTGACAAAGATCATGACAAAAAGGAAAGGTTTTGTTTGTATTTTTGAAAGAACAAACTTTTATTTCAAACAATTAAAGCTAAATTAATCACTTATGATAAAATATGTATTTGAAAGAGTTGTTATTCATATTTTAAAGTCCAAACTTTTTATCTGATACTCGTGGATGCTTCTGTCAGCTTCTATAGCTGCTGTAAAAGTGATGTTTTTTCCCCAAACAGTTCAAATTAGCAGCACAGTAAAGCCAGGAAATAAAGTGGCGTGTCTGAAGTGAACACAGTGAGTGAATAAAAGAATTGTCCGAAAATTATTTGTTAGCTAATCGTTTTTCTTCTGCAGGCTGGCTCTAGCATCCCATCAGTCAGTCTGTTTGTAGTGAATCTGTACGGTCCAGCTCACACTCTGGAGATGCTGCCTCCCGACTCTCTCAGGGCCAGGTACATCTCCATGAATTTTAAATAAACTTCGATGAATGCAGGCGGCACCTGTCACAAATATTTACGCTTTGCAGATGCCTCTTGCTGTCAGTGTTTCGGGGTTTTGTGCAGTCCTGTATCCGTGTATCTCTTTCTGCCTTGCTCCTCCAGAGAAAGCTACATCTCCATGGTGACTTGGATCAGCAGCACCCGACTGGCGGTGCGCTGGCTTAACCGGGCCCAGAACCAATCAGTGCTGTGTGTGTGCGAGGCCACCACAGGGGCATGCTCAGAGGTGAGCTGCCTTCACTTCTTCCACATTAGTAATCTGAGCGGCTTTCTGCGACAATATACCGTTTTAATAGAGTTTTGCTTCATTCGCTCAGTTTTGAGAGTTAAAATTGATTTTCTGAAGCTCCCAAATTTGTACTGGCTGAATCCATTAAGGAGGTCGTTTGCTGCATGAGAGGAATTTTTAGTGATTTGCTTCGCTGCCTTTTGGTGTTCCAGGAATCCCCACAGTTTCTAGATCAGTATTTAGCTACGGCGGATGTTTGAGGTCACTTAAAGTGTTGATGGAAAATTTTCTCTGACAGTTTTTCTGCCTGGTGTATTCCACAGAAACACAAAATGACCTTGGACATAATGTTAAACCAGCGACAGGTGTGTGAAGTTTACACCAGTCTGTCAGATTCATCCCTCCATCCTCCCTCTGACTCAGCTCTGTGTGTCCACAGGACGTCCCGTTGTTCACCGCCGACGGCTCTGCCTTTTACACCATTCTGCCCGCAAAGCAAGGAGCTCGAGGAGAGTTTCACCACATCGCTTGTCTCGCCGCTCAGGTCAGTTCAAGGACACCTCGTCTCTAATTTCTGTGTTTCTTCTAAAATTTAAGACCAATTAAACGTATCATCCAATAATATTAGATCAATCTTGACCTTTAGGTCAGCCGCTTGGTGGAACACATTTAAGTCCAAATGAGAAAATATTTATTATTATTATTAATAATATTAATATAGTCATACTTCAATCAGAAAATAATTGATTAGACTAATTTTCTTTCTAAAGTTACAAATCATTAAAATCTTAAGAATTCTCAGAAGCGATATCCTGGAGATGTGTAGGTATTATTTGCACGATTGAGTGGTGGGGACCCAAAAAAGTTAGATTTAAGACTAAAAAACAGATTCAGGAACAAAGATGCAGGACGCACACGGTGGATGGAACCATAAAAAGAGGTAGCAGGATACAGAAAACACACACAACGATCAGACCATAATCTGAAGAAACTGAGGAGTACATGTGCAGGGAGGAGCCACTAGCAGATGCAGCATTTGGAAAAAATGTAAATGACTGAGGGAAACGATGGGAAGTGACCCGTGAAGGAACATAACTTACATTTCATAAATAAAAATCAAAACTCCACAGATGATGTAATATTTATTAAGTAATTGATTTTAGGCATTTTAATGACATTGGCATAAATGTTAATTATACTACTGAAACTCTTTTCTACATTCATTCCATGCTAGCAGAAACATGTCAGGTAAAAAAAATTATTGTTTTACTAAACTGTGTAAAAAAGGAACAAGAAAATGGATATACCAATGAATTAGTTAATTATGTGGTATTTATATTAACCCTCTGGAGGCAGGCGTTGCAGATTTACAACAGTTAAAACTTACCTACCTGGTTACTCCACATACGTATTTTATGAGCATGTTTTAACTCAGAAGTACCCCTGAAGGACTTGTTGTTTGTCCTTTTATCAAAATTTATTTTGAGCCTGAGAGGGTTAAAAGAAACTGAAAATGTGTTGAAAGAACTTGTCGATTCTGTTTGAACAATCTCCATTTTTTCAGCGTTACTAAAACCAGTCAGCAAAGAGCCGATTTAACCAGAGGGTTTGATTTAAAGGACTAACCCCAAAATTCCACTATCTCCGCTCCGCTCCGGCACGAACGCCGCAGCAAAATCGGTCCCGTTGTAGTCAACCAGAGCTGTTCCACTACTGCGGCCGTGAGGCGCAGTGTGCCGCCCGCCGTACCGCTATCCGGCAAAAATAGGATCGATTCTATTTTTGCCGGACGCCGGATTACCTCCGCAGTAAATGGACAGAAATCACAACCGCCCAACAGGAAAAGGAGCAAGCACAACTTCCGTTATTTCGCAATAAATCAATAAACAAAAAGCGTTTTTTGTTTCTTATGCACAGGTCCCGCTCTACAATGGCTCCGCACCGGAGCGGAGCCGTTGTAGAGCGGGTAGCAGTAAAATTTGAGTTCGGAAGCGAGCGGCTGCGGAAGGCGGGGGCAGAGCGGAGGTAGTGGAATTTTGGGGTAAATCCACATTCCGCATAGTGATGCACCAATTTGAAATTTTTGGGCCGATACCGATATCCGATATTAAGATCACTCTCATGACCGATAACCGATTTACTGACATTAATGCTTCTAAAATCAGAAGATTTTGTATAGAATGGAAATTATTAAAGCTGAATTTACGTTATTACGTACACACACCACACACATTTACGGTCCTGAGATGATTTCATTCACTGCTCACATGACTAAACAATTACACATCGCCCCCCTCGCCCTCTGAAACATGCAAACAAATGGAGACAAGATGGGAAAAAATATGGGCTGTTAATATCGGCCCGGTTTTATTTATCGAACCGATACTGATATGTTGAAAAATGACTAACATCGGCCAATACCGATATTGACACCGATGTATTGTCCATCCCTAATTCCGCATTCAGTTTGCTCTGATGAGAATGCACCCTTTGTTACACACTTTCTGTCAGAATTTTATTTCAGAATTTTTTTATTTTTTGCTCTTTTGCTTTAAGTTTGGCCTTTGGGTCGTTGTCCTGCTGAAAATGTCTAAATAATAGTTTGATAATCTTCTTCACACTTTCGACTTGTTTAAAACCTTCAGTGCTGATGGGCCCCACAGCTGGTCTTTCTCGTGTCCATCTCTGCGTTTGTCCATCACACCGTCCTCACACCTGGCTTGTCACAAACCTCATTCTGAGCACGAAGAGAAGGCTTCTTCGTGACTGCCTGATTATAAATCATCAATAACGAGTCTCTGTATCTTTGGCCCACATGCTGATGATAAAGTGGCCGAGGGGTTTTCTATTTTTTGTTAATAAATAAAAGCCACACAACAGGTTTAAATATTTAAATCAAGTCATGTATGAAGCTACTCCTAATCACATGATCACAACCCAAGTTATTGTTAGAAACCTGAAGGAAAAATAATGAAACCATTCTTTACCTGTATGACTCATGCCCAGAGGTATGCTTTATACTTATATATATCTTAAAAAGAAGCAGACGTGATTTAAAGAGATGTCTTTTCTGAACCCCACTAGTGTCAGGATTGGATTTCACATTCTCTGCCTTTCGTTTCGGGTTGCCATCCTCTGACAGAAACTGCTGTATTACTGGACCTATTTTTATTCTGTTGCCTGTTCTTTGCTCCTCAGCCCGCCATCCCCTCTGTCCCTCCTCGCTTCCTGACATCGGAGAGCTGGGACGTCACCTCGCTGTGTGCCTTAGACGAGAAGGCTGGAAAAATGTGTGTGTGTGTGTGTCTGTATGTGTGTGGTCTTCATGAATTACTTTATAAGCCCACATCTTTTCTTGAACAAACAAGTGACAGAAAAGTTCGATTTCTGTAGTTTATATCACAAAATTACCTTTTTCTGCATGTTTAGTCTCTTCGTGTTTTAATCTCCAGAGAAGTGAATTTAACACTTTAAAGGACTCAGATTAGACGTGAGCAATAAAAGTAACAACACAGAGTTACTGAAGGATTACTTGGGAGAAGCAGATTATTACTTTTTGAACCCACAGGGGGGAACAAAATCCAGCATGGACCAGGTTAAGCCAAAACACCATCTCCTGTAAATCCAGACGGGTGTTTCAGCTTTGCAGCCCTCAGGCTGACACTGCTTTTGCCTGCAGACTAGTGATATTCCTTCTCTGTGCTGGACCGTCCTTATTCGTATAAAAAGCGAGAAACCAACATGTCTGAAACTGTGATGCACTCCAAAACAACTGGATCTGTAACTTCATCGCAGCACTGAGGGGTGTGAATGAGCAGATTCTCATGAATAATTCATATAAAAGGCTGTGCTGGGATTCAGTCATTAACTTTGCTTGTCCTCTTCAGATATTTTCTGAGCACAGAAGAGTCCCGACAGAGCCAGCACCTGTACAGGTACGCCACCTCCCTGAGAACGATTGGTACACTTTCCCTGATGCAGTGTTTTAGACACACATGCGTGATTAAACACAGATAAAAGACAGATTCATCAACTATTCTCTATTCTCACCGGTTTCACTAAAATGTTGTTTTTGAGCAATTTTCTTGTTGTTTTTTGTAGATTTTGTCTTGATTTAAACCAAAATAGGATTTTTATTACTGATTTATTTTTTTAAGCAGCAGGGTGTGAAGGCAAACGCTGTGGGAGAACAATGAGCAGACGCTTCAGTGTGTAAAATATAATTATACTGTTTCTCTTGCATTTAGGGAAGCACGCTGCACTGCAGCTTTGCATTTAAAAGATTTCTGCTCTGGTGGTTTTTGCAGATCCAAACACCAAAACAAGGTCTAAAGTCGTTTAGAGTCTCGATGACGTCTGTTTGAGGCTCAGCTAGAGGACAATCGTTTGCTTTCTAGCACAGAACACAAAGTAGGGTGCAACATTACTCGACTGTAACTAATGAAACTGTGTTTTGCTTCCACATATTTGCTAATTCTGTAAAGCAGAATCTGGAGAAGAAATCGGCCTCCCTTTAAAAGCCTGGTCTGCTCTGATTGGTCGGCTCTAGTGGACCGATCCGACTCCGCCAACCAATCCGCTTCAGCTATGATCAGAATCAGAATAAATGCTTTTACCTAAAAATTAAAATAAAACAAATTTTCTCTCAATTTGACATCTGGTACTCATAAAGGCGACTTATATTAAATCAACTTAACACGTTTTCAGAACATAACCATAAGAAGAACACAGCAGAGGGGTTTGAGGTGTAAAACTGACCTGAGAAGGAACATTTGACGAACTAAAACAACGGCGTCCATGTTTGACCTCTCTGAACTTTTGCCTCTGCGTGGTCAAAAATCTGTGATGTCACTTTAATTATGTAACAGGATTTGTCCATTTATTGAATTTGTCCCGCGACCCTGCATGGATAAGCGGGTATAGACAATGGATGGATATTTAATTTGTTGTGTTTTACTTCAGTGTGGACCTGAAAGGAGTGTCCCGGCCTCGTTGTATCTCATGTAACCTCATTGATGGATGTAGCTTCTTCAAAGCTGTTTTCAGCCCCAATATAACTCACTTCATCCTCTACTGTTTGGGTAAAACACACACACACACACACGATGAAGCTAAAATAACTTGTTTGGTTTTACATTGTTGTTATTTAAACATTCCTGCAGGCCCAGGGATCCCTAAGGTGTCGGTTCACAGCACCAAGGACCCCTCCAGTGAGTCCCGTCTGCATGTGTGACTGCGGCAGCAGCAGCATTACTGTAGGACAAGCTGCTGACTGCTGCAGTTCCTCCTGGTGGCCTGCAGAGGGAGATATTTTAGAGCAGACCTAAGCTGTGCAGCTTGTCAATAGTGCCATCTATGTGTGACTCTAACTTAGAGCCCAGAGAGAAGCTGATGCACTAATGTTTTAAAGGAAAGCCTAACACTGGTGTGCCTTGTGTAGGATATGTGATCATGGAGGACAACAGCCCTCTGGCTAAAGCCCTGGAGGACAAGAGGCTCCCTGAGACTCTGTTCAGGACAGTCCAGGCGGACAACCATGGTACATGGAGCTGCATTTCTTTGATGCTGTTGTTGATGAGACTAAAACTTGGGTGTATGAAGTTTTCCTCAGTTTTCTTGCTGCTCATTCAAAATCATGCACTAACACCTTCAGTCCAATTGCGTCTACCTGACCAACATAATCAGAATACACACTCGGGAGTGTTTTCAGCAGTTAGAAACTCTGATTTATGCATTTGTGACATGGTCCTGCACAGACTGCTGCTCCCCTGATTAAATCCAGGCTCATCTTATCTACAGTTAGTCTGAAACGCTGCAGGACTTATCACCAAGACCTTCTCCTGGCTTCCTGAAAGATTCCAGATTCATTACAAACTCAATCCACCTTGACCATGAAATGCTAAACAAAACAGGCTCCTGCTAACATCAGGGAAGTTTTCATCCCTAGTTCCTCAAGGTCTTGTAGCTGCTCCTCGGTCTCCTGACATGTGAGGAGTTGGTGTTCTCTGTTCACGGTCCCAGCCTGTGGAGCTGTACTCCTCTAGAAGTCAGAATTATCGCTGGGGTGCAGCAGAACCTGTTTTCTTGATGCTTTAATGTTTAGCACTTCAGTTTTAGGTCCAACTGATTTTAAAACGTTTCTTCTTTGTTTGGCTTTATATGTTATTTAAATGTGTAATTTTTTTGTCTGAAAAAAACATCAATGGTTATGTTTCCTGTCCAAGAATTTAGATAGTATAAGTGCTAAGTACAGAGAAGGTGAGAGCCTGAGTATTTTTAATTTTCTAACAGATCTGCACCTGAAGCTCTCGCTACCCCAGGGCTACGAGGCCAACCTGCTCCCACTCCTCATCATTGTGTAAGTCTCCCCCCAAAGCCTGTTTCACTCACCGGTTTCTAACCTATAGCTTTCATCGCCACGCTCGCTTGTCCCGTTTGTCTCGATGGCCAGGGACGGCACCCCCGGGAGTCAGTCTGTGACAGAGGAATTCTCCCTCAACTGGCCTCAGGTCCTCTGCAGCACACACAACGTGGCTCTGGCCTGGGTGGACGGCAGGACCGGGGTGGGGCGGGGACAGAAGACCGTCGCCGTTGATCCACGGAAGCTTGGCTCGCTGAGGGTCAAGGATTATCTTGGAGTTGTGGAGTCAGTACGAGCTAACGGCTACATGCTGCTACAAACCTCAAACATGCTTACCTAAAGGACTCTCATCCTTCCGCAGGTTGTTGATGCGACTTCCATACATCGATGATCGAAGGATAGCCCTCTATGGAAAGGTTACTCCAGCTTTAGATGTAAAAACTTAACTCCCTCGAGTTTAAATCCTCACACACCCTTAGATCTTTTTCTGGTTTCTCTTCGCAGGCGTTTGGAGGTTATTTAACTCTCAAAATGTTGGCTGCTACAAACCAGCTGTTTCAGTGCACGGCAGCTGTTGCACCAATAACAGATTTCAGGCTGTACAGTGAGTTTAGATCATGCTACTACTGAATGTTTGCCGTTTATGTGCGTCGAAGCTCAAAAACTGTTTTCTTCTTCTCTTTTCAGGTGCTGCCTTTTCAGAAAGGTACTTTGGACTCCCAGCAAAGGAGGAGCATGCTTACTCGGTGAGACTCTAAAGCCAGTGCTCACAGTTAAAATAGTCAACTAGCTTCGTTTATAAGCTCAGAGCAGACGTTTATTCAGTTGGAATATATTCCCTAAAGGCTAAAGTATATTAATGCTGTAATAAAACTTTTTTCTTAAAGGTTAGAAAGCTCTTAAGGTTTCTTCGGGGCCTCAGCTTGCAAAGCTGTTGACTATATTTTATAGATCTTAGAGATGCATAACATTTCATTCATGCAAAAAAAAAAAAAAAATAAATTGCACCAAACAGTAGATCTCTCTCTGGTCGCTTTACACAGGAGCTGCTACAAAAGCATTTATTCCACACCATATAACCGAACGCCATTTCACATCAGTCTGCAGAAATATTAAACCAATCAGTAACAAGATTATGCAAATTCACCTCTAATGCTCATATCAAGGTCAGAAACCCTGATCTCACCAGCCCATCTGCAGATTCTTACAGGAATTTTAACCATTTCAAAGTGTTATAACTGCTGTCTTACCTGTTGTAGATGGCTCCCTGAAAATCCTCTATTCAGAGAAATAGAGTTCACTTCCTTTAGAAGTCAGTCATGTTTAAAATAGTTGTGTGTGGGATCAAGATGCTTCGTGGAAAAGAAACGAACACAAACAAAAATTTCAGTTGAAAATAAATTGCATATAGTAAACTAAAGGACATGTTTTTTTATCAGTAAAATAAAATATGGTACAATGAAATAAAAATCACAGAAAATTCTGAGGTCAAATTGGGGACTATTAAAGAGACAGAGGATTAAATTTATCCTATCAAGTTTAAAGTTGAAAGTTAAAGAATTACAGAAAAATGATGAGTGTAAATGGCTAAGGTGGCTGATGAAATACAGATTTTTGTGTAAAATTGAGAAGAACAGCCTGAGTCTGTCCCTCAAACTGATGCAGGTAGTTGTTTCCTCGGTGCCCTGGCAGCCAGGGGCCAGGATACCCCCGTAACCAGAAAACTCGTCCCTCTGAAACCTAAGTCCTCAATCAGGGTGATGTGGAACCAGGGGTGTGTCCAGGGAGTAGTCTGGGATAGCACATGCCACCCTTGAAATCAGATTGGCCACCCCAGGTGCCACCCTGCTGAGTCCCACTGACACTAACTTCGCATTGTCCACAAAAAGCTTGGGGTTATAGAAGAAGAAGAAGAAGAAAATATCATTTCTATAGCGCCTCTCAAGATAAAAATCACGAGGCGCTTCACAAAAACAAAAACAAAAAATATAAAAATTGTAAAAATATAAAAAAGCATTTCGAAAATGTTTAAAATATATTTAAAATGAGCAAGAATAAGCAATTGCGATTTAAAAGAAAAAATGTTAAGAAAGAGAGAGACTGAATAGGAAAGAGGGAAATCAGTGGATATAAAACCCAAAACAACAGTAGGTTGGAGCATACACCTTTAACATTGGTTTCCAGCAACAGGCCTACAGAACATTTCTGTTTTGTTTGTATTTATCATTATTTTTTTCATATCGACATAAACGGTATTTGGAATCCTGGTCCTAGTCCCACTCCACTCCATTTGGTGGAGGTAATGCACCAAGAATAAACATATATAAATAAATATATCATTTAGCTCCATTGGCGGTTCTCAGTCGTGGGGCGGGGTTCTACCTGAACAATGAACGGCGTGACGTACTCACCGCAACCGATGTCGGTAAACAAGGTAGTCTGCTGTTGAAGGAAAAATGCATCCTTTTTCTAAATTAAGAACTTCAATATGTCTATTCGCTCTTGATATGAATAAAGCTGTGATTGGCCCATCATTGTGGACCAATCAGAGCGCTCTATCTGTTTGAAACCCCTACAAAGAGGTGTGATTGGCCACACAGAATGTTGCTAGGGGCCGCGGAGATTCCAATGGAGCGTTCCCACTTGGTCCCCTTACCAGTGGTTTCTAGATGCAAAGCAAGAATTTGGTCTAGTTCACTAGGATAGTGTTTCCCAACCCAGGTCATCAAGACACACTATCCTGCATGTTTTCCATGTTACCCCTTTAAATACCAGTACCCTGCTGCCACAGACCTCACTAAAATCAGTGAGTGATTAACAGGCATCTGCAGCACTCGTTGTCCTCCTGCAACACATTCTCACACCCTAAGCGTCGAAAAATGACGCGGTGTGACCAAGCGTTTGTTTCCGATGTGTAGGGAGCCCCTGCGCGTCAGGAGGCGGCACGCTGTGCTAGAGTGTCGGTATCCAACGCCCGCGGTAAAACGAACATTTGACCGAAATGTGACGTTTACCCTCTTGGTATTTAACCTTCCCCTCTCCCCCATCCTAACCTTAACCAGCGTGCACATGCAAAGCTTTGTTTCACGTTTCATTGTTCTTCTCAAACACGCTTAACGGAAAATTTAGACCGACATACAGGGTTAAGGTTAGGATGGGGGTGAGGGGAAGGTTAAATCGCTAGAGGTTAGAGGCGAAATCTTGGTGAAATCTCCGTTTTACAGCGGGCGTCGCACGTTGCCTCCTGACGCGCAGGGGCTCCCCACACATCGGAAACAAATGCTTGGTCACACAGCGTCATTTTTCGACACTAAAGCCTGGTTTATGCTTCTCCGTCAGCTCCGCAAGGGACAGACACGCACGGATTGACGGAAGCGTTTTGCCCTCATACTTTTCCGTCTCCTGGAGAGTGTTGCAAAGCAATTGTCCGGCAGGACAACAGAGGGCGTAGCGCTGTTCTGTGGTATCCTGTCATGTATCCAGTCCAAGATAGTGTGTTTATATTGTGTTTTTGTGCATATAAGAGACTTTTAACACGGACATATTTGTCTCTCATTCTCCCACCTCTTAATGCGCTCGCCACCTCTAAACCCACGTTTCCTGTCATTTCCGTCCACAAATAACTCCTCCAGTCACGGGAGAATTAAACGTTCATATTTTTAGAGTTTTTTCGCGAGGTATTCTTCAAGCTTCCCCGTGTCTGCCGCTAGTTATCCTCGGCTCTCTTTGCAATGGCGGCGCTGTAAACAACAGCGGCGTCCTGACCAATCACAAGCTTGCGTAATCCGTCTCGTTCAACGGATGTTTAAAAACGTGGGCTCGACTCCGTACGTACTTGCGGGCCTGCCGGAGCCCTACGCAAGGACGGATAATGGCGTTGTGTGTCTCCGCACTGACGCAGACGGAGAAGCATAAATCAGGCTTTAGGGTGTGAGATTGTGTTGCCTCCTGAGGAGGCAATGTAAATCAGGTGTGCTGAAGCAGACACATGGAAAATGTAGGACAGTGGGCCCTGAGGACCAGGGTTGAGAAACACTGCACTAGGGTACCAAGACTGCTTTATAGCCACCATAAAACAGCTCAAAGAAGAAGAAGAGAGAAAATTGGTCATGGCACAATGTGGAGCTCACAAACTTACTACAATGAACAAAATAATGATTTTTTTTAAGCATGAACAAGTCGTCCCCCCCCCCCCCCCCCCCCCGGGCCCCGGGCCACCCCGTGGACATGCCACTGCGTGAGAAGTAATTAGCCCTGATCATCGATAGCTTTGTTATTGAGAATAATTCAGAACTCAATTCTATATTTCAAAAAACCAATTAAGAGATTGGAGTGATGTGCTCTCTCCTGTCTGTTTGTAGGGCTGATGAGATAATGATTATTCTGAGCACAGGCAAGACATGAGTCTACAGCCTCACCTTAAAACTTATCCAACCTCCTACATTAAAACAAACGTTGAAAATGCTTTTTAAGAACCTTTACACCCCATCAGTTCCACATCGCAGAGTCAGAAGTCTTTTTAAAACTCCTTCTAGACTTGATGCACCAGAAGAAAGTAATACATTCACTCATAAATAAGCATGAATTCGCTCATTCATGTCAGTGAAAATTGTTGGGGGTGTAATAAAATAACAGACACTTTGGACTTGATCACACACAGATTAGCTGATAGTGAATCCGCCCTATCTGATGTAGAAGCTAAATCTGTTATAAAACAGTCATTTTTACACGTTTTACACTTTTAAATGAGATTCTGTAGCAACAACCATCCCCATAAGCACAAGACTCAGATATTCATGTACCTCACTACTAAACCAGCTCAGGAATCCTGTTTGGGACACAAATATTCACAACTATTACCAGCTAATACATCTAATTTATTCCTTTAGGGAACTGGTTATAGAGACACGACTAACCAGTATACTTGTGGATTATGTTGGACTTGTTTAAATAGACTGGTTTGTACCCAGTCAGCCACTAATCTAATGTTGTTTTCAGACTGCTTCTGTCCTTGAGGAGGTTAACAAGTTAAAAGATGAAAACTTCCTTATTGTACATGGAACAGCAGATGGTAAGCTTAACTATAGAGTTATTTCCTGCAAAAATCCTAAATGTATTAATGTGGACGTTTGTGTTGGTTCGTCCAAAGCCAGGGTCCACTTCCAGCACAGCGCTGAGCTGTTGAGCCGGCTGGTGAAGGCGGAGGCCAACTACTCCCTGCAACTGTACCCAGATGAGGGCCATGTCCTGAGAGAGCTCCACAGCATCCAACACTTTCAGCGGACAGTTGTGAACTACCTCCAGACCTGCCTGAAGCACAGCGTCCTTCTAGAGCTTCCAGAAGAAGAAGAGGAGGAAGATGACTGAGGCCAGAGGCCATCCCTTTCCCTTATTCAGAAAGGGCTTTTGGAAAGGACTTGAATGCCATGTTATGCATTACAGTGGGTCAGTTTACCAGGCACAAGAGCAAAGGAGTGGGGACCAAAACCATGAGATCACCTCCTGTAACGTCTGGAGAAAGTGGTGTACTATAAAATGTGACGCACACAATGTTTTTCTGCTGTTTTATTGTATGTCAAGAGGTTCCGTTTGTTTACAAAATTCACCTGAGGATGTGGACCGGATGGCCAGGCCACCGATTCTCCAAAACGTTTACAAAGATTTCAAAGCATGCACGTCATCATGGCTGCATGATCTTTGCATTTTGGGGATTTTTTTTAAAGGTTTTGCATTTCATCAACAACGTTCAAAAAGGGACAAAGTCTGCCCACAGCCAACAAAATGTCTGCAGATTTTGCAAATAAATTTAAAGAATAAAAGATGCACAATCACATTTATTGACTGCATAAATATCTGATGTTTTCCAAACAGATTTCAGAATAAATCAGCTATAAAACCCAATAATGTTTTTACCATTACAAAATCTAATATTTAAGATGCTCTGGGGATAAGAAGTGGATTGCAACTTTTACAATACTGTGTTTATTGGTCGCTGGCCTCTTCATTCCTGCATGAAGTAAAAATTGAACACAGTTATTTTCATAGCTTGTACCTGGCTTCTACAGAGTTAGAAGAAGCTATGGAAAATTCAAATGTGCCAAAAACATTTTGTGGATTTAATCCACTGGTTTTGTTTGCATTGTATGACTAACAATGAGTATGCAACTGAGACTATTTATACCACTCTCCAACTCAAAAGTGATTGCAAGAACTTGTAGGTGTCTGTGTACTATATTTAGACGTAATACTTCTGTTTTGATACATTGTGGCATTTCAATTATATGTTGTGAATTGTAGAATTAAATCACTTCTTTGGACAAAATGTTCAGACATTATGTAATACGTTTGTAGAGCTGCTTAGCAAAGACTCTCGTGCATGGAGATGGTTTGAAAAAAATGCAGCTAACTACAAACAACCAGCTCTTTCCCCTACAATCATTTGAAATAAAAGGTGAAAGTTTGTTTTACCAAAAAAAATGTCTTTTTTGTCATGGTTGTGGTTCCCAGTCTGGGGTCCCCCACAAGATTGTTTGTGTTGAGGATCCAAGACTTGTAAAAATTACAATAATAAAATCCCAATAACACAAAAATCTAAACTATGAATAGTTATGTTTATAAAGTTTTGAAATAATCATTTGATGCGAGTATGCACCAGATAGGGGTTGGGGGTCCCTTACTTGTCTTGAGCATAGGCAAGGGGATACTCAGGGAAAAAGGTTGGGAAGCACTGGAAAGGGGACCAAGTGGGTAAATGAATGAAGTAAAATACCTATTTGTGTGCACGTTTCTCCACAGAAGCACCACAAATGCAGTCATAAATTTTTGTCTGGTTTTACAACACTGTGCTAATATACAACATACGCTATATGACATAAATGTTTATGTATGATAGTAAACCTATTTTTATTTTTTGCCATAAGGATTTTCTATTTGATTGACATGACACTTTTGTATTGTGGATACTAAAATTTACACTTATTGGTATCCTAAATAAAATATATTTCAGGTGCATCTTTGCAAAGGAAACTATTCGGCAGACTGATAAACGTCACTGAAGCGCGTGCATGAGTAAAATACTGCCTGTGCGTTTGGACGAGGTGAGCAGCAGCAGCTCAGTTTACGAAGGTTGTCCCTCGTCAGATAGCTATAGGAAAACCCATCCAATCAGAAGGCAGACCATGACATTTTACCCAATCGAATGCTTCGACGTAATTTCATCAATCCATCTCACCGACCTATCACAACCGCGGACGGCTGGAGGCCTGAATCTGTCTTCAACCTTCTGCTTTCTGGAGGGGCACCTTCAACCAACTCCGCGGTGCAGTGCCAGCGGCTTCTTTTGGTGTATAGTAAAAGTAGGAATAACACTTTATTATAGATAAAATGTCATTTCTGAGTGTCAGCAGGCTAGCGCCTAAACTTCTCAATTCAAAGGTAAGTTAATAAACGGACTCGGATGTTTTTCTCAGTCAGAGCGGCGGACGTTATATTTAAGCTAACTTTCAGCTAGCTAGCTCGCTAGCAAGTGATGTCGGGCTAGTTAATGTTAGCAAGCCCTGCCCCGCCAGCCACATTGCGAAATTCGATAGAGTAACTGTGTGTGGGTGGGTACTAATCAGCCCATATAACATTTTTATCAGTAACGCGCATTTCCTGTTGGATTTGTGATAATTGGTGAACGTGAACTTGTGTCCTGTTAGCTCACGTTAGCTTGGCAGCGGCTGCTTTATGCCGGCCTGGTGGTGAAGTTCTCGACATGTTTCCTTAGCCAGGCTTAAACCATTATGTCACCGAGTTTAGGAGTTGGTTTAGGCTCTTTATTTGTTTTTCGCCGTCAGTCAGTGATCACAACAATGTGACGGTCTTCAACTTCTACAGTTGTGTCCATTCTCCACCTCTTTTGACCTTCACATTAATTCAGACATCGAATGTACTATTTTATTTTATCAACTATAGCCTGCATTATGAGTCATTAAACAATTCATCAATGCTTTAGAAACATGTGTCTCAAAGCTATCTATTTTTCCGTGGCTGTAAAACACGCCAATCTGGCCTGTAATTCAGTTATATCATTTTTAATAGCTAACTGGGCATGTTATTTTATCACATGAATGCGATTTTGCAAGCCAGCTGTTACTGTCAGTCAGTGATTAGGTGCCACCCTCCGGTATCTAACCTGCTGTCTTACCTGCTGGTCTTTTACTTACACCGGATGCCCCTCATTCCAACGTGTCACTTCCTACTAAAGCATTACTAAAACCTTCCAGAAGGTCCTCCCTCTACCATGTGAATATGTGCTCTACTTAGCTGGTGTGCATTTTTTTTACCTGACCTCTGACACATTTAACTTTTTCTCTTATCAGTGGTTCTCAGTTCATGAGATTTATGAGTTAGTTGGTTTTTGCAGTTGCATAACACCTTATGACTCTAAAGGATGACAGAAAACCATGTGAGTCACATTCATGATATGAAATAATTAAGTCTTGTGATCATTTTCTGCTTCACATTTAAGATGTCATTTTAAACTGTTAATATCAATAATTGCAACTTGAATAAAGTGAGTTAAATGCAGATTTGACAGCAGTTGCATCAAAATGTGTTCATCTGTCAGTAAGTCATTTGCTTCAGTGTTTCATCCATAAGCTGGTTTGTTTGTTTGTAACTAAAGTGAATGTTAGTCACTGCATGAGTTTTATATGTTTTCTTATAAACACAAGCTTTTGGTAACCAACCTTTTAGTAGGGAATGGAATCTCAGGTTGGTGGAAGTTTAGGGTCCTTTAATTAAATTGATGCTTTACATAAGTTTCCAAGCTGTTGCATAATCTTTTTCTTAGCTTTGTAACAGGTGTGCCGTGGTGCAAAATACTGCTTTTTGATTTATGGACTTTTTTAGCATGACCCAGTTGACTTGTGGTTATAGAGACAGAGTCTTAGGGATCCACTTTCTCCTCAGACTCTTCCCTTATCTATTGACATTTGAAAGTGGATCTTCTTAGGTGCTCAGCAACAGACGGCTCCTTGTTTCAACCAAAATCGGTTCAGACAAATTAATTACAGCCAACAGTGTTTGTTTCTGAGAGGAATTTAAACTCAAGTGAATCGTTTTAGGCATTTTCAGAAAACTACTACTTAGATCCCATAATCCAGTGTGTCAAAGGTTAAAGTATACAGAGACACTTGCTTTGGTTTGTGAATCTATTAAGAGATGAAAATAGAAATTTGGATCAGTAACATGCACATTTTATATTAAAGGTTAAAGTTCCATATCATGCTATTTTAAACCTTTTGAAAGCAAAGGTAGGCACAATATATGATAAAATATTACTGTTGGCACTTTGAGAGGACATTTATCTTAAATAAGTTATTTTTGTCAGCCTGAAATTATACCCGGAAATAAAACTGTTCGTTTCAGTGAAGCTCCACCCATACATGCACCGACAAAGCAGCCTGCTGTTGTATAGACCCCTTATTTGTTTACAAACACGGCAGATGCACGTGCATCGCTTAGGCAGAAAGAGATGCCGGCCCTTTAAAGCCGGGCGTACACTGTGCGACTTTTTCACTTTTTTGAGCCGATTTTCCAGTCGTGCGAGAAGCCACGACATCGGGGCGAGTTTTGCGCCGAGCGGTCGTGTAGTGTACAGGGGGTTACGAGAGGCGATTAACACCACGTGACCAGCCGCCGATCAGCAGTCGTGAGGTCGCAGGGACTTCTGGTGTGTTTAATATTTCGCTCGTCCCTCGTGACGGTATCGCACTGTTGAAGCGGCGCTGCGAGCAGCTACGATCCAAAAAGTATCAGAACCGCTCACGGCGCATGCGCGCGCAATCCTGCATCAACGCCGGCCGGTCGCTCGCTATTTCCCTAATAACACACGCTGTTCGTTTTTGTTTCTACACGTTTTTTTTTTACTCACAAAGATTGTCAAGAAAGCGTGTTTGTCGTGTTCATGTCAAATTAAACTGATCACAAAACACAGATTCACTTTCTTTATTTCGTTTTCCTCATCCAACCCCCATAAATCCCTGTGTGTCCTCCTGCAGCACTCCCGAAGGACAACAGGGAAGACAAAAAAGTCTGACGTGTTGTGTAAAAACTGCTATTTTTAGCACATTTTTAGGGCCGACGTGTTGCTACCATACGTACAGTGTGAGCAGTCAGGTCGCATGCGAGAACTGGGTCGTGCAGTGTGAGCACACGACTCGTGAGATCTGCTCTGCGAGGAAGTCGTACAGTTTGAGCTGAAGCTGAACGCTGCGAGTGAAAAAGTCGCACAGTGTACGCCTGGCTTAAGACAGTATTGTTTTCAGCGGTCATTGTGTTAGTTGTCGTTTGTTGTTAGCTAGCGATGTTTTCAGCATACTACAGCAGTTTGTCACCAAGTGACCAGAAGTATTATGCAGCAAAGTTAACTTTAGTGAATGGGAAACGACTTAAAGACCCCTACGCATTACATGCAGATGAGTGGATAAACGACATGACAAAATGACCCAAACTGCAATGGCTGCGTATCCACTCTTTACTGATCGACACACAGTCTCTATTCCTGGCCTCTTGGGGATCCAGAGCCACAGTTAGGAGACCTCTCCATTATTTGCTCTTCCACTCATAGTATGTTGGAGTCATGTCGCTTCTTCAGTAATAACAACATATACAGAAGCTATGAAACGTGATTTACCACTCCACTTCTCCTTAACTGTCATTGTCGGACTGGCTAGTGTAGGGGAGATAGACGGGACAAAGTCAGGGCAGTCAATGTCTTCGGATGTTTCTCCTGTACAGAAACAAGTTTTCCTGTGACTTCATGCTGTGTTAGCAGCGATTAGCAGTAACTAGCATGGCTGAGTCTACCGTGGCGTTAGTATAATGCTAAAGTCATCAGTTGCAACCAAAACCCTATCCTACCTTTGTTAATCGTATCCAACCTAGGGCTGAAACGATTCCTCCAGTACCTCGAATAATTCGAGTACAGAAAAGCCTAGAGTCAAATTCTCTGCCTCGAGGCTTAGTTTAGTTCATGTTTAATTAATTCATGGCTTTGCAATCGCCCGGGGTCATGTTTCACCCGGACCGAAATAAGTGACGCACATACACACTGCACTGAATGCACACGCGAGTAACGAATGTAACTCTCTTAAGCCATGGCGGACAACGTGGACCCCTGTGGAGTGCGAAAAAGACAGGAAATGTCAAAGGTGTGGGACCAAGGTAGAATACGTAGTCCAGTGTAAATACTGTAAAATAGATTTAGCCTACCACAACACCACATCCTCCATGCTGCAGCACCTGGCATTCACATGTAAATGTCACTTCTGCAAGCGGACTTGGAGCCTCTACAAGATAATGCATTTTAGCCTGTATTTCTATATATTCTTCGGACACTGCGACTTTTTCATTTGTAGTACTCAGTTTCAGCTCACACTGTGCGTCTGGTAGCAACACGTCGGACCTAAAATGTGCTAAAAATAGCTGTTTTTACACAACACGTCAGACTTTTTACGGTGTTGTTATTGATGTCTGTTGTCCCACGGGATTGCTGCAGGAGGACACAGGTATTTATGTGAGTGGTGGAGGAAAATGAAAGAAAGTAAATAAATGTTTGGTGATCAGTATAATTTGACATAACCACAGCAAACATGCTTTCTCGACAATCCTTGTTATTGTGTGAGAAAAAAAGTGTAGAAATTAAAACTTACTTGTTTTAATTAGGGTTGTCACGGTAACCGGTGTGGCGGTAAACCCCGGTAAAAAAGTTGACAATAATAACCGTCTTGTTTTTAAAAAAAAAAATATCTCGGTGGATTATCGTGGCTGCGGTGTAGGCGCAGTGACCCTTACCAGCCACTGTATCATCGGCTGAAGTTGCCGGCGGCACATGCGCACTTTGTTGTTTACAACCAAAACTTTCTTGAAGCTAAAGCTGAAATAATGGCCAAAGGAGGAGACGGCAGCGCTCAGGACATTTATTATCCCTCAAAGCAGACAAAGTGGGAAGTATGGGCATGTTTTGGATATTTGAATAATGCCGAGGGACAGTTGATAGAAGACGGCTATCCTGTTTGCAACACGTGCAGGAAAAAGTGTCTGTGAAAGGCAGCAACGCTTCAAATCTCATGACACATCTACGTGACCATCACCCACAACTCTACAGTCAACGCAAGGCAAGCTAACGTTAGCGTTTTAGCTAAAATGCGTGATCCGAGGATTTGGGTTGGGGGAGAATGAAACTAGTCGCTATATAAAGAACCCGCAGCGCCTGCATATAAACCGTGTTGTGGACACCCCCGTGTTGAAATGACGCTATGCATTACGGGGCTCCCAGGTGCAGATAAGAGTTGGTCTCTCTCCGAGAATAATTATGAATTTAACAATGATTACTGACTGATGACATTTTCCCAAATCTGCAAAGCTCACTGGAAGGACACAGAGGACAATATTTTACTGATATAGGGTTTATTACTCAAGTAAGAGTAAAAAAAGTATTAGAAGGCTACTTGAGTACTGAGTATCATCTGGTCTAATATTTTTAAAATGATGACATCAAACAGACAAAAAAATAAGAAGTTATGGACAAATATTGGTATTTTAAAGACTAAATGGGAAAAATGTAAACAAATAAACATAATTACAAAATAACAAATTTTAGGCTAAATTTAGACACAAACTGAGGACAAAATTTTCCTGATATACAGGGTTTATTTTGAAAATGTAACACATTTAAAAATAATACTGCGATAATACCGAAAACCGTGATAATTTTGGTCACAATAACCGTGAGGTTAAATTTTCACACCGTGACAACCCTAGTGTTAATAGGGAAATAGCTGGCGAGCCATGTTTGCGCATGCGCTGTGAGCGGTTCTGGTGCTGTTTGGGCTGCAGCTGCTCGCATTTGTTTACTGTGAAGTAAAGTTGAAGTGCTGAAGTTTTGAAAACTAATTTTGAATAATACTTGAAGAATAACTGGCAATTTCTTGCTCATTTTAAGAGCTCTTTCATATTTTATAAAATGCTATTTGATATAATGGTTTACAAACGCTAAATGGTAATTTATTGGAGTACTCGATTAATCGATAAAAGATTCGATAGAGGACTCGATTACAAAAATATTCGATAGCTGCATCCCTAATCCAAACTTGTTTTCTAACTGTCTTAACCTAAGTGTGTTAAACCGATCCTGAACTGCGTTAACCAGCGACACTTCTAAGCTCATGTTGTGCTTACCTGATATGAAGTAGTCACTGCAGATCGATGCATTTTTTATTATCTCCTCGTTCCAGTCACTTCTTCCGATGGCTTGCAACCAGAGATGTCTTTTATGTGCCCTGAAAGGGGTCCGAGTTGATGGATTTCGGTAAAACTTGTGAGTTTTGTTGTTATCGCAGTTTGTGCAACCAACAACACAATAAGATGATGGCATGATAGCAGCTCAGCTCCAAGCTAACGCGTTCTGCCTAGGACATTCGCAATAAAGTGGAATGGGATGGGTTGCGACGGTCGTGATGTAGACTGATAAGGGGTCTATTGGCCTTTATAGTCCAGTGCCTGCCTTTCATCTTATTTTGCCATGAGCTGATGCCCGTTTGACTCCCGGTGGTGTCGACAATATTTTTTGTAGCCAACTGAAGCCGATTTTCATTTATCTATATTTTAGTTTTATTGATCATTTTCTGTCAAATGTTTTGTGTCTAAATTTAGAATTTGGTCGTTTTCAAGCAGCATTTTAGTTGATTTACTCTGCACACCTCACATTGACTCATATTGGCTAAATAAACAAAGTATTAAAAAAAAACTTTGTATTGACCAAATTGAAGCTGAGACAGAAAAAAGTGTGAATGCAGCCAAAAATGGGTTTGTGGGTATTTCTCATGAGGAAATGACATCACATGGTGAAAAGCTCCCAAAAGTGGATTTTCCATGATATGCCCCCTTTAGCCGTCTTGTTTCATGAGAGCGAGGTCACAAAGATCCAGTCATTACTGAAAGCAGTTTAAAATCTGAAATGTATAAATATTGGCATATGGTATGGTAAAATTTTTATTTTATTTATTTTTTGTTTCACTTTGTTTTGGTTGTACTTAGTTTTTTACTTGTGTTTTAATTCCTTTTTCTTATGGTTTTTATAAATTCTCTTTTTTACTCTTGCGGTGGTTTTTCTACATTGTGCAACATTTTGTTTAAAGGCGCTATAAAAAGTTATTATAGGAAATGGAAAATTGCAATTCTATGGTCTTTTCACAATGTTTAGTAGCTTTGAGGTTTTCTCATTAGTTTCTGTTTATGTATTAAAGTTTGTTGTTGTTGTTCTAAACCATTTTTTTCCCTTTTTGTCAAATTTTCAGAACGCCACCAACTTATTTGTGGCTGCTAGAAATGCCAGTGCTTCAACAACAGTGAGTATATTTATTTTGTCTACATATTTAGAAATGCTTCATCAGGGTTTCCCCCCTGAAAATGAGTTAAGCCTGGCGGATTCGGCCATCAGGGTGGGGTCGCGCGCTCCGTCCCGCAGCACTCCTCCGTGAGAGTAGGGCTGGGCGATATGACGATTTTAGACCGTTTTACGATCTACACATCTGACGGTCTGTCATTTTTGAGAGACCGTTTTATCACGATTCACAGCTCTGCTGTTGAATTTCTGCCTCTGAATGAAAAGGGAACTTACCTCAGGGGAATGACACGCCTTTGTTTGACCCTTAACCAATCAGAGTGAGTCATACTATTAGTGCCCCGCTTGTTTTCACCTGTGTATGATCAAACATGCCTTCGCCGCGGCTGAGCGACAACGAGGTTTTCGTTCCGAAGAGGAACGCAGGGTTTCCTTAGCGCGCGGCGCTAACAACTTAGCGACTTGACATGTCTCGGAGAAAGCGTAAAAACACGTTGGACGCTTCTTCTGAAGCAGGAAAATAACACCGCTTCTTAAGCAGAGCACGACGTCGCCTCGGCTCGTCCACCCTCTGCCGAGCCGGTGTCGGTACCGACTGAGCTCGGTCACTGGGTCGATGGAGCTGCCCCGTGACTGCCTGATGGAAAACCAGCGGGTTTCATCAGACTCGTAGTTTCTTGTTTTTGCTGGGACCCCCTGTATTTTACCGCTCCCTCCTGCAGTCTTCCCCCATTAACATTTAAAATGATTCTGTAAACTCCGTGTATCAATAGAAACAATCTCTGCCTCTGCCAGCTGCAGTAAATGTAGTTTCCAAATAATAAGAGGTGCATTCATCTGTGTATCTCCTTTCATCCACATTAGTGATATTTTCAGCACCAGAACAGTGAAGCAAAGAAAGATTCCTGAGTTTGTTAGTAATTTTATTTATTAGGTGCATCTAACCTGTTCTATTTTTCTCTGAAATGAGATCAAATCAGTGCTTCTATGGGTTGTCTCCAATCTGCACTGGAAAATTTTACTTTATTTAGAGACTTGTTACAGAAAATATTCAGAATGCGCAGTTATTTGCTACCACAAGCGATCTCTGGTCCAGCCGCACATCAGAGCCGCATTTGAGCTTAACTATCCACTACATGAGCAACTGGGAGCTACATAGTATTTTGAACAAGTTAATGTTTGCACAATACGTTTGCAATTGACATGTTTGCACTTTAAATATGTTTACGATTTTAATTTATGTTAAGTTACTTGAAAAACGAGAAAAACTGATTTTTGTAATTGTTTCTCTCAGGGCTTTTATCATCTCTGGTGTGAGTTTAAAATATAAGTGTGTTAGCACTGTGCTGATTATCCCTAATATGAATAAATGTTTATTTATTCAGTGTTTCTCTTCTTTTATACGCAATTGAAGTTATGCTATTCATGGATAAAAAAAATCGTGATAAAATCGAAATCGTGATAAAATATTGGAAAAATCGTGATATTCTATTTTTGCCATATCGCCCAGCCCTACGTGAGAGCGGGGGTGTGGGGTGCACACATTCCGCTGCCGTTTCTCACCAGTATTAGCTGATGGAGGGCTCTAGTTTCGTTGCGCCGTTCATGTCAGCGGACACGGTAGGGTCGGAAAGGAGGGCGGGGCATGACGCTTAGCCTGGCGGGTGGCCAAGCAAAGCCTGGCAGCCCGCCAGGCTTATAAAGCATTGGGGGAAACCCTGGCTTCATATTGGCTCACATTTTTGTGTTCTATCGAATTAACAGGCTCCTGTTGTATTGGTCTGTTCTCTATCTCCACTGTTATTGTACCAGGACATGCCGACCCGTGTGATGCTACGTGTTGAGGTCAATGGTTTTATTTTCTTCCACAGAATCTGAGGGATGTTTTGTCAGACCTCATTCCCAAAGAACAGACCAGGATCAAAAACTTCAAACAGCAGTATGGCAAAACCAACATAGGCCAGATTACTGTTGATATGGTAAGTAGTGCTATGTTGAGTAAATCTGAAGTGAGCAGAATATTGGAGATGCAAGTCCAAGTTAAAAGGGAATTAATCTAGGGAAGGGCATTGAGGCCAAAGGCTGTGACGAAGACTAATTGTGGCATGGTAGTTGGCTACATGTAATCCATTTAGGCCTGCCCAGGCTTGTTGGCTGTGTCAGGTATCACTGTACGGTCATCTCCCTCAGAGGTCACGTATAAACTGATTCCTGCCAACAGAGAAAATTTCAGCTGAGTCACTGAAAACCTGAAACAGGCTGGTCTGGGCTCACACATCCACAGCACTGCAATAAGGCCTAATGGATCATATTGATGTGTATTGAAAATAAATGTATTCCTCTTAGTCTTGTGGTCATACCAAGTCTCAGACCAGTATATACACCAGTATGTAAAATCAGTCAGTCGTGTACTTTAAGGCTTTAAAGGGGTTCCAGCGTAGTGGGCTTGTTACTGCAAGTTAATTTAATGTTGCAGATATTTTGTGGCCAGAAAATGCTTAGAGTTCCTCTGTTCCTCCCACAGGTCTATGGTGGTATGAGAGGGATGAAGGGTCTGGTATATGAAACCTCAGTGTTGGACCCTGAGGAGGTGAGTGCTACAGTCACGCTGATGACGTATACCGACTCACTGGCCACTCCTGTGTCTTCCTGCAAAAGCAACAGTCTGACCTTCGACACAGTTTAGATCACTAAGAGTTACGTGTGTATGTAAGTTATTTCAGTTTCCTTTAGCTTAAGAGTCCCATCTGTCAGCATTTAGCAGATAAACCAGTGAAAGAAGAGATTTCTTGTTTGTGTGTCGTTAGTCGATGCTTTAAACTCTTCTGACAGCTTCTCGGAGGACTCTTGAATCGACAGTTTTCAGCCTAAAGTGAGAGCTGTCAGCAGGGAATCTTGTCTGTGTTTTCACATTTCACAAGGAAGGACACTTGGAGCTAGGGGTGGGCGACATGGCCTCAAAATAAAACCATAACATTTCACAATATTCTGATGAAGTGGCAGAGTACAGTTGTTTTTCATTTACTGATTCTTCTGCTATATTACTACATCCTTACTAAATCTGTGTGACTTGTTTCACATAGTACAATTTCTTTTAATTTATTCTGAATTCCTTATATCCATTCTAACCATATTAACATCAAACGTCATGATTCCCAAGTGAATGATTGAAAACTTAGCAGATCATTAACCACAGATGTCACATTTTTACTGTTTGACTTGTCACAAAGTTCTGAGGTTCTGCAGAACTCTGATTTTTGGAAGATCTTACTCCTCTTTATTTGAATAACAAAATATGTCATTGTTCTTGTGCAGAATTAGGTATTATCCAGTTTGGTAGCTGATGTTTAAGAACTTCAAAATGCATGGAGGGCTGAGCAGGAGAGAACAGGGTGATGGCGTTCATGTCCAGAGTTCAACAGAGTCACAGAAATGAGACAGGTTTTTCTTTTCCCCGGGCAAGAAGATTTTACCGGTATTATCGTGAACAATACAGTATGGCCCATCCCTACTTGGAGCTTGTATTAAAGTTTCCTTTTTTATTTAGCATTGCAGGAAAGTGTGAAAGAACGTTGGATAACCACATGAAATAATTTGTTTGACCTTTTCTCTTGTCCGTTAACCCACAGGGCATCCGCTTCAGGGGCTACAGCATTCCAGAGTGTCAGAAGTTGCTGCCCAAAGCTCCAGGAGGCGAGGAGCCCCTGCCTGAAGGCCTGTTTTGGCTGCTGATCACAGGACAGGTCCCCACTGAGGAGCAGGTGAGCATCACAATAAATTATTGATGGTACACGAGTGAACTGATGTTCTTTTTGCCTCAGTCAGTCCTGGAATCTCAGACGAGGATTTCTTGACTTCCCTTTACTTCCTGTTGAATAATACAGGGTATCCGCAGGTCCTTAAAAAGTCTTAAAACGTCTTAAATTTGCTTTTCCAAATTTAAGGCCTTAAAAATCCTTAAAAATTACAAATAATCCTTAAATACAGTTTCCAAAGGTCTTAGATTACCAAAGACCCAATAAACAAAATCGTTTTGTTTCTATTAAATTTTGTGAATTTCTAGTTGGTATTCAGCATTTTTTGTGTATGGTGTTGGCGTAAGCAGAACCGTACACATTCAGTTGGTTGTGACAGGGGACTATTTTTAGATGACCACATTAGCTGGTTAAGCTAGTGGGAGCTTGCGCCATGGGGACGTGCAAGTTTGATGGTAACTGGATGGTTAATCCCACTTTTGCTCGGTTCCAGGCAATAGCTAGAAATTATAGCTTAAATTTAATTTCAAAAGTAGCTTAAATGTGGTCAAAGTGGCCTTAAAAAGGTCTTAAAAAGTCTTAAATTTGACTCCCTTAAACCTGCAGATACCCTGTAATAGTGATTCTGTCTGAATAAGAATGTAATTTAAACAAAGGCTTGTGACCAGAGTATCAAATATGATGTAGGATTATAAAAGTTAAGAGTAGATTACGTTTCAGGGTTTATTTTTGACTTGGTGTTTAAGCTCAAAGCACTTCACCGTTAATAACTGCAGCTCAAGCTGTAATTATATACGTGATACACTGGTGCAAAAAAGTATTTAGTCAGCCTCCTATTGTGCAGGTTCTCCCACTTAAATAGATGAGAGGCCTGTTATATTTAATCACGGGTATACCTCAACTATGAGGAATAAAAATATCCAGAAAATCACATTGTCTGATTTTTAAAGAATTTATTTGCAAATTATGATGGAAAGTAAGTATTTGGTCTCCTATAAACGAGCAACATTTCTGGCTCTCACAAACCTGTAACTTCTTCTGTAAGAGAAACAGAATTGTAGACCTGCGCCAGGCTGGGATGACTGAATCTGCAATAGGTACGCAGCTTGGTGTGAAGAAATCAACTGTGGGAACAATTATTAGGAAGGGGAAGACGTACAAGACCACTGATAATCTCCCTCCATCAGTGGCTCCATGCAAGATCTCACCCCGTGGGGTCAAAAAATATTCAACCTCTGTCATTGCCAACAAAGGGTAGATAACACATTGAGATGGACTTTCATTACTTGCCAAATATTCATTTTTCCACCATAATTTGCAAATAAATTCCTCAAAATCAGACAAATGTGATTTTCTGGATTTTTTTTTTCTCTCTTTGTCTCTTATAGGTGAGATATTCCTTTGATGGAAAATTGCAGGCCTCGTCTTTTTAAGTGGGAGAAATTGCACAATTGGAGGCTAAATACACTTTAGCCCCACTGTAGCCATGGAGGCTAATCCAAACATACATTGGTTGAGCCCTTTTCTACAAATTTAAACCGTATTTTTAAATCTATTAGGATTAACTTCAAACATTTAAGTCTAAAATGCAAGACTTCCCTCATCTGAAGACTGGAGGGGCTGGTGCAGCTGGTACCTAAACATGCTGGGCTCTAAAAGTAGTCCGTAATGTCATGTAGTGGGAAACAGGTCTACACACCTGAATATTCACTCACAGGCCTGTTTATTAGGTTCCAGTTGGGACCCGTTTGGTTTACAGAACTGCCTCAAATTTCCATCCTGTCCTTTCAGAGACCTTGGTAGGAACCCGTGCTTATCTGAGCTGCTAGAACCAGTCTCATCCACACAACTGCTGTCCAAGCTCTTGTCTTTTAACCTGGCTGATGCCTGTAGCATCACATCTCTAAATGAACCATGCTCAGAGCAAACAACAGCCAAGACAGGACCAGAGAAAGCTGCTGTTGTGTCCTTTGGCAAGACACTTAAACCGCCTTGCCTGCTAGTGGTGCTCGTACGGACCGGTGGCGCCAGTGTTCAGCAGCCTCACCTCTCTCAATGCACCCCATGGCAGCTGTAGCTACATCGTAGCTCATCTCCACCAGCGTGTGAATGGTAGGGCTGTAGCGAAGCCTCGACGAAGTCGACGGCTCGATTCTAAAAATTTGTCGACGTCAGATCCGGAAGTCGACGCACCGCGCCCACTTGTTGCATCCCCAGGAGTTTGTAAATAGAGGAGGAATCTGCCTGTTTTTCCTCTAGTTCGCCCTCTTCTCCGCCTTCACTAACATCTCCGCCAAATACCGAAGACCCGGAACAACGTCCGTGCACTACTAGATTATTTTCCTGTTTTGCCCCTTCGTCTCCCGGCAACGGACAACAACTTCCGGGGTCAGATGCGCTGCTTCGTGTCTATCGCAGATGTAGAAAATCACCGGGAGCGTTTCTCCCTTCATTAAGGAGCTTCTTTCAGACATGAGGAGAGCTGTTTTGGTGGTAGCAGTCTCTCCTCCATGCTGGTCTGTTTGCTGCTGGGTGTTTTTGGTTTATTTAAACTTGGTAACTTGAACTTAATGTTGGTAAAGCTACTGTTAGCATCTTCGCTAACAGCTTCTTGCGTTGGGATAAGCTGTTAAGTTTTGGTTTAGAGTTCATCTTTTTTGTGGTGTAGATCTCCCTTTTTATTACATTTAGAGTGTTGTGGGTTTTCGGTTTAGTTTAAAATATCACCTGAGTTTGGTTTAACCCGTAAGACCACTCGCCTCACGCACATAAGTGACCAAAACAAAGCAGCATGGAGACACTCCATCTTCTACCACCTCTCAGGCAGCAGCCTGCACTCCCAAGTTCTACACGTCACCAGAACATAACCAACCAACACAATAAACGCAGTGTTATACAAAATGGAAGGCCTGTAGTGTTTATTCTCTTACAGTAAGAATTTATCAATTTTTTTGAGGAATTTATTTGAGATTTTCTGGTTTTTGTTAATTGTGCAATAGAAAAATAATCATTAGATTAATTTTCTAAATAGTCATTAGAATAGTCGACTATTCGATAAAATAATCGTCAGAATAATCGTTTTAAAAATAATCGTTTACCCCCAGCCCTAGTGAATGGGTGAATGACAGATTGTGTTGTGAAGTGCCTTGGGGGGTTGTAGAACCCTAAGAAGTTGCTACACAAATACAGACCATTTACAGGTCCTTCTGATAAAAAACAAAAGGCATATTGTGATAAAGTTCATTATTGTCTGTAACTTACTGATAAATATTAGACTTTCATATATTGTTTTTGGAGATTGAAATTTGGATTTTCATGAGCTGTATGCCAACATCATCAGTATTAGAAACGATAAAAGGCTTGAACTACTTCAGCTGTGTGTAATGAATCTAATATATATGAAAGTCTAATGTTTATCAGTACATTACAGAAAATAATGAACTTTATCACAATATGCAAATTTTTTTAGAAGGACCTGTACTTTAGGAGCACCAAAACATGGACACTTCACGTGGTTATCTACATAAGTGTAATGTGATCTGTAGTCACAGCTGACTCAAGAGGACGTCTGCTGGGACTTTATTGCTGCCGGCTTATCTTGTTGCAAGTGTTTATATGTAATTAAGTGATAAACATACTTTTCTTAGCTAATTGTAACATTTCACAGAAAAATGACTTTTGCCCCTTTTAACAGATGTGTACTTGTATAAAGTGGCCAAATAAGGACCCCCCCCCCCCCCCCCCCCCCCCCCCCTCCAACCCCTTAGCTTGACCTTAACTTGACCCCTCCTTTTCTAGGTAAACTGGGTGTCCAAAGAGTGGGCGAAAAGAGCGGCACTCCCCTCTCATGTTGTCACCATGCTGGATAATTTCCCCACAAACCTGCACCCCATGTCCCAGTTCAGTGCCGCCATCACAGCTCTAAACAGCGAGAGCAGCTTTGCACGGGCCTACTCTGAGGGGGTCCATAAGTCCAAGTACTGGGAGGTGAGGTCGCACACACACACACACCCGGTCCTGCCAGTGACCGAACATGAGAAGGAAAAGTGTTCTACTGAGTGAAATTTTATTATTTTGGTTTTTCCCAGTTTGTCTACGAAGACTCCATGGACTTGATTGCCAAGTTGCCCTGCATCGCTGCTAAGATTTACCGCAATCTTTATCGTGAAGGCAGCAGCATCGGAGCCATTGACTCTAACCTGGACTGGTCCCACAACTTCACCAATATGCTGGGCTACAGCGAGCCCCAGTTCACTGAGCTGATGAGACTCTACCTCACTATCCACAGGTAGCATCTCAGATTCACACACACACTCCCAAACGGGTGTGAGGACAGGCTTATACCCATAATATCAGTCATTTAATCTCTAAACTGAATGCGGTTTGAAGCCATCCCCATCAGCTTGACTACTATGGGCCATTCCCATCTGTACCGGGCCGGGTAGCGTAGGTTGTTTACATGTCTGGGTGGCCTGGTATTTTTCCGGGCCAACCAAGGCTCATTCTCAGCCCTCTTCTCGAGGGGGTCTGCTTCAGGCCGACCAGGGCCAACACACCCACTGCTGACAGCAAATCCACACCTTCCATTAGAGCAAGCCTCTGATTGGTGGGTAGAATCAGCCCACATGGGCTTAAGGCAAGGATGTGTGGAATCAACCGGGCCATGCTGGGGCCGACTGGGGCTACCCGGCCCGGGCCAACCCGGTACAGATGGGAATGGCCCACTAGTGAAATGTGACCCAATTTTGGGTGTTTATTTTTCTGTATTTCCTCATGTCAACCACGATATCTGCAGCAAAAAGACCTGTTTACAAGAGTGAAACTAACAGTGTTGTGAACAAATAGCTTGGTTTATGCCACATTTTTAGTTTGGATAAAGAATGTTTTACTGAAATGTCCAAAATCTTTGAAACACAAAGGTCAGTTTCCAGTGTTTTCTGTTTTTTACTAAAAAGCATGGAGTAGATTAAAAGTGGACAAAGAGCTGAGCTCATGTAGGATTAGATGGTTTCTTTGGACTGCTGAAAGAATAGAAAACCATTGACTTGATTAGTAAATATTTACCAATAACTCTTTTTGTTTTAATAGCGATCATGAAGGAGGAAATGTCAGCGCCCACACTAGCCACCTAGTGGGGAGCGCCCTGTCTGATCCCTACCTGTCCTTCAGCGCTGCCATGAACGGTCTGGCTGGTCCGCTGCACGGCCTGGCCAATCAGGTTCGTCCACATCATCCCCTAGACAGGATCCAAATTCACCAGTAGCCTCCCAGTAAACCTTCCACAGAGAAGACATTCAAACATAAATAGGGTTCAGAATAGGGATGCACCAAAATGAAAATTCTTGGCTGAAAATGAGGAAACCAAGGCTGAAACACCGAAAAAAATGATCGTTTCAGTAATTACAACCATAGCGTTAATGGCTATGACGTGTACTAACCTCACTAAAATCAAGACCTTGACCCCACTCATGTACATTATAATAATAAATCAAAATAATACATGCACAGGCTTATAACTGAAAAGCCTGCTGAGACTGTAAAAATAACCCTTTAAACGCCACAGCTGCAATTATATCCCTCATGAATTTTAGAGGTGTGAATCTTCACTTGTCTCCCGATTCGATTCGATTACGATTATTGGGTCAACGATTCAATTCGATTCGTTATCCCGATGCATCACGATGCATCACGATTATTTCATATTGATTTGTTTTCATCGATAAATAGAAGATGTCAGATAACTGCTTTTTATTTTTTTTTATATCTAAAACGTAATTGACACAACCTGCCATCCCTCAAAAGCTCTCCATTCACAACAGGTTAGGACAAAACATTTTAAACATTTAAGAAGATTTAACAAAGTAAAACATCTGTTTCCTGGTTCAACACCACGCCTCAGGCTGAGAAAAACACGCTTTGCAAAAACTCACAAAATCTGAAAAAAATACTGAAAACCAACAGGACACATAATGTAATAATAAAATACATAATGGGTTCACATATGAGTGTTTAATGTCTCTGAGCAGCTCTAGAGTCAAATATTTATGCCACAGCTCAAGGGTGTCAGAAATAACACCAAATGAAATGTTTGACTTAGTTTGTTATTTTATTTGAACCCGGTGGTTCATTTCTGAAATGTTGGAGAATGAATCAAGTTCTGTTTGATGCAGAAAATAATAAAACATGAAACAAATTCTACACTTCCAATAATATTTAAGATGTGTGTTTTATTCTTTCTGATAATAACACCAGCAGAAGGCTGTGGGCTGGATTAGGATTAAATTACCCAGCTGATGGATCTCCTTCACTAACCAGCTAACTACAAACCTTTCCACTAACCTGTCCTGTGTCACCCTCACCATGTGACCCTCATGTCCATGCTGTCTCTGGAGGAGCAGATAGGAGACAGACCTCCTGTAACTTAAAATGAACCAAAGCTTCCTCCCAGTTTCTCTTTAAGATGAGTTTAACATCAGTTTATCTTCATGACACAAAATAATAAAGTGGAACAAGAACTTCTATTTCTCTCTCCTTTTAACTTCTCCGTGTCCCTAAATAAAAGAGACAGACGATCACGCTGCAGCCGCTGTCACTGACCCCGCCCCCTCCCCAAGACCGGCTCTCCCTACATTACAACAAGCAGTCTGACTGAGCGCTTCCAGGAGAAATAATAATTAAATTATGAAAATAATAACGCGTGTTTGGAGGAGCGTCCTCCGATCGTCTCTCTGAGCAGACAGTGTCTCTCTCTCTCTCTCTGTCGCTGATCGAGCGAGCGGAGCGCGCCGCACGACAACCGCTCAATTAACATAATTCACGGCCCAAATCCAACAGAACCGGTCGGGCTGATTCGGTTCCGGTTTGGTCTCGGGTGACAACTCTAGCGCTCAGCCCTGCAGTACCACATTAAGGCGGAGGTAAATGTGGAGGACGCTCACTCTGACAGATTTGGATCTGCGCTGGTGCCGCCATTAAAAAAAACAAAACTACATTCCACTATAATCGATTATGGCGTACTCTTCGACGATGCAGAATCGTTTATGTCCGCATCCCGATGCATCGATTATTTGATTATTTTCCTCAGCTCTAATGAATTTCTTACTTTACACCAGGAGATAGTGGGGTTGTGTAACTTCAATCTGAGCAATACCTTTGGGTGTTTCTATTGAAATCCCCACCCCCGTCGGAGACGAGCAGAGGGCGATTATTATTATTATTTATTAGAGAGGAGAAACGTGCAGTGCTGACAGGTCTGTTCACTGTTGACAAAGCTCTTTGGTAATTTCTGATTCTGAAACGTAATATTTACCCTCTGAAGATGCTGGTTCGTCACCGCGGTTCACTCGTCCATTGATAAAGGGAGTGATGCTGCTGCTGCGTGCAGCATCAGAATCTGTGTGCTTCATGTGGATCAGACATCATCCAAGGACACGGTGGATGTAGAGAGGACAATAAAAATGCCGCTAATAGTGACGGACGTAGCAGGAATGTGAAGGAAGAAGGAAAAAAGCCAGGCAGACGAGGTAGATGTGAAACAGAAAATAAAAGCTCGACACATAATCGACATGAATATTCCAACCATCCTAATAAAACAGCATTACTTAAGGGGAAAACTTTACTTTTGAAATCTGAATTTACTGTTTTTATTAAGCAAAGAGCAAGTTGCCAAATAAGGTGGAGTGAGATGAAACGAAAACGGTTTATCTGACGGTTTGTTTCGGCCGAAAATTCTCTTTTGGGGGTCATTTTCGTAGCGTCCCTAGTTCAGAAATGTCTTTACATGTCTGTCTCCATCTGTTGTATTTGCAAACGGAGCTGAAGAAGTGAAGCGTGGATAGTTGAAACAAATTTACCTCGACAGTCTGCCTCAGTTAGGAAATTAAGTAAAATAAAGTTAGATTGAAAACTGACTGAAAATCATCATTAATATTTGATGATTTTATAATTGTGTTTCTGCTGCTTATTTCAGTCCGTGTTCAGGTTCCTGTTAGAAGTAATAATATAAGTCAAAGTAATAAGTGGTTTTAAAAGCGCTCCCTGACAATTTCAATTTCATGTGACGGCACTGAGCTGTCAGTGTTGTCTTCTACTGGTGTTGCTTTTCTTTATGTTCACGACCAACTGGTTATGCCTTATGCGACTCGTCGTTTTAACGTGTGGTCTGTTGCGCTGTACAGGAAGTGCTGGTGTGGCTGACTGCCTTGCAGAAGGAACTGGGAGGCGAGGTGTCTGATGAAAGAATGAGGGATTACATCTGGAACACACTCAAATCTGGCAGGGTAAAAACACACTAGCTCTCATCACGAGTTGTTGTTTCTGTGACGCTCTGTAAGCCTTATTGGTTTCACCTGCTCTCAGCTTTTGTTTTCTTCCTCAGCTCTAATATTTCAAAATAACTTGTCTGCAAAAGCAGCAGCAGTACTTGGACTGGTAGTATCTTTAGCACAGGACCGACTGAGAGTATGTGGTCTTGGCTGCAGGTGGTTCCAGGTTATGGCCACGCTGTCCTGAGGAAGACCGACCCGCGTTACACATGCCAGCGTGAGTTTGCCCTGAAGCATCTGCCCAACGATCCCATGTTTAAGTTGGTCGCCCAGCTTTACAAGATCGTACCCAACGTGCTCCTGGAGCAGGGCAAAGCCAAGAACCCCTGGCCCAATGTGGACGCCCACAGCGGAGTGCTGCTGCAGGTAAGATGCCATTCATCCCTTTGGTCGTGTCATCTCAGAAACCATAGATGGAAGGCATTGCTGACCGTGTTTTCACCTTGTGTGCAGTACTATGGAATGACGGAGATGAACTACTACACCGTCCTCTTTGGTGTGTCTCGTGCTTTGGGCGTACTCGCTCAGCTGGTGTGGAGTAGAGCCCTGGGATTCCCCCTGGAGCGCCCCAAATCCATGAGCACGGATGGACTGATGACTCTGGTTGGAGCCAAGTCAGGCTGAAGCCCCGCCTCCAAACATCAGGGGTGAAGGGTGAGAAGATGTGAAGAATACTGGAGAGGCAGGCACCAGGTGACCCTCTGTTGTTTCCAACCCGGGGATTCAAAGAGACAGTATGCTTTTAATGTTATTGACAAAAGAAGGGCCGTTTTAAAGTCTCCCACCACTAGTGTTGAAGTGTGTTTAGTTAACCACTGACATCATTCCTGTATATGTTTGGAACGTTACACACATGTAATCATGAACAGTTCCAGTCCCCCCCCCAATGGCCGAGTCAGGACCACGAAGGCGCTGTGGGCATGAACTACACCATTAATCCTCGCTCTCATTTTTTTCTGATCATCTGTAGTTTAAGGATTAGGTAGCAAAAGATCATCGAATAAAAGTCTTTATTTTTCTTCTATGCAATGTTTTCCTCCCGTCTAATGGGCCGTTGTGTTTCGCTCCCTCACGTTGAACACTCCATTAAAACAGAAACACAATTTACAACCAGAACATGTTTTTTATCATTTAAAAGATGCTGCCCCTTTAAATCTTTGATCTCCCTTTTGTCCTACGTGTATTTTTCTTTCTTCTTCTTGAAAATGGCTTCTGTTACCTCTATGATCAAAATAACTTTATTGTCCCTTTAACTTTCCTGGTTTTAACGATCTGCTCTACGGGTCTAGTGAACCGTTGGGAGTAGGGAGTAGTGTACAGCAACAGTCATTTAAATCTGAGTGAGCGGCATTGTAACTGGAAGCCAGAAGGTGAGTCCTTAAGAGCAAGCGTGAAACACAAGTGTAATGCGGAGGCTTTGTAGTTGGCCCAGCTGAGTTTGTTCTGTTTTTTTAGTCCCGAGTTTGTCCCCACAGAAGAGCGCTTCAAACAACAACTCCTCTAAAATGAGCACTAACTTAATTGGATTTTCTAATTTTTAGAAGTTGAACCCAGCCAGGTTGATGGTGTACCTTTTTTTACAAATTTATTTTTTTGAACATGTAAAAAAAAACAAAAAAACTAAAGTTTTTGGGTTCTCATTTTGTGGTTTTATTTATAATTTGTGTACATAGGTATATATGTGTAGCTTGAATGTATGAGCTCATAACAACCACAGTTTACCAACGACATCATGGGGTCTAGCCTCGCCGGTTTCCGTCGGATTCTCACAACGAACAAAAGAAAACTGCAGCTATCTTGTAAATACAGTTTTGGCTTTTCTTTGTGGGTTTTTAGTTTTTCGGGTGTTTCATTTGAAGGTTTCATGCTTGCTCTTAAGTCCTGGCTTGTCCACACTCCATGTCTATGAGGTACACCCTTGCTGTTCCACACACAACTCTGCAGTGTGAGTAAGTAGTTGGCTTTGTTTGGTCGGCTCAGAAGCATCACTCTCTGTTCCGGCTTCATTAGGCGCCGGTGTGTGTTCTTCCATGGTTGTTCATAAGTGGTTATTTTGATCGTAGAGGAGAATAAAGGTCGTCTAACGGATTCAGGGAAAGGTTTGGGTTTAGAGCTGAATGGGTCAAGAAAAGCTTAAACGGCAGTCGTTGGAAAACCTAACAAAAGAAAAATAAAAGTTTTTATTAACAACTATGTGACATATTTTTCTTCACACAAATGAAAGCTGTTTTTGAAGAACACTGGTCTTGCTCTGGGCTTCCTGACATCTTTAGAACATCTGGATGATCGTGAAACCTTTAAAAAAGAGGGATTGTTAAAATAAAGATGATTTCTGTTAGATGTACTGCTTCAGAAAAAAAAGTGATGCACACAGGTAGTCAGGAGGACAATGGCGTACCTGGAATGTTACGTATTGAATAAAGTTTTTTGGGAGCGTTCTTGGTGTGCAGATCTGTTTTGTTCTGTATTTGATCTACTGCCTTCTCTGTTTTGGGTAGAAACATTAATTTATGCTCATCGTAAAAAACTCACTACATCTGCATCTGTTTACATTTAACTGGATTCATCAATCCTGAACCAAGTCCTGTTGTCACTCGTGGGCGGAGCTTATCTCTGGTCATCAGATAAGAGGCTGGTCACACACTGAGCAGGTGTAGTCTGGAGGTTACTTCTGGATTCTCTAATGAAGAGATGGTACATGTGTCCACCCCTCACATGCGTCGTTATTAATAACTGTCCCACATTCCTGAGACCCACTCTGGTTTCCTGCTGCTCAGCTGAGCTCCTCTCCACTCGCCTGTTGGTGCAACGGTGACCAGTGCAAAGTGTCGAGGGCTGACGTCTGCTGGAGGTGAAGACGACTTAAAACACGTTCAGAACAAAAATGGAAACGCCTTGAGTGAAAGATTTTCTGCACGTTTAATGTCTACAAGTTTGTGACTTAAATGATTCGACACACGTCTTTTGTAATGTTTATTCTACCTGCAAGATTTAAATAAAATGGATGAGCGGATGTGGTCACATCCAAATGGGCCATGACTTACTATTATCCATCTTGGTTTTTTTTTTTACAGAACATGAGATTTGTTTAATCCCAACATAAAGCATCAGATCAGATGAAATGGTGTTTTAATATCTGTATTTTTAAATATCAAATATAAAGCTGCAGTTTTCCCTTCCACTCATCATCACAGTACACTCCTGAGTGTTTTGTGCAAACTTATCAGCCCCATATCAACAGGTTGCTTCTAAGGTGAGCTAAAAAATAACAAATGTTTAAAAATAATCAGCAGGAGCCTCAATGTTCAAGAGTACAATCTTCACAGCACAGCAGCCAAGGTAAAGCTACGCCCTAGCCTCACAGGTCAGACTAGTTAGGATTACATCACTCCTCTGAAGAACACAATACTGTCAGTGACCACACACGTGCCCGAATAAACAAAACCTTCCATATACCCACTAAATAAAGCAGGAATTGCTGTACTGGACATACTTTAACATTTCATTCTGAAGCAGGTGCAAATGGTAAAGGCGAAGTGTGCTTTTACATGTGATCAGCTGATCGTACCGCTGTTTACATGCTAACCAGTACAGTAGCCTCAGGTCCCAGTGACTCCCAGTGACCCACGAGTCCTCAGCATGGGTCTGGCCTTCAGAACTTCCATAAGTTATTAAAAAAGATCGAAGAATGTTCATTTAAAATAATTTTTCACTAGTAACACAATGTACGGGTTTACTGTTCTCTGTTTACATAAATACAGCCTGTAACCGCAATGGAGCGACAGTAATGGTGGGTTGTGCTAGGAAACTGGAGGCAGACAGACTCGATGAGACAGAGAAGCATGAATTAGAGGCAAGAATTCCAACACTGGGAATTGGAAGTCCTTTGTAACTGCTTTGACTTTTCCAGGAGTGAAGATGGGATGCTGGGGCTGACTGAATTGAGTGTGGGGGGGCATTTAAGGCCAGATGGAGACGTGTGGTCACCAAGATCACGTCTGATGAACTTCGTGAAACATCAGCTCCCGAGGAATCCGAGTCTCTTGACCGTACATCTTGCAGGCTCGCCGTTCGAACGCAGCAACGTTCTGCTTTACGACTTCATCGAAGAACATGGTGGCCAACTGGGAGTGGAGCAAAGAGCGGAACTCGAAGGAAATCTGCCAAAGACAAAGAAGATTGTTTAATTATGATGCGTCAAAGCCAAAGGGATTTGTTACAAACCAGAGACTATCACGTTCAGACCAAGACATGACCCTAAAGGTCTTCTGAGAGTTGAGGGGTTATTGGAAATGAACACAGGAACATTAATTAATATGACAGAAACACTAATAGGAGCACTTCCTGTTTCATGGAAACATGTTGACATTCTAGTTTGTTAAAAATAAAGCAGCATTTATTTACTTTGTGTACCTGTTGGAGCCGTTTGGGGGTAAAAGTTAAGACTTCTAGAGGGTGATAAATAAGGCCAATCATGTACAATATTTAGGAAGACCGAGTCCTGCTGGCAGCCTGATGGTCACATTCATGTTAAACTGCTTCAGCTTTTCTGTAACCAGACAGAATGCCAACAAACTTACTTTCAGTTTGTTTTTAATCGAACAAATGTTATGACTGTTACCCTAGAGGGTGCAACAGCGGTGGGCAAAGGCTTCCAACAGCTGAGAGCACAGTGCTTCACAACCACAGCAATCTTCACAAACACTTAGACGCGCCGTTAACGGCAAGATAAGAAAATGTGATGAGGTGACACAAACATCTCATAAGGAAACTGAAAATATATAAAAGTTTGATATAAACAGAACCAAAAAAAGTTACATTTGTCATTTTATTTTGAAATATTTTCCAATCCCCTCTATCCCCCCGCTCTGGTGGGATGAGCTTCAGGCGACTCACAGAAAAGTCTACGGTGCAGGTGCGAGGATACCCCGGAATGCCCGGACTAAAGCGCCATATTGTCTCCAGGTGATTGAACAGCTTTCCGTCTGTACACACGGCCTAAAACGACACAAACAACACTGTTGGAAATGACTACAACAGAAAAAGGTGCTTGGTAAATACCTTTGCTGTAACTAAATGTTGAAGGATTTTACTTGTGTGAGTTTAAAGATCAGACGTTTGTCCGTCACTAACACGCACTTACTTTGACTAAATGAGGCCTAACGCTAGTGATCATGGACGTGTATCTCTCCACCACCGGGGAAAATCCCACTTCAAGCTGGGCTTTGGAGTGACCTGCTCTCCTCATGATGGTCTGAGACTTCGTACACCAAGGCACAAAGTTCTTGTAGTCGTCCACATTGGCCACTACGTCATACATTTCCTGCATAGAATACCTGGCAGCAAGCATCACACTGTTAATCAATCCTTCGCTTTGTTTTTCTGCTTCAAACAAACAAACAAACAAGCCGATGCTTGAAACTTACCCAAGTATTCTACGCTCTGAGTACTCCTTCCTTTTATTGGCTAGGCTGATGAAGTTTCTGCTTTGGGGAACAGTAGACACCGTGTCCCAGTCTTGGAGGCAAAGCATTCTGGGACTTCTTGTCATTAAAATGCCACACGAAGACAGGTGCCTGAAAGGTGAGAATAGATTTTTATGGAAGCTGCATTCTGGAAACGTGACAATGTGCCCTGAGCGCAGTTTACAATGGCAAAAGAGAAAGTCCACTATATTCTAGTTTCCAAGTATAAAGGCACTCATAGCCCTAGGCGAGCTGGACCATGAGGGTTCGTTGGGAGAACACTGGTATTATCTGAGCAGAGCGTTTATGCGAAGGAAAAATACAGAAGAGTCAGATTGAATGGCAAATGAATAAAATTATTCTTACTTTCTGAATTAGAAATGCAGGACTAGAAAAATTTGACATTTTTATCACCATGTGGAAGTCTCCTCTCATCTGATTTATGGATAGATGGGATTTCTGTTAACGTCCTGGCTGATTACCTGGATATCTTTAGTTTTAAACGCGTTTTCTTTACATTTTTGTTGCTTATGAACTTATAATTATTATTGCTGATAATGATTTTGGTTAGGACGTTAGATCAGATGGGTATCTGACCTGTGACCTTTCACATCAGACACAAAAAATGGGCTCGGTTCTGAACTTTGCGTCATTATATCCTCATAAGTGAACAAATATCTGTGAGACAGGCTCACCTGATGTTTTGCCGCAGACGCCCTCTCGGCTCACCTTTAGGACATGAGCGAGGGGAGCCCATAGCGGAGATCTGGAGAAAGTCGCTCAACGTCCGCACACCCATGGGTAACCTCCGGGCACCGGCTGTGGTGGCCATCAAACCGGTCCAAGGGAGGCAGATCTGGACGAGCTGAATCCCGGTTTGGTCCAAGGTAAGGAGGGAATCGGCGTACGAGTCCTAATCCCCCCCTGCTGCGGGTAAGTTTTATACAGGAAGACCGAACCTACCCCGATAAGACCGCTTTCAGCCCAACTAGCGCTGGTTCAGCCGCTAACGAGGTTTCATAACAGCGCGACCAAACGCGAAGTGAGGTCACCCACTTTTTCACTTCTACTCACATCCCTCTGCGTCTCAAACATGAAGCCTGCGACTAATTCGTATTTTTATTGTTCTTTTTGTCGGAATCGTGACAAATTCCGTCCAGCTGCTGACGACCTTCTGCTGCTAAATAAAAAGCCGGTGACGGGACAAACTGTTCCTTTCTTCAGTTCGGTCCTGCCGCTGGAATCAAGGGCTGCCCCCTTCAGGAGAGGAGGATGAATAGCAGCGACCAAAAAAAAAAAACTTGGGCTGGCTCTTTGAACTGAATGTAGTTTTTATCTGGGTTTTATCCATGTTTTCCTGTATTTATAATGTTTTATATCATATTTCGTAAAGTGCCTTTAGATTTTGAAAGGCACCAAGAACTAAAATGTATTATTATAGATATAAAAACTGCAGAACAAAAAATATTATGGGGATGTTTGAATGAAAATTTCAACATTATTACCTCACATACATTTTTTACCTGCATGCTATTATTTTTACATTCTATTTGCCTTGTGATATATTATAATCTTTACTGTCCAAAATTATTTAGAAAAATATATGAACTTGCACATTTATTTATGCGCTTCTCTTAAGTGTACGTTGATGCCACGTGGCATTTTAAAATATATTTTATTAATTGTAACAAGACGTGTAATTCTACTACTATTTTAAAACACACAAAGAAACAGATCAATTAGCCTTATCACTCTCTCTCTTTCTTAACATTTTTTTAAATCACAATTGTCTATTTTTTGCTCATTTTAAACAAATTTTAAGCCATTTTCTAAATAATTTTTTATATATTTTTACATTTTTTGTTTTTGTGAAGCGCCTCATGATTTTTATCTTGAGAGGTGCTATAGAAATGATATCTTCTTCTTCTTCTTCTTCTTCTTCTTCTATACATTTTCTTCTTATAAAAGAAAAGAAAAATAGTTCACACCTTCCATAATCAAAAACAAATTGCAAAAACATTTCATTTGTTGTTTTAAATTGTTCATATAAACATAAACTGTGAAAACAAAGCTTACCATTGTTTATTTGTTTTTCTTATTACAAAAATACAAAAGTGACATGTTCTTAGTTTAGATATGATACTAAAGGCTTGTAGGTCATTCATTTCCTCTGCAGTAAGACTATAACTCCACAGTTTAACTGCTACTGTCACCATCCTGTCACGTCACATCAGAGCTATATTCAATACTTGTGAAATACATGTGTCTTTCAATTGTTATTCAGTAATATCCCAATTCCTTGAGTATTTACTTGTATTTTTATTCCCATTTCTTTAAGTGTATGTGAATTTTCCCACTGTGGGATCAATAAAGTCTATTCTATTCTATTCTATTCTAGGCTAGGCTAGGCTAGGCTAAAGACTAAACTAATTCTTATGTAATCTTACCTTTGCTGGGAACAGGAATGTGTCACATTTTTTTGTTTAATGCAGTATGTATAAAACTATTAACATGACATTAGTTGCGTGAAAGCTGCAGTAAAAGTTTTTAATTGATCTAAAAAAAAATGCCAGTCATGTTTAAAAAAAAGGATGCGATAAATCTTTCTACCACAAGGTGTCGACATTTAGCCCGAGTCAGGGAGAGCAGACCGCCACGCCTGTAGGCGGACCAGCGCAGTCCCAGAGCAGACACTGGATACAGACAACAACAGTGACAGACGGAGTCCTCAATTGTCTTTGCTTTTAGTCGGGTGTAGTCTGAGAGGTGGACACAGTAGCACACTACTATTTACCTCGAAGTTTTATCCCGATGAAGGAGCTCCGTCCTGGCTGAGTTTGGGAGATGGGAGTACTCAACATTGCAGACCAGGTACGCCGAAAGAAGGCGCTGTGGTTCTGCGATGGCGCAGTCTATTTGCTGGAAATGAGCTGCTTTAGTGCGCAACATGCTACGTATTCGCCGATCCACTTGTCAACATTTTTGTACTAATATGACCTGTGTTCTTATTTTAATGCGTATCCTACTGATAACGACTTAGTTTCTTGTATTTTTTGTCGTTTGGTTAGTGGACGGTTGTTTGCGTTGTTAAATGCCTTCCCCGGACCGTAGTCTGGTTCAGGGCCAGCTCACTTGGCTAGCTGACGTAAGTACGACGACACGGGCCTGTAGGCCTAAGCTGAGGCTTGGTGTAATTCCTGGAGAAAAAGATGTTCTTAGGTGATTCATCGGCTGTAAGAGTTTGGAACAACATTTACCGCCGTACTATTGACTCTAGCAACTTGACTAAGTAATAAATAACGTTAAATTATTAAATCGGTTCAAATAAATCGTAGATGCGAGCTGATCTTATCCAGACAAGCCATTGGTCCGGATTGCGCGGAGACGTTTTTACCTCATTTCTTTAATTGCACATGTATTTTTAGCACAAAGTCAGCTGGTGTTTATTGTGTGTTGCAGCCTCCTCTGGTCCAGGCCATCTTCAGTCGGAATACTGAAGAAATTCAACTGTTATTGCACAAAAAGGAAGATGTCAATGCACTGGTGCGTTCAAAGCACACGGGGTTTTATTGGGAAATTGATGCAGAAGATTTAGAGATTTTTAATTGTGTGTGTGTGTGTGTGTGTGTGTGTGTGTGTGTGTGTGTGTGTGTGTGTGTGTGTGTGTGTGACAGGACCAAGAGCGCCGCACGCCTCTTCATGCTGCTGCCTGTGTGGGTGATGTCCATATAATGGACCTCCTCATTGAGTCAGGTGAGTCTGCTGCATTTTAGCCAGATGTCTTGTTTCTTCTCATCACATGGACACACCAAACCATCTCTTTGGGTGCAGTTATCAGCTGTGTGACATAATTTGATAAATGCGCTGTGCTTCTCCTTCTAACATGTTAATAATTATCTAATTTGCATGACTGGATCTGTCCAGGTGCCAGCGTTAATGCTAAGGACCACATATGGTTGACCCCATTGCACAGAGCAGCTGCATGTAGGAATGAAGTAAGACTATATCATAATGAGTTATTATTTTATAGAGTCAGATGTATTCACATTTAATTGTAAAATGCATTTAGCAGCACAGTGTAAAAATTGATGTTATCAGTCCAAATGACAAGCTCTGGTTATTGCTTCCTTCTCCTCAGAGGGCAGTGGGTCTTCTGCTGAGGCGTGGAGCCGAGGCAAATGCACGAGACAAGTTTTGGCAGACGCCATTGCATGTGGCGGCTGCCAATCGTGCCACGCGCTGTGCCGAGGCTCTGCTAACCCAGCTGAGCAACCTGAACATGGCAGATCGCACTGGTCGAACAGCCTTGCACCATGCAGCTCAAAGTGGGTTCCAGGAGGTGAGACTGCACTGATTTTATGACTTGTCCTTTGGAAATGCCCTTACAACTGAAACAAATGCTAATATTTTGAAGTTTTTTTTTCTTTCTTTCAGATGGTGAAGCTGCTGTTGAACAAAGGAGCCAACCTGAGTGCCATTGATAAGAAGGAGAGACAGCCTATCCATTGTGCTGCTTATTTGGGTTAGCAGGTTTCATTCAGTAGTTCAAACTTCTGTGTTTGTCATGGTTCCCTTTGGTCATGTGGGTAATAAAAATGTAAACTTTGTGTTTCCTACAGGACATTTGGAGGTTGTGAAGATGCTGGTTTCTCGCGGTGCTGATAAAAGCTGTAAGGATAAGCTGGGTTACACGCCTCTCCATTCTGCGTCTGCAAGTGGTCACATCGAAATTGTAAAGTACCTGCTGAGAATGGGTACAGAGGTGAGTGGTTGCATCAAAGAATTTGCTTTTAAAACAGCCAGTCTTGATTTTAGACTGCCTTCTTTCAGATTTGACACTCACTATCTAAGAAAGAGCCCGTCTTTAAATGTTTCTGGCTTTCTGCTTAGAACGCTGTGTTTTGTGTGTGTTTTGGTCAGATTGATGAGCCTAATGGCTTTGGAAACACTGCACTCCACGTGGCTTGCTACATGGGGCAGGAAGCTGTGGCGACAGAGCTGGTGAACCACGGAGCTAATGTTAACCAGCCTAACAAGTGCGGCTACACCCCTCTGCACCTGGCTGCCGTCTCCACCAACGGTGCCCTCTGTCTGGAGTTGCTGGTCAACAACGGGGCAGATGTCAACCAGCAGGTATGAGTTTTAATAACCGTGTGCTGTTCAGGACTTGCTCTCTCAACATACAACATACAGTGACCTTTGCCAGATACATTCATATCTGTTCACTTTCACTCTAAGCTCTTCATACAGGTGTAATAAACCCTTTCTACAAATGCCTAGAGGCCTTTTGGCTGAAACGATGAGTAACGTTGGCGTGCTCGCACACTGGGTGAGGCCGTGGACCAAATGGTAAATGGCCTGTATTTAATATAGCGCCTTCTAGAGTCCTGGAACCCCCCAAGGCGCTTTACAACACAATCACCCATTCACACACACAAATTCACATGCTGGTGGTGATGAGCTACGATGTAGCCACAGCTGCCCTGGGGCGCACTGACAGAGGCGAGGCTGCCGAGCACTGGCGCCACCGGTCCCTCCGACCACCACCAGCAGGCAAGGTGGGTTAAGTGTCTTGCCCAAGGACACAACAACAGCGACAGACTGAGCGGGGCTCGAACCCGCATCCTTCCTATTATGGAACGAGTACTTAACTCCTGTGCCATTGTCGCCCTTTGTGGTCAACAAAGGTGTCGTCCTCACAGAAACCCTGTTTTTATTCTGTATCTTTGTTCCTGTTCTAAAAGCCCCGATCTGATGTGTTTAGTTTTTTAGGGAGGTGTACAAGAAAATCTTGAAACTTTGAGTAGGCAGAAAAAAACAACCCTTTAAAGAGGCATTATGGAAGTTTGACAGCCAAAACATGTATAGAAATAATAAATGTCTTCTTCATACATTCTCCTGCAATGCCCTGGTCCTGTAGGATGAGCCCTGGCATTTTTACTGTGATTGCCTGTTTTTCTGTAAAATCACAGAAAAAGAGAGAGGCTCGGGTCGAGCAGGCTGCTTCATGCGCGTTCACGCTCAGGCATAGCCCGTAGCATTTGTTATCCGTAGCTTTAGCAGCAGAGAGTGAGGCAGTGCCAACTCAGCAACTTTGTCGCTGTTCCTAACGCCTAGTGATGAACCTAGCTACATTTCTGAGGACCCTTAGCTACTTTCTGTAGAACTTTCTTCTAGATATTTCCTGCAAATTAGCAACAAAATAGCCATTTTTGCTCCGAACCATTCTTTGGTTTGACGTTGTTTCAGGTGTCATAAATGATATAAAAGTTACAGATACTGCGAATGTTACTAGAGTGTAGCTCACCTAGTAAGACTTCGGACTCCCATGCAGAAGACCTGGGTTCATCAGTCTGGGTTCATTGATTGTTTGATTCTGGGTGTGAACATAGTTCATTTAGAGTTTATTTTTTACATTAATGGTATACTTTTTACAGTAAGATGCCCACATTTTTATTTGAGACTCGCCGAACGGCATTGAATTCACATATAAAAAAGATGTGGGTTCAACTTTCATTTTGGAACAATTTTTCAAGCAAGGGAAGGGAATGATCTGAGCATGCAGGAGGACCGACCCATCATAAACCTTTGTCGGCTGTGCTGAAGAGAAAGGTACAGAACCAAATTATTTAATTAATTAGCTGCGCGTTCTCCTGTCCTCTGTCCTCCGGGCCCCACACACACACACACAAACAAACAAGGGACTGTCTTAGCTGTTATTTTCATCAAGGAGTGTGCACATACAGCATGCGCTCCTTGTGCACGAGCCTACTATTGAAGCTGCCGTTACGCTTTTAGCCTGAGGGGGCAATCGCAAGCATAAAAATTCAAAAGTCCGTAAAGTCCCTTTAAAGTCTATGACATCATCGCGCCACCTCTCAGCTATCCTCAGCCCAAAGCACTGTGAGCCGTAACAACAGATAGGTGCTTGTGTTTGTGCTGCACATGCTGCAGAACCGCGAGGTTCCTCCACAACAGAACCTTTGTGTTCTGGAACACCAGGCTTGTTCTTGTTCCCGTAAGCCTGCCAGAGTTACTGCAGCCTCTTGGGTTGTGTCTTTTTGAAGGACGGCTTGTGCAGAAGCGCGTTTATGAGAATATTGTAGAAGCAGCAAATAAAATAATGTGTCAGCAAATCTGCTTCCGTGGGGTCATGTCCAAAGTGGGACCTGTTAACATCTACTTGTCCTTTGCCACAGGACACGACTCTGAACTGGACATCAATGTGACTGATTATTGTGTTCAGATATATTCTGTAAATTGTTTTGTTTGTGGGGTGGTGCAGTGGTTAGAGCTGTTGCCTTGCAGCAAGAAGGTCCTGTGTCTGCTTCCCGGCCTGGGATCTTTCTGCATGGAGATTGCATGTTCTCCCTGTGCATGCGTGGGTTCTCTCCGGGTACTCCGGCTTCCTCCCACTGTCCAAAAACGTGACTGTTAGGTTGATTGGTCTGTCTAAATTGTCCTTACGTGTAATTGTCTGTGTGTGTGTCTTTGTCCTGTGTGTCTCTGTGTTGCCCTGCGATGGACTGGCTCTCTGGGGTGTACCCCGCCTGATTGCCCATTGACTGCTGGTGATAGAAGCCAGCACCTCCCCGCGACCCTACGTGGACAAAGCGGGTTCAGACAGTGGATGGATGGATGGTTTTGTTTGTGTTTTTAGGAGAAATGCCACCATCTCACAGTTAAATGCTCTTTATTTTGAGCCGAGATAATCCCTTGCACCCTCATTGCTTCTTCATTTCTGATCGTGGTTTTTTGTGCTTGACAGTTGAGACTCTGAACAAAAGCGTTAACATTGGAAGCCGTGCAGTTGGTTTTTATCTCTGCTGACCTGCAGATGTCTGAAGGTTGCTGCTTTTAAACACGAAGCTGTGTAATATTTTCAGTTGCTAAGCACAGAGTGTTCAAATATCCTAAACATCCATCCATCCATCCATTTTCATCCGCTTATCCGGAGTCGGGTCCCGGGGGCAGTAGCCTAAGGCGAAAGGCCCAGACTTCTCTCCCCAGCAACTTGGGCCAGCTCCTCCGGGGGAATCCCAAGGCGTTCCCTGCAGGTGAGAGACATAGTCCCTCCACCTGGGTCTACCTTTAGGTCTCCTCCCGGTTGGACGTGCCCGGAAAAGCTAACCAGGGAGGCGTCCAGGAGGCATCCTGACCAGATGCCCGAGCCACCTCAACTGGCTCCTCTCAATGTGGAGGAGCAGCGGGTCTACTCCGAGACCCTCCCGGACCGAGCTTCTCACCCTATCTCTAAGGGAGAGCCCAGCCACTCTTCGGAGAAAACTCATTTCGGCCGCTTGCATCCGCAATCTCGTTCTTTCGGTCACTACCCAAAGCTCATGACCATAGTTGAGGGTAGGAACGTAGATCGACCAGTAAATCGAGAGCTTCGCCTTCTGACTCAGCTCTCTTTTCACCACGACAGACCGGTACAACGCCCGCATCACTGCAGATGCAGCACCAATCCGCCTATCGATCCCACGCTCCAGTTTTCCCTCACTCGTGAACAAGACCCCGAGATACTTAAATTCCTCCACTTGGGGCAGGACCTCATCCCTGACCCGGAGAAGGCATTCTACCCTTTTCCGAATCAAGACCATGGTCTCAGATTTAGAGGAGCTGAGTCTCATCCCAGCTGCTTCACACTCGGCTGCGAACCGCTCCAGCGAAAGTTGAAGATCACGTTCTGATGAAGCCAACAGGACCACATCATCTGCAAAAAGCAGAGACCTGATCCTCAGACCACCAAAACGGATGCCCTCCACACCTTGGCTGCGCCTAGAAATCCTGTCCATAAAGGTCATGAACAGAATCGGTGACAAAGGGCAGCCTTGGCGGAGTCCAACTCTCACTGGGAACGAGCCCGACTTAAGGTTGGTTTATGCTTGACGCGTCCGCGAGGTCCGCACGGCTCCACGCGGAAAAGTTGCGTCATTTTAACAACCACGCCCCTCCACCGCGTCTCCGCACGGCCCAGAATTTCCGCAACGCGCACCTTGGAAATTTTCTAACCACGCGGACGGACGGACGCGGAAAAACATGGCGGACCGGCAAGAACTAGTATGGCAGAGGTTGGTAAATACAGACATTTGTATGATTCAGCTCTCAGAGATCACCGTGATCAACATGTTGTTAATAATTCTTGGAGAGAAATAGCTCGCACTGTCGGAAAAGACGAGGACGCTGTTAAAAATGCTGGAATGCCATGTTGTAAACAGTAATTTCTACTTCTACTATGGTGTAGTGTTGGGTGCATGCCGTAGAGCTCCATGCTGCCCTGTTTAGTTTGGGAGAAAATTGGCTCACCGCAGAGACGAGCCGCACTATCCATAAACGCTGCGAGTTGTGAAGCGCGTTCCATCCGCGAGCCACATCACCGCGCGGAAAGTGAATGCGTCAAGCATAAACCAAGCTTTTACTGCCGGCAATGCGGACCAAGCTCTGACACCGGTCATACAGGGACCTAACAGCCCGTATCAGAGGGCCTGGTACCCCCTACTCCCGGAGTACCCCCCACAGGGCCCCCCGAGGGACGCGGTCAAACGCCTTCTCCAAATCCACAAAACACATGTAGACTGGTTGGGCAAATTCCCACGCACCCTCCAGGACCCCCCTAAGGGTATAAAGCTGGTCCGGTGTTCCACGGCCAGGACGAAAACCACATTGCTCCTCCTGAATCTGAGGTTCAACAATCCGATGGACCCTCCTCTCCAGAACCCCTGAATAGACCTTACCAGGAAGGCTCAGGAGTGTGATCCCCCTGTAGTTGGAACACACCCTGCGGTCACCCTTTTTAAATAAGGGGACCACCACCCTGGTCTGCCAGTCCAGTGGGACTGCTCCCGATGTCCACACTATATTGCAGAGCCACGTCAGCCAACACAGCCCCCCAACATCCAGAGCCTTAAGGAACTCCGGGCGGATCTCATCCACCCCTGGAGCCTTGCCACAGAGGAGCTTTTCAACCACCTCAGTGACCTCAGCACCAGAGATTTGAGAGGCCAACCCAAAGTCCCCAGACTCCCCTTCCTCACTGGAAGACGTGTACATATCCTAAATATGTAAAGGTCATATTTTCTGCATCTTCCAACCACTGTTTGACTCCGACAACAATCAGGTTGTTAGGCGGGTTTTATGAGGAGACTGAAAATGTGTGGTTCCCACTAACAACAACAGGCTTGTCTGAAAGAAGGCTGAGGAACGATGGAACCAATAATATTACGTTTTCACTGATTTACACACTAACTAGTTTTTACCGCTGAATAGCGTTAAATCCACACAGGAGGGTGGATGGAGTGTGTTTCAGATCAAATCAACTTTATTTATACAGCACTTTTCATACAAAAAGATGCAACTCAAAGTGCTTCACAGATTAAAATGGCCCCATAGATCCCATATTCCCATCCCAGCCCCCCTCCCCAAGTATAAAACAATTGACAATTACACTTCCCCTCCCGCAACCAATTTCCAAGGTGAACAAACACTCACCCACACACTCGCAGACTCACACATGCGCACACACACACACACGTGGGCAACAGAGTAAAAAATAGGCTGAGTTCAGATGGGTCAGGTAATGGACGACACATCATCAGCGGAGCCATCTGCCTCGACAGCAACAGATCCACGGCAGCAGCCAAGACACCGGCCCATGACGCCCAGGGAGGAAGGGCGGAGACCCCCACCACTGCCCGGGTACTACCCGAGGAGCGCCACCGCCGACGACCGGCCCCAAGGCAGAGGGCTCCGCAGAGAAAACGCTGGAGGATTAAAATGTATAACATGTAAAATAACAAAAGCTAATATGGATAGAAAGTAACTGATAAAAAGTGATAATAAAGATAGTAAAAGAAAGCATAATCATATAAAACACTAAGATGTAAATAAAATAATAAAATTAAGTAAAAGAGATAAATAGGTATGTATACAAATAAACAAATAAGACAAGTGATACAGTTAAACAGACTAGATAAATAGTAATCAGTTAAAAGCTGAGCTAAAAAGGTGGGTCCTGAGCCTATTCTTAAAAGCTGAATGAAGACGTAGTTTAGGGCTGTCTGTACAGCAGCTGTTCATGAGTGTGTGTGAAGCCTGGGTCTTTCTCAGACGTTGTGTAACCTTCTGCTTTAAGGAATTTTGTGTTTTATCGTCTCCAGAGCAAAGAAGGGAAGAGCCCCTTGCACATGGCCGCCATTCACGGACGCTTCACCCGCTCCCAGATCCTCATCCAAAACGGTGACCAAGGCTTTCCATCCGAACCAGTGAAGATTTGTGTTTTCTCTTCCTGGTTAAATGTGTTTTTAACGAGTTTCCTGTGTTTCTGTTTCAGGTGGGGAAATCGATTGTGTGGATAAGTATGGCAATACCCCCCTCCACGTTGCTGCTAAGTATGGCCACGAACTGCTGATCAGCACTCTGATGACCAACGGAGCAGACACGGCCAGGTGTGTGTGTGTGTGTTTGTTCAGTAAAAATAATCCAGCTTTAATGCTAAAACACCTTTTATGTTGTTTTACACCAATGCGTGTGTGTTTCCTCTAAGCTAGCTGTGTTCCAGTGCATCTTTTATTGACGTGTGTTTCTTTTTCCCAGACGTGGGATTCACGGAATGTTCCCTTTGCACTTAGCGGTGCTGTACGGGTTTTCAGACTGTTGTCGCAAGTTACTCTCCTCAGGTTTGTCCCATGAGGTTTACGTGTTTTAATTCTGTGTTGATGCAGACTGAGACGGTTGTCTGTGCCCCTACAGGTCAGCTGTACAGTATAGTTTCATCTATGAGTAAAGAGCACGTCCTCTCAGCTGGGTTTGACATTAACACCCCAGACAACTTTGGGAGGACCTGTCTACACGCCGCTGCCTCTGGAGGGTAACCAGCAAGCACCTCCTGTTTACGTGACTTTTTGCTGTCGTGTTGCTGCTTCGTCTCCTCTAACGGGAACATGTCTCCACAGAAACGTTGAATGTCTGAACTTGCTTTTAAGTAGCGGTACTGACTTGAATAAGAGGGACATAATGGGAAGGTGAGTTTCCTGTTGTTGTGCTTGTTCATTCAAGTTTTTCTACTCATGCACAGCTTCTGATCGTCGTCTTCTCTGTCCTCTTGGTGCACCTTGTAGGACTCCACTGCACTACGCGGCTGCTAACGGGAGGTACCAGTGCACCGTTACCCTGGTGAGCGCTGGCGCTGAGGTCAACGAGCCTGACCAGACTGGCTGTACTCCCCTGCACTACTGCGCTGCCTCTCAAGCCTTCAGCAGGTTGGAGACTTTCATCTCTCCTGCTGTGTGTGCTTATATCTGCAGACTAGCTACATCAGGCTACAGCAGCCGTTGTTTCAGAACACTCACTAATGTTTTACATTCAGTCCTTAAATATGAGCCAGATGTTTGGTTTCTAGGTTTAAACTCATGAGTTTTTGTGTTTCTCAACTCTTTTCATTACTTTGCAGAACTGATCGTCATTTTTCTGGGAACCCTCAAAATAACGAGGATGAGACGAGGGAGTCGTACTTGTGAGTTTCTTTATTTTACCCTAACGGTGACTTTAAAGGCCTTGGGACGGATTCCCTGTGTTGTAGGGTTGTCACGGTATGAAAATTTAACCTCACGGTTATTGTGACCAAAATTATCACGGTTTTCGGTATTATCGCGGTATTTTTTAAACGGTGTTGCATATGTTCAGAAAGCATTGATAGTCCTGTTCTACACAAACTGAAATAGTTTTGAAAAGGTTTAACAGTGTTTATTAAACCTAAAATAACACAAAGCCTTAGCAAAAGTGCAACTTTTCACAAGTAAAGGAACAAATAGCTTCTTTTTCTGGAACATGTTACAGTAGTCAGTGCGGGTTTAAATTATACAAATCCAAACATTCAAAACATAAACAATATGTAAACAAATCAAAGAAACACCACTTGTTTTCTCATATACTTGTTTTCTTCATTATCAAAATGAAAATCTAAAACTCCAGTCCACACTTGACTTGAGCACTGTACAAGTCAACCTTAAAAATATGTATTTATATCCACTTTAAACAAATTACTAAAATAACTACTACACTATGTAATCAAATCCAAATGTTCAAGTATAAATGGCATTGAATAAGTAAACAAATCAATGACAAGGAACTAATTGTATATTTCTCTTCATCATCAACAAATAAGATGCTTCATCCAGCAACAGGGTGTCCGTGACACGGTTTAAATGCTGGCAGAGGACGCTGCGGCTGCAGTATATAGTGACTCGTTGCATTCTCCCTCAACCAAAAGTCCTCACGTCATGCATTTAAGCTAAAATGCTAATGTTATCTTACCTTGCACTGGCTGTAGGGACGTGGGTGATGGTCACGCAGATGTGCCATGAGATTCGAAGTGTTGCTGCCTTTTGCAGACACTTGTTTCCTGCACGTTCTGCAAACGGGATAGCCGTCTTCTATTAACTGTCCCTCAGCGTTTTTCAGAAATCCAAAATATGCCCATACTTCCGATTTAGTCTTCTTTGAGGGCGGATGGATGTCCTGGGCGCTGCCGTCTCCTCCTTCGGCCATTATTTCAGCTTCAAAGTTTTGATGCCGTTGCAAATTAAAAAGTGCGTGTGCGCGCCGCGGGAACTTCAGCTGAAGCGACGGTGGCTGGTAAGGGTCATCGCGCCGAAACCGCGGCCACGGTAAACCCACCGAGATAATTTAGTTTTTTAAAAACTGGACGGTTATTTTTATTGTCAACTTTTTTACCGGGGTTTACCGCTATACCGGTTACCGTGACAACCCTACTGTGTTGTAACTGCCTTCTGTAATTTTGTGTATAACGTCTGTAGGGTTGCCACGACGACGTTGACAAAAAGAATAGTCAGCTAATTTAATAGTCGACGTGTCGTTTATTGTATGAGCATTTTTAAAATCTCGCCTGCTGCAGCACTTTCGGCACGTTTGCTTCCTGGCCCGCTGCTTATATAAATGGAGGCACGTGCGCTGTAGTGCCACTCCAGCTCCGCGTTCGCACAGAACCTCTGATTTTAGCCAATCAGAGGAGAGATGTCTGAATCCTGCTGTCTTCTGCTCCTCACTCCTCTAGCTACTTTGCACTTCCTGAGACAGGTGCCACAACTTTTTTCCTCACACAGATCGACTCATGAAGCATTGATCTTTCCTAGAGACCACTGCAGATGGTCAAAAACAGTGAACTTGTTCTTTTAAAATAATTAAGCTCTGATTCTCAAAAAAAAAAACACAAAAATCAATATTCTGGTGTTTTTTTGTGTGTGTGTGTATTTATCTCCAGCTGCTTGGAGCATCTTCTGGACAATGGTGCTGATCCATCGATGGTCAACTCTAAAGGTTACAGCGCTGTTCACTATGCAGCTTACCATGGCAACAAACAGAACCTGGAGCTGGTGGGTGTTCAGTGACTTCCATCAGGGTTTTCTCTTTGTCCAGTCTCAAATCCTCCCTCTTGTATTGGCTGTTCTGAGAGTTTTAGGGTTTGAATAATTTTGACTGAGGTTTCAGGTAAAAGCTGCCGCACGTCACTTTTACCAACCTTTATGCAGACAAGGTCCTCAGATGAACCACTGCAGATTTGTTGGTGCGATTCCCACAATCAATCAATCAAAGCTTTATTTATAAAGCGCCTTCCGCAACCCTGTCAGGAAGCCCAAGGCGCTGAACATGTTTGTAGAAGTACAAATATAGTGAATAAATCAAAAATAAAAGCAATTCAGAAATAAAAGCAATACAAATTACAAAAAAAGGTGAAACGTTGTAGTACAGGACAGATGGGTAAAACAAGGGATAAAGTGAACCAATGAAAACTGTGAAAGAAATTCAACATAAAAGAGGGCCAAATTCAAACATGTTCAGGAAACGCCAAGCGAAGGAGGTGTGTTTTTAGGCGACTCTTAAAGGCTGGCAGAGATGGGGACAGCCTAACTGAGGGTGGCAACTGGTTCCAGAGTGACGGTGCTAGGACTGAGAAAGCCCGGTCCCCACGAGTACGACACCTAGAACGAGGGACAGCGAGCAGGCCTTGGTCAGAGGAGCGCAGAGCGCGTGATGGGGAATGTCTGTTCAGGAGTGTGGCTAGATAGGGGGGACCACCACCCTGGAAGAAATTGTAAACAAAGACAAGGATTTTGAATTGTGCACGATAGCAAACCGGAAGCCAGTGCAGGGAGGTCAGAACCGGACTGATGTGGTCCCAGTCAGGAACCTTGCTGCGCTGTTCTGCACAACCTGCAGAAAGCAACATGTCTCATCTCTATAATTACATGAAACCCTAAATGATTAAGTAGCGGCTTGTTTGACATTTCTCAGGCCGTGCCAAGCTGTGGGTGGTTTTAGGAGGCAGCTGTGCCGGCTCAGACACCGCCTCTACTATGTAGCAAATGGCCCTGCTAAGTTTGCTAATGTGGTTGTTTTTCACGTTGTCTTGTTAATTTGTTTTATTGCAGAGTGGTGAGTTCAGCGTGTTTTGTGATGATGAATGCACATTGACTTTTGCTTTTTCCTTTTAGCTCTTGGAGATGTCCTTCAACGCTCTAGGAGACATAGAGAGCAGCATCCCCGTCAGCCCGCTGCACCTGGCTGTAGGTGTCCAACAGCTCACCTCTGCTGTGTTTGCTCTTGAGTCTGGCTGATTTAAATCTGCTCCCTCAGGCTGACCGGGGCCACTGGCAGGCTCTGCGTGTGCTCACAGAAACGGCCGCCTATGTGGACATGCAGGACGCTGCTGGGCGCTCTGTGCTCTACCTGGCTGCGCAGAAAGGCTACGCTCGCTGTGTGGAGGTGCTTCTGGCTCAAGGGGCATCGTGCCTCCTCAACGACACCCGTCTCATGTGGACTCCAATTCACGTTGCAGGTATGAGACGTAATATATTTCTGTAATGGCGTTCTTCTCATTGTAACCAGCTGAGGTTAAGTGGTGATTTGTCCTTTCTGTGTTTTTCACACCAGCTGCAAACGGCCATTCAGACTGCCTGAAGATGATGATTGATTATGGGGAGGAGGGGGATCTCACCAATGTGACGGACAAATGTGGCCAGTGAGTTGTTGCTAAAGCATTGTAATGCCTTGAGATAATATTTCTTAATAACACAAACGGCATGAGCTTATGTGTCTGATCCTCCCCATCAGGACCCCTTTAATGTTGGCCGTCCTGGGGGGTCACACTGACTGTGTCCACTACCTGCTGGACAAGGGTGCCCTGCCAGATGCTAAAGACAAGAGGGGACACACCGCTTTGCACAGAGGGGTAAGTTATGAGGTCTCTCTTGACCATGTCCACAAGCACACCTGGAATGTGTAACAACATCATTACTGCAACACCTGCTGCTCATTTCTAAATGCAGCTCATTAGCTTTTAGGATAAATTATGGCAGATCCGGTATTTCTGATCCATAACACTTCTTATAAGATGCCATCACTTCTGTTCAGAGAGCAGAAAATGTTTATTTCTTAATTAATTTATTGTGTGTGTTTAGCCTGATTGCTCTGTGTTGGTGTGTAAACAGGCCGTGCTGGGACATGATGACTGTGTAACAGCCCTGCTGGAGCACAAAGCTTCTGCGTTATGTCAGGACACCCAGGGTAGGACACCCATGCACTACGCTGCCTCCAGAGGCCACACGGACATACTGGCAAGTCTGATGCAAGGCGCCATGGCAACCAACCCGCAAGACAAATTGCTGGACAACAAACAATACACCCCATTACACTGGGCTGCGTACAAAGGTTTGCTGAGTGTGATTGAAAATGATTAACCCCAGCGTGCGTTGCCATCACGACTGATCAGTGTGCGCTGTTTTCAGGGCATGAAGACTGTTTGGAGGTTTTACTTGAATTCAAAACATTTACACATGAAGAGGGAAACCCTTTCAGCCCCCTGCACTGTGCTCTGTAAGTACTGGCTAAGATTCTAGTTGTGGATCCAAAGGTCCTCCTCGTGTGGAAAATCACCTGAGGTGAAAAACTTGAACTTGTTGCAGAATGAACGGCCACAGCGGCGCTGCAGAGAGGCTGCTGGAATCTGCCGGGGTTCACATGATCAACACCAGAGACGCCAAAGGAAGGTGAGTCGGCTGAACACACGACCGCTGGACTGAAGGAGGGTGATGTGTTTGTGTGCAGCTAGATGCAGCTGCTCCTCGTGTCTCAAAGTTAAGCTGAAGTTTAACGATTATTTTTAAAATGATTATTCTGACAATTATTTTATCGAATAGTCGACTATTCTAATGACTATTTAGACAATCTAATGATTATTTTTCTATTGCACAGTTAATAAAAAACAAAAAATCTCTAATAAATTCCTCAAAAAAATTGATAAATTGTTACTGTAAGAGAATAAACATACAGGCCTTCCATTTTGTATAACACTGCTTTTATTGTGTTGGTTGGTTATGTTCTGGTGACGTGTAGAACTTGGGAGTGCAGGCTGCTGCCTGAGAGGTGGTTGGAGACGGAGTGTCTCCATGCTGCTTTGTTTTGGTCACTTATGTGCGTGAGGCGAGTGGTGTTGCGACTCTTCCTGGGGAGTTTGGCTCGTGTGCAAAAAGGAAGGAACAATAACGGGATTTAAAAGTTAAAATGATGATCAGGTTTATTTACAACTACAAAAAAATCATAAATCTTTCCATCCACAGGTTGGCAATAATAAAACTAATTCTGCCGTGGGGAATTAAAACAAAAGTACAAATAAGTAGGGATGTCCCACTGGGCAAAGATTACAGGGTTCTGGACCAAAATAAGGATCTCCAAAGGTCCAAACTCTAAACTGGGCGGTTAAACCAAACTCAAGGTGGTATTTTAAACTAAACCGAAAACCCACAACACTCTAAATGTAATAAAAGGGAGATCTACACCACAAAAAAGATTAACTCTAAACCAAAACGTAACGGCTTATCCAAACGCAAGAAGCTGTTAGCGAAGATGCTAACAGTAGCTTTACCAACGTTAAGTTCAAGTTACCAAGTTTAAATAAACCAAAAACACCCAGCAGCAAACAGACCAGCATGGAGGAGAGACTGCTGCCACCAAAACAGCACTCCTAATGTCTGAAAGAAGCTCCTTAATGAAGGGAGAAACGCTCCCGGTGATTTTCTACATCTGCGGTAGAGACGAAGCAGCGCATCTGACCCCGGAAGTTGTTGTCCGTTGCCGGGAGACCAGGGTCCGAAATTAAATTTTTTACTCACCGGCCAAGTTGGCTGGTAGATGATGAAAATCTACCGGCCAAGCATATTTTTTACCGGCCAAAATTCTAAATGATTTAGATCTACCTAAAGCATGTTATTCTATATTATGTTGATTCCAAACAGAGTGACAAAATAATTCAAACTTCAATTAATAAGGAAAACAACTCTTTTGTCATTTTTACTATTTATTTATTTTTAGAGATGTTTTTATGAACTCTTTCATTGAAATCTAGTCAGACTCCTTGTTTTCTCTGTCCATGAAGTCTGGCCTCCTGCTTCTGACACCGTCTTTGTGCCAAAGCATTACAGCCTCATTTGGGTCACAGTCCTTGATCTCTGGAGAACGCAGCTCCACCATGAGAATATCTGAAAGTGTGTCAGGGCTAGGGTTGTCACGGTAACCGGTGTAGCGGTAAACCCCGGTAAAAAAGTTGACAATAATAATAACAGTCTTGTTTAAAAAAAAAAAATTATCTCGGTGGATTACCGTGGCTGCGGTGTAGGCGCGGTGACCCTTACCAGCCACCGTATCATCTGGAAGTTGCCGGCGGCACATGCGCACTTTGTTGTTTACAACCAAAGCTTTCTTTAAGCTAAAGCTGAAATAATGGCCAGAGGAGGAGACGGCAGCACTTGGGACATTTATTATCCCTCAAAGAAGACAAAGTCGGAAGTACGGGCATTTTTTGGATATTTGAAGAATGCCGAGGGCCAGCTGTCTGTGAAACGCAGCAACGCTACGTGGCCATCATAATGTAGCCATTGTCTCACGACTCCGCCGTCTCCAGTTCGCCACTTTTCACAAAATCTTCTGGTTGCCACTGGTCCTGGTGGTTTTTCTTCCAGTTCGACGAGTTTTCTTTTGGAAGGCTGGCTGACTCCAGTTAAAAACCACCATATTTCACCGCTAGTTTTAACACGAAGCTAACTGCTAACTTGATAAACTGATTGAATGGGATAGGTGGAAATGACGTTGGATGCGGCGTTCACGTTTCGCGCAAGTTGCATGCAGGCGGGAGGAGTATCAGAAATCCGTGGAAGATGACTGATAAACATAACTAATTTGGTGCAAACATTTACTCGCCAGGTGGCAGGTAGAGCTCAAAAATGTACTCGCCAAATGGAGCAATTTACTCGCATTTGGCGAGTGGCGAGTGTTAATTTCGGACCCTGCGGGAGACGAAGGCGGGCAAAACAGGAAAGGAATCTAGTAGCGGACGGACGTTGTTCCGGGTCTTCGGTATTTGGTGGAGATGTTAGTGAAGGCGGAGAAGAGGGTGAACTAGAGGAAAAACAGGCAGATTCCTCCTCTATTTACAAGCTCCTGGGGATGCAACAAGTGGGCGCGGTGCGTCGACTTCCGGATCTGACGTCGACAAATTTTTAGAATCGAGCCGTCGACGTCATCAAGGCTTCGCTACAGCCCTAATTTCTGCTATGGTGTAGTGTTGGATGCATGCCGTAGAGCTCCATGCTGCCCCCTACAGTTTGGGAGAATATTGGCTCACCGCAGAGACAAGCCGCATGAACCATAAACGCTGCAAGTTGTGAAGCGCGTTCCATCTGCGAGCCACATCACCAAGCGGGAAGTAAATGTGTCAAGCATAAACCAAGCTTTAGGAGGTTACTGGTTTAGCTGCATACAGCTGATGGCTGTTGACACAAGTCCTGCCTGAATCTGCTCCTACAGCTGCTGTTCTGTGTGTCTCTGTGCCTTCAGGACCCCCCTGCATGCTGCTGCGTTTGCTGAGGATGTTTCAGGACTTCAGCTGGTGCTTCGCCACGGGGCAGAGATCAACACTGTGGATCTAAGTGGACGTTCTGCTCTGATGGTAGCTGCTGACAAGGGTCACAGTGGCACTGTAGGTAAGTCTCCATGCCTGCTGGCTGAGAGGGCTAGAAGTTTTCCCAGGTTTTCTTCCAGTCGGGGTTGAATTAGGCTGTTTAGGTTGTGTCGTGTTTGGGAACGCGGTTTAAGGTTTATATTTTGTGTCGCTGTGGCTGCAGTAGCAAGTGTTGTCACACGGAGGTGATGAGCTAAATGATAGATTTGACATGTATGTGTTTTGGTGCCGTGCAGCCATCCTGCTTCACCGGGCCAAGGCAGACCTGACCCTGCTGGATGACAACAGGAACACTGCCCTGCACCTGGCGTGCAACAAGGTAAAACGAATGCTGAGTGACTGCTCCCAGTCAGCACACTGTTCACACTAAGGTTCAAGCACATATAGGGAGTCATGTTATGGTTTGTTGTGCAGCAGGTTTGACTAAAGTCAAAATCATTACCTCCAGATGTTCAGTTGCGTTTTCTCCTTCAGGCCCATGAGATGTGCGCGCTGCTGATTCTGGGGGAGATCCACAGTCCCACCCTCATAAATGCCACCAACAATGCTCTGCAAATGTGAGAACATTTAACTCAGTTTACATACGTTTAAAGTTGCCGCTTTACCGAGTTACGACGCTGTTATTTTACCAGCCTGATGGTTGGTTTATCACAAAAAACGGCCAGCCTCTGCGTAGTAAAGTCCTGTACTATTCACTCAGCCTGGCTGCTCTTGTTTTCTTTATGGTATGTGAAAATGACCCTCACCTGTGCCTTGTTCCCTCCCAGGCCCCTTCATCTGGCAGCTCGTAACGGCCTGGCTACGGTGGTTCAAGCTCTGCTGAGTAGAGGAGCCACGGTCCTGGCCGTGGACGAGGAAGGTGAGACACTCATCGTTATTATACCAACAGAAATGGACAGATTCTTGTATTTTAGTGGGGTTTTGTGACTTTTTGATGGAGTTCGGAGTAGGAAATTATTAACCTAATCCATCAAATCAAATCGATTAAATAAAAAACTGATCTGTAGAGGCGACCTCTCCACGTTACACGAGGCTGACGGTTGAGCTGCTGATATTCTGATGACTCTTGCTGTTGTTCGTCAGGTCACACCCCGGCGCTGGCCTGTGCTCCCAACAAGGATGTGGCCGACTGCCTGGCTCTGATCCTATCTACCATGAAGCCTTTCCCCCAGCGGGACTCTTCCTCCTGCTCCTCCTCCTCTCCAACAGTCTCCTCCTCCGCAGGTCTCAACTTGCTGAAGCACTGCGGCATCACCGCCGCCTGCTCCCCTCTGCCCAGCAATGGCCTCCACAATGGCTACGTCAAAGAGCTCCACGGTGCGCCGGTTGGCCTGGATGGGTGTCTGTCTGAGTGAGGTCCCGAGCCCCTTCAGCCAGCTGCCATCATCACCACCACCAGGGGGCGACTACCTTAAACATGGTCAAGAGGACCTGAAGAGCACCCACCCACCTGTCTGTTTTCTCTGTATGTACGTGTGTGTGTGTATGTGTGTGTGAGAGAGAGAGAGTGAGTGTTTGGTCTTCTCTTGAGGTGCAGTCAAACCTATTATGCAATTAGATCCCATTCCTCCATCTCCTAGCTTAATGCGTAGAGGCAGGTTGCTCTACAAGGTCACTCAGGCGAGGTGAGGGATTCAAGATGAACACTAGTAATCTGGCCATCTCTAAATTATTTAACCCTTTAATACCACGCTGACATTCTAATCTATCGCCAAGCTCTAGGAGCACGGCAGCGTCTGTATCGGCTCCCCCTCATATCATTCAGTAGAAACCCAGCTGAGCCGACCTTGTAGAGGATCATGCAGCCTTCACAAAAAATAATCAAAGATTTTTTTGTTTAGTTTGTTTTTTGAAGTTTTTTTTCATCTATTAGCCTAGATTTTTATGAAGGAACCACACAAGGGAAAGAAAAAGTCTAAATTTAGCTCAAGAGTGCAATGCTTCTATTGTACTACAGTACAATTTGGAAAAGGGTCACAAAGTTGTTAATTCCATAGTGTATGCTAAATGTACGGCCTAGAGTTTGGCATTTTAAGATGATTCGGTTATGCTGCTGATTTCATTAGCATGTCTCCTTCCAAAGGAGAGCCATGTTGGGGTCAGCATCGTGACAGCCCCTTTGTTCTGAATGCTGACCTCATTTTTTTAAACATGCTAAATAAGTGTTTGTTAAGCTAGAATGTTTCTAAGCATATAAGTTATGACCAAAGTTGATCAACACTACTATGGCTATAAATTATTTATTTGAGATGAACTGTACTGTATAGAGAAAGACAATAGATCTCGATATACCTCGTCGACTCGTTTAGCAGCTGCTTCATCTTCACCCAGGGTCCGTAGGCCTGGCGTTCTCTCGTCGTAGGGTCGGAGAACGGCTGTAGGGTAGTGACTGACCGAGGCCTTGTTTATTTCTAGATGAAGGCTTTACTAGTAATATCTGCCAACAACACCTCATCAAAGCATCTTATATTTGAGCACATAAGTGAACAAGCCATTTCAATTTATTTCCCATCTCTCCAGCAGTGTTTAAAAAAAAATAAGATTTCAGATTTGAATGGCCTGATTATTGGAAGAGAGCAGTCAGTTTTGTTTTTAGGCACTAAAGGCGTTTTGGTTTATTTTCAGGCGTTTTTAAGTTGAACTGGCCATCAGCATTGTGGATTTAAGCTCTGATTAAAAGGAGTCTTTCCTGGTGAACTTGTCTTAAGAATCTGATCGCTTTTATCACAGCTTCTTTGTTGTGAACGCTGATCTGTTTGAACTGATATTTTTATTGGGCAGTTTTTAAGCAATATTTTTCTTTTTTTGCCTTTTTGTTGAGTGTTATTGAATAGACAATCACTGTCACAAGGGCTTTTGTTTCCCTAGAATGTGTTTTCTTTCTTTCTTTCGTTCTTCTATTATTATATCATGAAAATTGAACCTAAAGACTAAACGAATGGCTCTGTGCGTGCCGGGCATTTTACTATCAGTGTCAACACAAATGCACTGGATTGCCTTTATGGCGTCTTATGAAATGCCTTTTGACCCATGCCTTCTATAACGTATCATTTCAGTTAGATCGCTTTATGGCAGAATTTGATGAGCCCCGAGACTGATTCAAGTTTCCACCCATTTAAAAGCCTCGGCGTTGAGCCGCAGAGACATCGCCGCACGGCGTTGTCAGTGAGCCCTAAAAACGGGTCGGAGAGGAAGAGAGGGAACCTTTGCTTAGGCCAACGCCTGTTGTTCAATTTCAGGAATAGCAGCAATCCAAAAATGTGCTTTTTGTGAACAACCTTGTCTCCTCATTCCGTTTTCTGGTATTAAACATACTAAAGATGATTGTTTCAGACCACTAGAGCTGTTGGTGACGTTCGATGTGATATCTATGCTTTTTAGTTGTTTTAAACCATCTGATGGTGGTCGGATTACACTGAGTCGGCGTGACGACTTCATATCCACTAATGGAAGTGGCGCGATTGCACACGTTGGCTGACTAAATGAGGGATGAGGACCTAGACGAGGCGTTTGGTGAAAACTAAAAGACTCACGTTGTCGAATTAAACTTGATTTTCTCAAACTGACAAACTTCCTTGGTTTTCTATTAGAGCAGTGGTCTCAGTGACGACATGTTTCATTCTTTTGATAACTGACTGAAAGGAAATGGAGCAAATTGGTGAGAGCCAGCCTTTGTTCGCGTGGTCTGATTTTTACTAGAATTGCATTAATATTAATAATGAGGATAGGTACATTTTTTTTGTTTTTGTAATCTCAGGATTCCTGCCATGACCGCAGGTACAGTTTCTTAATTCAATCTGATCTTCGCAGGATGTTTATGTCTAAGGATTTTTTTTTTCCGATGGGATGTTCCAAAATAAAATTCTTTTTTTAACTCTAATCCCACAGCACTTAATTAGTCGAGCACGCACTTTAGTACATTCAGGTTCTAAGTGTGCAGAATAGAGCAGATGTATGTACTTATGTTTACATGCATGTGTTGCTGCTGAAAACCAGAAGGTGGAGATGCAAAAGATAAGACTGCAACTAAATTGTACTTCAGCAATGCATTATTTAAAAATGCAAACAAAAAAAATAATAGTGGTGTCTCTAAGCACTTACGGACAGTACCCACTGCCCACTGACTCTTGCTGTGTGTTTTTGCGCAGGCGGCCCACTGAAGCACCACGGTGTGATTACCCAGCCTATTGACATTTAAGACTCAAGTCTTGTAAAGTCAGTTATGTAATTCTACGTTCACCTCAGGCAGGCTCCTCTGAATACTCTCCATCTACTCTCTGCCGTTCATAGGAGCTGTCAGGGATTTTAGTTTTCTTCTTGTGACGCCCTTATTTATCTAGTGGATTGAGTCGTTGCCCCCCCCTGCAATGATACATGATGTGTTTTTTTGTTTAGTTTATTCTCAGTATTCTTATATATGCCGTTTTTCTTTAGTTATAGTTTTAGTGTGCCAGTGATACCAGTGATTGTGCATGGAGCTAGATCCCAGTTGTGAGATAGCTACTATTAAACAAATGGAGCTTATACAATATATCTGGAGTCGGAGACAAAAAAAGCAATGAAAGGTCCAATTGTAGCAATAGAGCATGTGTGTGTTTATAGTGTGCAGCACAAATATTGCACTGCCATCCATTTAGGCCAATTCAGTAAATCATAGCATCGATGCCAATGGAAGATTCAAGAGCGGGTTGGATGTCTTGGACTTTGGTCACAAATAAGACCTGATTGCCAAAACGTGTTGAGAGTGAACCTCTTCGTAAAGCAGCAGTGGATTTATGCATAACGTTCAAGCCGTTTACAGTCTGACCATCAAATCTGAGCCATGAATTTTTCTGACTTAAATGAATGTAGGGTCAGTTCAGAGAGGACAGTTTGGCTTTCTCCCAACTTGAAACTGTCGCTCTTCATTCGTCTTGCATAGGTATACAGGTAGCATGTAGTCCAATACTTCTCTACTTATTATAACGTGTGTGTGTGTGTAGTAGTCTTCCTGCATAGGTTTGGATGTGTTTAGGTCGACCCCACCCCCACCTTCTGGCATATTGTTGGAGATCTAGACCCGCCGTTGTGAGTTATCACCGTTTTCTCCGCGTGATCCAGTTCTGTGGCGTGAAGCAGACCAAGGCAAACAGGGCAAGAGTTCAGATGAATCATGTTCATCCATTCCACTGAGATTGCCTTAGAGTACAGCAAAGCAAGAGGGACAAAAAGGTCTACAGTAGATAGCATCACACACATACTCATATAGCCTATATCTGACAAAATGCACCTAAGCTACACCCATTTAGTGCCATAGAAGCCTTGATTTGCCTTTAGACATGAATCATACTGATCAGACACGTGTAGATTAAGATTAATACAGTTTGTGTTGGGAGCTGCATGTCTCCTCACCAATATTACTCGAAGGAAAGTTGTGGAAACATTTGCATGTGAAGTTAGTCCTTAATTTGGTTGTTGGTAGAAATCTATTTTATAAGTCAACATTTTTGAATAATATATTTAGTCCCTTTAGTATTGGCAACGCAATCCATTGTCTGTGTAGTTTACAAGGTGGTTTATAATGTGTTAAAAAAAGAAGAAAAAAAAAGTTTTTGGATGTCTAAAAAGAGCATGGTATATAAAAAACAGAATTGATTTGCCTCCGCGGATGTCTTGGTTCTTACTTGAATTGGTTGGCAAATTTCAATTCAACTCTGATCCACTGTTGAGCCTTTTGCCTTAAAAGCTGAAACTGAAACTAAAACCTGGCCGTACCTGATGCGTTCCATCACCTGTAGAGTTATGCTACTTGGTTTGATTGCTACAAAAAAAAAATTGGCTTCTTTCTTTTCACAGACATCTTTGGGTGTTGAGAAGCACCCAAATAAATTGAGGTAGCACATAGCTCTGGGTCGCCACGGTGCCGAGATTGTCCTGAGAGGTTTTGGGATATCGCCATATTTTCCACTGTGAATGAATAAATTTAGAATTCACTAGTAAACAATCAACTATGGCTTCTCTGTTATCCAGAGCCGAATGACACTGGGAATTGAAGTTTTGTACCTCAGAAAGAAATATTTTAAAAAAAAAAAAAAGGAAGAAAAATCAAAGCAACAGGAAGGATGCTCGTGCAGCTATGCTAACAAAGTGTTTTCATCCATCTCGTGGGTTGTGTATTTCTGCTTAAACCAGCCTAAAATCAGATGAGTGTGTGATTTGTGTCGGCAGAAGTCTGGTGTTTCCTACCTTGCAAAGGCGCATCCACCTGCACCTTAAGTTTTTTATTGGACCTGCAGTTTTACCTCATCAGTGGGTTTTTTTTTAGTGACAATGCTGACATCATGTGGTTTGTTATTTCTCCTGGTGTCGGTCGTGTAGTGTGTGTGTGTGTGTGTGTGTGTGTGTGTGTGTGTGTGTGTGTGTGTGTGTGTGTGTGTGTGTGTGTGTGTGTGTGTGTGTGTGTGTGTGTGTGTGAGAGAGAGAAACGTTTCAACAACAGCATGTTGTTCCTGAACATGCACAAGCCCATTTTGCTTTTTCTAACTTTGCCCGGTTTCTACATTCTCTTTACTACAATCAGCAGATGAGTCTGTTATTTGGTGCGAGTCGGAGTAAAGGGTTCAGTGTAACGCCAGGTGGGAACTGAAGGTAGCTATAAAACTTTACCTCTGCAAGTCGAAACAAAACGATTTCACTGTCTATTGAGCGCCTTCCCAGGCTTATTCATTCCCCACACCCCACCAATAGGACCTGTGTAATATCGAGCACAGAGGTGGCATGGTGCCTTTTATTTGTTACTACCGAAAGGTACGGTCTTCCATTTTTATTTCCCGGAAGCCTTACGATGGGGAAAGAAGAAATAGAATCACACTGAACACGCGCGACTGGAGCAGACGGGACTCCCTTTAGGCATCAGATTCTGATTGATTAAGAGTTAAAAGCAAAACTCTTTCTGCGTTAGCTTGGATTTCTCCAGATATTTCCCACGACCCTTAACGTTGCTGAAGAAATTGCACATCGCTGATGCAATTTGTGAGCACATGAAACGATGAACGAAAGAGGGATCAGCAGATCGAAAGCACAAATCCAAAGAAGGCACCTCGGAGCTCTGCAGGCTCTCCTACCCATCAGAAACAAAGGAGGCTGTCAACCAAACCGAAGCAAACATCTGAGAGGAGAGTCGAAACGAGCATCTCTCCTTTACGGGCAGAAAAGCCAAGGCGTGATCATCAGTAGCACAATAACTGTAGAGAGACCGTAGTCTGAAACAGTGCCGCGCTGCTTCTGATCATACGATCGTCACAGTGCAGCTCTGGAACGGTGCACTACCTACGCTCAGCGTCAGATTTAGGTGAACTGTGTTGTGACTGTGTTGCAAATTGATAGTGGAGGTAGTTTGTGTTTTTTTAGCGTAGACTGAGTAGAAGTAGGTTTGCAGTAGTAGCTGTGTGCAGTGTTATTAACCGTGTGATCATATTCTAGAAGTGACGTAACATTTGTTGTCTTACTACCACGTTGGAGGCATGAGTCATGTTCTGTCAAGCTGACCTCGTTTGAAATAGATATAAGTGCAATAACCTCTTGTTTATCGTCGCTTCCTCGGTTGAAAATATTAATTAATACGCCCTTTTTTAACACCAAAAGTCACTCATCTGTAGCAAATGAAGGATTAGAAGTGGTCCTCTTGTTTGTGTGCAGAGAGGTGGCATTTGATGAGTGTGTGTGTGTGTGTGAGAGAGAGAGAGAGAGAGAGAGCGAATATTTTGTTCTGAAAACTGTGATCAACATCATTCTGAAAGCTGCCTGCTCAAACACAGGACCGTGCACACGTTGCGATAGGTTTGGATCGTTGTTGTTTTCCTTCCTATGAATGGAGTTGACGATATTGTAATTTGGATTTCTGGTTTCTAACCAGTAGAGACGTTCCTTTGCATGTGTAGGTGTGTATGCATCCTCTGATCCTCCTTAAACGAGAAAATATTTAGACCTGCTGTCAGTGATGCGAGGAAACGTTTTTAAAAAATATATAAAAAGGCCTTATATTCTTTTTAATGTTAAGCATTAAGGGTTCTTTCATGTCCCTCCCTTTTCAGTGTGTAGCCTAAAGCTTGTACAGTAAAAAAAAACACACAACTGGTGAGATTTCTGTCTGCTGTACAGCCCGTGTTTTCATTATTTGTTACTTGGAGGTCCTGTGATTGTGGTTCTAGAGAAACATTCCCCTTGAAAGTGCCGTTTGTGTTCACCAGCAGAAGGTGTATTGTTGGGGAGGAAGTCGGACGATCGGAACGCTTCCCGCTGTTCTACCGTTGACGTGAATGAGTCGAAGTATTTGTGCAGGTGAAATGAGGCAGCTCTTTTCTGATGGAGCACCTAATTGACTTGCTCTGTCTATGAGCTCATCATAGAAGCAGCTCCTCATCGAGCAGAGCCATATCAGAGAATTTGCCCATTAGGAGCCCCATGAATGTGCTATTAGGAATAGCCTCCTGTAGAAACGGATGTATACTGCATGTTCTGTGACTTTTTTGTAGGAGTAGTAATCTCTCATATTTTTTTCTTTTTTACGGTTTAATCCGCTTCACTGAAGATGTTACCATCTTACTGCAACTCATAGGCTATTAATAATACTCTGAACCTGGACTTGAACTGCTGCTGAGGCGGCCTTCATTCATGCAGATTCAGAGACAAAACATGATGACTTAGAAGCCACCTTATCCTGCAAATCAGGGCATGTGATGAGTTACAATCAACGATTTTCACAGCGCACCTTCACAAAATGTGAAAAAGACAGAAAGATGGCTCGTCCCCCTGACATTCCAAAGTGTTTTTAGTTTTCCACAGTCCTGTCTTTGATTGGGAAACGTTTTTTTCCTCTGCTGGTGATTGAAGAGGGCGTGTGTGTCGATGACAGGGTTCCCTATTTAACATAACACCGATTACCTCATTTACAAATCTGCAAATATACTATTCTACTGTGTGTGAAGGAGTTAATGCTATCACCAGCAGTGCGGTCTCCAGACCTGTGATGACAACAGGACCAATGACATTAGCCCATTTAACGGATAATTGACCAGTGCAGAAACGCGCAGTTAAAACACGATTTCAGTCCTTTTGTTAAGGACCTGATGGGACTTTGAGATTTAATAAACCACCTCAGCTGCTAATCTAGTCTCCACTGGGATGCAGCACATTAAGATTTTTAGGATTTCAGGTTTTGTTTCACAAAATAAAAGTTTAAATCTGGTGTTAGAGTCGTCGAACCGCTCCAACAGTGACTTGAGTAGCAGCTGTGCGTACGAACTAGCCTGGTTCAGTAATTATCTCGTGTAAATTTCAGATCGTGTTACCATCACTCGCTGTTTTTTATTTTATCATTATTATTTCCTTGTAGCATTTCTCCTACCTCCTTGTTTTGCAGCCTTGATTATTGTTCGTCTCCACTTGTTCCGTCTTTAAAGCTGAGATCAGTTCACCGTGCAGGAATACGGATTTATCATAAGCAATTGTAAAGTGTGCTTGGTTGTGCTGTATGTGTAAATGTCTACTTGACGTTGGAAAAAAAAATATTTATGAATAGCATTTATACGACAAAATACCACTGGAATGTGAAGCCAGACCATGTTTATGATGCAGATTATGATGATAGTCTCTCCCCTTTAACATTCAGTGGCAAATGGTCACAGGAACCTGTTTTTTTTTTTTTTTTTTTTTTTTTTTTTTTTTTTTTTTAGAAAAGTCACCTTTTCCCTCTTTAGGTTATTTAACATTTCTCTGCGTATGCTCTTCTGTCGAACTTAGATAGTATACAATTACCCAATGTTTACAGCTTCATCTCGGGTCAGCCAACAATGGCCACGTAGTTGCATCACAGGTTGTCACACAGGGTGATGAGAGGTGTATTTATGATTCTGTCTGGGGAGGACTTCATCTCCCCGAGCCCCTCTGTCTCCACACCGCCCCACATCTAACATCAGGTTTGACTACAAGGGGTACAGGACAAGGTGAAAGGTTTGAGGTTTCCTGAACCCCACCCCACCCCATTCATGCCAACTGGATCAGCCCCCTCCCCGTCGGCCATCCAGCATCTCAGCTAAACCTCAAGCCATTCATGTTTTCTGTTTTGGTTTTCTTTCAACAATGCAATCCTGAAAGCACTTTGCCTTGTTATTCCTTTGTGTGAACATGTGAATGATGATTTGTTACAGATGTGTTCAATGCGTAAAAGATCATTCACTGTTTTGGAAAAACCTGCATCTGTCTTTCTGACATTAAAAGAAAAAAAACAGTTTAGTGACATTAAACCTGGATATATTTTATAAAATGTTTGCTGCAGCCAATTGGTCTTGTCATTCAGTATTGTGGCTTAAGGTTGTTTGCGTTCAATAAAGTGCTATTGCTAAATACCTTCTGTCTGCTTTTTGGTTGTTTTTTTAATTTTGCACAATAAGTAAACATGAGAATAATGATTAGTCAGTGCTTGTTACATTTCTATCAGTCTATTAAGTTCTAAACATTAACTTATAAATCTGAGCTAAATTTTTGGTTGGGAATCTAAATACTTAATGCAAAGAAAACTTATGCAGTGCATCAATTTCTATAAGGCTTAAATTATTTAAATGTTAAGATCATTGTGCTAAAAAATTAAATTATACTTCAATCTGTATGCTAATTGTTTATTTGTGGAACATCCTAAAAAATTTGAATAAATCAGCCATTTGACCGCTTATCCGGGGTTGGGTCACGGGGGCAGCAGTCTAAGCAGGGAGGCCCAGACTTTCCTCTCCCCAGTGACATGGGCCAGCTCCTCCACGGGAATCTTAAGGCATTTCCTGGCCAGCCGAGAGGCATAAATATCCCTCCAGCATGTCCTGGGTCTTCCAATAGGTCTCCCGGTTGGATGTAACCAGATACCTGAGCCACCTTAACTGGTTCCTCTTGATGTGGAGGAGCAGCGGGTCTACTCCCAGCCCCGAAATGTTCGGAAGACTGAGCTGCTCGTCCTATCTAACGGAGGGCCCAGCCATCCTGCAAAGAAAACTCGTTTCGGCCGCTTGTCTCCATGATTCGGAGAAGCTGATTCTCATCCCAGCTGCTTCACACTTGGCTGCGAACCGCTCTGGTGAGAGCCGGAGATCACGTTCTGATGAAGCCAACAGAACCTTATCTGCAAAAAGCACAGACTCAATCCTTAGGCCACCAAAATGGATGCCCTCAACACCTTGGCTGCACTTAGAAATCCTGTTCATAAAAGTTCTGAAAAGAACCGATGACAAAGGGCAGCCTTGGTGGAGTCCAACTCTCACCGGACATGAGCCCGACTTACTGCCGGCAATGCGGACCAACCTCTGACACCCATCATACAGGGACCTAACAGCCATTATCAGAGGGCCTGGTACCCCATACTCTTGAAGTACCTTTCAAAGGACACGGTTGAACACCTTCTCCAAATCCACAAAACACATGTAGATTGGTTGGACGTACTCCCACGCACCCTCCAGAATCTCCCTAAGGGTATAGAGCTGGTCCAGTGTTCCACTGTCACATTGAGATCAGGAGGGTTGGACCCAATATGCTGAAGAAACAACAAAACAACACTGACAACATCAATGGACTGACAACACAGAGAGACACAGACAGGGTTATATACACAGGAGCTAGTTGATAGGAGATGAGGGGCAGGTGCGTGGGGAATTGGGCACAGGTGAAAACAATAAACTGAGGAGAAGCAGAAATACGCAGGGGAAGGTGTTGGCCTGGGAGTCATGACATCCACGGCCAGGACAAAAAAATAATCCTCCCCACCATACCTCACCAGGCCCACATGAGCGTTAAAGTCCCCCAGCATAACGAGGGAGTCACCGGAAGGAACGCTGTCCAGCCACCTCTCGACCTTGTACCCCATCTCAGGCTCCTTCCCCACCAGAGAGGTGACATTCCACGTACCAAGAGCCTGCTTCAGTTGCCGAGGATCAGCCCAGGTCCCCGCCTTCGTCTACCACCCATCACACATTGCACCCGACCCCTTTGGCCCCTCCCACAAGTGGTGAGCCCATGGGAAGATGAACCCACATTCTTCTTCGAGCTGTTCCTGGCCGGACACCATTGGTGATAGCCCCAGGCACGTGCCGATGTGCCCCACCTCCAGGGAATAAATGAAGCAAAAAACAGATTATATAAACATTTTGAAATTTAAGACAAAAGAAAAAATAGGTTTTGCAAATATGAATGAAAGAATTTCTTTCTTGTCATTCCTATGGAGTTTAAGGAAAATAGTATACAAATATAGAAAATGTGGATTAGAAATATAAGAGGGATAAACAGTCAATATGAGAAGGTACAAAATACATTCGTTTAAAAAAAAGGTCTTTAAAATCATGTTGCACATGAGATGAATGCCCAAAGAAAAGCCTTGGCTGCAGCGAAGAAGGTTTAACCTGACAGTTCCTGGATGGAAGCTGCTGTAAAAGAAAAGTGTGAAATTCTCCATCACTGTGTTGGCTCTATCTGGGGTTGGTTCTCCTCTGAACATCCCTTAAGGATGAGTCATATTAGTGGAATGTGTGAAGGGCTTGTGTGCTGGGATGATGCTGTTGACTCAGTCTCTCAACATGTTCCTCCTTTTGCTTTCAGTTTCCTCTTTCTGTTCACCAAACATGGTTTTGCTGTTTGTTTGTTAGTTGCTGCTTTTTCCTTCCGTCACAAACCAGAGCAGCATTTGACAAGAAGTGGAGGGATCATTATCATCCATTTGGAGATGCAGCACAGTGCACAAAATCTGTTGTTGTAGACTTTTAAATAGTCAGTCAGGCTTAACAGGAGATTACTTTTGTTGTTACGTGACACCAGACCAACAATCTGAACTGCACTGAAGGTCTTTTTACACATTTTCTGTTCTTGAACCTGACTGTTTCCGAGTTTGTTTTCCTGTTGGCATCATGAACATATGAACAGCTAATTTTATTTATATGCATAGCTGTTGATTTTACAAAAAAAAATTATTTAAAAATTTCTATTGGTTTGCTGTTTCTTACAAAATCATAATGTAAAAATTATCTAATCAAAACATATGCAGTATCATGGTTTAACCCTTCCACTGTCCTAATGGGTGTGCCCCCGTGAGGAAAGTTGGCCATTGAGCAGGGTTGATGGTTGATCCCTTGGGTCCATGTGGCAGGGGTGAGGAGTGAGCACCACCTCACCCCTGCAACGTGGACCTCAAGGGATAAACCATCCATCCTGCTCAATGGTCAACTTTCCTCACGGGTCACCCACAAAGACAGTGTGTGTGTGTGTGTGTGTGTGTGTGGGGGGGGGGGGGGGGGGGGGGAGTTAAACACATAAAATTAAATTTTGCACCAACAAGGGATCTCTAAAAACAATAAGTCACAAAGTAGACATGCAATGGATAGATCAACTGATCAAAGCATTCCTTGGTTCTTATTTCATGATTTTCCCCTTTTCTTTCTCCATGTCGTGGGGATACATCTTTCAGAACTTTTTTGTTTAAAAAATTTGCTAGCTTTAGTTTTTTGTAGATATTACAAAAAGGTTGCTAGTATTTTACAAAAAAAACTATCATTGATAATGATAATGATAATAATAATGATAATAATAATATAATGATAATAATAATAATAAATATTGCTGTTGTTATTACCATAATTTTTTTTCCTAACTTTATTGAACAATTGTGCATAAAATAAAACAAAAGTGCGAAATTTTGAAAACATCATACAAGTATTGCAATATTCAAATAGAAAAATCAAATAAACAATAGAGGAATCGAAAAGAAAACGAAAAGGAATGAAAAGAAAAAAGCATACACACTGAGTGAAGATAATCTTAAAGAATAAATAAGCATTAAAAGTAGATAAAGACAACAAACACATGTAAAATAAGATAAGATAAGATAAGATAAGATAAGATAAGAACAACTTTATTTATCCCGAGGGAAATTCTTGTGTCATGTACCTTGCTTTTTAAATATACTAATAATTATATCAAGGACACAGAAATAATCATGACTTTAACTTTTTCCCACTGTTTTTAGAGGCACATTGAGTAATATCTGTACTTGTTTACAATCAAATTCCATGTATTATTTCACAAAATTGATCCATTTGAGGCTTTTTTATTGGATGAAATCATAATGGAGGAAATGTATTGTCTGAGCTCTTGAAAACAAACAAACTTTTCAACATGGCATTTAGCTTACATTATTATAATATTAATGTGTTTTTTTAATCTCAATGTCATTTCTGAGGAACCCAAATAACACATTTCTCCATTATAACTTGAAGTCCGGATTAATGTTTATACAATTATTTACCCAAAACTGATTAACAAACAGACAATTAAAAAAAGAATGTACAAAGAAACAGCAGTCCGTTATGAAAGTTTTAACCGGATAAGGACATTTTCGACAGTGTTAGTGATTAACATTGTTTCGGTAAGAGAGACATTTTTCATTATAAAATTCACTTTTGGGATTTCTGCAGTTTTGCGTGATGACGTTTCCCCTCGTGTCGATTGAGACGTAGACTTGTATGACGTAGCACCAAGACGTGATTAGCAAGGGGCTAGTGTTGGTACGACGTCTGAAAACAGCCTGAATTGTGAAAAGGATCTATTTTACTCAATGTCTGAGTAAGTATATCAGTCAGCTGTTATATCTTGAGCAGTGCAGCTGACTGTAAACAGCTATTGGTGTGTGAAGTTGTCTCTAACGGAGGTCAGTCTGGTTAGCTTATAGCTAATGTCCAAAGGAAACCAACGACAGCGTAGCCGCTAGCTGGGCTAGCTAACGTTACATATTCAGAAATCGTGACAGTCAAACTGTGCTGCTGTACTTTGTCAACCATTAAGATATTTTTCTCTTTGACGCATGTTTACGTTATTAAAAATCAAGTTTTTACGATTTAGTTTAAAGTGTTATTATATGCGTGAAGATAACATTGAGAAACCTCGATGCTCAGCTAAGTTTTGTGCTCCTTGCTCTGAAATATGATGGAAACATGTTGATCTCAAAGCTGTTTCTTTTCATTTTTTGGAATCATTCATTTGTTAACCAGGACAGTAGATAAATATGTTTATTGTAAAATCACGTTGAAAAGTCAGCCTGAGGATGTGAATATGTATGAAAATGGCTACGCTCAATTAAAGTTCAAATTCTTTATCCTCCAAAAAAACTGTCGGTATGGTAAATTTTTTTAGAAAGTACTTAATCTCAGATTTCAGATAGTTAAACTCATTTGAGTACATTGTGTATACGTGATATGGGATTTAATGTTCTTGCATATGTGGTTTACAATCATCAGACTAAAAGTTTTTTTTTTAAATGCAATAATTTTTTTCCTTTTTATTCAGGCAGGGTCTGTGTCTTTTTAGGCAGGCAGAGCATTTCTGCCAGATGTGAGGAATCGAGGAGCTGAATGGAAATATTTGAGGCAGTTTGTGTTTGAGGTAAACAAGATGTTCTAACCAGAACTGTAAATTATTATTTTGACAAAATGTCAATCATTTTTCGATAGTAATTATTCATAGATAGTGTAAAAAACCCTTCTCATCTTAGTTTTAGCCAGGTTTGTTTCACAGTACTGGTATTTAGTAGCGTAGCAAGTGTATAAATGTAAATGTAAAAAAACAACCACACACACATATATACAAACAGTGAGCTAAAGAATTAGTTACTGTACTATATTACATTATCTTTCTGAGCACTCCTTTTCTATGGCCGTCTCCAAGTTTAGGTCCTTCACCACCACCCTTACCCATGGTGTCCCACAAGGTTCTCTGCTCTTCCTCCTCTATCTGCTTCCTCTTCAGCACATCCTGAGCTCCTTCAAAGGAATATCCTACCATCTTTATGCAGATGACATCCAACTGTACATCTCCTTTAAGCCCCATGAGATGTCTAAGCTGCAGCTGTTACACACCTGCTTAGACTCTATCAAAACCTGGATGGTGGGAGCTTTCTTCAGCTGAATGAAGATAAGACTGAGATCCTCATCTGTGCCCCAGACAAGCTGGTTCCCAAAGTCAGAGACTCTCTTGGTCAGCTTGCTTCCCACACCAAACCTTCTGTCAGGAATCTTGGCGTGACCTTTGACCCAGCTCTCACCCTGGATTCTCATGTCATTTCTCTTGTTTGCTCTTCCTTCTTCCATCTCAGGAACGTTGCTAAGCTGAGTCCCATTCTGTCCCGCTCTGAACTTGAGACAGTTATCCACACCTTCATCTCCTCACGCTTAGACTACTGTAACTCTCTTTTCACGTGTCTGAGCAGAACCTCCCTGAACCGTCTACAGGTGGTTCGGAATGCCTGTGCTCGGCTTCTGACCAAGTCCTCCAAACACACCCACATCACCCCGCTTCTCCTCCAGCTTCACTGGCTGCCAGTCAACTTCAGGGTTCATTTCAAGATCCTGGTTCTGGCCTATAGGGCCTTACATGGACAAGCACCATCTTACATTGGTGATCTTCTTAGTCCCTACACCCCCAGCAGGTTCCTGAGGTCCGGTGATCAAAGCCTACTGGTTGTGCAGCACCAGACTGAAGACCAAAGGTGACAGATCATTTGCTGCTGTGGCCCCCAGACTCTGGAACTCTCTCCCCCTGAGCCTGAGATCAGTGGACTTAGTGGTCTCCTTTAAAAAGCAGCTGAAGACTCACTTGTTCAAGCTGGCTTTTGTATGACCTTCTTCACCTCTCTCTTTTTGTTCTGCTCTCCCCACCTATTCCACCTTCCTCAGGATCCACTGATTTCCCTCTTTCCTGTTCACTCTCTCTCTTTCTTAACATTTTTTAATTACAATTGCCCATTTTTTTGCTCATTTAAAATATATTTTTAACCATTTTCTAAATTCTTTTTTATACTTTTTCATTTTTTGTTTTTGTGAAGCGCCTCGTGATTTTTATCTTGAGAAGCGCTATCGAAATGATATTTTCTTCCTCTTCATAATAAACAACATGATGAAACATGTCACCTTCTTGTGTTGAAATCTGTGTAAAATACTTTCGGTTTGGGGGGGGGGGGGTGAGATTAAATAATTCAGCATCTCAGAAGCCCTTTTACAATACACACCGCCTTAATCTTATAAAAAGGACACGATTGCACCACATTACCGCCACAGTCTGACCACTTATGAACAACCTAAGGCTCCCTGATGCTGCCACGGCATTGCGGCAAATTAATGGCATTGTATTGTAAAAATGGCTAGAGTGATAATAGAAACATTTGCTCATCAGGTTGCAGTACAAGCATTGCCAAGTATCTCCATTTCTGCTTTCTGAAAGGCATCTGGGTCATCCATTACAATACGATTTGGGACAATCACATTCCTCCTTTACATTATTTTGTTGACAAAGAAATTTTTAATTACATTAAAACAGCTAATATACCTACTATGTGTAGGTGGTTTATATTTAATCTTTTTTAAATTGTGTTGTTCAGGAGGTTGTAGGTTGTGTACCATGGGGTACGACGTTACGAGGTTCCAGGGTGAGGTAGATGAAGACCTGCTGTGTCCAATATGTAGTGGAGTGCTTGAAGAACCAGTCCAGGTAAGTCAACCACATGTATAAATAATAAAATCTGCTCGTGTTCAGATCGTTATATAGTTTGGTCCCAAGTATGAAATCTGTTCTACCAAAGTTTGTTGTTGCACATCCTAATTATACTTTTTTTTTTTGGGTTTGTTTTAATTTTAGGCTCCACATTGTGAACATGCATTCTGTAACGCCTGTATAACACAGTGGTTTGCCCAGCAGCAGATTTGTCCTGTTGACCGCACAGTGGTCACTCTTGCTCACCTCCGGCCTGTGCCCCGTATCATGCGCAACATGCTGTCCAAACTTCAAATCAGCTGTGACAATGCAAGCTTTGGCTGTACGGCTACACTGAGACTGGACCAGCTGCAGTCCCACCTCAAGGACTGTGAGCACAACCCCAAAAGGCCCGTCAACTGCGAGGCGGGGTGTGGGTAGGTAGTATCTGTTGTTGGGTATCGGCTAGACCACTAGAGAACATTAGAAAAATATCTAGTTTATTTGTCTTCATTTAAAATATTTTCTTCTATTTTGTTTTAACGTTTCAGGCTTGAGATGCCCAAAGATGAGCAGTCCAACCATAACTGCATAAAACACTTACGAAGCGTCGTCCAACAGCAGCAAACAAAGATTTCAGAGCTGGAGAAAACCGTGGCAGAACACAAACACCAGTTGGGAGAACAAGTAAATTATTTGTGTGTGTGTGTGTGTGTGTGTGTGTGTGTGTGTGTGTGTGTGTGTGTGTGTGTGTGTGTGTGTGTGTGTGTGTGTGTGTGTGTGTGTGTGTGTGTGTGTGTGTGTGTGTGTGTGTGTGTAATAATAATAATAATAATAATAATGCATTGAACTTATATAGCGCTTTTCTAGACACCCAAAGACGCTTTCACACACTCTCACATTCACACACCGCTAGTGATGGTAAGCTACTTGTAGCCACAGCCGCCCTGGGGAGGTCTGACAGAGGCGAGGCTGCCATTTGGCGCCGTCGACCCCTCTGGCCACCACTAACACAGGCAAGTTTGGTGAAGTGTCTTACCCAAGGATACAACAGCAGGATACCCCTGCTGTGTTAGTGTGTGTGTTAGTATTATATCTCATTAACAGTTGGATGGTGCTTTTTTGGAGTTAGCCCAATTCATTCTAGCGCCACATGGAATTAGCATGAGCGAAAACACAAAATTGGCTGTTAATCAGCCATTTTTAGAGATTAAGCTAAAGTTTTAGTTTTTATTAGTTCAAACTATTCCTTATCACATACCAAAAGTGCTTCACTAATTGTGCAAAATCTGTCCTTAAAACTTTGCCTTTAACTCTTTGTGTCATTCAGCTGTCATTGGGTGCAGACAGTCTCTGATTGACCTTGTGACTCTTCCTCTGCAGAAACGAGATATACAGCTGCTAAAAGCCTATATGAGAGCAATCCGTAGCGCAAACCCCAACTTACAAAACCTTGAGGAGAGCATCGAGTACAATGAGATCTTGGAGTGAGTAAAGTTTCCCCGCCTCTTAAGTCGGTTATTGAAATTAACCGTGTTCCTAAATCTTTTTTGCTTTTCCCATTTAACGCTCGACCAGGTGGGTGAACTCCATGCAGCCAGCCAGAGTGACACGCTGGGGTGGCATGATCTCCACTCCTGACGCTGTGCTGCAGGCAGTCATCAAGCGCTCTCTCATCGACAGCGGCTGTCCCCTCTCGATTGTAAACGACCTAATAGAGAACGCCCACGAGCGTAACTGGCCACAGGGACTGGCTACTCTTGAAACGCGGCAGATGAACAGGCGCTACTATGAGAACTACGTTGCCAAGCGTATTCCTGGCAAGCAGGCAGTGGTGGTGATGGCCTGTGAGAATCAACATATGGGGGAGGATATGATCCTGGAGCCTGGCCTGGTTATGATCTTTGCACACGGAGTGGAGGAGATCTGATAACTGTACAGCCTGCCCAACTGATCCAGGGACATTTTGCGCTTTCACTGTGGGTTTTTCTTTCTCTCTTGGAAGTGAAACCTGCGAAAATCTGGCATATTTAAAGTAAAATCTTAGGCTCACTCCTAAGCTTGATACCTATGCCTTAAAGTAAGGACAAATACTTTCTGAACCTGGCAAATGTAAACATAATCTGATTGATGTCTAAGATAAAAGGTGAGATCATGCGATGTTTACAAGGTTTATATTTAGTGCATTATAAGATCTGATTGTTCTGATCCTTATGTAGTCCTAAGCTTAAATCCCCATTTAATGCCCTGAGTTGTATAAATGCTTGTAAATACAAAAAACTATATTGAATTCTAAATGTAATACTCATCACTGTAATTGGATTGTTTTGTTTGTTTCACTTCTGTTCGCCGAGCCTGTGTTTATATCTGAAGGGACGTCGGCTCCAAAGGGTTTTACGTGCTCGCTTTAGCGTTTAGCTTCCTGTGAATATTTCACAAGATGTCGTGCTTCTGGGTTTAGATTGTTCAGACCTTTTGTGCCATTTGTTTATTTATTGTGTTGCCTTTTATGCAAACATGCTTGAAGATGTTACTGTTTATAAAAGGAAAACTTGCCTTTTGGTGGATCTGCAGTTTATTACTGAAAGAAAAAAGCTGTTTTCTTTGTTGCCTCTGTTGTACATGAAGTCTGTTGAGTCCTTTTGAAGTGTTTAATTTTACGTATATCATTTGAATAACTTTAATTTGAAAAATAAAACTTATCTTGACTTGTTAGCAGATTCAGTTTCTGAGCTAAAGATACTGCTCTTTAGAGTCGGCAAACATCTCTTTAGTGACACATCATGACAACAACACAGCTGGGAGATTGTGTTTGAATTCACAATGAATACTTGAGCGGAGAAAAATGTGCCGTTCATAACTTCCCGCTGTAGTAAGAGATATCAGATGATGGTTGACCCAAACAAGCGAATTGTGCCCTTTGCTCTTCTCTTTGTTAACGCATTTATTTGTGTTTATGTACCTCGTTGTACAGGGGGGAAAAATAAATGTACAAACTTCCTTCTCTCTTTTTAATCTGTTTTTAAATAAGCTGTAGTCCCCTGTTTTGCCACACCATGTCATCAGAGAGCTGAATTCCTCAGAGCACATCAGATGACTAATTTTATAAAGACTTGAATCAATAGAGTGTGAGGTTGTTGAGGAGGAGAGGGAGTGAGAAGTGGCACTGATCAGGAAAGAGAAAAGTTCCCTCAGAGAGAGGCCCAACCTGACTCACCCTCCTTTTCACCGTCTATCGCAGACACCCACGTGCTTTCCCTGTCTGTTATCCTCTCCTGCCAACTTCATCCTCATTGTGGAGCCTAATCCCTTCCCATTGTGATCAGTGGAATGAGAAATCATGTGCTTTACCAAACGCTCGAGCTCAGTCTTGTCACATTGTCGGCTCACATCGTGATGTGGTATTTAATGGTGACATGGTGTCCGGTGCTTCCATTTACTGATGATCATGCTATAAAATATAAAATATAATCATCTTCTAGTATCTTATAATTAGGACTTGGTGATCTGTTTTATGATACAGGTGCTGGCCAGTAAATTAGAATATCATCAAAAGGTTGAAAATATTTCAGTAATTCCATTCAAAACGTGAAACTTGTACATTATATTCATGCAATGCACACAGACCAATGTATTTCCGATGTTTATTACATTTAATTTTGATATTTATAGGTGACAACCAATGAAAACATCAAATCTGGTATCTCAGAAAATTAGAATATTCTAAAGGCCAATGAAAAAATGTTTGTTTCTCTAATGCTGGCCAACTGAAAAGAATGAACATGAAAAGAATGTGCATGTATAGCACTCAATACTTAGTCGGGGCTCCTTTTACCTCAATAACTGCAGTAATGCGGCGTGGCATGGACTCGATCAGTCTGTGGCACTGCTCAGGTGTTATGAGAGCCCAGGTTGCTCTGATAGTCGTCTTCAGCTCCTCTGCATTGTTGGGTCTAGCGTATTGCATCCTCCGCTTCACAATACCCCATAGATTTTCTATGGGGTTAAGGTCAGGCGAGTTTGCTGGCCAATCAAGGACAGGGATACCATGGTCCTTGAACCAGGTGCTGGTGGTTTTGGCACTGTGTGCAGGTGCCAAGTCCTGTTGAAAGGTGAAGTCTGCATCCCCATAAAGTTGGTCAGCAGCAGGAAGCATGAAGTGCTCTAAAACCTCCTGGTAGACGGCTGCATTGACCCTGGACCTCAGGAAACAGAGTGGGCCAACACCGGCAGATGACATGGCACCCCACACCATCACTGACGGTGGAAACTTTACACTGGACCTCATGCAACGTGGATTCTGTGCTTCTCCGCTCTTCCTCCAGACTCTGGGTCCTTGATTTCCAAAGGAAATGCAGAACTTGCTTTCATCAGAAAACATAACTTTGGACCACTCAGCATCAGTCCAGTCCTTTTTGTCCTTGGCCCAGGCGAGACGCTTCTTGCGCTGTTTCTTGTTCAAGAGTGGCTTGACACACGGAATGCGACACCTGAATCCCATGTCTTTCATGAGTCTCCTCGTGGTGGTTCTTGAAGCGCTGACTCCAGCTGCAGTCCACTCTTTGTGGATCTCCCCCACATTTTTGAATGGGTTTGTCGTCACAATTCTCTGCAGGGTGCGGTTATCCCTAGAGCTTGTACACTTTTTTCTACCACATTTTTTCCGTCCCTTCGCCTGTCTGTTAATGTGCTTGGACACAGAGCTCTGCGAACAGCCAGCTTCATTAGCAATCACCTTTTGTGTCTTGCCCTCCTTGTGCAAGGTGTCAATGATTGTCTTTTGGACAGCTGTTAAGTCAGAAGTCTTCCCCATGATTGTGGTGCCTTCAAAACAAGACTGAGGGACCTTTTAAAGGCCTTTGCAGGTGTTTTGAGTAAATCAGCTGATTAGAGTGGCAGCAGGTGTCTTCTATATTCAGCCTTTTCAGAATATTCTAATTTTTTGAGATACCAAATTTGGAGTTTTCATTAGTTGTCACTTATGAATATCAAATTTAAATGTAATGAACATTGGAAATACATTGGTCTGTGTGCATTGCATGAATATAATGTACAAGTTTCACGTTTTGAATGGAATTACTGAAATATTTTCAACCTTTTGATGATATTCTAATTTACTGGCCAGCACCTGTATACTGCAATAAATTTTAGATGCTGTATCATAGCTTAGTCATTATCAAACCTTATAGCTATTTAAATATAGTGTAATAACTAAATATTCACCAAATGGGTCACCACAGTTTTCTCTGGGTGTGGATGGTGTTCCTGACAGAAGCCACCACAATCAACGCTAATGTCTCACTCCTTACACTAGATACACTTGTTCGGTTGCTTGTTCTCACAAATGTCTAACCAGCCAGTAACAAATTAGAGCATTTGGACTTCTAGACGTGGAGACGACAACTTGCTGAAGCTCCAGCCATCAGGGTGAAGAAGAAGGGAGGTTCAAGGGACTCTGAATGTGATGTGGTTGTTGGGACCAGACTGGCTGATCTGAATATTTAAGAAATTACTGATTTACTGGGTTTTGAATTCACAACCAGCTCTTTAGTTTACAGAGAAAGATCAAGAAAAAAGGTAATATATAGGCTACTGAGCAGCAGCTGTGTGAATGAAAAAGGTCTTGTTGATACTGAATAATTTGAGAATCAGAATTTGCCTGGTTAAATAGATTTTTTTATTTTTGTTTAGAAGATTTTAGATTTAATTTAGATTTTGAGTGTGGTCAGACTGGTTTTAGGTGATAGAAAGCAGCAACAGCAGCTCAGAGATGGTTGTCACTTTGAGCACTGGAGAAGTTGGACCAAGGACGTAATTTTCACTTTAGAAGTGAGGGGGAGGGGGGGGGGGCGGGGTGTCTTTACAGTATGCTCTAATGGGAAACAGGCTTCAACACAAGCGGTTGTTTTACGCTTGATCCTAGAGCTCAACCAGTGTCAATTTAATATAGCGTAATATTGTTTTTGGACGGTAAAAAGTGCAGGGGTAAAAACTTGACTTTGGAAAAAGTGGAGGGGACATATCCCCCCTGTCCCCCCAAATTACATCCATGAGTTGGACCCAATGCGCAGGTACCGGGAACGACACGAGGCAGGAGAGGATGTAAAAGGAAACATTCTTTATTAGAATGAAGAAAACAAAAACCTAGTAGGGCACGAAGCCAAACAAAAACCTAGAGACCTAAGAGAGGGGAAGGGGGACAAAACAACGCTGACAAGGACAATGGACCGACAACACATTGAGGCGCAAACAGGGTTATATACACAGAGGGAAACAATCAGGGAAACGGGTGACAGGTGTGTGGGGAGTGAGATCAGAAGGGATCCGGTGGTGAGAATAATTAACTAAGTGGGGAAAACTGACTAGGTAAAAATTAATCTACAGAGAACCAAAGATGAGTGAACTCCTAAACCTGAAAACTAGACACCAGAAGAAAAACACTAACAGAGATGGGATAACTAAATCTGAAATCATTAAGGGGGAACACCTAAGGGGAAAACCTGGAGTGGGCTGGAGAACACAAGGAGGCGCATGAGGGGGACACAGTACGCAGACCATGACACTGGTTTCTACCAAGGTCTTTAGCATGGGCAAACCTAGTCATTGAGTGCCTCTATCCAGCATGTTTTAGTTGTTTCCTTGCACACTATGGTCAATGGCTTAATCACCAGTAGATCATCAAGCCCCGCAGAGGTCTGTTAATCACCTGCTGATTAAAATTATGTGTTGGATTGTCAGTATAGACCTGAGCAACTTCTCCAACACCTTGTTGAGTCAATAATATGAAGAATTAACACAGTTCTGGAGAAAAATGGTTCAATTTTATACCTGACGACAAGCTCTACCCAACAATGGGCCAACAAAGTCAAGGTCAAACTTAACTTTTCATGCCTAAAATTATTATTATTATTTTTAGAATAACATAAATTCTTAATAGATTGTCACACTAAACGCAGATACGGATCATGAAATGAACCATTGTTAAAACATCTACGTTTGAACCTGAACGCTAGTTTGTTTCTGATTGGCTGCGGAGGAACAGGCTCCCTCTCGCGCGCAGCTTCTAGCTAGCTTAAAGTGAACAGCAAACCCTTTTGGCATTGTTTTATTGTGTTTTCTTTGTGGTTAAGAATTAATTTATCATTTTTTGTTGCTTCTTAATTAGAATTACTCACAGCTACATGTAAATACTAAAATATAGCTACATTGACGTTTCCCATCAGGTAAATTATCAGTAGTCAACGGTAGCTCAAATTTTCCATTTGCTACTAGCTCCAGATACAGTCTTCATAAAAGCTACTGTAATGACTATAACTACTTCTTTAAAAGCAACCAGAGTATACTGTATCGATTTTCTTTAATTGAGGGTAATGTTAAAGGCAATTTAGTGGAGCACTGCTTTAAAACTTTCCAAATGGATGCAAGTGTAATGGGAATGTCTTGGTTACAGAGAGCGGGCGAGGCGTGGCGGTGCTTGTGTTTGACAGGAGGGGTGTTCTCACTCACTCTCTGCCCAGCACAGCACTACTTCACGGCTTCCACTCCGCCGTCCTGCCGCCCCCATTCGAAGTTTGCTTTGCTTGCCGCCTGTCGTTGGGATCGTACGCGGCTGCGGTGCTGCAACCACGACGAGCCGAAAAACAACTGGAGCGTCGAGAGAAGAAAGGTAAATGACCCAGAAACAGAAAACATGTCCGGGCTCGCGCTGATTGAAGTTTCACTGCGGCTCTGATCCAAACCCGTGTTTTTTAGCAGCTTATAAACGCCATAACACAGAGGGATAATTTTAGCCTGTAGGGTTTGCGTTACCGTCTGTAGCTGGGAATAAAACCTGCACATGGTCATGTGGCAACAACAGAATAGTTCACTCAGCAGAAAAACAAGCTTCAGAGCAAATCTACCGTATCTGGATATAATGCGCTATCCTTTTTTAGGATGTTCACGAACAGACACCATTTCTGTTCCTTTTACCAACACGACTGTTACAATATTAAGCTTCTTAAGTTACATTTGAGGAACCCTTCTGATGAGAAGCACTGACGTTTGACAGCCCACTTTTCCCTTCAGTTGTCAACACAGTTTACAACTTAATATGTTACTAGCGAGCTGCTTACAATCCTCGTGTGATAAGATCTTATCTGAGTGACCCCTTTTGTGATTATGGGTGTTCCAGGATATTGTGCCATATACAAAACCAAACAGCTCAGACAGGGAACATGTCAGAGGGTTTGCACTGTGTGATTGTCAGGAGGACTGCAAAATCCATGATGTGTGAAGTGGGCGTTGGTGGGCACTGTCACTTCTCTGAGATCATTGTTTACTCAGAGCTCTCTTTACACTTTCTTTTGACTGTAAAGGGTGACTGAGTTTCAGTCGTCATCTTAACTGGAAACCTAAAACGCATAGTTCTGTAAGCCGATTAGACTGTTTTATTGAGACGTTTTCCATAACGTGGTCTGCTGAGGCAAAACTACAGTAGTCCAGGAGATGATATCGAATACGTGTGTATGGATAAACTCACTTCTCTAAATATAGTTGTTATATTTTTGTATTTAGCACTGACTTCCTTTATCCTCATTCTGCTTTTGTAACTACAATTGTAAATTTGGGATTTAGAATAGCAAGAGCATATTGTTATTGGGCAACACATCTGCACACATTCCTCTTGTGGTGAAGTTAGAAAAAACACATCTACTCAAAGTAAGATCTCTAGAAAGTTAAATGAGAACTACAAATATTTATTAACAAGTTTATGTAAGTAGTTTGCTCTTCTAGGACAGAAATGTTGCTCATAACAGCGTGACGGGTGTATTTATAAAGCGTGAACACGTTATTATCATGTGGTAACATGCTGTAACGTTTTCTCTTTGTTAGATGAGTCCTCTCAATCTTCTGCAAGCAAATTCAGTTATTTTCACAATATGGACGTATGATATCTGCTCAAACTGACTTGTCTGATTAGATATGTTTCAGCTGTAGATAATAATGCAGGTAAAACACGACGTGTGTGTGTGTGTGTGTGACAGGTTTATTACTACATGGATTGACTATATGCCTTTGAGCTAACAGACTCTGATTATGAAAATGGAAAATCTTACATGGTGGTATTTTTTATTCATTTTTTAAAGCTGAAAAAATACATTTACTGTAGTTTCATTTTTATTTGGTAGCGCTGTGGGTGTGACCCCATGTTTCTTGAAAACACTTGAGCAATTAAAAAAAACGAACTTGGTTGGTTCTAGTGCAAGTCTGGTCAGGTTTTACCTTTTTTCCCTCATCAAAACGCAGCTTGATGTTCTGCAAGGCTGCCTCCACAAAATAAAAAAAAGACTTATATAAGTCACATTCAAGTCTGAACTCAAGACTGATAGGCCGGCCTCACTTTGAGGCTGGGGGGGCGGGCGAAACCTTGCCTACATTTTCCAAGAAGGCAGTGATTCATACTGTGGAGAATGCCTTTTTTTCTTCTTTTTTTCAAAATCTAAATTTATTGTGTTTTATTTAATCCAGTCTCTCTTCAGCTGAGCCTGTAGTTTGCATACCATCCAGTTCCTCACAATAATAAACAAAGGAAAGCCCTCTTAAAGGCTGTGACTACGCAGTAATAATACAGTACTTGTGGGATTTTAAAAACACTTGTTATTTATTAGTAAATTAGGAGCTGTTTTTATAGATAAGGACATTTTTCCAGCTCACTGTTTAACTCAATGTAGTAAATCAAATTACCTATCTGTTATCTGTACCAACAAGTCACCAGTTCATCACAGGGACAAACAACCAGCCACACACTCACACATGGGGATCATTTACAGTCTCTAATTAACCTGACTTATGGGTTTCTGGTCGGTGACGAAGCCGGAGTAAGCAGGAAAAACTCACACATGCATGGAGACAACGTGCTGACTCCACGCAGGAAGGCCACAGCTGGGATTTAAACCTGCGACCTTCTTGCTGCATGGCCACAATGCTACCAGCTCTTCCACCATGCAGCTGTAAATCTATATAAATTATGCCAATGTTATTTTGGCAGTTTTCCTGTGGTTGAATCTAGTGAAGATCTCAAAAGCAGTTAGAGTTCCCTGAATCCCCTAAGGGAGCTTGCATAAACACACAGAAAGTTATTTTTTTCTCTGCCAGAGGTTCTGTCATTTTTGGTTTAACCTGCAAAGTGACCCCTGAAGCTGACGATCCATTTATAGTAAGGGAGTATTCCCCCGTTTGTGCTGTGAGTCACAGGAACATCTTTGCAGTTTGGAGCACAGGCTCTGGTTTAGACGGGCTGGTGCATGGAGGGGTGAAGGTAGGAGCGGGCCACTGGGCTACCCCTGTCTGAGCTGGCTGCCTGTGGATCCTCCTACCTGTTAGTCACCCGTGGCGGTGCTTTGACGGAGAGCAGCTGATGGAGGGAAACACTTTCCATAGCAACCGTGCATGTCGGCCCTTCCCCTCTATTATTCTGATGCAATCTGCTCACGCTTCACAGAAGAGAATTGTTGCAGTTTCAGGAGTGAAACAGCAAGCTGGCATTACATGTAGACCTAGCTTTTAGCTTCTCACAGAACACCAATAGTCTTTTCCAACCACAGAAAGACAACTTCAGTGACATACACCCTGCAAGTGTTGCAAAACAGCAGATTTCCTTGACTCAAGGCGTGGGCGTCGTGACAGCTTGCACAGACATAGACCTCATGGAAAAAGGTCATCCCAAGTATGCCTTGAACTTATGCCCGTAAAGAGTTTATTAGTAGTTGATGGTTTTACCTCCAGATGTTAGTTATTTCACCATGTTGGTTTTATGAGGAAGCTGTTTTCTAGTTAAGAGATTAAAGCAAACAACTAGTTCCAGACAAGTGTTTTTATTAGCTGTAGCCTCACAATTTAACATTTAGATTTGACCACTTTTCTAATTTAAGAAAGCAGCCGTGCTGTTTTTGTATATTTGCTCATGATGTATGTGGTGCAGTAGTTTTCAAAGCTGATTACATTGAGCAACTATTTGTTTACGCAAAGTTGCTTCTCATTTTGTAACAAGAGAAAACCAAAGTTAATGAAATTAAATATGTTTTAATATTTCATGTGCACACAACAGATGTTTTTTTTTTACATGAATGCATCCATGAAAGAATATAAACAGTCCCCCCCGAAAAAACAGCTGCCACTTAGCTGTAGTCCAGCGTGACCTTATTGTGGGCCGAATCAGTCACATGCTCTGTATTTAGTCTTTTCAGGCGTCAGGCCTTCTGGAAACCTCTTGAAATATTTATGTTTGCTTCAGTATGCTCATTAAGTTGATGCCATTGTTTTTCAGAAGTCCATCCCACGTTTCTGAGTGCAGACAACTGGCCCTGAATGTATCACACTATTCATTTCTCCTCTAAGTACATTGAATGCCTCTTCCTGTGCTCCGTGTTCCCACTGCACCTAATGCCCCCCCTCCCCTCCTCCCCTGCATTGTGCATGCAAATCATTATCTAATCAGGAAGAGGGGAATCAGATTACTCCCGATAGGCTCGAGATTGTGTAGAAGCAAACAAAAATGATGATGATGCTCAGCTGGGAAGGGGAGAAAATAGAGTCACAGAATAGCTCTTGATCACTCGTCTGGAAATGATGAAAGCTGGAAAGGAACAGTGACGATGAGAAGTTTCTTAAACAAGAGGAGTCCAATTAAACTCAGAAGCCTATTTTTAGATTATTTACAAGACTGTGTTTGAAGGTTTGAAGCTGGAGTCAGGAGCATGTTTGATGGATAAACATTTAAGGTCTGTAGTTTGATGATGGCTTGCAGTTGTTTTTTTCGTGTAGTTGGACGTTCATGTGCCACTTGGCCGTCGATATGGGCCTGGTCCACCACATTGGCTGCATAAACAGCAGCGCTAGGCAACGCCACTGACCTTTTGAGGGAATTAAGTGAGGACAGCGTGGACCTTTCGAAGTCCAAAGAGAGCAAACATGTCCACACCACACTGTAGGGAGCCGACGTTATTTCACATTATTTTAATTATTTTTTTCAGTACACTCCTTGTCCTTTAAGTGATCTGATTGTTTTTTGGGTGCAGACAGCTGTCGCCGGTGCTGGCACCAGCTGCACCTGAATGTGGATAAAAGACAAAAGTCTGAACCTTTAAAGGGAAGGGCTTTTCATCATATAGTCTACTTTCATGTTGTGTTTCACTAGAGGATAACAGAACAGGTTTTATGTTTTACAAGACATGTAATGGATGTATACAGTGTTTCTGCTGTTCTTTTGTTCCCGTGGACTCCAGAAATCCTTTCTGTTCCTGATTATTTGATTTTAAGCCAAAGAGGTAGCTCCAAAGGCAAGCAATGTTTTTCCTGTGTGTGTGCGTGTGTGTGTGTGTGTGTGTGTGTGTGTGTGTGTGTGTGTGCGTGTGCGAGTGTGTGCTTGTTTTTGTTTGTTTGTGGTAACAAAATGCCCCATGACAGATTTTAATCAAACTTTCAGAAAGTCTTTATTGGATGTTCCTCTACAGCCGACGTTGGGAGCCAACTTGATTAAAGATGGTCGCCACCACCAACCGACTATTAAAAACCTAAAGGCTATAGTTCAGTTAGCCTTAAAGATCAAGAGCTAGTTTTATGTGCTAGTAGTACTGACATACTAACAGATTAAAAGGGATTTTGCTATAATTCATGAGCTTAAACCTAACATTATTCTCAAGATTTCACCAAAAACAGCTATAATCAGATTGTTTCTTTACAATTTTTAGTTTTTAGTTGTAAATATAAAGGAATATATAGCTTTTTGGTTTGGTAAATTCTTGGAATAGACTTTTGTCAGTGATCCATTTTATTTTAAGCCTTTATATAAAGCTGTAAGAATTCCAGTAAATCAGACACAAGGTGCATGCCAGCAACATCTACGGTAGTCCTCACTACCATTAACAGCACGCACATGAAGAGCATTGGTAGCTTCGTTTTGGTGAAACATTTGGGTTTATTCCAGCTAACATTGTCTTCACGATGCTCCACAGTAATATTACATCTGTGTTTGTTCCTAATGTCATGCAGCCCTACTTCACTGTCTTTTGTTTTCCATTTTCATCCTGTTATGAAAGCATTATTAATAAAATTTTAATTTAATCAACAGGTATGGTGAAAGAGAGCTGTGGTTGAAGTGCTGATTAATCTGAAGTGAAGCCTAATATCCCTTAATGGAAAATAATTCAGACAAACCCCATGCAGCTTCCTCTGATTACACACATTTGCACTTCACATTCGATTAAAACATTGTGTGTTTTGTTAAGTAAAGCTGGTAAAATGATTTGTATCCTTTCTGATCTTAGAGATCAACAAAAGATAATTACAAAATCAACATTTGACTTAATGAGATAAAATTCTTACCAGAGTGAAACTGAAGATGTAAAACAATAAATGTCCTATTCTTAATAAATACATGCAAAAGGCAGATTTTCTTTTTGTTAATACATATAGTAAATATTTTATAGAATGCATGGTTTAAATTTTAATTCTTGCTGTAGATTTATTTAGATTTTAGGCCTGACTCTTCTGCTTCAGTGGACCAGAGAGGTCAGTCTTTACTTCCTTAGATCATATTTCTTTGCCGACATAATTGGAAAGCATTGATTGTAACTCCATGAAGTTTTCTTTAGATGCTCTGTGCGTTTCTCTGCTGGACTGTTTTTATTGACAATGCATCAAGCAGGATGTTTACTATCACCAGGCCATTAACTGGCTTCTTAAATGGTTAATGAGCTGTATATGTAACTGATGTTTTTCCTGTTATGACAGAATTTCTTTTATTTGTGTTTCAGTGGCTCTCTTAATGCTGATGAAAGTGTTTATCGAGGCTTCACGCGTCCTCCTCCTAAACATGGCATCAGATTAGTTCAAATTGCACTGCGAGGCTCCCTCTGTCATTCAGAGGCTTTATTCACCCGCAACCATGTGACATTTAAGTCTTCTTCCTTTTTGTATTAAAGGGGAGGCCCCTCTTCAAGCCTGCTTGGTTTTTGCAACTTCCATTGTTGTTTATCTCTGCATTCAAACACTGTCGGAGCTGCTTAGCCGATCGCTGCCTTCATGGCTCGTTTTTCAAAGCTAATGTAGGCCAGTAAGTGTGTAGAAACATATTTAGGGTGCAGGGAATCCCTGGAGTCTTAAGCACCATGGGTTCCTTTTGGCTAACAGACCCAGTTTCAGCTGGTTTGTCCGTCTTTACACACGTTACACTATCATATTTATCATGTTGGGAATTAAAGCTTTATTATGAGAAAAAAAAGTGTAAAAAATAATCAAAATTATTCAGTTTAAGTTTTCATTTGTGAGCGTTTTTTTCCCCACTCTTTGGATGTCAGTCCTCCGTGTTTACAATCATGGATCTCTACAGTGAAAGATGGAAGATGCTATCTTTTGCTTGCAGCCACGCTTTTATGTTTTACAAAAGAAGCAGTCTGCTGCTCACCCACCTTGTCTTTTCTCGCCGTCTATATTTCACTGTTTCTCGCCTGTGTGTACACAGGCAGGCAGTTAGCGCACAAGAGGCACGATGTCCGCCCCCACAAACCCAGAGGTGAAGGAACTGAACCCTGTCGACTTCATCCAGCTACAGCAGTACATTGATTGTGAGTACAGACAGACAAGTAGGCGAACCGGCGGGCGGGCGGGCAGCTTCTGCAGCGCTTAGCATCCCTCCCCACACACACTTCCACCCACACACACTCAATTACACTCGCTCATGGTTTCTCTTATCTAGAGGAGGCAGCAGTAGTTTTTTGTTTTTTTAAATTCTCACAACTTTGGCATGTCCTTATATTAGTGTACTCCTGATATTTTATGTATTAAATGAGAAAAAAATTCCCAGAGGATTGGTGCACTCCTCACATCGCTGTATTATCCCTGGGTGACATCTGTGTGTGTTCTCTCCTCCCAGACTGCAGCTTGAAGGTGAAAGATGTGCTGAGGGAATTTGATAAAGATGGCAGGCTGGCCCGGCACAGACATGGAGAGGTGAGGGGACGCTGTGTTTTGCTCCTCACGGTCGAGTTCACTCCTCCAGAAGTGACTCACGGCCACGACAGCTGCACCGCTCAGAACCGAGCAAAATAAAAGCTCTGACTGCAGCTGCTGGGTGTGAAATGTGACTGTGATTCATGTATATTGGGCGGTTATTAATTATCCCCATGCTGCTTAATTAGATTCCAACCTATCGATCATAACGACTCAGCCGTTGCTTTTTAGCGAGTCTGTAAATGTAAATGACTTCCTTAGATGAGCCCACGCAGCGGGTCCCGCTTTATAGGGAGGGACTTGTCCTGGTGCAGAGTAGGCACTAAAGTAAATGAAAACAGAGCTCTGCGTGGCTGATGCTGCTGGAAGCTAACACACTCGTTATCGATGCAACTTGGCTATGCTCAGTTTTATTGTGAAATCTGATGGAAATGTGGGTTTTACAGTTGCAGAAAGGCATTAGTACAACACAGAAGAACCAGGATGTGCTCAGAATAAATGAGGACTGAATGCTTCTGTGTCCTCTGCTCTCCTTTTCACTTCATGACTTATTTGCTTTGATTGAAGTTTTAAGTATTACTGGGGCATCTCTGCAGGGTGTCAGCTGGAAAAGAGGGATAACGTCAACATGAAATGGATTTATGGTTCACAATTGTCAAGGGAATACTGCTTATTAGCCCTGCAGGATAAGATCACGTGATTCGAGTCCATCTGTCAAGCCAAACAGATGGAGCAGAATCTTAAATCAGGTTGCTTTTTGTTTTGTGTCACAGTCACATGACACCCTGCAATCAGTCCAAATTCATCTGACACATTTCTACAAATTAATAATAGATTAAACAGGTCTGAGTTGCCGCTTGGATTGATGAAAACTTGGTGTTTTTTTCAAAGACTAACAAGAAACGTGAGATTTTCACAGAGCAGCAAAAATGGGATCTTCCCTTATTTTCAGAACCGATCCAGAGCAAACCATGCAAAGAAAGCTCAGCCATTTTTATTTTTTTCCACTAAGCGGATGAAAACAACACAACTGTTCTTTTTTCCTTTCAGTGCATCAATGAAGAAGGCTTCCGTCATTTCCTTAAGGCTTATTTAGAAGTGGAGGATTTCCCTTCAGATCTCTGCCAGCGACTTTTCCGCTCTTTCCAAAACTCCAAACCCACCCAGGAAGAAAGCACCAGTGAGATTATCCATACAGCCTCTATTCAGGCAGCTCATTGCCTTCACTTTACTGCAAGGCCCTTATCGGTTTACGTTATGGCCTATTTGCTGCACAGTCCTTTATCGCTGCATGCCTGTTCAGGACTTTTTGTGCACATATGGTAACCAGAGTATTCACAGCCCTCTCCCTTTCCTCCATCTCTCCTGTAGAGGAGGTCTTCCTCAAGGATGTTTCGTGCTACTTCTCTCTCCTGGAGGACGGCCAGCCCATGGACAAACTAGAATGTAAATGCTTTTGTTTGTTTTCTGCCCAGAATCTCTTCAGTCATGGTCTGGTAGTCCCTTTCATTTCCTTTCTATCTTTAGTTGCTTTCAGGCTCTATGACAGAGATGGTAATGGAGTCCTCGACAGCTCTGTAAGTAGTCTAGAAAGTTGTTTATATCACAGCTTTAATTTGGTCACTTCATCATACCAAACACAGACAAAGACAATCCCTTCTCTTGTTTTTACATTTAATCTTTTGTTTTCCAACAGGAAGTGGATCGGATTATTGCTCAGATGATGCACGCTGCAGAGTATTTGGACTGGGACGTGTCTGAACTGGAGCCTGTAAGTCCCAGAGTGCTGTGCTCTGAAGCATGGATGACCCATAATCTAATTAAACTCTGCACAAACTTTACTTACATCCCTGACAGTAAGTTACTTCCATCTAATTTCAGTGACAGAAGCTCATTTATCTGGCACTCTTTAATGGATGTCATCAAATTTGCTGATTTTTATGCCCGATTAATTTCAAAAACTACATGGCCCTTGTTTTAAAATGTGTGTTGATTGGATATTAAGAGCTAAATCTGATCCCATCAGGTTCTGAAGGACATGATGACAGCGATTGATGCTGACAGGAGTGGTACAGTGTCTCTGAAAGAATGGGTGGAAGGAGGCATGAACAATGTTCCCCTGCTGGTCCTGCTGGGTCTCAAGGTGACAACAGCTGTATTTCTCGTTTTATGATGCTTTCCCGTCAAAAGCTGAGCTGAAACCTCTTTGTTTTAATGGCAGGTGTGACTGTAGCTGTCCTTTAGAAAACCTGGCCTTGTAGTTCTCATCTGTCATTTCCTGATCCTTCTCCTCGCTGTCTCTAAAGGGCCTTTATGTCGACTCAGTGTTACAGGGTGTGGTAATGTCATCCCCCCTCATGCAAGCTCTGCACCATCACAGTGCTGGAGTGTTTTTCCCTTTGCTCTGCACCACCTGAATGCTAGCATAAAATATCAACTTTTCCAGCTAGTGTTCTGTACTGGAGTGCTGAACAGCTCTGGTGCAGATTTGAAGCATAAAAATGTTCTCCTAAGACCAACGGTGTCTTAAATTAGCATTGTAGGTTTGGTTTAATTTGATGGCCAGAATGAGAAAGCTGCACTGCAGCTGTCTAAAACCACAACCTAGGTTATATCTATTGGTTTGGCTTCTGCAACAATGCTGGGGACTTCCCCCCCCAAGCTATTTCTAGCTAGCACTGGACATTTGAAGCCTGGAGTGTGTGAATTCAGCCCCCTCACTGTTGATGAGTGCTGCCCACTATGCCTCATACAGCAGGTGATACATCATGCCGGAATAACAGATCATGTTTTCTGTCCTCTGTCTGCTTTTTAAACTGATTGAAGAAAGTCGCCTAACTGGGTGTTGATAAAGAGTCCTGTCAGATCTGATTTTGTGCTCCCTTAATGTTCTACGGTTAGCACGATTTTCAGTACACGGAGCAGCAAGAGGGGGGAAAACGCCAGTAGAAATGCAAAAAGCACTAAAGCGTTGTGTCTGTAGAACACGTTCTGTTGTAAACAGACTAACAAATGTTCATCCCTTTTTTCCATTGCTGTCGATGACGATCAGATGACCCAAAAGGACGGGCAGCACCTCTGGAGGATGAAGAATTTTAACAAGCCTGTTTACTGCAACGTGTGTCAGAGCATGCTGCTGGGCATCAGGAAACAAGGGTTGTGCTGCACCTGTAAGTACCTGAACCGGCCAGAGGAGGGCGCCTCTACAGCAACATTTATTCCAAAGCATTGCAGTTTCACACTGTAACATGTTTTATTTCTAGGAGTGTGTGCTGACATGTTAATGGGTCTGTGTATGCAGGTTGCAAATACACAGTCCACGGACGCTGTGCTAACAAGAACCCAGCTCCTTGCACCAAGACGTATGTGAAGTCAAAGAAAGAAACCGGGGTACGCTAGCTGCTCTGGGACAACTTGTGATGAAAACTCTTGAGTTTAGATTAGATTTGGTCCTTCATCTTAAAGCTTTTAGGTGCGAACATGTTTCCCACTTTACAGGTTCCAACGCATGACTGGGTGAGTGGGAACTGCGATTCAAGGAAGTGTGATCGATGCCAAAAGAAGATCAAGAGCTTCCAAGGCTTAACGGGCAAACACTGTGTGTGGTGCCACATAATGGTGAGGAAGAATCTCCCTGCCTGGCTTTAAATCGAAAAAAGATTTATCTCTAGATGTAAAAATGCTTCCCTTTCATTATTCAAAGTACAGCTTTGCTGCTTCTTCTGGTCTGGTACCAGTGTCTGAACAGATTTTCTGAACTGATTCAGTGAGGAGACAAACCCTTCATCGTATATATGTGAACATGATGTGGTTCTCTGCTATAAGAGGAGGTTATTTTTCTGAAATATGGTTGTGCACAAACAACAGATGGGCACTTTTCAGCATGATTCTGCTTTCAGTAGAAGAAACATGCCTGCTGGTCCGGGGATCTGTGTCTGCGGTAACTTTACAGTAAATTGCGATGTGGGTTTATTATAAAAACGACCCTGAAGAACAACACGGGTGTTTTTTTTCTGGTTTAGCAAATGTATATCTGAGCTCTGATGGGATTTGGATGCATTTCATCTCTTAAAGCTGTAGAAATGTAAAAAAGTTGAATTTCTGAGGTAAAAATGGATTCTGTCAGTCACGACTGCTCTGATGTAATGCGCCACCTGTTTGTGTTATCCAGTGTCATGATGACTGTGCACACCAGGAGCCAGCAGAGTGTACCTGTGGGCCGCTCCGAGACCACATCCTGCCGCCATGGGCGATATATCCTGTTATAATGGTACAGAAATATCCTCAGGCTCAAGTACAGTGCAAACACAAGTTCAGAACCCAAGGCTGTTTCTTGTTTTCGGTCAACATGTTCCCTGTCTTTTGTTTCGTATTCTCAAAAGTCAGAAAAGCATTTATATTTCCGCTGGTTTGTTTACTCTGTTCACGTTTTTCTCCCTGAAGGAGAGATCAAACAATGTGAAGAATGGCGGCCCCAGCGTAACAGATGACTGCAACCTCAATATCACCCCTGATGGACAGGTGCTTCAGGTAGGGGTCTACACAGAGCTCTAGGAGAATATAAAAAGCTGGAACGTGCGATTTACTCTTGTACTGTCAGTAAACACCTCCAAGTGTTTTTGTATTAACAGATCAACCCGGTGCCAAACACCCATCCTCTGCTGGTGTTTGTCAACCCTAAAAGTGGAGGCAAGCAGGGAGAAAGGTGAGCTCGGATCCCACAAGAGCAGAGCACAACAGATCTCTCAGCTCATTGTTAATTTTTTTCATGGATTTTAGGATTCTGCGTAAGTTTCAGTATTTACTGAATCCGAGGCAGGTGTACAACCTTTCAAATGGTGGACCTGGACCAGGGTGAGTCACATCAGATCGCGTTATCCTGAGGATTCATCTAAGTACTGCTTCATCCTTTTCTGTTGGAGTCATCATCGTCATCATCATCATCGTCTGTGATTCAGGCTGAGTTTCTTCAGAAACCTGGAGAACTACAGAATCTTAGTGTGTGGAGGAGACGGCACCGTTGGCTGGATTCTGGATGCAATAGGTCAGCTTGATAGTTCCTGTACAGGTCACATATAACCTAACCCCATATTTGACCCTGGACTTATTTTTACTTTTTTTAGACAAAACCACTCTTCAGGTACGACCGCCTGTTGCTGTCCTCCCACTAGGCACAGGAAACGACCTTGCTCGATGTCTGCGTTGGGGCGGAGGTGAATCAGTTTTCTTTTTTAGGTGAAACGTATAGAAACCCTGTATGATCTGTGCACGTGAATCTCACTGGTTGTGTGTTCATCTCTTTCCCAGGGTATGACGGTGAAGATCTGACTCGTATTCTTCATTTCATTGAGGGCAGCTCTCAGGTGCTGATGGATCGCTGGAGCGTGCAGGTCATACCCGATGAGATTCAGGAGAAGGGAGACCCCGTGCCATATGAAATCATCAACAACTACTTCTCAATTGGAGTCGTGAGTTTCTGACAACAACCCACACATCAGGACGCGTTTCGTTTTCAGCTGGCAGAGTCGTTTGCTGTAACTACTCATTGTTTTGTTGTATTGCTTTGACAGGATGCCTCTATTGCTCACCGGTTTCACACAATGAGAGAGAAACATCCCCAGAAATTTAACAGCAGGTATGAAACTTCTTTGTTTTAATCTGGAACCCCAAAAATGAAAGATTATCCCAAAACGATGGCAAGACGCTGTTTCAGGTGCCGGTTCCCCTTTTACGGTTCCCACTTTTTAAAGCTGAAAAAAGATGGCTGCAGGTGGTGACAGCAGGTGTCTGTGGCAGCGAGCGTCACCACACAACTCGTGTCCCTTCAAGAGAAAATGCTGTGTGAATGTGAAGTAACAGTTAAACTTAAAAGGCACTTTTTTGTAACTGCAGGATGAAAAACAAGCTGTGGTATTTTGAATTTGCTACTTCAGAAACCATCTCTGCTTCCTGCAAGAAACTGAGCGAAAGCTTAACAATAGAGGTGAGCAAGCAGCACCAGCAGCACCAGAACTGCAGATGTGCATTTTGTCTTGGAAACAAATACCCCCCATTTTCCTGCAGACAGTTTCCTGATGCTTCTCTCTGTCTCTTCCTGTCTCTGTGGCCTGCTAGTGCTGTGGTACTCCTCTGGACCTCAGTAGCCTGTCTCTGGAGGGGATTGCAGTTCTTAACATTCCCAGCATGCACGGTGGCTCCAACCTTTGGGGTGAGACCAAAAAAGTGGACACCAAGGGGCTAACAGGTCAGGAAGAGCCTGAGGTGATCATCAACCCAGATGTCCTGAAAGTGACCTCCCAAGGTAGTTTCTCCCTACTGAACCATGTGACTAGTTTATAATATGGAAGTTCCTCTTTGCTCTCCAGAGTCCATTAGCTGATTGTTTTTAGTTAAGTCTAAATCCAGATTTCCTGTGGTTATCAAGCTTCGTAAATTGATCGTACATTACAGCCACAGCTCCAAACCACTCACTAACTAAATCAGACCTGCATTTTGGCTTCACGTGAAAACACAAACATCTGATGTCCAGCCATAACACTGCCCAGTCTCTACGTCTGAATAAACACATCCGTAACTAAGTTCACTCTCAGCTGAAAGCTGCTGCTGCGCTCTTCTGCTAATCTGCTGTCACCTTCACATAATAACGTTAGATAAGCGTACATTTAAAACCTTCTCTGTGGCCTAGTGGTATGAGTGTCCACCCTGGGGCTGGGAGATCGGGGTTCAAATCCACAACCGGGTCATACCAAAGACCCAATGCCTCCCTGCTTGACACCCGCCTTTGAGGGGTTGGATTTGGGGAGTTTAAACCACCAAATAGTTCCTGAGCACTGCTGCTGCTGCAGCTCATAGCTCCCCATGGGGATGGGTCAGATGGAGAGAAGATGACTAATGGGACTTTACCTTGACTTTAATTTGTAGGAATCAGTTAAAAAGTAGACATTAATAATAAAGATCCGCCCCATTACCTTTGTTCAACATAGCTGAATTAGTGCAACCTAAACTCTGAGCATTAGCATCAGCAACATTAGTGTCATTTATACAAACATTCATTTATGCATCCAACCCTACTGCTTCTAAATGTGTTGAAGCTGAGGAATGATCTCTGGCCACTAGATGGCAGTAGAAACTTGCTATAAAATAAGTCATCTGTTCACATGCAGATCACACACACACACACACACCCTGCATCAACATTGCACTCATGTGAGTAGTGCGCATGTATGGTAAAACTGAGAATTTAATGGTAACCCTCTGGAGGCAGGCGTTGCAGATTTGCAACGTTAAAGCCTACCTGGTTACTCCACACACGTATTTCATGAGCATTTTTAAACTCTGAAGTACCCCTGAAGGACTTAGTTGTTCGTCCTTTTATCAAAACTTATTTTGAGCCTGAGAGGGTTAAATTAAGTGCATTGTGCTCACATTATTATCATTGGTTGGTGTGTTGGGTGGTTGACCGCCCCAGTAAAACGTAGGTGCTGAGGTAGCAGAGAGGTGTTACACTGGTTTAGTTCTGCAACCAGAATCCATCCATCTTACTGAGATGCTTGTTTCACATGAAAACTAATTTGGATCATTTGCAGTTTGATTAGTTTGTGTTAGGATTAATAATAAATGTGTACAAAAAGATATATATAAAATGTTAATCATGCAGAATGAATGTGAATATCTTCTCAATCCGACTGAACCGTCCTTCCTCTGGCTGCGATGGTGCTTCCTTCTGTCTGTTTTACTTGTCAGATCTGAGTGATCGTCGACTGGAGGTGGTCGGCCTCGAAGGAGCCATGGAAATGGGACAGATCTACACCGGCCTCAAGAGCGCGGTGCGGCTGGCCAAAACGTCGCAGATCACCATCAGGTGTGAGAGACGTGTTTTGACTTTCCCAGCTCAGGTCTTAGTCCTGATAGAGTCGTTGGCTGAACCTTTCCACATAAATGCACTTTTACATTTACCTTGTGTTATTTTAATCACACGTCGGGGTTTATACGCTATTTAATCCCTATGAATTTAACATTTTACAGGACAAAGAAAGCGTTACCAATGCAGATAGACGGAGAGCCGTGGATGCAGCCCCCCTGCACGGTAAACAACACTCAGCAGCCTCAGTGTTAATGAGCTGTTTGGTCTGATAACACTGTTACTCACTGCTGTTTTCTTTTCAGATTCACATCACACACAAGAACCAAGCCTGCATGCTAATGGCTCCACCATCCAAATCAAGTTTCTTCAAATAATACCTGCTAACCGAATGAATGTGTTTACTGTTAAAGAGTGACAGACTTTTAAGTTATGGACTTGCTGTGCAATGTAGATCATTCACATTGTAACTAAGGGCGCATAAGCACATTTCAGCATGAATACAAACTTAACGGTAGGACACGTTTCCATTGTGGCCAAAATGTTTTTTGACCAAACTGTTGTCAGTGTTTTATGAATGTTAACCACTGTTGCTGTCCCAAAACTTGACAGGAAGTGCTGCTCTTTAGGTTAGAGTAAAGTGAATATTATTCTACAAGACAAACATCTGGCTTCACGTGCCTTTATAATCCACACTCTGTGTTACCATGTAGTATTGTTGTTTTGTTGAGGCTGTAAATATGCCCCAAAGCCAAACAGGTGTTCCGGTTTCTTCAGAAACAAAATTGAAGGAAAGGAACAGACTGATGGTAAATGTGTTAGACTTTTTTACTAATTTTAAAAGAAATGTGAGTGTTGAGAGGAACAGGAAAGAAAAGCTTGAGCAGTCAGTCTTCTTCTTTGGACCAAATTTAGGAAAATGTGTTTGAGAGCTGAGAGATACTCTCCTAAGACCACAAAGTCATTACATGTTATCTAAGATTTGACATATTGGCTCAGAATATTTATTCTAATTTATGCAGTCTTAATTTAATGCTTTTCAGTCATATCATTTCAATATATATTTAAGGTGTAAATGTAACATTTCTGAAATAACTCCATGTAAAGATTTTAATAAATTGTCTGGACTGAAGTTTTTGTTTTAATTGTTAAAAGCTCATTTTGTAGTTAATGTTAGATTTAGCTTCAAATAGGGTGTGATTACACTTGAATCTGGAGTCACAGATCTGGTCCACTACCAAAATGTTGTCTTCCCTCTGCTTCTCTTTGCCTTTGCCAATGAGGGGATTGATCTTTGCAAGGTAGTATCCCCGTGTTCTCCAAAGTAAATGAAAAGTAAGGTTTTGTGCAGGTTAGAAATCCATCCCTCACCTGCTATCTGAATAATCATGACACATGTGGACACTGTTCCGGCAAATGTTACTCAAAACTTTTCAAAACTTGTAAAAACAAACAAACCAGAGCACTCTAGAAAAAAAAAACAACAATCTGGACTTGCTACGATCACGTGTTGAAAGACCGGACCAATACTGCTCCAACGGGAAAATGCCATAAAATCAATGCAATGTTACAGCATCTCTGGAATACAGAGTCTGAGACAGCAAACGCACAGATTAGTCTGTAAAAGAAACCAAGCAGTCAAGGACAATCAGCTAAAGTGGTATGATTATCTGTGTAAACGGACTACTACGTAACAATTATTTAAATCGACTAATTATTGTCAGGATCATATTCAACAATCCAAAAAGAAAAAAAAATATTTATAGTATGATTAAATACACAAGAATACTTACACTGCAACTTTTCTCAGATCCTTGCTGGTATTTAACAATTGCATCATTTTGGTCTGTTAAATGTCAGGAAATAATTAAAATGTGCTTTAAATATTCGTGTGATTAGTCCATTTCCATAGGAATTAAAATATACGTTACTGTAATTTAAATGCCCGATCTGTGAATGCTGAGTTACACGAAAAATGATCAAATAAAAGCTAACACTCGTAGTTGTTTTTCACTTTTATTTTGGTGTTGGTCAAATATATGAAGAATAATTCTTTAAGATATTCCACTTTGAACGAGTATAATTTAGAAGTACATTTACTTTATTACACGTTATTTAGGACTGTCGTTAGTGAACGTGAAGCAGAAACGCCCGAGGGGCCCTGAATGTGCCGTGGAGCGTAGCGTCTCGTGCCACTTAGAGTAAGCTCCGCCCCCTGCTACTGATGAGAGGCGACACTCAAACGGAGGAGGAGGTAGAAGTAGGTGATTCATCAGCTCCTTACCAGGTCCTCTGCTGGAGCTCAGCGAACCCTTTCATTCCCAACAACGATGACTTTCAGGCGGCTGAAGAAGGCGAACTCCAGCGGTCCGGAAGGCGGACCCGCTTCTCAGGACGACATTTATTTCCCTTCGTCCAAGTCCGACAGCTGCAGGAGCGTGGAGCTACCTGCGAGCTTCTCGGAGGTTTACAACTACAAAACTCTGGCTTACTCCGGCGGGACGCTGCCCAGAAACCTCAAAAAGGTCAGACAAGATCCCCTCGGCAGCAGCCTGACTATTGCAGCTACAAGTTTGGCGTTTAACTGTTTTTAAGGTGACTTGACAACTAGTTGGGTCCTAGTTGGAATTGGGTGACAAGCAAATGATAAAAAAACCATGTTTAACATATATTTTATGGATACATAAATAAATAATTGCCTCTGTGAGGTGCTTGAAAATAATGAAGACTCACTTTGAACGCGCTTGAGTTTGATCTAGAATTCTGCTTACAAGACAGAATGATGCAAGTTGTTGCATCCTTTCTGTTTATAAACGGCGAGTTGTTTATTTTTATTCTGCTGAGAGAAAATCTTAGAATCACACACACACACACACACACACACACACACACACACACACACACACACACACACGTGTGGTGATTGTTCTTGGATGGAATTGACTGAGCTAAAGCTGATGATCTGGCTTTCTGGAGAACACTTTGGTGTTTTTGGAGATGATTAGTAAACTTAATGAAGACTTAAAATGAAAGTAGTCAAATTCAAAGGACTCCTGAGTTCACTCGCTGTCCTGAAGGCAGCTTTGTGATTCATTTGAGGAAGTGACTGCTCACCTCAGCTGTCCCTTCGTACATTTTCTGTGTTGTTTCTCATTAACCCTGAAACCTTAACTCTAGTTTTGAGAGCGGAGCAGAGCAGATCTCTGGAGGCTTCCCTTTCCTCAGAGCTGGGATGCACAGTGGGACACAGTGACAAGCCCACACACAACCAGCGTGCTGTAATAAGGGCGAGGTGGCTACAACACAGCATTGTGCACTCCCACCAATGCAGATCCTGTCGAGACACCCCCGTTGGACTCTGGGTACTTGGGAATAAATGCCCCCATTGAGACGGCAGTCCTGTAAGTGTTGGGACATTAAGAAAGCAACATTTTAGTGGGCTGGGAGATGAGAACACAAAGCAGGCTTTCAGAGAACCACATTTGAACATGATTGAGTTGGAACAGAGGTGGATTGATTTGGGTGGTTTCCCACAGGCATCTGGACTGATACCTTTCCTTTGTTTATACAGTCAGGTGGGGCAGGGACCCAACCTGCCGCTGATTCCTCTCAATGCTGGTGTTGTAGTTCACCACGCTGTCTCACGTGTTTCTTTACCGAACAGTTAGGTAGATGGACAAGCGCTTCGGGGACATCTGACTTGGTGTGAAAGTTGGGCTAAATTTAGCTGAATGCCTTCTTTGAAGGTAAACAACAGGAGCCAGACATTCATTTCTAGTTTCGTCGGTGTGGTTCGAACCCGACGGAATGGATCAGTGGTTTTAAAATACAAACAAACCGCCTGGCACGCGTCTGCCATTACAAAACCTGCTGGACCAGTGCACCACAGGTGTGTCCAGGAAGTGCTGGGAGCTGATCTTAGGGGGAACCCTCATGACTCATCTTGCTCTAACCTCTTGTAGGTGTCTGACACGCTTCATGTCTGGTTTTGTTTTCTCCTCACAGGGAGGTGGCCCACAGAAGTGGAAACCCCTCACACAATCAGCAGAACCACAAAGGTACAGTCTCCCACATTGTTTTGGTCTTTGGCCCAGCTCATTGTTTTTCCTTTACGCAAACCTCACGGCGACTTCCCCTTAAGTCAGAGCCAAGCTTGTGGTTACAGATGATGCCATGAATTTGCATGTCCCCCTACCACTGAGACGTCCTTCAGTCTTACAGATTATTGTTCTGTGTGTCTATCTCTGATGTCCAGATGCTGATGGGCACAGTCCCATGCAGCTATTAAAATGCTCAATAATTCACTTTAGATCAGGGCCATTGTGTGAATTTCCACTTGTTCAATTCAAAGATACTTTATTAATCCCAGAGGGAAATTAGAGTTTCAGTACACACACAATTCTGAGATCAGACATACATACATAGACACATGACAAGAATTGGTGACTGTGGTCTTTCGCAACCCGAGTCGCGCTACCTTAATAGAGATCAGAGGGTTTACATGAGGATTGGTTCAGGTGGAGGAAAAAAAGGCACTTCAGAGTTACCCTCCACAGAGAGGGCAGCTTTGCTATGCAAAAAAACACCTCAGACAGAAATGCAACAGACTTCAGACATCACACAACATAAGTGTCCACTAGGTGGGGAGGTAGGGTTGGGACTCTTCTCACATCAGTGCATGCAGCCGCGATGAGCAGCGCCCGTCACCTCCGTCTGGACAGGGGAGGGAGGTAATTGGGTTAGAAAGCCCAGTGACTCCTGGAAACGGTTCCACGACCTTCACCAACTAGTTGTCAGTCCCGCCCAGGCTGGGATAGGGAGATGGAGTTGCCATGGCAACGGCAGCATTCCACATGTCTTCTGAGGGGGAGTAATTACTTCAGCCTCACAGGCTCAAGGGCACCAGATTCAGATAAGAACATGTTTTGGGGACAGACAGAGATAATTTCCTCTCTGTCTTAGGCCGGGGACACACCGGCCGCCGAAGCGCCGGGAGGCGAAGCGCTCACGAAATTCGGCCGCTGCTCGCTGCTCCTCAGACGAGACGCTTGTTTCTCCGCTCCGGTCGAGGCACGCCTCGCAGTTTTTCTTTTAACCACTTGGTGTCCTCCATTTCCTCTCTGCTTTTTCTCTGCTCTTTTCCTCTACACCCCCCTCCCCCTTGCTGTTTGTATGTGTGTTTGTACGTGTGTGTGTGTGTACGTGTGTGTGAACCTATGGTGTGAATCAGTTGTTAATAGCTGGCCTACAACTTTCTGCCTCTGTCCTGTTTGCTCTGGTCGAAAGACACCCAAAACCACACCCCCTTTACGTGGTCACACACACACACAAGTTTGCTGTGCGTGTGTGTTTGACTGTCGCGGAATTGTATTTTGAAATGCTTTATTTTGTTAAATTTACCGGCCTGCCTCTAATGTCTAGGTTTGACTTTCTGCCAGAATTGACGCGGTTCACCCGCGGCTCGCGAAAAAAATAGAGCAGACGCTGAAACGATCGCTGCACAGCGCGGGCTGGAGCACTTCGGCGGCCCATGTGGTCTATAGAATAGGATAACAAGGGCGCCGAATGAAGGCGGTCCCCGTTTCGCGGCGCTTCGGTGGCCGGTGTGTCCCTGGCCTTAAAGTTCTGTTGGTCTTCAACCCCTCTGGATCCAATAGTGGCGTAAATTAATCTATTCCCAACCGTGCTGTCCCGTCAACTCTCTCTTTAATCGAATCCACCTTCTGTGCCAGAGCCTCAATCTCAGCCAAAGTTCCAAGCTTACGACTCATCTCGACAATTATATGAGTTTGTGCGTTCACAGCGCGGTGTAATACATCCCTGAGCTCCGAGATTGAGCCAATATTCCTTGAAAGCTCATCAATTTTCCGGTAAGCCAGGTAACCGCTCAGGCCAAACGGCAAGAAACCTGACACCAACACCACAAATATCCAGACGTCTTCAGAATCCTCTACAGACAGTTGAGAGAGACAGATCAGGTTCCTCTGTTTCCAGGAGTCCATGATATACCCAGCTGGCTCTGTCCCAGAGGGGCATCCGGGAGCCCCTTCTCCCGTTCTCATTGTTGAAAAAATGTTGTCAATCGCATTGAGAGACCAACTGACCAGATCCATTTTTAATAATTTCCAGTTTCCAGAAAAAATGCAGAAGTGCCGTACACTAGGGCTGCAACAACGAATCGATAAATTCGATGAAAATCGATTACTAAAAGCGTTGGCAACGAATTGCGTCATCGATTCGTTGTGTCGCACAACTCTTCCAAAAGCGCCCCCCCTTCCCGCCCGCCTTGCGCGCAGACCAGAGCAAGTCAGATCAGCGCGAGGGAGAGCCGCAGATCAGCGCAAGGGAGAGCCGGCAGATCAGCGCAAGGGAGAGCCGGCAGATCAGCGCAAGGGAGAGCCGGCAGATCAGCGCAAGGGAGAGCCGCAGATCAGCGTGAGGGAGAGCCGGTACCGGCAGATCAGCGCGAGGGAGAGCCGGCAGACTTGCGCTGCTGCGAACCGGTTCCGCATTGTTGCGCAGCGATCCAGGCAGCTGCTTCCAGCGCACGGTCCATTCTCAAAGTGGCGCAACCAAAAAACTATAATTAGCACACAATCGTTCATGTCCGCACATATTCTCTATTTTCTGTCTTATTTGTGCCTGAAGCTCGCTACTGCGGAGCTCATCACCTCTGCTGTGGTGATGTCACCTCACGCAGCATCGAAAACGCGCTCTGCGCTTTTCGGTCAGGAGATCCCTTTGATCTGCTCAAAAGTAACTGATGAGGTGAAAAGGTAAGAATCCAGGCAACAGATTTTCTGGAGAATTAAGAGGAGATGCAGGAAGATGAGAGACAGACAGGACAGAAAAATAGTTCAATAAAAACAAGAAAACAAAACAAAGTGTTGAAAAGTAAAATGTAGGTAGATTTATCTCCACGACACGTTTTTACCTGTATAAAACAATAAGTTATACACATGTCATATTTATACATCTGATACAATTCAGATCACCTTCAAAACTCAGTCACACACCCAGGGCCGTTTCAAGACATTTTGGGGGCCAAGGCAAAATCCCCCCCCCCCCCCCCCCCCCCCCATAACTGGGCTCCCCAGAAGCCTCTGTGTAATTCATGCCCTCTCCAGGAGTGTTAGTTATACAGTGTTTATAAAAGCCCCTCAGACATTACTGACATGTTCTAATATTATCAGATGAAAAACTAAATTATCAGACATGCTGTCTCATCTGCTTCTTTTATAAACTTGCAAAAAGTAACAAAACCATTTGAAAGCCACTATTTGTGGATTCTCTGAAAGTTTCCATGGAGTGTGTGACAACTTATTTTTTCATTGATCCTATCGTCTAATCTCACAGCTGAAACAAGCATCCTTAATAATCTGTGCACAGGAAGCTTACCGATGCTGTAGTAAAACAAAATGTATAATAATTTATTATTAATAAAACCTTGTTGCAGCACTAAAGCAGAAAAATTAGATTTTGCATTAAATATGCAAAATATTTACAAATGAATTGTTTTAGAGCCCTTTAATTGGCAGAATCTGATATTAATTTGGTTCTTACAAAAAATGGGTCCCAACATGGTTTGTGTGGCGTTGCCATAGTGTGACGTCATAGGCACAGATCCCCTGTCCTCTTGTTTGGAAATGGAAATATGGTCACCCTACATTAAACAAACTGTCCACCCGGGCTTTTGCACTGCACAGAGACGCTTCGCTGCCTACGACTGAACGTCAGTTGAGAGTCAGTCTCATGTAGACTGACCAATGAAGAGAGGGCCTCAAGTTAAGACCCTCTCCTCATTGGTCAGTCCACACGAGGTGGGTCAAAGGTTACTCTGGGCGGGTTACGTGTTGTCAGGCATTCAAGTATTGAGTATATTTACTGCATATTACAGTAAAATATTCTGTATGTGACCACATTATGGTGATCCTTGGGTCGTGATGATGGAGCCCTTGAATATTGTTGCCCAGGGTACAACAAAGTGTTAATCTGGCCCTGGTTCCGCCGTCACATTCCCGCAGAAACTGGTTGATCACACCGGGGCCAGACTACTAGCATGTGGTTTTACAACCACAATGTCCTCAAAAACGCTTTTAAAAGGGAGGGAGGAGTCCTAACTGTTGCTGCAGGCGTGTTGTGTGAGAGTGCAGTTATATACTGGTTAATATATTTTTGGGTTCAGTTGCTTTCATGTGGCCTAATGTGAGTCTATTTGGGATCATTGGAATGATCAGCAGCATTTCTTGATGTGACTTTATGGCAGTTGCCCAGGGCATCATCGCAAGGAGGATGGCATTCATTTACTTTTGTTTTATTTGGTATTTTTTCAGTCATTTTTGGAAATAGTGATCAATTTTGATTAATTCACAGCCTATGTTTAATTACATTTAAAATAAATGTCAACAGATGAGATCAAACAAAACAGATGAGAATTGCCCTTAACCTGTTTAACTTGGACCAAGCATTTTAGGTCACAGATAGATGTAGCTTAGGGTCTCTGTCTATACACCTTATAAGACAATTTAGGTGATGGCATGTTGTTTTTCTGCTATTGAACTGTTTTATAATAATGTTATGTTAAATAAAGTGAAGGAAGGAGAGAAATAACGTTTCCCTAGCAGTTTTTAAAAATTTCCCCATGTAATCCGATTAATCGATTAATCGTGTCGAGACCCCATCCGATTAATCGATTATCCAAATAATCGTTTGTTGCAGCCCTACCGTACACCCAAAGACAGACCCAAAGAAGAGCCTTGAGACAAGATAGGGAGGAGAGGAGGAAAAAAGTGTCTGTACTCTCCAAGAGCCGGAAGTGAAGTTCTGGATTTTCCTCGATAAAGTCCTGGTTTATAAAAAAAAAAAAACTCATGTAAAAATCAGTAAAGATTGCAGAATGAGGGCAAAACACAGCAGCAGTGAATGACAGGGGTCAAATATTTACCCGTACGGACCCCAGAGAGCTCTGGAGATTTTTTCTAAACGGCTTTATTTCCAAGCATCAATATTCCTACAAAAAGGAGATCATGCTATTTTATTCTGTGTTTTGACATCCGTAGCCGCTCTTCTCTGCTTGCAGTTAAACGGGATGCTCTTATTTTGGTGATCTTACTCATTTTGCATTTGTAAAAAAGTGGTGAAAAGAATCCAGAAGTACATTTTTCATTTATTGTTTGTTTTGCTTTTAACGGATAACTCGTTCGTTTTATTTTTAGACCCAGAGAAGCAGTGATCCGTCCTGTTTACAATCGGCCGATCGGTTAGCAGAATAATTTAGACTAATCTGTCTTCTCTTCCCGAGCCATGAACATGAAAACCTCAGTAGAACCATAACCATGTTTTTATTTTGTTCTTTAGGAAAGTGGTGATCCTGGAGAAAAAAGAAGAGGAGAGTTTTGGATTTGAGATCCAGGTAATAAAACCATGAGAAGAGAACCTCCTCCAGTGTTACTTAGCAGGACCTTCATGATCGGTGATAGAAGTGTGCTTTTCTGCAGCAGCGGGACTGAAAAGGTCATCCAGCAGACAAATAACTAGTTCGTGTTTGTCTCATGACTTCGGTCAAGAGGGGATGATTTCCTCCAGCATCTGTATTTTAAGCTGTGTGGTTTTCTCACACACTTCCCATGTAATACCTGCTCCTCACACACACACACACACACACCCAGGCTGATCTGTGTACAAGTCTAATGTGGACAACGTAACGTCACCCAGATTGAAGCCCTTCCTCTAGGAAAAGAAGCGGTGTTCTCTTTGCGTGTTCGTTAGGCGTTCCCGCCCTTCCTGCCTGCCGTGGCTGAGAGGAGCAGTTTGATGCTCGGAGCCTAGTGCTTCCTGCTGCTTTTTCTCTCAGTTTTGTTGAAGTGGATGTGGAGCTGAGGAGCCAGCATGTAAATGTGATATTTGCCTTTCAACCATATTTGCATGGTTGGTCGTTTATCTCTCATGGAGCAGAGATGGAAGCCAGCAGCTGCAAATCCAGGCAGATCCAAATGGTTGCACATTTCTTTTGGCGCGCTCGTGCAGGCTGCGTTCCTGCTTCAGTAAGAGCATCTGCCTCTAACATTACTGTAAGTCTTTCTGTTGTTTCTGGTGGTTGGCGTGTTGACAGGAAGTTTATTTGTGTCCTGCAGCGCTCTGGCCGTCGTGCAGAGACATGGGTGATTAAAACAAGGAAGAGCATGCAAATGTATGTGGAAGCAACAAAACAGGTTCCCAAGACAGCCGTATGCGAGAGCCGCAAAGTACACAGATCAAAGTACACAGATCTTTCAAATAAGGAAAACTAGCTTTCATGGAGCCGGGCGTTTGCTGTACTTCCTGTTTTACAGATAAATATACAGAACAGTGAAAAAGCTGTTGCCCTTCCTGATCCCGTCTGTCTCTGTTTTCTCGTCACTCTTAAAGCAAACTCGTTTCAGGATCACAGCTGTTATTTAGGGATGTTTGTAAAGTTTTGACTGATTAGTTTTTGTGAGACGAGAGGAAGCGGCCCTCACTGGCTGTGGTCTCCCTGGTGTCTGTGAGCTCGGTGATAAAACCGTCTTTCCGGCACCGTCCGTCATGGCTTCCTCTGCATCAGTCAGTGGTTTTCTTCTTTAACGTTGTGTTGCAGAACCACAGCGCTTCAGATCAACACCATGTTTTATAGTCACCGTCTGTTTGTTGCAGACTTATGGTCTCCACCATCAGGACCAGAACACGGTGGAGATGTGCACGTTTGTGTGTAAGGTGCACGAGAACAGCCCGTCCCAGACAGCCGGACTTAAAGTGGGTGAGTAACCGTTTATTTTTGGTCTTGCTGTTTATTTACTCCTCATTTGTCCTGGAAGGGGCACGAGACAGACAGCAGGGATGTGAGCGTAACCTGAAGTTTTACTTCCGCTTGTTTTCTTTGTTTTTGAGTCAGCTGACTCTGTGTCAACAGAAGCACTCGTGAGTTTCAGTGTTTGGTCGTCAAGGAAAACTGCCTGCTTGCATTTTTCCATCTGACGGACGCGTATTCATCCGTGCTACACCAAGAAAAGAAAATGACATTTTTAAATTCGTCTTTTTTGCTCTTAAAGCGTTTCTTCTGTCCTATGTAGCCGATAAATGCCCTCTGGTTGTCTGGTTGTCAGTCTCACCAGATTGTTAATAGACCCTTTTACTGTTTGTAAACAATATGACGTCAGCGAGAATGCGCGCGCAGCTTGGCAACAGAGAACGGCGTTGTGTCAGGCTTTATCAAGCTACGCTGCGGGGTTATCACCGGCAAATCTTGAATGTTATATTATTAAACTCACTTTAACGAATGGCAACAGACTCCCGGATCCCTGTGGCATTACGGAATGGGTGGAAGATGTAGGTGCGTGGCCAGATATCCAGTGGCTCGATATATATACGTTTTTAGTGGAGAGGCCCAGTAAGTACACACGTGAGAAGCTACGGGCATACAAATCGTTAGATGCATACAACTATGTTGTCTGTGGCCACGTACAGAAAGTAAAATATCACGACATAGACTCTGAGTTTTGCGTCTTGAAGGCAGAAGTCCTTCCTAGCCAAAGACGAGGACACAAGACTGCTATGTACGAGGCTTGGGTCATAGTAAACAAACCAGAGAACTACGTACCTGCATGGCAGGGTGAGTATAGCATAGGTTTCTTTTTTTAGCGTGCTCAGAGTACAATCGTGTTAATTTTAGAGAAACACAGTTTATACTAATATGCAGTGGGAAAATACAGATGAATTAGAATGAAATGTTAATTTGAAGCATGAAATAAAGCGTATAAATTTGTTTAATTCTGTCATTTAATAATTACCTTACCTGATATAAAATGGGCGCTACAAACTCGAGCATTTCGGATCGTGTTTTCAGTCCAGTTTTCATCAACCCTTTTGATGGCCTGCAGCCACAGACGCCTCCGATTTTGTTGAAATGGATGTGCTCCCTTCGGAATTCTGTAAAGTTTCAGTCCACTGCTTGAAGAGAAGCGATTCTGGCATCCATACACGCAACACCCCGACATTTTTATGTGCTCAGAACTTCAAAACAAAGGGTTTAAAACGCTGTTTTAGTATCGAGTGTGAATGAGGAAGCCTTCACTCTCGTTGCCAGGCTGCGCGCGCAACTTTTGATGGCGTAGGCAGTAAAAGGGTCTATAAAGTGATGATCTGCTGCCTCCTTCCAACCAGCTTCACTCCTCACATTCCTCACATGCTCCTCCTATTGTCCAGCGTGTGCTGTGACCACAATGTCTTCATCACCATGGTTGCCTTAAAAGACCAGAAAAAAGTCCTCAGAAAGGACCCGAGTCCACCTCACGCCCAATAACTTCTGCAAGATGAGTTGGAGTGGTTTAGCACAGCTGCAGACAGACTAATCACACAACGAATGAATTCAGCGTGTTGGAACTGAACGCCACGGCGGCAACGACGCTAACATTTGTGCTTCGCGTGTCGAGGTTTAGTTTAGATCCAACACGCCTCAGCCGGGTTTAATGGGAGCGTCCTGACCTCTCGGCAGCTGGCTAACACGTGTGTGTGTGTGTGTGTGTGTGTGTGTGTAGGAGACACCATAGCAAGTGTGAACGATACCAGCGTGGAGGGATATCTACACAAGGACATTGTTCAGCTCATCAAGGCCTGCGGCGACTCACTCAGGTAAACAAATCAGAATAAGACAAAATTATTAAATATCTATAAATGCAAACAGAAGCCCAGAAACGGATGTGGGTCTGTGAGGTAGGATTATTATTTATGGGGTTTATCGGGTGTTATCATCAGGATGTGTAATAATTCAAACGTAGCGACTGATTTAATGTCGGATCGCCTCTCGCTGGGTGTTAGCGCGCCGTTGCTGCGGTCACCAGTTTAGTGTTTGAAGACAAACGCCACCAAGACAGCATGGCTGCGGCTCTGGACTTTCAAAGTAGTAAGCTGGCTCAGAAAATTGGTTGCTGATTAATGAAGCTAGATTCTAAAAAGCTGCAGAAGTTTAAGCTGAAATCCGACTTTTCCGTCTCTCTTTAAATAATCCAGCTGTTAACAGCTGGAGTTCTGAGCAGGTGTTTAATTAGAGCCGCGCTCCTCCTCTGTCTGCCCATAAAACTTTAAAAGGACGATTAGCACGAACAGGCTGTAATATTCTGGATCTACAGAAGTCATTCGAGCGTCGGTGCAGGAACGCCTTCACAGGCTGACGTCACCGGCTCAGACGCTCACAGTGAGCTGTCGGCGTGAAAACCGGCTCTTTGTTGGGAGTGGAAACTGCACGAGCCCAGAAACGCCACTGCTCGTAAACATCAGAGCTGTTCGTTCCCACCTCGGACTCGTGAAGGGAGACTTTTGTAGTGTGGCGTGTTTTTATTGCTGCTTTCTGCCTGCTGTCGGCTGAGTGCTTCCTGTTGGGAGTAACACGCCGTTTCCCCACAGGCTGGAGACGGTTTACAGCGACTCCATCCGAAAGGCTGAGCTGGAGGCGCGGCTGCAGTATCTGAAGGTGAGTCTTCAGTAGCTCCACACTCGTTCTGCCTTATGTGGGACACACTCACTCACTCACTCACTCACTCACTCACTCACTCACTCACTCACTCACTCACTCACTCACTCACTCACCCCACCCCACCTGTCTCCTCAGCAGCTCCACCTGTTGTCTCAGCTGGTCGGGGATCTCTGCAGCTCTTCAGCCTCTTCTTTCCCCAAAGCTCACAGCAGCTGTCCCACACTAATCCACCGAGGCACAGCCGCCCTCTCCAGTACTAATCCAGCATTTTAAAGCTCAACCTGCTGCTGAACACAAGTTTTTCAGGCTGTTCGACTCGTCGCAACTCGTAGCTGTTAAATGATTAATGCGCTCTGAAGCGTTTGCTGTTCAGGTTACTTTAGCCCGTGGCTTCAGAATTTGGCTTCGTGTGTTGTGTTGCTGTGAAAATGTGTGCAAGTTTAATGTTTCGGTCAACTCAAATGTCTCCCGTCTTCTTTTGTAGCAAACTCTTTATGAGAAGTGGGACGAATATCGCTCGTTGATGGTGCAGGAGCAGCGGCTGGTTCACGGTGGGTCATTTTATAGGTTTGGGTGGCTTAAATGATGCTGAGCAGGTATTACACCAAATAAATCACAGTCTCACTGGGCTGGGACTGGTTAGCAACTAGCTAGAGACAAAAGCACGAAGGAAAGTCCTGTTTCTAATCCACCTGAATCTTCAAGTGGGGCATGAGCTCACGTCAGTGTTCTGCAGAGTTTCTGGTTGCCGTTTAGTTCAAAATACGTTGCAGCTTGTTTGCATGATTTCACCCTGATTTTATTCCCCAGCTCCTCCCAAGAAAAGACTAAATGAAGCCTGAGATGACTCTGTGGCTGTTTGGAGAGGAAACGTGTTGTTTACATTTCCACTGACAGAGTCTGAGGCCCTGTGAGCATTCAGCCCACTTTATGCGTTTCAGTATAATTTACAGATTTAAGTCTAGACTAAAAAAACCTCCACAAAGATTCCGGTGGTAGGTTCAAAGACCAGGAGGAACGTCAGGTTATTATCAGTGTTTGTCAGTGAAGCATTCACAGACAAAAAAACCATCAGATTTCCACCCATCCATGGTCTGAACCCGCTTTGTCCACGTAGGGTCGCGTGTGTGTGTGTGTGGGGGGGGCTGGTGCCTGGTGCCTATCTCCAGCAGTCAATGGGCAATCAGGCGGGGTACACCCTGGACAGAGAGCACACACACACATAGGGACAATTTAGACAGACCAATCAACCTGTGGGAGGAAGCCGGAGTACCCGGAGAGAACCCACGCATGCACAGGGAGAACATGCAAACTCCATGCAGAAAGATCCCAGGCTGGGAAGCGAACCCGGGACCTTCTTGCTACAAAGCAACAACTCTAACCACTGCGCCACTGTGCAGCCCTCGCATATCACATTTATATATATATATATATATATATATATATATATATATATATATATATATATATATATATATATATATAGTAGTAAGTAAGTAAGTAAGTAACTTTATTTGTATAGCACCTCTCACAGACAAAAAGGTCACAAAGTGCTTCACAAGTTAAAAGGCAACAACATATAAATACAGTAAAATACAGCCACAATATACAGTGTCAAATAAAACCAATCTGAATGAGACTAAGTTTAAAATGCCTGGAGAAACAAATGGGTTTTAAGATTGCTCTTAAAAACATCAACTGAGTCGATTGAGCGTAAAGACAGAGGTAGCTCATTCCAGAGCCTAGGAGCGACGGCCTGCATATATATATATATATATATATATATATATATATATATATATATATATATATATATATATATATATATATATATCAGCTGATGAGTGAGTGAATGATGGCTGATCATTCTGATTATCGGCTGATTTTGTCTGTTTCAGTGTTCTCACTAACAGACGCAGCCTTACAGGAAGTGGTGATCAAAACAAAAACAGATCAACACGAGTTAGAGTTGGCAGATCAATAATCATTAATACGTGTTGACGTTGGTTTCGTACTTTTTCTGAAGCCTAATAAGAAGCTTCCTGCCTTGCAGGAATTGTGATGAGTGATGCCGCCATCTACGAGTCCCTGGAGTCGGCCGGTGTCTACGGCAGCCTCGGCGCCCCCAGCCCAGCGACTCGGAGAGCCCTGCGCGGCTCCAGCAGCACCAGCAGCACCGCTAGCTTCCTCACCGCCGAGGACGACCCCCTCTACCAGACCTGCCTGTACCAGGTGGACGGAAACCCAGAAGCAGACCACCAAAGGAAAGAACAGCAGCCGCCCCAGAGGCCGCAGCGTCTCCGTCCAACCAGTGAGGTTCTCACGGTGACAAAGACTCAGCTGACCCGCAGCGCCAGCACTCGCAGTTACATGAGAGGGTCGGCGGCGGCGGCTGGCTCAGGGGAGAAAAATGGAGGATTCGGCTCTCTGCAGAGGAAACCCAAACAGAAGAGCTTCCGCCGGCGCCTCCTGAAGTTCATCCCGGGATTGAATCGACCGCTGGAGGAGGAGGAGAGCAAACTATGAGCTGCTGTTTGGTTAAACTCACCAAAGACTTGAAACGGTGCAGACCATCAGACTAAAGTGCATCAGGAGTCTGAGACCAAAGTAGACGGGGCTGTGTTTCTGACAGACCAACACTTCCTCGGTGTTTCACACGTGTACATAAGTGTGTGTTCTGTTTGTTTTTTAAGTTATTTATTTATTTCTACATGTTCTCTTCAAGCGCAGATGAAGGATGTTTCATTTTTTTCCCCCTGCTAGTTCGGCTTTCCGCGTGAGAACTGAGGAACGGGCTGTAAATGTGCAACAAAACGTTCCACAGGAGATGCGCATGTGTTAGTGCAGGACACATTTAATCATCCTTAAACCGTGCCTTTTCCAGATTACACACCGGTCATTTGTAAGAACGACTTCGCTGGCGAGAAAGCCCATTTACACACAAGCTGCCGGCTGATTGTGGAGAAATGTAGCTGCTAAATAAATCTCGACTCTGGCCTGCAGCGTCTGTGGTGGTTTCATCTGTTCACATGAGACGTTTAAAAACCGTTTCAGAACGCTATCAGTCGTGGTTTTAGTCTGGTCTGTTGCTGTGGAGGCTTTAGGGTTTTTACTGGTCTGAGCGATCCAGAATGAAGGCTGTTGTATCGACTCTGACACAGTTTATTGTTGGGAGAACAGCGAGGAATGTGCGGAGAAAAGCATGACCCAAAATTCCAAACGCAGGCGCTTTCTCTCAGCTCCAGCAGGCAAACGCTGCTTCTTCTCCCTCCTGGCTCCCATTCTCCCACGGCTGTCTTGTGTGTGGGGGGGGGGGTGTGGGTAGAGGCTTTTCATCCCTGACGTCCAGCTGACCCATGAGGTCATGGTGGTCACTCTCTGTGTTAGCTGTGCAGAGCTGATGCCTTTTGTCCTCGCAGCTCTTTCACAGACGCATCAGCGGTGACGGTGATGCGGAGCGATGGTATGCAGCCGTGTGTCGGCGCTCCTTCATCGTCTCCATGGAGTGGAGCGGTGGGGTGGGGGGTCAGTCGTATAAAGGGTTGTTTGCATGTTTGCTGGAGCTGAAAACGTGGGATTAAAGTGAATGGGCCGAGGGCATAATCAGGTGTTAATTAGGGTGATCGTTAAAAACAAGGTGAGAAAGGGTCGATTCACTGAAACAGAGGAGCAATTAGCACAGCAGGCGATCAGTGTGTGTGTGTGTGTGTGTGTGTGTGTGTGTGTGTGTGTGTGTGTGTGTGTGTGTGTGTGTGTGTGTGTGTGTGTGTGTGTGTGTGTGCGCGTGTGCGTGTGCGTGTGTGTGCGTGCGTGCGTGTGCAGCATCTTGTGACGGAGCTGAACTTCTTTTTCTGATGGTTGGTGAGAACGTTCCATAAATCAGCTTTAGGGGTAAAATCCAAACTATGCAAACTCAACAATAGCCACAAAATCTTTGCCTCAAGATTAAAGATCAAATCTTTTTATATTTTAAGAATTAATCAAAGTTAAGACCTGGAATGCACATATTTAGATATGTTTTAACAATTTCTCTTTACAAAAGTGGATAAAAGATTTGATAAAACTTGTGTTTCAGGCCTCTGAGCTGCCTTAAGACGCAAATATCTAATAATTAAAAATCTTTAGTGATGCTGAAATGAAAAGATTTTCATGTGTTCATCTTTTAAGGCTCTAGAGTTTTCAGTTATTCTGAGCTGTGGCATCTCCTGCAGCCATCACAGATACCTGGCATGTATAACCCTGAGATGCAAACGTCACCTGAAGCTGTTTCCTAATGACAGATCAGAAGATTATCTGATTAAACACTCATTAGCTGAAACAAAGGAGTTTGGCCAAAATCGGGAAATAAACCAAACCAAATCGTTGGTTGTGAGGAAGTCGGTTTACCTGCTCCAAAGTCAACAGTTTTATGGTTATGAGTGGAATCTGGTCTCGGGGCTCCTCCGCTGCTCCTGGAGGTGCTGGGGAGACCACCTCATAACTCTTGAAACCATCAGTTGGACCGCTGAGACTTGGACACTCAGAAAGAAACCAAACCAACTCATTTAAAATTACAATCAAACCAAAACTCAGCCGTGTTTACCAGTTTTTGTTTTAGCTGCCTTTGTCCTGTTGTGCCCATGAAGGCTCTTTATAAACCCCTGAATAAGAAAAGGTGAATTCAAGTTCACCAAATCACTCGGGTCATTTTTAGAGAGTTAAACCCCGCCCCAGATCCATATCCCTCTCCTTATTTACATCACACCAGGAAAACTCCCCTCCTAACTCGAAATCAGACAATTTCTCGCATCGGAACATTTTCCTGCCTGGATCTGCAGGACACCATTTTTATTAAACTGATCAGAGCAGCATTCAATCGCATCAGCACACCTGCATGAAAGAAGATTTCTCATTTTAAGAACTGGGACGGAGAGAGAAAGTCCCAGCATCTCCTCTGCCAGGGCCGGTTCTAGGCCAAATTCTCCAGGGGGGCCACAGTGGGGCCAGTATTTTTTCATGGGGGCGCAAGAAAAAAAGGGAAAAATTAGTGCAATATCAAAATTATTTTTTGTCGTCGCCATATGACAAATTTTGTGCTTGTGCACAATTTTGCCAAAAGGAAATTCATTGATGTCAGGAAAATAAACTTTATTGCTTGCATTCGTCTCTTAGCGTATTTTCCGTTAGTCGTCCTCAAGAATTTGTTCGGGTCCCATTTAAACTATTTTTAATCTTTTATTCAAAAATCCACCGGGTAAACATTTCTGTCCACAGAGTGTGCTGCGCTCTAAAAGCTCTGTTAGAAACGCTGCAGCTTATTAGTTCCCGTCTCCGAGGCAGCGCAGGGAAAAAAAAATCTGATCTCTTCAGCACAGGGGCTATAACAGGGGCCAGGGCCGGTTCTATAGGGGCCCAGGCCCCTGTGGGCCCCTGTTTAAAACCGCCAATGTCCTCTGCTGGGGCTGATGTGCAGACGCACACGTGCATCTGGAACTTCCTCAATGCTGCCACGCGTCTCTTTGCATGAAACCTTCTAATTTTAGAGTTTTAGTTCCTCAATGAGCTGGCTGCTGCAAAAAGACGTCTACGTTCAAGAACAAGAGAGGGTTGTTATTTACACTTGAGTTAATTAATCTGCAAACCTTTCACAGAGCTTTTACTGGTTCCTGACTGGAGAACAGACTGGGATCCCTGTCTGGTCCTAGCCTCTGGTGGTCTGCAGTAGGGAAGAACAGATTTTAGCCTCTGTGGTGCAACAGCAGAAATGAAAGGCGTCTTTCTCAACTGCTTTGTGCGTCACGGAGCACGACGGGCCGTCAGAGCCTAAACTGTCTTCTCTCAGCTCAGAAATAAGGAAGCAGTTGGGATGCTTGGCTCAACACTTACACGGCTTTGTGCGTGCAAAGAATAGGCCCCAGACACCACCACAAGTGTTCAGATGTCACCAAAAAGGGAAGGCTCTGCTGCAGTAGGGTGTGTAGGTGGTACAGGGATTCGAGCTTGTGTGGGTCGCCAAGAAACAGGATGCGGGTTACAAATGTGCAGGAAATCCACCATAAAGATAAGAGATTCCAGCTAACTGCAGGGCTAGAGAAGGACACAATGGATACCACGTGTCTATATTCACTCAACAGATCTACAGTTTAAACGCATACATAACTCACAAGGAAGCACATTTATAAATCCTCTCATTGTAGCTCCACTGACTCAGCGTTGACACCAGCAGCTCAACACAATCTGCCTCTGAGGCCATAATTCAAACGTTCAAACCGTTTTTGTTAATGAGCAGCTCAGATCCTGTCTGTTTAAACAGAGGGGACTTTATTGGACCTTGTTAATACACAGATGCTCACCAATCCAACAAACACACACCCCCATCGCACATCAGCTGGTTCCTGTAGCATTCATAAACGGTTGCTGCAAAAACAGGTGATTCATTTCCATTCACTAATAAATGTTCAGACACACATGAGGCGGAGTCCGATGGCAGCTGGGAACTGTGAGCTGCCTGCAGCCGCCAGAAAAATCGGATGAAACAAACGCCTACGCAGTTTTGATGAAGTGCTCGTCTGCAGAAACACGAAAACCTGTATGAGTTTCTGTGATCTTTGCGAGTTTATCACTTTAAATCTAAAAAGTCTCAATGACCGCAACCAAAAGCAACTAGGTTTGTGTCTAGATGTCAGGTGCTGCTCTGTGGGGAACCGGGCTAAGTTTAAACACCTTTAATGACTCTGTTCAATCACCAGTCTCACTGTAAAATTAGTCCCGGAGTTGGAAGTTGCAGAGTTTAATAACCTTTATGCCTCAGATATCAAATCATTCAAATATTTGATTAAAGGCATAATTTTAAATTGCAGAACAGAAACAAAACGCCTCCTTCACTCAGCAAAAACAGGAGTTCCACTGACAGAACCAACTCTAGCACGTCATAACAAATCACGTTCCTTTTTTGGAACCAGACTCTGTGTGTGTGTGTGTGTGTGTGTGTGTGTGTGTGTGTGTGTGTGTGTGTGTGTGTGTGGTGGCGGCTCAATGTGGAAAAATCCCCAGATGAACAGTGAAAAATGAGAGTGAGAGTTTCCACAAACATAAAAACACAAAACCATCTGAGAGTGGCTGAATAAACTCTCTAGGGATGTAATTATCAAGAGATGAAATGGATCAGAACACCAGAGTCACAACCAGAACTTTCTTAAACATTACATTTATAATTTTGTATTTAGGGCCTTTTTCTTCTAGACACAACCAGCACAAACACACACCTCATTAGCAGTCAATCCTCTGGCCTCCTTTAGGAAAACAGTATTTTTTGCAGTACAGTGATCCCTCGCTACTTTGCGGTTCGTTTATCGCGGATTCACGACCACGGATTTTTTCTTTGGAGCCGTATTCAAGGGAAATTCGCCGATTCGCGGTATTTTTCAATGCGAAATATCAAGAAATTCCTGTTTTTTTCATCAATTTCATCATAAAATGCACTTTTTGTAATAAAACTATAAAAAAAACAAGTAAAAATACAGTACTATGTAAAGGGAGGGTTTTAAAAGTCTGAATACTGAATACGTACCTGTTAAATAAATACTGTAAATATGGTGTCGCTACTTTGCGGATTTTCACCTATCGTGGCCAGGTCTGGAACGCATCTACCGCGATAAACGAGGGATCACCTGTATATCAAATTAAAATCTCTTTGTATCTGTGTGAACGTATATCTGCTAAGCATCAATAAAATAAAGATCTGACAGCTGATCCTTGAACTCAGTGTTGCTAAGTGCCGATTCACTAGCGGTACCAGAGCTTCCAAGTGGGGATTTTAAAGTCCCATTAGTCATCATCACACTGGTGAAATTCATCTCCACACTTGACCCATGCCTGTGGGGAGCCGTGAGCTGCAGCTGTGGCTGCGCTCGGGAACTATTTGGAGGTTTAACCCCTCAATCCAACTCCTTAAAGCTGAGTGTCAAGCAGGGAGGCATTGGGTCCCATTTTTAAAGTCTTTGGTAAGACCTAACTGGAAATT